GTATTACACTGTATAGAAATTTACTGCCAGAAAATTCCGTAACGCGAGTTATATTGACAGTTGTGTGTATACGCACTTGTACTCGTCGCGCTAGGAATTGTGGTTTTTTTGCTATAACACACGAACGCGGTGTCACAATTAGTTCGAAATCATTTTCCCTGATGCGGAATTTAATTCTGTAACACACTGTATAGAAATTTATTGCCAGAAAATTCCGTAACGTGAGTTATATTGATAGTTGTGTGTATACGCACTTGTACTCGTCGCGCTAGGAATTGCGTATGCGTGCAGTTAAGTCTATGCTTGCGTCGGGTTAGAACGATATCTTATCTTGTTATTGTTGTGAACATGCTGATCTATCTGTGTTTTGTATTGTTGTATTTTAATATGATTTATTTAATTTTATATTGTATTGTATTATTGCTTGTCGGACTAATTGTCGTGCGTTTTATTTGTTGGTAGTAAGGCGATAAGGTATTTGGTAGTTGCCGCACTATCGATGTTTAAGGAGTCTACCGCTTCCGTCGCAGAAATGTTAGAGATGCGCGTATTACAAGGCAAGTTTTACTTCCAGAAGATTTAAGAGCTGCCTCTGATTTTTGATTTTAAATCAATATATGTAGTTTTTAATGTTGCTAATAAAACATAATGTGATATTATATGCTTCTTCATATTTCTTTCTGGTTTCCCCTTTGCCGTTTGCAGGATAAATCTTAAGTGCGTCGAGCGTGTACAATATATATAGCTGTTGTTTGCGTTGTGTTGTTGTTTTTAAAAAGTTGAATAAAGTAGAAACATAAATAGAAGAATCAAATATTAATGATAAAAACACTCGGTGGTCGAGTGGAGACGTGCACCTGCTGGCATGCTGGCAGACACGGATCGAATCTCAGGTATTGAAGGCATTTTTCTCAAATATAAAAATATCAGGTGAAATTTGGGTTGCATATATGAATTGCAACGAAATATATGAGAAATTGAAATTCAAGTGGAGGCAATAAGAGATGTATGAAAGTAAATGGAGAACGAGAGAACAGAGAAATAGAAGAAGGAGTAGTAGAGAGAATAGGAGAAGATAGAAGGAAGAGAATAGAGAGTAGAGCAGAGAAGAGGAGGAGATAGAAGAAAGAGAACAGGAGAGGATCAGATTTTTAAATTTTTTGGCACGTGTCGTTATAAGACAGTCACAGGTCGATCTTCTTCGATGCCTCCATTGCTCCCGGCCCATCCTACAGCTACGATGTCTCTGCGCTTCATCCCCGAAATTATCAGGCATATCAACAATTTTTATGGTGGGGGATCACCCCCAGAGAGGGGGAACTCCTTATAAGGACAATCCTTATAAGGTCTTGTTCAAATATTTCTAAGTTTTAAGTCGTCTCAAGAGAGGCGACACATAAAAATATTCTTACAAGTTCTGACCTGTAGCTGAAATGAAAGAAGGAGTACACAAATCATACAGGTTACCTTAACAATTTTTATAGAGGGGATCATCCCCTGAGAGAGGGAACTCTCATAGAGACCTGTTCCTGAAATGATAGAAGACGAACACGCAAATCAAAGAAGTCAATATATCTTACTATATATTTATTGACAATAGAATACAAGTTTAGATTTTACATGTCCACAGAATACATGTCACCATATTGAAACCGGACTTACGACCTGCTAAGCAGCGCACATATAAGCAAGTACCACTTCGTACAGTTCTACCGGAATAATAAAATTAGCAAATAGTTCATTTTCTATGTCATTGAAAATGAAATAAATATACAGGTTATTACAAAAAGAAAATTTTAAGTGCAAACAAAAAACTCTGGACACTACAAACGCCGCTCGTTTTCACTCGACGATCGGGGAAAGTAATATACAGGGTGTTTCAGAAAGAAAATTCAAAGCGCAAAGAGGAAAATCATATAAACAACAGTTGAAGCAAAATTTTCACAGACACAAAGGAAAATGAATATACAGGGTGTACCAGAAAGAAAATTCCTAGTTAAAAACAGAGAACACTTAAAACCCACAAATAAAGAGGATTTTCGACGTGCTGTTAGGACAACTAATATACAGGGTATTACAAAAAGAAAACTTTAGAAACTACATGAAGAGTAATTTACAAATAAACAACAAATATTTCAATATTTCACCTGAAAATCATCAGGAAATTGAGCAAAAAGATGGTACAAAAATAAAGCACCTACATTTTAGCATATTGTGAATGTATATTTATTAATTGATGCATCAACTGCATAAAGTAACCGACGGGTAAAACATCATCATAAATTGATAGGATATCCGGCGAAAAACATTCAAATCAGCAGTCGGCAAGCGATTTGTAAATATTAAGATGTACGGAGACTATGAAAACGAAAAACTATTCAACGTACAAGATTTTACTAGCTCAACAAGAAACTTCTTAATTTAATGATGCTAAAGAATGCAAATCGATTAAAAACGTTCACGCGTTCAGCGAAAAGATGGCCGAGCCGACGGCCGACGGCAAAGTGAGCGTGGTCGACCATATAAATATTGCCAATTTTAATAATCTTCAATACTTTTTTAAAATAGTATTTTATTAATTAAATCATTCATATTATTTTCGGAAACGGAACTAAGAATTCTGATAAAAATGCTACATACCATGTGTTTGTAATTTGCAAGATGATATGGAATATATTCTATCAACTGAAAACACACGCACAGATTAATGGACACTTATTTCTTATATAAGGAGACTTTAAACAAAACAGGCACATATGTCCATTGCGAATATTTTGCTGATGGTCGAAAAAGTACACGACGATTAATACAATTAAAACCTCAAAACACGTGGCGATTAGAGAGACACACTCGCGGACCACGAGGCGAAACGACTGCCGTGTGCGCTTCGCTTAGCCAGGTACAAGGCTGGTACGTTGCGCTAAAACACGTCGAACAAAAAAAGTTGTTTATACACAAACTGATAAACTCGTAGTTGAAAAGACCAATCTAAAACTTCACAATGTTGAAATAACCGACATACGAAAATCATACGAAATCTACTTTTACTTTCAATATTTCTCGGCATAAGAATGTGACGCGTAAGTATAAACAAAAAAAATAATTAAAATATTAACTTATCAAAGTGGAACTCATCCGAATCCAAAACCCAAAAGGTAGGTACTATAAATAAAATAAAACACAGGTTAAAACATTTCATAAATTTTATTAATATTATATTCACACATCAAAGTAAAACAAATAAATTTAGTTGAAAGTTACCTAGAGAAACCCGATGGATCATTCTAATGATGAATAAATCAACATGACGGTGGAATGAAGCCACCGGCGACGGCAACTGCACATGATAAAACCACAGCGGTGAAAATTTTCTCAATTATCAATCTAATACAACACTGATTACTGAATCAAACCCTAAGAAAATGATATAAGACGCGAGAGACACATCCGAAGCACTCGAGACCAGCACAAAACTGGCCGCAGCATAACCGAGCATGCTAAGACATGCCGAATAAACACAACACAGCTGACGATATGATAAGACAGCCTGCTGCCCCGCGTGTAAGTGCATGAGGTGCGCAAAGCCTTAGCACATACGACTTTGTGCGTGAATAGCAATAGACACGGATACCTGCGATCTAAACTAAACTGAAATACGCTGTACGCGACAAGTAGATGCGGCGCTAGAGGACGGCGCGCGGGACACATGCGATAAAAAAGTTGTTTATACACAAACGCAGGTAACGGAATTCCGCTCAAAACGATTTTCTAGCGCACGTTTGCGGATAAACATAAAAATAAGCAGTATAAGTCTATTTTATGATATTTACTTCATGCTATTGCCATCTAGCGTGTTGATGGAATGCGACCTTGTGCGCGAATTGTAATAGTCATTATACCTTAAATTTAAACTAAACATGCGACATACACGACACAGTTGTTTATACACAAATGCAGATAACAGAATTGTGTTCAAAATTATTTTCGTGTTCACGTTTGTTAAATTAAAATTCGAATTATATCATTCAGATTTCATATGCTGAAAGATTATGTAACTGTATACATAAATAAATTGGTTTAGGTGGTGTTTTGTTATATTTTGTTAAATCGTTTCAACTATAATATGTCGATTTATATTTAAGTATTGAACAATTCCAACTATTAATTGCGATTTTCCATAAAATAGTAAGTTCTAGTGAAAAATTACTACGAAAAAGTATTTACAAAGACGAATTATTGAATCTTCAAAATTTTAATTTAAATTGCCCGGTGGAAAACTATTTTTACATTAAAATCACAATAATTATTTCTATGTCAATATTTACCTGGCAGTACATTAATCTACAATCCGTGACCGATGACAAAACTGGTTTGCAATATCCGAAATTAATGCAATGTTTAAAATAATAACAAAAATCAGCGTTCATGTTCCGACGGCAACAGATTCACAAACAAACACGCAAATAGACTAAACACGAAAAATTAAAATCGCGAAGATTACACACGCAATAAATAACTGGTGAAAGCACAAACACGTTTATTAACACTGGTTATCGAAGATGATGAACCGAATATAACGCAATTTACCGAACGTACATCAAAGGAACAACACTAGTCGTCGATGAGAAACGCGTGCCGGCCGCTATCGCACTGATGGAACAACACAAAATTTACACGCTGGAATATTTTTAGATAAAAATGCATGGTTGCACCATCTGCGGCCGCTCTGAGGTACCATAAATATATACAGAATGTTTGGCGAAATGTGAGGCGTATTTATGTGTCAGTGAGTGGTCACGCAAGTAAATGGTTCTGCGTGCGTTTCGATGTGAGCAAAAGTAGGTTTGTACCACCCTGCGTTAATAAATAACATCTCAATCACATAGGACAAACACTCAAACATATTTTACTTACTAGAATTATCTACCACATGCATTTTACTATTGTTAAATCAAAAAACGCCCTGAATCATGTTTGTTTTTGAAAATAAAATGTTTAAATATATTACATTATATGTATTTATATTTATATCATCATAGTTATAGTACATAGTACATTTACAAACATACCGCTAGCGATTTATCATATTCACCCTCCGCACTCCGCTCCATCGCGCATCGGCGCTCCTCGTTTACTTAATGATCAATAATTATAAATAAAACTTACGAAAGACTAATCATGTTCTTCGTCATCGTTAATTTGAGCTTGGTTTAAATCCATCATCATCATCATCATCATCATAATCATCAATGTTTTGTTCATCTCCCTGCACTCCACTCGCTTTACCATAGTTTTTAAGATTTATTTAGTTTAATTAGTTAATTAATTAATTAGTTAAATACGACTAGCGTTCGTCATCGATAAATAAACGTAACGTACGAAATAAAATAAGCAGCGCACTCGCAATAAAAGAATCCATCATGTTTTCTGTATACAAACAATAAGAAAGTATTGAAGAATCAAAGGTAAACAAAATCAAAGGAGATTCGGCAACATTGTGAGTGTGAAACTGACACGAATCTCCATTCCTAACAAGTGATAAACGATTTCAAAAGCGTATTACACAAACGTAGACGATGCGCAATTAATATAATACCCAGTATAAAATTAACTAATACTAGCAATAATAAACGACAAACGCATCATTGCATTGATGTCTCCAACATGTGTGTGTGTGTCGATTGCAATTTGCTTTTCATTTCATTTCATAGTTTTCATTTTATACAAAAATTGTCTAAGGCTCTGGCTGCGTTTCGCGCTCCGCGACGGATCCAGATCCGTCTACTGCTAATTTCGAGATGGAATGAATTCGCATTTTGGAAATTATTTCAATTACATAGTATTCAACGAGGTAAAAACAAGCGGCGTTCGAAAAACACTCAGAAAGCATGCTAATTTGCTTGTGTGTCTCAGATTTTTTATGTCTTTTTATAACTTTTCCCTTACAAACAACGACGCAAACGATACAAGCATCACCACCATTGGTAGGTGGATGTCTTGTTAATTTAAGCAATATCAACACCGCCATCTTGACTTTCGACTCGTTTAAATCCCATTGAGAGTTTCTTCCAGAGTGGCCATGATTGGGATCGTGGTTTGTGTCCTAAAACGGCAGCATGCGGACAATGTGTACCATTACACGCAGCGCTCGACTCCAGAATTGCCGAAGAGGTGCGTGTCGCAGCGCAAGGAAATGCCACAAGGACATCACTGCGATTAGTTGTACGAGACGATGCTGCCAGTATAACGCACGCAAATTTCGACGCGCTTTATCAATCGTCGTTAGTTCTTCTTTAAAGATAAATCTACAACAATACAGAAATAAATGAAAAACATTGATTTTATTTCAGTTGGCGTTGATAATACCTTCGAATGCCAAGGACATAACTCTCGATAAACTCGTGCCAGTTGACCAGTGATGCATCAAAACAAAAGTCACGCCGATCGCTTTCGCTCAGCGACTGATTCAAGAGGCGCACATTGGTGTCGTCGAAATTCCACTCCTGAGTCGTAAAGTACTCCAGGCAAGCCGCTGCTTTCGTTAGTTTAGATTGCACATGAACCATACTAAAAAACCAAACAATATTAATCAATAAAAACTCAAAATTTCCGAAATTTTTCAACTTACATTCGTTTTTTTCCCGTTATCCAACACAGACCATCCAATACATACGCCGGCATATAGTGCAAAAAGTATCTACACAAAGTATTATGCACTCTGGACGAAGTAACACTCCCACCGGGGTACCACGTCACCTCCGAGAAGGGATACTTCCGCAAATAGACGAAACACAGATCGACAAAGTTCTTCCATGTGATGGCGCGCTTCAATCCAGACACACAATTATACACCGGTATATCCCCGCTGCCCGGGGCAGGATTCGCCGCCACTTTCCACGCGGACACAAGCATAAGATTAATCACCATGTCCACGGGAATGAAATCGGCGGCCTTGTCGATCTTGCAATACATCGATCGAAAGACGCCCTTCCCTGTCGCGGCGATGATACCAGTCGGACCATTCCAGTTGTCCACCCAGCCCTTCACTGGTTCCGAATAACTGGATAGCACAATTGATGGTCGTACGATGACCAACGGCAGGTCGCCTTTGTGTTGCTTCAGCCAGTTTTCAGCGAGCGCCTTGGTGAATGTGTACGTATTCGGACGATTGCCAATCAACTGCGGCGTGATGGAATCCACTAAGGATTCATCCAGGACATCCACGAGTGAGGAGATCTTTTCGGGATCAATTGGTGGTGGGTAGATGACTTCGTCAATGTCTTTACGGTCACAGTTGCAATACGCTGTGGAAACATGCACCTAAAACACAAAAACTTCAATAAAAAAAGTTTTTTTAGGTTTAAAACATAATTTACCAATGCTTTGAGATGAGTCATCCTTTTACAGAGCTCTACTAATCTCTGGGTACCCAACATGTTAATGGTAACCGACAGTTTTAGCTTTTCATCGAATTTAACAGTCGCTGCGCTGTGAAAGACCAGATTCACGGTGTCATACAACATTTCACGATCTTTTGCACTTATCGCCAGCGATGGTTGTGTGATATCTCCTTCAATGGGTAAGATTTTCCCTAGATCGTTCGGCCTTTCTTTGCGTACATGATCAAACAACTAAAAAAACATTTATTAAACATTATTTATAAAAAATTGACACAACTTACAGGTGAACACAACAATTGTTGGAGGCGATCGTGCGCATTCTGTCCGCGTTTGGGCCGTATCAGTAAATAAATCTTGTGTACGCCCGGACAGGCCCGCAGGAGTTTCTCCACGAGCACCTTGCCCATGAATCCGGTCCCGCCCGTGATGAAGACTGTCTTTCCAATATAGAAATCAGCCACACAGCATGCCTGTACACCATTTCCATCCGGGATGTTAATACCATTCGGACAGATCGACGGCAGCGCGTTTTGCATATCCATGGCGGCCATCTTGCTTCCGGCTGATGTTTGTGTGCCTATCGTGCCGACCATTTGTTTAAAATCCGCGCTAGTTCACGTCTAAACTAGTATAAATAGAAAAATAGCTATTCTGTTTTGTTATTTGCGAAAACGCTACTTGGTTTCTTAATTATTATTATTTATATATTATGTAAAATGGATTAAATTTTGTGCTCTCGTCGTGGAAGCTAGTATTATTAAGTTGTCTACTTTAAATTTTCATTAAAACGCGTTTGGTTTTTTTTTTATTTCTTGTTTTAAATGTGGAAACTGGAAGCGTATGTTTTGCGTGACATGTTCTTCATCCTTTTCGATGCTTTTTTTTGTTTGGGTGATGAAGGTGTGCGAAGTCTAGTCAAATCAACAACTTTCAAATTGATTTTACAACAATTATTAAATCTGCAACAAGAAAAAACATCAAAATTACAATCATTTACAACCGTTACGTGCAAAAACTGTGCGCAAAGTTCAACAATCCGCCGTTAGAATATTTTTTGCGGTTTATTCACGCCTCGTTTATCATTTCAACCGAAAAGAAAGGCATCTTTAAAAGGGTGAATAAACCTGCTGGATTCTGTCAACGCACAATATTCACGCATTCATCACTACTCATCAACAAGTAATGTAGCAATAAATATTTAATCATTTCGTTTGCGTGCGTGCGGTGATGTGCATTTAATAATCGAGCATGATTAAAGAGTGCGCACCAGTTGCATATAGGGAAATTGAGATAATCATCATTACGATAATAGTTTGGAAAAATTACGCCCGGTAAGTAAATACCGAATGATCTTGATTGCGTCATAATCACCGACGATAATGACACGCCGGAAGTGTGTTTTGTGGCGTCACCTTGAAAAGGAAACAAGGGTGCCAGAGTGTTATTGAATGAATTAATTATTGAGACAATCAGTCATAAAAATTAACGAGCGATTGTTTACACATGGAATAATAATAAGAATATATTCAATAAATTAATCATTATTAACAATCACTTTACGAAAACTTCTTTGATTTTAATAAAAATGGTTAAGTTAAATATTTTCTTGTTTTTGGTGGTTATAAATGTGTTTAGCGCCATCTGTATTCAAATTATCTAAGTATTATTAGGTTTAAAAAGCTATATAAACTTTCAACCCTTATTTCATACCCTTAAAGTAATATTTTAGTGATAAAAAGTATCCTAAGTGTTATTCCATGATTAAAACTCTCTTTATACAAAATTTCATCAAAATCCATTGAATGGTTTTCGTGTGAATGTGAAACAAACATACAAATTAATAAAAAATCTATCAACTTGTTCCCATTTTCTTCCCCCTGCGGCAAATATGAGCAAGCGTTTTATTACGAATTACAATATTTCAAAAGGAAACTTTCGCAACGAATGAATGACAGACTGGCCGACGCATTGACGTCACATCAAACTTTTTCGATGCAGAAATTCTTTTCTCGGTCAATAATAAATACAAATCCGACTTCTACAAGTTCTAGTTCTACACTCCACTAACTTTTAACACTTTAAACACGCGAGGTTTTAAAATAATCACAAAAAAAAACAAACCGGTTTCATATTAATCTCTATCATTTTTATATTTTATATTAGCAATGTAATACCGACCTATTTTCATCAAGTCAAATAAAAGTATTATCAATAATCCCAATGGGAATAAGATAAAATAAAATGAAATTCATACACTGACCTTGAATAATAATAAATTTAAAATAATTAAACTTTCTGTTCTTCTATTTCTATTTGAATTCTTTAATTTTTAATTCGTGTATATGAAGAGAGCGAAAATAGAAAATAGAATAGAGAAAACGAAGTCACTTGCTTTACTTTGTCGATGTTGAATTGAATGTGAGTGTGTGCCGTGTGTGTTTTTGCATCCGTCTCGCGAATCCGCGCACGATGATAGCGGTGAATCAGCCGTTCATTAGCAGGCGCACACACACACCACTCGCGCGAATACTCGAACAAAACGCGCGATATTATGGCGAATGTGGCCTACTTCCGAGCGCACATCACAACTTAACACGAAACGAAATTTTATTCGCCTTTAAAATTGAGCAAGAAACCCACAAAAAGTGTCATCACTTGTTTTCGTCTTTATCCTTTATCACATATCACTTAATATTTATTGTACTTTACATTTACATTAAAACAATTAAATCATGTCGCAATTGTTTTATTGTGATATTTTCAAGTTCAAGGGAAAACTTTCCATTTTAAAAATTTTAAAAAATTACTTACACCGGATACAAAATTAAAAAAAAATTCTCACACGTTTTGTTTTAGTTATGATTTAATTATTTAAACAAAAGCAAAAAATACTCACGTTATTCTTTTTCTATTTCTATTTTAATTTCAATACGTATTTCACTTGTTTCACTTTCAATCAATTCACAGAATTCATCTCAACTGCAATCACTTAAACAATATTTTTATTTCACACTCACAACGTGCCCACCATCGAGTGTCGGCTTGAAATGAATGAAACGCAAGGATCACGGATTGAATGTGCCCGCCAACTATGTACTACCGGCGCTGCGTGCCGAATAAAAATATTACAACTAAACCAAAAGTGTTGAGTGTTGAAGTCAAGTAAAGAAACAACCGTAAATTACACTATACACACACATAAAAACACACAAAACCTCCCAAAAAAAGTAAAGTTAGGTTAATTACGCCACTTTTCATCCGAACTTCAACTTTATCTTATCTCTGACTCACGCGGCGATGCGAAATTCCGCTCGGAGTCCGCGTAATCACGCGCGGTGTGAGTTCAAACAAGATTCTCATCGCTAACATTATCGATTTCGATATTATTGTCGATATTGTGTGTGCACTTGCAGCGTGTGTGCGCTTGGACTGACGCGTATTGAATGCGATGCCAGCGCGAAGAAGTAAATATTGGTCACTGGGCTACGACTACGATGAAGCGCGGCGGTAAACGCAAGTTGAAGAATATAGGTCATCGGCAACGCACACACACACGCACCACACCTTCGTGGTGAAATGGTTAAATATTTTCGATGGCATGCTGAGACCTTATTCCTTTTACCTTTATTTTTATGCAGAGTGTAATGATACTAATATTTTTGAATTTTAAATGTGATTTTGTATGTTTGTTTCTCATTAACTCAGGAACTACTCAAGCCATTTTGATTAAATTTGGGATTTTTATAAGTTTTTAGATGGAATAAGAGATAGGCTAGTTTTTGTTGTGAAAAATTAACTGGAAGGGTGTTAAATTAGGGATGAAAGTTGATAAAGTGGTTTAAAGTTAGTTTTAGTTGTATAAATTGAATCTAGATGGCGTTAAATGATATTATTAGCAATTCTCTTTCATCTACTTTAAATAAAAAACAGAAATAAAAATGGTGGAGGCGCTAAATTATTAAATTTTACTTAAGTATTATTAGTGAAATATTCTTGTATCACTCTGTATAAATTTTATAGGATTATACCGAACGGTATTCATTCTGTACCGGGTGGAAGAGTCTCGAAGAAAACAGGTTCATTGACATTGTACCGTTATTAGCTAGTGTGCTAAGGCCGACGATGACTTAAGTCGCTTGACTTGTCTCTCACACCACGTAAAACCAAGTTGAAGTTCGAAGTACGAGTAAATCCAATAGCCAATGCACACCATAACATCAAAGGACTTTACTTAAACTTACACTTTACTTAAATCTCAACTCAAAATCACACGAAAATCACACGATTGTTCACACAGCACTTAATTGACATTTGATTCACACTTGTAGGCGCGAGGTTACGCACGCTGCGAGTGTCCAACTGACTTAAGTCAACTTGCAGGCAGGCATGCTGCTGGAGAGTAGGTAACAGGTCGTAAACTAAATGCGGCGCATGACTGCATTAATTCCGCGTGCGTAGGCTTCGCGTGAGCTGGTGAACAATTAGCTATTGGTAAGTAATAAGTGCTTAAGTAGTGTTAGTGTTGTGAAAATAATAAATATGATTTAAAGTAAAAGATTATTGTAGATTGAAGTATTTCCGCAAGATTACTTATACTCAATGTATTAATCCAGTGTAAGGCCATACCAATCTCTTAATTAATTATTATTAAGTCTACTTAGTGACCTTAATCAACTAAAATCCATAATTTTGGTTGCAAACTTTAGTTTTTCAGTATTTTAAGTTTAAAAATGATATTTTATACCATGTAATACATTCATTAATGAAGTATACTTAAAAAAAACAACAATTTAGTATACTTAAGTCACTTACAGCAACTAAAATCGGCAATTTTGGTTTAAAACTTAGATTTTTCCAGATTTTACAAATAAATATGGTTCTTAACACCTCTAAACACATCCAGCAGTAAAGTATACTTAAAATAATGATTACTTTGTATACTTAAGTGACTTAAATCAACTAAAATCAACAATTTTGGTTTCAAACCTTAGTTTTTCAGTGTATCAACTTTAAACATGTTATTTAATATCATCTAACTCATCCAGCAATAAAGTACACTTATAAAAATAATATCTAACTATACTTAAGTCACTTTAACCAACAAAACCCACAAATTTCAGCCTCAAATCTCAATTTTTCCTACTTTTAAATCCTAAATATGTTACTAAACCGCATCTTCCATCTCCTCACACATCCAGCCGTGATTTATCAAGTCCTACATGCGTGTTGCGCAATAATTAATCAAATTCTCGCGCTTAATAAGGATGTGCGTCGTTGAACGCAATGAAAATTGATATCAAAACACACCACATGCACGCACACGAGCTTTCAGGCTAATCAGCGTCCTAACAACACACCTATTACAACTATTAAAAGTGCTTCTCATTTGTGCGTCTGCGGCGGCGCGCCCGAAGTGGAATTAAAAATAGACCGCGAAATATAAATATCAGCGCCGGCGTGGAATTTAATTAACGTCAACACATCCGGGCGGCATACACACTTAAGATTATTACTTTTACAAACTTACCTACTCGTCAATTTGTAGGTTAAACAACTTTAAACTTGAGTTGAACTAAAATTACATTCTCCACGGCTTCAGTTTTATACCATGACATGATTCCGATGATAAAAATTCCCAGGAATCCGATAATATCATCTCTAATCTCTTATATTATGTAATATAATAATATAATAGTGAATTGTGTTGCATAACACAATTCATGTCATCATAAAAATACACCTAGGTGTGAAGCAGGACTAATTCGATTAGTTTTATAGATTTTTCAGTGTTCCACCCCCGGTTTTAACACTGGTATCAATTAATAGTGATAAATATATGATTAAATTCGGAGGTGAAGTATTTATTAAGTGTGTATGCCGGATATGAATCAAGAGGGCCGTTTGTTTACCTCATTGTTTATTCATGTGTATTCCGGCCGATACATCGATATCACTATCACCACCGTGCGTCGCCCGTGGGGTAATGTAATGATAGTCATCGTGTGCGCGGGTCACGCGTCGACGCTAGGCGATTAGGTAACCACGGATGACTGCTAACTGAGGGAAAACAACCGGCGAGGTAAATGGAAATATAAAAGGGGTTGGTGCGCAGGTGTGGAGGCGAAAGAAACGGTGAAATATTTAGTCATGAATGGGATATTATGAGGTATGTGCAGGTTATGGGTTGGGACATTAAGGAAAAGTGTTGAATATAATATTTTAGTCATTAATTATCTCTGGGTAATTAATTTTCATAGTTTTTTGATGGAAAATTGTTGAAATTTCGTGATTTTTAGGTTTTTTAAACGGAAAAATTTAGATAAAATAATAAATTTATGTTTTTTAAATTGTTTTTAGTTTGTGTGTAATGTAAAATCAAATATTTTACTGATTAATCAACCCTTATTAACTAATTTTGATAGTTTTGTATGAAAAACTGATAAAATTTTTAGTTTTTTCGATGTTTAACAGTGAAAAATTAAGAAAAAAGTACAAAATCTACATTTCTTGAATATCTAGAGTTCATGTATAATGAAAAATTAAATATTTTGCTTCTAATCAACCCTTAATAACAAATTTTATCAATCAAGAAATGTAAAATTTTCACATTTTTTAGGTTATTTTCTCCTTAAATCTCAAATAACTTCTGAACCATTAAAAATCTCCTAAATATTTTTATCACCCTGTAAAATATAGATCTCTCCCTATAAATCCACCCTTATTTCACAAAAATATTCCACTTTCTTCAAAAGTTACAAGTTTTTGAAATAATTAACCAAAAAAACTGTGTAATTTCAACGTTTTGTAGGAAAAACAATATAAAAAAGCAAAATTACCCTCTAATAAATAATTCATAGTTGTGTACAACATACAACTTGTGATTTCAGTATCAGTAGACTTGTAGGGTAGTTACCTACAGCAGCGCCCTACAAGATTTTGTTCAACATTCCGCCGACAGAGTTGGCACTCGCGCTCTGGTTTCAGCTTTCAGGTTCTCTCCACATTCCACTCTCGACAATTCACAATTCACCCAAATGAATAAACTAACCCTATAAATTCAACAATTCAACATTTCACCCTCAAAACCACCCTCACTTTTCATTTATAAAGAAAAAAATGTAATTTTTGGAATAGATTCCACCTAGTTACCTAAAAACATTCCCTGAATGGTGGCGGCGGCGGCGGCAAGTCTTGCGGCTTCTTCTGTTAGCTCGTCCGCTCGCTATCGATCAAATCAGCGATGTGTCTGCGACTGCAACTGCTCTCGCTGTGGATGATCACCGGCGGGCGCGCCAAACACATCTCACGCACGCGATGCAATCAATCCCAAAAATGTGCCGCACTCACACACAATTTTATTCCAACCACCCCGAAACACAACTCCGCCAGCCGAGTGCAAGATGTGTAAATCGTATTAAAATAATAAAAACTTAATAATGGTGTCGCGGCGACGTCATCCCCAGCACGCTTGCAATTGTAATATTTGTAAAACTCCCGAATTTAGCGTGTTTAGCGGTGTGATGGCGTGTGTGCGCGCACTCGACTATCGACGGGGCCGGGCCTCTCTCTGGATGCGCTCCTGGCGGCTGCGGGCACGTTGCACGCACGCCGGGCGACGGCTGCGGTCGATGCGCGCGGCCCGCTCGGCTCCCGGCTTCGGCCGGCGTCGTGCCCACCCCAAATATAGACGCTTCTCCCCCACACGCAAGGCGTCGCCCGAAAAGATAACACAACCTCACTAAAAACTCACTAGAAACTTTCCTATTCTCCTTCAATTCTATAAACACTATAAACAGTCAAAAATTTACTTCATTTTTGCCTCAGTTATACTTAAAAAATGCAATAAAACTTATCTACTCATATCTGTATTGACTCAACTTATACTCCTAATATCTCATATCATCAACGTGCAAATATTTACACGTGATAAATACTCGTAAAACTAGATTATGCAAGTAAATTATTAATTTTTTGGCTTAAAAATGTTGAAAATTAAAGAAAATTTGAATTTTGCGGAGGGAGGTTGGTAGAATTGTAAGTTTTCACTTTTCCCCATTCATTGAGAATGCTGAATCGTCGAAATCACGCAACACGCGCCACTTTCCAAGTGTATTAGTGGAAAAAAATCAATACTCAAGGCGTTAACACGATTCCTATTCGTATTTCAACGCGTAAATCCAGAGCAACTCCATTCAAGAGTAGAAATTGACACAAATCTTACTGCTACCGCCATCTGTCGCATGTTTACTAAAGTTTTGCAACTGAATAGCAGATTGGTATATCTAGCTATTAATTTACAGTTTTCTGTAAAATATTACAGATTTCTTACTGAATTACAGTGTTTTTAAATCTGTAAAACAATACAGCTTTCGTACTAATAGTTTTTTTCAAAAATGATTATTCTACGACTTAAATACATAATAACACAATGATTGCAGTAGTTAAGTAAAATACGCATGCATAATTCCCTTGTTTAAGTCATTATCTATTGTTAGCTGATAAATATCGTTATCACGCATAACATTTCTAAGAATAAACACAGTAAAAACATGATTTTTTCCTTTTTCCTTTTTATTTTTTATCACGACTCCTACCTGTAATTTCAGGTTTTAAGTCAGCTCAGACATTCTGTGCGTCTCGCGGCTCGAAACCTACGATTGGTCGAATTGTAAATGCGTTTTGTTAACCGGCTTCGTCGGCGAGTTTGCGTGCCAGCCACCATTTCCACATACACACACTGCGCACATCATCATCATCACCGAATACGACTACAACTTGCGCTCAGTTCGTTTTATGGTTCGGTTGTTACAACACACCGAATCGAGCAATCGTAGCAGCCGAAACAAAAAGTGTGCGAATTTCGTGTGTTTGCATTCACAGCCTGTCAAAGCGCTTAAAAGTGATAATAATTACAGAAAACGTGTTCGAATCGCGTCTGACATTTGCCGATCGCGTAAAAGTGCTGACATTGATTAGTATTTAGCAATTAGCAATTATACAACATTCAAGGTGAGCACTTTTTTATTGTTTTACTGAGTCAAATCCCAATTAAAACTCAAATAAAGAGAATTAATGCGCATCAGAAGCAAATTTAAATTGGAATATGAAATACACGCTTTTTAAACACAAGATTTACATAATTAATGAGTTGATTAATTACCTTGGAAGACTAGTGTGGTTGTTCTTGATAAAAAGTTGATTTTTGTGGCGAATTTCACTTTTTTTTTGCTTCACGATTGAAAAAATTAACAAGAAAATGAAAAAATGTCATTTATATACCGATGACAGGATAATAACTTGACTAGACACCTACTAAAACAATTTATCATCATAATAAAGTCACATTTTGATTATAGAATATAATTTTGAAAGTTTGGCGTAAAAAAAGTTGCGAGAAAGTTTCACGCATCTTTGATGTGTTTTAGTGCAACGAAAACAATTTCTAAATGCACTTGAACCATGTGACTTAAGTCTGCTTAGCCTGTGTGTATGTAAGTTTATTATTTAAATATTTAACAACAAACTATAGACACGTTTGACCTCACAAAGTCAACGCAACGCAAAAATATTGAAGAGTGAAAGACTGAAACTTTCACCGAAATCTTTTTCACTTGAGACTTAAGTTAAGTTGAATTAAGAAATACAAACACAAATAACAAATTAATAATAGTTAATTAAATTACCTAATTGAGTTTCTAAATTTATATCGTATTGATAATCAAAGGAAATTTTTGTAATTATTTAATTATCAGCATAATGTGAATTTCCTCAGTGGAAGTTTTCCTAAAACAAGTTATTTTTGTACGCGTATATAAAGAGTCAATTAATGTTTTTAATGTGTTTCTAGGCAAAACTAGACGAATATATAGCGGCTATACCTGCGTAAAATTCGTGTTTGTGCAGGTAATTTGCGCAACGTGACCAGCGCGCGAACAAACTCACAAATTCAACAATTCCAACCGGAAAATCGTAAATAAACTAAAATTAAATTTCACTATTACACTTAGAATTTGTTTAATTTAATATTATTTAATTTTTATTTTTTTAAACTAGTCTATGGGTTATTCTGATGTATAATCTATAAAATTGGCAAGTTTTGTTGAAATTTATCGAGTAGTTTAGGCGGGAAAGAGTAACAAACATAAAATTACTAATTTTTGCGTTTGTAATATTAGTATTGGAAGTTATATGTAATGTAATGTCATCTCGACTTGAAATACATCAGTTATAGTAGTATTTTGTATCTATATCAACTTTGATTGCTTATTTTACGTCTTTCAAAAAATATTTTTCAGTAAAAATCAGTTTATATCTTATTCTGATGTATAATCAATGCAATTACCAAGTTTCATCCAAATCTATTGATTACTTTTGTCGTGAAAGAGGAACAAACATACATTTATCAATTTCTGGCATTTCACATAGAAATACTAAAAATTATATGCAATAATCAACCGAAAAATCATAAATAAACTAAAATTACACTCACCATTTGTTTAATATAATGTTTTTGCTTTCTTTTGATTGATTACTAGATGAGTAACATACCAACATGGTACAGCAACAAGAACATCTTCATCACCGGCGGCACTGGTTTCCTCGGCCTGTGCCTCATTGAGAAACTCTTACGCACCGTACCGGACATTGGCTCGATTTACATCCTCGTCAGACCAAAACGTGGCAAAGAAATCGAAGCACGTCTTGAGGAACTAAAAAAGAACTCCGTTTTTGATAAACTCAACGAATCAGGCACTCTGGACACGGTAAACCCACCTAAAACAAAATCTATTAATTTTTATTAAATATTTTTAAATAAATTTTAAGGTTTTCAAGAAACTAAAAGCAGTTGCTGGTGATGTAGGCCAACCAGATCTCGGTCTATCTTCTGCTGATCGTTCTGAGTTGACAGGATGTGTGAATGTGATTTTCCACTCGGCTGCCACATTGGATTTCGCAGAGACGCTGAAAACCACCGTAGATATTAATCTGTTGGGGACAAGAAGATGTCTGGAGTTGGCTAAGCAATGCCGTGACATGAAGGCGTTTGTGCATGTTAGCAGTGCGTATGTGAATTCATGGCAATTGCAAGCAGATGAAGTGCTTTATCCGCTGCCGGATCATATCGATGTTGAGGAGGTTATTAAGTTGACGGAGACGTTGAATGCTGAGGAGTTGGATGCGAAAACGGTGGAGATTTTGGGGGAGCATCCGAATACTTATACGTTGACGAAGCATATGGCTGAGCATGAGGTGGTGAAGAATCAGAAGGTGTTTCCGTGTGCTATTGTACGGCCAAGTATGAGTAAGTATATAGGTTAGAATCTAGGTTAGAATTATGAGAGTATTATGTTTTAAGAAGGATTTGTGGGTGTTTGAAGAGTTATTATTTGAGTGAAAAATAATCAATGGGTTATTCTATGGTATTATCTATGAAATTGCCAAGTTTTGTTGATATTTATCGAGTAGTTTAGGCGGGAAAGAGTAACAAACATAATTTTAGCTAATTCTTGTGTTAGTAATATTAATATTAGGAGTTATATGCAACATAACGCCATCTCAACTTGAATTAAATCAGTTATAGTAGTATTTTGCATCTATAGCATCTTTGATTGCCTGTTTTACGCCTTTTAAGAATTATTGTTGCTGTAAAAAGTAGTCTATGTCTTATTCTGATGTATAATCTATAAAACTACCAAGTTTCATCAAAATCTTTCATAAACTTTAGGCGTGAAAGAGCAACAAACATTTATTTATCATTTTCGGGCATTACTCACATAAATTTGCTCACTAAAAATTCTACGCATCCTATCGCCATCTATATTAAAATCCTACAACTATAACCATAATTTCACCTCTAAACCATCTTTCATCCCTTGTTTTAACCCCTTAAACAATTATTTCCACCCCAAAAACCATCCTATATTCCCTTCCAATACCTAAACTATAACATACTCAATATTCATCAAAATCCATAAACTTACCTTAACGTTAAACAGTAACAAACATATTATTACTCTTCTTTTAGTTACCACAGCATGGAAAGAACCAATGCCCGGTTGGACAATGTCCAAAAACGGCCCACAGGGTTTCATCATGGGCGCATCCCGTGGTGTCCTCCGAAGATTACCAGTCGGTAAAAACTTGATCTATGATTATATCCCAGTGGATATTGTTGTTAATGGATTGATAGCAGCTGGTTTCCATGCAGGTAAACAAAACCTCTCCTAAAAATATCTAAAAAAAACTTAAAATGTTAAATAAAATTAATTTCCAGGAATGAATGAATCTAAAAACCTGGAAATCTATCAATGCACAAGCAGTCATTGCAATCCCTTCCGTTGGGCCATGGTGGAGGACAGGATGAACAACATGCTGCATCGTTATCCACTGATGAGTGCCGTGTGGTATCCGCATTTGAAGCTGTTACCAAGCGTGCAACATTTCAAACTCTCCGCGTTCTTCATGCATATTATCCCGGCGTTTTTCTTGGATTTATTGACGAGGATCTGTGGAGGAAGACCTATGTTAGTATTATTATTAATAATAATTATTAATAACAAAATATTGTTAATAACTAATATGTTTATGTTTTTATGATGATAGTTTGATGAAATTACACCGTAATGTGAATGATTCACTCGGGCGTCTGGAAAAGTTCATTTTCACCGAATGGACTTTCGGTAATCAGAAAACAATGGCGTTGCACGAGTGGTTATCACCAGTTGATCAGAAGAATTATAGTTTGGATGTGCGTAATTTATCATGGCCGGAATACTTTGAGGATTTGGCCAAGGGTGTAAGGCAGTATTTGTCGAAGGAGTCAATGAAGAATGTTGAAGCTGCGCGTGGCAAAGACACATTGTAAGTTTACTTATATTTGTTTTTGTATGTTTGTTTCTCAATAACTCAGGAACTACTGAAGTGATTTTTATGAAATTTTGGAATATTATAGTTTAATTATTAAAATAGAAGATAAAATAGTTTTTGTATTGAAAAATTAATTATAAGGGTGTTAAATAGGTGATGAAAGTTGATATATAGATTAAATCACAGTTATAGTTATATAATTAAGTTCTAGATGGCAACGAAGTGTATTATAAGTAATTTAAAATAGTGTAGAGTTAAAATTTGGTTTTATCTTAGAGACAATTAATGTTTATACCCAAAAATTTATCAAAAAAGACAGGATTTTCAAAGAAACAAAAGAAAACATACCTTAATGTTTGTATTTTTCTAATTTTAGGTTAATGGTCGTCCATCTTGTCTTCCAAGCCTGTTTCTACTCTCTCCTGTGGTATGTTGTCGCTTGCTTGATCGGCACCACAATGACGAAAAGCGCAATGGTTGTTCCATTAGCTTACATCTTATTCTCCTTTTTGTAAAGAAAAATCCCCATCAACATCTACAATAATTTGTTTGTCATAAAAATTACACATGTACTAACTAATGTAATGCCTAATTTACTCGAATATTATTCATATTTTTGTATTATTCTTACAAAGTATTAAAACAATAAATAAACACATCAATCCTAATCTAAACGTGTATCAAATTAAAAACGGCACTTGTCCAATGTGTAATTATTATTTAATAACTTAGAGATTTTATTACGTGTTGCACATGAGCTGTATTGGATTTTATGCGTGTAAGTATCATGTTGTGCTACTACTACGTTTCGAATTGCGATTTGCACTGCTGTGTGTTGCAATGGATGCAATATTGCAATTGTTGCGACACGCGCAGCGCAGCGCACATTCTCGGTGCGCGCGGCGTGGAAAACGTGTTTCGTTGTTCGCTAAGTCGGCTTACAACGTAAATGTGTCTTTCGTGCGACTTGTATTATTTCACATTGCACTTTTCTGATGTGTTGATGGATGGATCATGCGCAATCGTTAGTTAATTAACAAATTTCTTTTATTTTTGAAATAAATTCGTAATTTTCGCGTTTTTACACCAAAAAAATATTTTTTTCATTATTAAAAAGTAAAATTTGATTTTTTTTGATAAATTTAATTAAATTTTCATTAAATAATTCAATTTGTGGTTGTATTTTCAACTGAATCAATTTTGCGTAATCACAAGTTATGCGATTTGTGAACATTTGCAATTTCACAGCGTGGAATGCAATTTTTCGCATCGTAGACATTTTCATTTTTTGTTCTCATTAATCGCCAGCCACAACCAAGTCCACTAATCCAATAAACCAATAATTATAATCGATTTACCTGTCAACCCAAACAACTTTCAAATGGTATTTCATACAAATTTGCATTAAATTTATGATTTTCAGGTGTAAAATGATTAATAAACGATGAATAATTGATGGTTTCTTAATTCTGTGCTCATTTCACGCGTGTTTTGTTATTTTTTCGATGTGCAATCAATGACCACAATGGTGTAATCCGAAAGAAAGAGAAAAGATGCGTTGAAGATTCCGGGGGCGACGCGAATCGGAGTGAAAAGTTTCTGTCGCTACTTGCAGCGCAGTGTGTGGCGAAACACGCGCCTGAGAAATATACCCGCGAAGCGCGCACTTGATTGCCATTTAACTAGTTGCTAATCACTCTTCGACGCGAGTGGACCACAACGCTCACAAAACAAAAAAACTTTGAAAAAGTTTTAAAATTAAAAAAAAAGTTTTTGTGAAAAATAAAAATGGAAAATCAGAACTATTCCAAAACGTAAGTGAATTGTTGTAATTTTAATTTTAAATTAATTTATTTGTGATTAATTGCAAATAATTAATTTATTGATTTATCCTTGTGAAAAATGTAAAACATTCAATATTTAATGACCACTCGCGGTATTAAATAGTCGTTAAGAAGAGATGTTTCTCATTGTTGCGGTCGTAATGACCGTAATGAGGATATGCATTACAAGCAGATAGATATGTACATATGTGAGTCGTTAATCTGAAGGGAACTTTACTTTTGCATTTTGCTGTGTGCATTGTCCAAGGTTTTCCTCTCGAATGCATTCATATTTGTTTTCGATGTAGACTTTTGTCGCGAAAGAAATTCGTTGCAAGTTTAACAAGCAAATGAATTTATGTTGCTGTAGTTAGAAATTGTTTAAAGTGGTATCAATCGATAGGTAATTTAATTTGCTATTTAAAATATGTATTAGTTATGGCGATATGGTTATTGGTTTAATTGTTATTAACAAAAAACTAAGTATTTTCAAATTAATTTCATTTTTTGCAAAGTTTACTTTGGCGTCTGATTAATTGAATATAAATTGATTAAAACTTATTAAATTAAGTATTGATAGATAGAGAATTTAATAATCTTTAAAATGATGTATAATTTATAAAATTCGAGTGATTAATTAATTATTTATAAATAAAACAATCAAATTTTTCATAATTCAAATTCAGTTTTTCTAATAAAACTTAAAAAGAAAACTTTGCTGCTCGATTATTTAACAACAAACAGTAGTAAACATATTATGTTTGTTACTAATTGATAGATAATTTAATTGGCTATCAAAACATGCAATATACAAGGTGTTTTAAACATTATTTTAGCCTAAATTTAAATTTTACTAAAATTTTTCACTAAAAATTCAAAATATACTTTACCTAACAACAAATTGCTTATAAACAATCAAAAAAATACCAAAAAATTATTAACTTATCCACAATCTATCTGTCTATACACAGGGCGTATCAAATTACCCAAATTTCTAACCACCAAAACAAAAATCGAAAGTTTAACTCAAAAAAGACAAAAAAATGAATTTTTCCCAAAATAAAGACTTAAATTACTTTCCACATGTTTAAAATTAATATTTTACCACCTAACATACTACACTTAATCATTTTCAATAATATCCTATACCGTTTTCTAAGAAAAAAAAACCTTGATGATTAATATTTCCCAAGATTTCGCCGCTTTAAACAGCCGCAGACACCTTGACAAAAAAACCAAGTACTTAGCTAACATGACAAGTGTCGCAATGTGTCGCGTTACCCATTCTTCGCAGATTAGTGCACGTTAATACAACACACATATTGATTCACAGTTAACACTCGGTGCTTAAAAATTGACCAATTTCTTCATTGTGTCAAGATAAAACATTTCGAGTGCGTTAGCCAAACATACCATCACATTATGCTAATATTGATCTAAGTAGTATTCCATCTCATCTCGCAATTCATCATGAAAATCTTCATTTTTGATCAGTCATCATCGCACAGGTTAAAATTCGTTTGATTGCGTATGAATAATCATCCAGACGCTTATTTTTATTCGAAATTAGTATTCAATTCGTAAACGTGTTAATTACCACGATAAATATTTTTTCTCGTGTGGAAACTTTGATTTTATTTCTATGCTTAACTTCAATGTCAATGTTTCAAGGTTTTTTAATGTTTAATTTAATTTAATTTGATTTTTTTGCGCTTTTAGTTATCGAGTTAAAGAAAAAACTTCGATTGTGAATTTTTATGAAGATAAGCATGTGTTGATAACAGGATCAACTGGGTTTATGGGTAAGGTGCTTGTGGAGAAGATTCTGAGGTCCTGTCCGAAAGTTGCGGCGGTTTATTTGTTGGTAAGGTCGAAAAAAGGGAAGGAATCACAGGAGAGAATTGAAGAGTTGACAAAAATTCCAGTGAGTATTACATAAAAATTTTGGGTTAATTTTGAGAAGCGATAACTTTTAAACTAATAAAGTAATATTTATGAAATTGTTGTCATTGAATAGATAATTTAATAATCTATCATATTATGTGTTATACAAAGTGCTGTTCGTACTACACTTTGTAGATATTAATGTTTTTGTAAAAATTGCAAGTTTTTAAAAGCTTTAAAAAGTCAAAAAATATTTACAACTTTGAAACAATATAACTAAGAAAATATTCGACCAAACTTTATCAAATTAGTATCAATTATAGATAATTTAATACTCTATCGAATGATGTATTATACAGGGTGTATCCTAATTTTTACTAAATTTAAAAATCATTTTTCCATAAAAAATCAAAAAACGACAACAAGAAAATCTAAAAACTTAAAATCCTTATAAAATTCTCCAGGATAACTCAAAATTACCCCAATAAACATAAAACAATCCCTAATTTAGCTCTCTTTATGTTCCATTAAAATCACTTATCTATCTAATAAACTTTTCTAGTTATTCGACAAAATTCGTAAACAATCAAACGCTGCATCTCTCCTCGACAAGCTTCACGCAATCAATGGCGATCTACTCAAAGCCAACCTGGACCTATCCAATGACGATCTACAACTTCTCCAAGATAAAGTAAACATCGTCTTTCACATGGCCGCCAATGTGCGCTTCGACCAGTCACTCAAAAGCGCCCTGTATCAGAACACAGGCGGGACTTTAGCTATGCTCAAACTCGCAGAAAGCTTCAAAAGTCTTCAGGCGTTCGTACATGTATCAACATCTTACTGCCACTGCGATCAGAAGATATTGGAGGAGAAGGTTTATGAAGTACCACATAACCCCAGGTAAAAAATATTTAAATAAAATATTAATTAATTTGGATTAAAATGAAATTAAATTAAATTTTGGAAAAAAATAGAAAAATGTTGGATTTGGTTTCCTGGCTGGATGAAGACCTCATAAAACTGCTCACACCGCAATTACTACAAAACGCACCGAATACTTATTCGTACACAAAGTGTTTAACCGAACAACTCGTCACGGAATATTCGAAGAAGATACCAGCGTCAATTGCACGCCCATCAATTGGTATATTACATTTTTCATTAAATAATAAATATAAAAACGTCTTCGATGGTTTCATGCATTAGCTAACATAAAGTTTCCTAAAAAGTTATAGGATGCCTCAAAGAACCTATCCCCGGATGGATAGACAATTTCAACGGCCCTGTGGGTCTATTAATCGGAGCAGGCAAAGGTGTAATACGTACAATGCATGGAAATCCAAATCTCACCGCGGATTTGGTTCCAGTGGACACGACAATCCGAGGATTGTTGTTAATCAGCAAGGAGACACATGAAAGAAGTTTAAACATAAACACACAAATGGATACGATTAATACAGGACCATTGGTTGTAAATTTAACATCAGGAAAAGTATTTGATAAACAAACAAATTTTAGATTAAAAAATGATTTTTTTTTTGTTAATTTTTAGGATAATCAACTGACTTGGGGTGATTTAATCGCGTTATCAAAGAAACACTTCCTTGAAAACCCTTTCTCGATTTGTCTATGGTATCCAGGAGGCAGTATAAAGACAAATTACTTCTTGCACGTGATTTGTGTGTTTCTATTTCACGTTATACCAGCTTATCTGGTTGATTTTGTTATGATTTTGATGCGAAACAAACCATTGTAAGTGTTTTTTTCGTAACATTCTTTGTATTTATTATTTTTAATGTTTAAATGTTTTAGCCTGGTCCGTACACAGAAAAGAATCCAAGGAGGTCTTGAAATTCTCCAGTATTACACCCGCCGGCCGTGGCACTTTCGCAATGATAAGATAAAAGCGCTTACTGCGAATTTGAATGATGAAGAACGCAAAATCTTCGGCGTTGATTACATGGAAATCGACTGGGAAACGTATATACTTAATATGGTGCATGGTGCACGTTTATATTGCATGAAAGAATCACCGGATACTTTACCACAAGCACGTAGATTATTAAAAAAGTACGTATAAATTAATTAATTATTTAAAACTTTGAAAAATCAAAAGTCAAAAAATATTTACAACTTTGAAACGAAATAACTTTGAAAATCTTTGACCAAATTTGATCAAATTTATACCAATTGATAGATAATTTAATAATCTATCCAACAATGTATCATACAAAGTGATACTATTAGTAATTTTGGCATTATTAAATATTTAACAAAAATTGGTAATTTTTAAAAATTGTTGGCAAGTTCAAAAGACAATAACTCCTAAAATATTTGATCAACTGATACTAAATCAGTATCAGATGATAGATAAATTAATTGTCTATAAAATGATGTATTATACAGGATATATCATGACTTTTACTATAGTTAATAATAATTTTAACATAAAAAAAATCTAAAATATATTTATTTCTATGTGAATAAAATGTTTCTGATTTATTATTTCAGATTATACTATTTAAATCTGTTGAAGACTATCCTTCTAGTCGGTTTCGTAGTGTATCTACTCTGGACTATCGCTCCGTTTATCAGTGAAACAACAACAACTTTGCTATCGTTGAATATTTAGTTTCGCATTTCGCATGAAATCACACGAAATTCACTAACAGTACACATCGCGCCATCTAGCGCTGGCACATGTTACCCTATATTTAAATTAACATTATTGTACACTAAAAACACATAGAAATATAATTTATACTATAAATTGTTTTATAAAATGTAATAAAGTTTAATAATTTTACGTATTCCAAGTGTTTTTCTTAATATATCTTGTAAAAAATCAATAATTTAGTGTGTGTCACCCCTAGTTCAGTATGTTAGGGATGCTAGGGATGTTAAAAGTATCCAGGTTAGCCCGGGATGCTGGATACATCCCCAGATTGCTCCCTTTTCGTACAATCAGCTGTCGTTTCTCATCTAACACACATCACAACCCTAAAATATAGAATAATCATTATAAAGTCGACTATTTTGTAAACTTTTACTCTTCACGCACCTTAACACAACTAAAAATAAATAAAAACTAATAAAAAAGAAACAAAATAAATTAATTGTTGTGTTGACAATGTCAAAACTATCAAAATTATTAAATTATCAGTGAAAACTCATCATGTAACATGTAACACATTCAAATTTATGTTTTTCATTCATTAAAACTCTAAAAATCATTAAAAATACTAAAAACACGCAAAAAATATTTAAAAACATGAAAAGAAACATTATGGAACGTTTTACTTTCAAAAAAACAAAAAATTTTACTCTTTTTACCAATGGATTCAAAAATAATCACAAAACAATGAAAACTCATTAAATTCTAATAAAAAAAATGGGGTATATCAAAGGGATACCTTACATTATCCTATGGTTCAGCAGTATTTTTGCTGGTAAGTACGAATTTTGCTCTAAAAACAAAAAAATTGTTTTTAATTTAAATTTTATAATTATTTTTAGGCTATGCAGGATTTTTCTGTCCCCTGTTACCCCTAATGTTTATCTCTAACAAGTGGTACAGACGTGTCACCGACTTCCTGCTCACTTTTTGGCAAATGTATCCATCGGCATTGTTAGAATTTATCCACGGCTGTGACATTCATGTGACTGGCGATGCTATTAACGCAGATGAAAATATTCTGTTGGTTATGAATCATCGCACGCGTACCGATTGGAATTATCTGTGGCCGGCGGTGTCGAAAGCGACAATCGGGAGGAATCGATGGATGTATCCTACGAAATTTGTGCTTAAGGATCCTATTAGACATGTACCAGGAGTAGGCAAGTGAATTTTAGTTACATTTAAAATTATTTGCGCTTTAAATAAGTTTTAAACTCAAAAAAGCAGAATTTGATAGGAAAATTAACTTTCATCCCTTATTTCACACCCTTAAAATGTTTTTCCCGCGATAAAAACTAGTTTATGTTTTAATATAGTATATAAACTATAATATTCCAAAGTTTCATCAAAATCGGTTGAGTAGCTTTTGAGTAAAACAGCAACAAACATACAAATAATATAATATTGGCTTTTATACTGTGAATTTTACTAATATATTTTATTTTACCAGGATGGATGATGCAACTAGGAAGTTATCTCTACATTAAACGCCACTGGGAAGAAGACCAAATAAAAATGGCGAAAGCAATCGATTTCTTCACGGAACTAAACACAAAATTCAGTTTGTTGATATTTCCTGAAGGCACAGACCTCACACCACAGACCAAAGCAAACAGTGATAGATTTGCAGATAAAATGGGACTACCAGTAAGTCAACTTTGAAACAATGTACTATCTACTTAGTAACCTATATCCTATTTTTAGCATTATGACCACGTTTTACACCCAAGAACAACCGGCTTCTGCTACCTAGCCAAAAAAATGCTTGAAAAAGGCACTCTGGACGCAATTTACGATGCAACCATTGTTTATGTTGATAAAACACCACAGAATGAGAAATCTCTAGTCAATGGCAACGTACCAAAACACATCTGCATACATTTCAAGCGGTAGGTACTAAATATAACCTCAAACCTAATTTCAAATAAATTAAATAAAAATTTTGAGAGTTTAAAAATTATTGGCAACTTCAAAACTGAATAACTCCTAAAATATTTGATTAAATTTCACCAAATAAGTACCAATCAATAGATAATTTAATTATCTATAAAATAATACATCATACAGGGTGAATCATAACTTTCTCAACACTTAAAACTAATAAAAACAATAAAAACCTTCAAATATTGCAGATACAACTACGGCGAATTCAATGCATCAGAACAATCACTCCAAAAATTCTTAGAAACCCGCTGGAGCGAAAAAGAAGCACTCCTCGCCGATTTCCAAAGCTCTGATCGTCGCACCCTGTACGATTCCAAGATGGAAATGCGCGTACGCCCCTATACACGCAACTTTCTACTCGCGTTAATCTTCTGGACACTACTACCCTTCCCAGTCGGGTATTTTCTATACACATGCCCCACTTTTAGATACATTGTAATAGCACACACAATATTTCTGTTATCCGTTAATATTCTATCGGATGGTTTTCAATCTGTGGAAATCGGCGTGCATGAAAGCAAGAAACGCGTTCGAAGATTATTCGTACATGAACATCATGATAATTAACAATAAACAATCAATTAAACTATTATTAATATTTATTTACATGTTAAATGGATTAACATGCAAATAAAAACTAAATTATTAATAGATTTGTAGTATATTATTAGTAGTATAATGCGGCGGGTTCAAAGACCATTTTAAATTTAAAATGAAAAAAGAAAATATTGAAATATTTAAACAATTTAAACAATTACAGATCGATGTGATGTATTCTTGTATGTATATTGTATTGATGTATTTTTCGATGTCGTCTTTTAACAACTTTTAGTCCTGCTAGTCTATTTTATGTACAAAAAAACCTAACCTAACCTAAAAATATTTACGATGTGAATTCAAGGTGCCAAACATAAGAATAATTATTCTTAGAATAATTGTTTGATTAATAACTTAAGTACTTAAAGAATTGTTTAAAGAGTAGTTTGTGTAATGATTGTGCAATATGATTGTGCAATTTAGTAAATGCGTAAATTATAACCATTCCATTGTATTACGAAAATTGTTATCAGTTAATAATCACAGCACCGTAGTAAATATTCCATGCACAAAACTAAAAACACTGAAAAATGTATAAATAGTTTTAAAGTAAATAAATCCACCCCTGGAACAAGGAAATTCCCCGCGTTTTTTATAGTATTAAACATGATTTATACATTTTATACTTTATAATTTATGTAATGAGGACAATTAATTATTTTTACATTTTCAGGCGTTTTTTGTGAAAATTTCCTGGATATAAATACACGAAAGTTTAAGTTTAACACAGTAGTAATTTTTTAAAATGTCAAGTGTAGCTACTTCGTGCTACGACGACGCATGCGCAGCTAATTTAAGTCAATGGTCCGCGTTGTTATTTTTGCAGTTGGTTAATAGTTTATCATCGCGGAAATGTACTTTTATGCAAACTAAGTTTCCGCAAAATGTTCAGTCTACAATCAAAGATGGCGACGTTTATGACTTTATTGTGATAGGGGCAGGTACTGCGGGGAATGTTGTAGCTAACAGGCTAACAGAAAATCCAAAATGGAAGGTGTTAGTGTTGGAAACAGGAAGTTATCCTATCGCAGATACAGAAGTAAGTAAAATAATGAAGAAAAAGTATTTAAGTACTATTAGTATTGTCACATGTACCTATGGTAATCATATGGGAGCGAGCGACAATACTAATTTTATGCAAATGTATTCTAGCACTGTTTAGTACAGTATTATATGGAAGAAATGCCATTGGTATTGTCACTTGTCCCAATAGAAATTATATGACTACAAGCGACAGTACTTATTATATGCCAATATAATTTCTTATAAAAAATGTATCAAAACGACAATAAATGCAACACAAATACTATTGGTATTGTCATATATGCCAATGAAAATCATATGACCACAGACGACAATACCAACTATTTTACACAAAATCAAAGCAATACTATAAGTATTGTCACTTGTACCTATACTAATCATATGTCCACAAACGACAATTCTAATTATATGCAATTACATCATCCCCAGATACCCTTCATGTACTTTGGAGTACACACCGACGAAATAAACTACATCTACAACACAGAAGTAGCCAACAATTCCTGTCAAGGCTTCAAAGGTGACAGCTGCGTCTGGCTAGGCGGAAAAATCCTCGGAGGCTCCTCCACCATCAACACCATGATGTACCTCCATGGTCAACGAGCAGACTACGACGCCTGGGAACTCCTCCACGGCGCAAAGAACTGGCGCTGGGGAGAAGTCTTGAAATACTTCAAAAAATCCGAAAACACCACCTATCCACCCTACAGAAACTCATCCTACCATGGTACCACAGGTCCCTACACCACAACCCTCACCGTAACCGAATTCAACGTGCGGAACATCCTCTACGAAGCCGGGAATGAAATCGGCTTGCAAAAAATCACAGATGACAGCTACCCACAGATAGGAATCTACGACTCCCTCTTATCCACAGAAAATGGAAGGAGGTTAACCACAGCAGACGCCTTCCTAAGTAAATACAAAGACAGAGAGAACCTATTCATGTCATTAGAAACATCAGCATCCAAAGTATTATTCGATAAGAATAAAAACGCGATTGGAGTACAAGTGAAGACATCTACCGGAGAATTAATCAACCTACGAGCTAAGAATGAGGTTATAATCTCAGCTGGTACCATAGTCAGTCCACAGATACTCATGCAGAGCGGGATAGGCGATCGGGACCATCTAACAAAATTCGGGATCAAGACTATTGTTAATCAGAAACACGTCGGGATGAATGTCAAAGACCACCTGGCTACATTCCTCCTACTAATCAGGGTTGATGCTGAAATTGAAGCCGGGTTGAAATCCAAGATGGATTCCGCTTACGAGTACTTCCAGCATAATGATGGAAGTTATTCTGGGATAGGTTTAGTAAGCACTACGATATTCGCCAACACCAGGGACCCAAATGCTACTCTACCGAATATCCAGGTTCATTTAACAGAATACCGTCAGAATGATGACTTCCTACTCCCGAATGTCCTCAATGGTATGGCTTTCTCTGAAACAGCAAGCGCGGCCATCTTGGAAGCGAATAAGAACTCTGTGTTGTTCAGTTTTGGGGTTACGTTGCTCTATCCGAAGAGTACAGGTCTCATCCGGTTGAATTCAACGGACCCTTTTGCATATCCATCGATAACAACAGGATATTTAACGGATCCGGATGATATAGAGGTATTGTTGGAGGGGATTGAATTTGGGAAGCAGTTGATGTCTACCGAGGCGTTCAGGAGATACAATGCTGAGTATTTGAGGTATCAGACGGATAATTGTGAAGGGTTTGAGTATGATACAAGAGATTTCTGGGTTTGTTTCTTGAGGGATTATGCGGGGAGTATTTATCATCCAACGGGGAGTGTTAAGATGGGTGGGGGTAAAAGACCGGATTCAGTTGTTGATGAAAAGTTGAAGGTTATAGGGGTTAAGAAGTTGAGGGTGGCTGATTGTAGTATTATGCCGGATATTGTTGGGGGGAATACAATGGCGCCGGCGGTTATGATTGGTGAGAAAGCTGCGGATATGATTAAAACAGACTGGGGGTATCCTATTACTCCTTTGAGTTAATGATAGATAATAGTATAAGTATTGTCATGTGTGCCTATAGAAATTATATGGGCATATGCGACAGTACTTATTATATGCAAATGTATTGTAACACAGTTTAATAGAGATTTATATGGAAGAAGTCCAATAAGTATTGTCACTAGTGTCTATTGAATTCATATGGAGGCGAGCGACATTACTAATTATATCCAAGTGTGATTTTTTCTTAAAAAGGGGTCCAAACCGCGACACTACTAAATATTTGCAAATAAATAAATACCATAAGCAATTACATCTTGGAATTAGATAATGTTTTACTATAGACTTTTAATATAGAAAACTGTAATGAATTGTTTTATTTTACATGCAGAAATCTGTCGAGTTGCATGATCTGCACATGCTTTCCTTGTTGTATTGCAAGTGTGACTTGCAGAAATCATCAGCGGTGAGCATACAGCTCCTGTAGATAATTTTCTGTCCTTCAACGCCATCTACAACGCAATTATATAAGTATTTCATACCATATACTACTATATAACCTCTAAAATCAAAAGTATCTTACTGTATGGTTGCATAGAATACGTAACACATGCAGGGTATAACTTCATCGGTTGGAAACAACCAAGACGTTGCATTTTTTTATAGTGGCTTTCAGTTGTGGTACCGTCTTCTTCAGTGGTAGCTTCTTCTGATGTTGCTTGAACGCCATAGGGGGCGTCGTAATCGGGCGCTTCGCATTTCACTTCAACACCGGCGGATTTCACGCCTTTTGCGCAATCACTCATTTCGGATCCGGAGCATTCGTAACATTTCAATGCGATTGATCCGGAAACTATTGTTTAAATAAATAAAATAATTAAAGTATTAAATTTTAAGTAAATAATACGCGGAGATAAAGTCGCAAGTACAAAGTGGTATACTTTAAATGCAAAAATGCCAAAAAATGTTTGTTTGTTTCGCTTTCACGCGGAAACTACTCAACCGATCATTATGAAATCTTGTATACTGATTTCCAAAGATATTACGAAGAATATAGGATATTTTTTGTTTAAAAAATAACAATATTTTACCCGAAAATTAAAAAAAAATTCAAAATCTTCAAAATTTTTAAATAAAAACTGAAAATTTTAATAACCAACCACTTTTCTAATTAAAAACTAAATTATTCAAACAAAATAAACAGTTTATACGTACTAATTGTGAATAGAAGCACAATAGATGCACAAACAAACTTCATTTTGATGATTTACACACAAATATAATTCGCAAACTTGTTTCGAGGATGTTTTTAGCACTTGTGATGCAGATTTATGCCGAGATTGTGTTTATATACGCGTCAATCGGCACCGTAATTGATGGCAACAACAGACCCGCATGTTTTATTCCACGTTACCATCATTTTATGGCAAGAAATATAAATTCCCAGCTAATAATACGCCTCTGAATGAAATGATGATTGAAACATCACGAGTAGATTTACAATTTGTTGATGATAGCTACACAACAGGAAACTCCAGCACACGTGTGACGTATGAAAATCGCGCGAAATTTCGTGACCCGCCATCAATAACAACGCCAAAGAGACAAATACACGAGCAGAGAGAATAGATGCATTCCGAAAGCATCACGCAATACGCAAATGACAATAGATTTAGCAGTAAACAGGATTAAATTAGATTTTTAGCGATTTTGTTTTTGTTTTTGTGTTTTTCTGGTGCAAAATAAGAGAGAATTGTATGGTGTTGAGGGTATTCCTGATGCCCGTAGGTGTCACTGGAAAAACACACAATTAATCAGACACTAACGATGGAATTACGTGCGCGTGCTGAAATTGTTTAACAATATTATTGCAACAATAAATACGACCGCGGCGGATCGGACTGCTAATTTCAATTTCAAGGTGATTCGGGCGAGCTCATTACATCATTTGCGTTTTCGAACATTATTTATGGCTGAGCAGTAAATTATTTACTAAATAATGTTAGAATATACAGTGTATTCTTGTTTTAACGTTATTTGTACTACAATCTGGATAAAAGCAAATTAATTTGGTTTATCGCGTGAAAATGTTTTGAAAATACCAGTTATATTAATTGTTAATAATTTTTCAACGTTTTTTGCGTTTATTTTAATAATAATTTGAAGATTTCTGATAAAAATTAACTTTTTCCTCTTTTTTGGCTTGAAAATAATTAGTATTGTCACATAAGCCTATTATAATTATATAGGGACGTGCGACAGTACTAATAGTACTAGTATGAGCACTAGTATTGTCGCATGTGCCTATTGAAATCATATATCCACATACGACAATACTAATTTTATGCAAATGCATTGTTAAACTATTAATATGGAAATAAATTAATGAAATAGCATTAGAATTGTCACATATACCTATAGAAATCATATGACAACATGCGACAATACTAATTTTATGCAAGTGCATTGTAACACTATTAATATGAAAATAAATTAAAGAAATGCCATTAGTATTGTCACTTGGGCTTATAGAAATCATATGCCCACATGCGACAATACTAATCAATTACTAATTTGTAAAACACAATAAAATACTTAAATTCATATTTTTTACGTGAAAAAAAACAAAAAATAGCTTAAAAATCCCCAAAATTTATCTAAAATATTATCCTAACACGACATTTCCTTCGTGTGCTAACATCTAGAGGTTATACCGCCTCTGGTCGGTTGCACTAAAACCGCATGACCTAACCTCATAAAACCTAATGAATTTTGATTGCTTTGTAACATTCAAACGTCCTCAACAATTAAAACCGCAATAAAATAAACAAACAACCACTTAATACTAAAATACTTCAAATACCACAAGATAAAAATAGATATAAATACTATCTTGAAACAAAAAAGAAAACGCATTTTCAAACGTGAAAAATGAGTTGTTCTGGCGGATTAACAGACGCATGTCCACTTGGACTAGCTGGAGAGTCCTCCACGTTAATGTTAACTCTATTAAACACATTACTAGCAGCAAAATGCAGCTTTCCAGGCCCTGAAGCCTTCCCAAAGAACGTAGCTACTACTCTACAAGATGGCGACCGCTATGACATGATCGTGGTTGGCGCTGGAAGCTCCGGCGCTGTTGTCGCCAACCGCCTGAGTGAAAACCCACATTGGAAGGTGTTACTACTCGAAGCCGGTGGATATCCTAACTCAGATACACAGGTAAATCAAAAAATCTCTATAAAAACACAAAAAATTGAAAAAAAATGAAATTAAAACAAATAGATCCCGAATTTATACTTTGGAGTGCATGGCACCGACAAAAACTGGCTCTATGTCCTTGAGAAGGTCAACACATCATGCAAAGGTTACGTGAATGGCCAATGCAACTGGATCGGTGGTAAACTCCTAGGAGGTACCTCCACAACAAACACAATGTTATACGTCCGGGGATTCGCACAGGACTACGATGGATGGGCTAACAGTGGGAATAAAGGATGGTCATGGGCGGAAGTAATGCCCTATTTCCTGAAATCAGAAAATGTCACCTGGGAGAAATACTTCAACAACCCATTTCACTCCCGTGGTGGTCTCCTAACCACATCCTATCAAAGAAGTGATTTTAATGTGAGGAACATCCTCATAGAAGCAGCCAAAGAAATGGGATATCCTATAATCAACGATTACGAACATTTGGGTCTATTAGAAACACTTATGACTGTACAAGATGGCCGAAGGGAAAGCACAGCGTTCGCGTTTCTATCCGAGATCAAAACCAGGCCTAACCTGCACATTGCAACCGACGCGCATGTCGGTAAAGTAGTTTTCGATAGACACCGACGGGTGAAAGGCATCACAGTGCGTATCCAGAATAAAACACTGAATATTCACACAAAAGGTGAGGTTATCATCTCTGGGGGAGCTATACAATCACCACAATTACTTTTAAACTCAGGAATAGGTCCAAAAAGTCATTTAAAAGATTTCGAGGTTAGGAATATAGTGAATCTACCAGGAGTTGGGGAAAATCTACAAGATCATCTCGCTACTTTTTTATTATTGGTGCAGTTAGATGGCGCTGCTGAAGCCGGGTTGAAATCACGCCTAGACTCAACATATCAGTACTACACGACGAATACAGGACACTATACATCCGTAGGAGTAACAAATTTAGTGTATTTCTTAAACACAAAGAATCGCAGTGCTGAATTCCCGAATTTACAAATCCATTTCATGGAATACCGCATGAATGATGACTTTTTACTACCCAATATGTTGACAGGTATGGGTTTCTCCCAAAAAGCCGGAAAAATCGTCATGGATGCCAACAAAGATTCAGTTTTATTCACCCTGGCATTAACATTATTATATCCAGACAGTCGTGGTAAAGTCCAGTTGGGTTCCAAGGACCCATATGCCAACCCTAAAGTATTTTCCGGTTATTTAACAGATATGACAGAAGCTGATATAGATATCCTACTAGATGGCGTTAGATTCGCTCAAAAAATGCTCAACACAACAATATTTCAAAAATTCAACGGAAAATTCATCAGATACCCGACCATATCCTGCGATGGGCATGAATACGACTCGGATGACTTCTGGCGGTGTTATTTCCGTGATTATTGCGGTGGGATCTATCATCCTGCAGGCACTTGCAAGATGGGACCAAAAAGTGATCCTGAAGCTGTAGTTGATGAGAGATTGAGAGTGTATGGAGTGAAAGGTTTGAGGGTTGCGGATTGTAGTATTATGCCGAAGATTGTCGGCGGGAATACACTGGCCCCGGCGGTTATGATTGGTGAAAAAGTCGCGGATATGATCAAGGAGGATTGGAATGTGCAAAGGGATGCACTGCCGAAATATACAGGGCGATACTAACTAGGAATAGGAATAGTTTATTTGCTAGAATAGTCGAATTTGTACAACAGCATTGGGTGCATTGGTAAACAAAATTTCTGTCAATAAAAAACGTCTCACACCGTGAAGAAAACGAACACAATATGTGTGTATTTAAATTCTAACCTATACTGACCAGGTTAATGTAGTTAATCCCCTTTTTCGGTCATCTACTATCTGCCTATGTGTTACTTATCCTAACCTCAAAAATGTGCTACTGGAAGCATACATTTTTAATCTTCTTTTAAATTTTTAATTAATTCTTTGTTTCAATTCTTTGTCAGTCATCTCAATACTTTTTATAGTATAGTATTATTACTATTTACCTTTTTCACTAGATATCTACCCCGGCTATTTTGTTATTTGTTGTTTTTGTTTCTAGTTTTTATTCGGTGTGAGCGTGTTCTACAACTTTGGGTCGCGTTGCCTTGACGGCCATGCGTAGCAAGGGTCCGTAGAGGAATCCCCATGGGACAAAGAACCAGATGCCCATGTAATGCACCGCGCGGAACACCGGCCAGTAGCGGTCGAAGCTGAAAAGTGAAAAGGGGGCTAAGCACCATCCCATGAAGACCAGCGTGTATAATCGCATGAGGATGTAGAGTAATACTCGTACTGGGAGCGGTTCGAAATATTTGCCCAGGTGGGGATTTTTGGCGAAAATTGAATGAATCTGAAATGTTAGAAAATAGAATATAGATTGTAGGTAGAATATTATCAGTGGTGATACTGCAATACTAAATAACTGGATAAATTAGAGAAATTTCAAATTTCAACGCTTTTTCGCCTATTTTTGAGGTTAAAAAGAATTTGTCTGTATTTAGTATTGTCACCTAAGCCTATGGAAATTATATGATCACGGACGACAATACTAACAATGTGCAAGCGTGATTTTCCGTAAAATATGTATTAAAACGCGATGCAAGTTACATTGGTATTGTCACTTGTACCTATAAAAACCCTATGACCACTAACGACAATACTAACTATATACAAATGCATTATAACACAAAATTTACATTAAAATCGGCGTAAAACCGCAAGATTTCGTAATTTCCTTAATAAAATTTTACCGTCGTTATAAAGTAATTACAGTTATTAAAAATTGCAGTATCACCTTTATAATATTTACTAATACTTACATCTCTCTCCATAAACATAATAATAAACTCAAAGAAGAACGACACATAGTATCCAGTATGGAACCCATGCCAGACCGCAAGGAATAACAACACTGATAATTGACTGACGTAACGGTTATTCATGAATTTCATACGCTTGTAGATGTATTGCGCCACCCAGTTATTCGTATTCGTATTGAACGACTGAATGTAATGATTAAACTCGGTGGAATTCTCGAATTTCGCCAGGTCAACATTCGACACACCGTCCCATTTAGCGTTACCTTGCGCATCTTTACCGTTATATGTTAATCCTAACATAAAAAACACATTAAAATTAAAATCTATTTATAAACAAATAGAATAAAAATAAACACTTACCAAACATAATACAAGCACCCTCTGTAAGTAACCAGCAGGAAATATATTTATACAAAACAATCCTACCCCAAACACCCAGGAGTAACGCCCTCTTCCAAAATGGCGCCGATGCATAATCATCCGAGAGTAAATAATCATCATTCACATAGATATTCACAACATGAAACAGCGCCACGTATCCAATACCCAAAAACAAACGTCTTGTACCTGCGGCGATTGAATTCGGCGGTTTTGATTTATCACCCTTAAAATAACCACAATAAAAATTAATTTTCACAAAAAAAATTAAAATAATCACCTCGCTGAATTCACCAGCGACAAAACTCTGATACCGGCGCATATTAAACTGTGGCCCGATCATATAACAAGTCGGAAAGAACATATGCCCGCCGTATTCCAGAAAAGTCGGGCGTGTTTTCAACGCCACACGTTTATTCTGCGCACCGAGACTCTCCTCCGGTTGATTACCATCATACAGATCAAAAGACAGTCCGATTAGACGCAGGACAAGCACGCATTGTGGCAAAGTCCAGTTAATATCATAATCATTGGTGCTTGAATAAACATATCCTACAAAAACATAATTTATGTGAATATTAATTGAGTTTTTGTTGGTTTTATGTAAATTACCTATCAATAAATAGGCCATGTTGAAAACAAATGATATGGCCACACAGGTAGCTGTCCCTCGAAAGATGACAAGTGTAAGATAGGAGAATACCACTGTGAATGCAGAGTGTAAACTCTCGAGGCCATAGTTGAAGAATCCAAAGGATAATCCACTAATAATGAAGTACAAGTGTTGCAGATTCGCTGGTTTGCCATGGATGAAATTCCTGTGGATCAATGCCAGTGGATAGCCTAAAATAAAACAACATTAGTGATGAATTGCATTAATAAAATAAAATGTTTAATTTTTTCTTATTTACCTGCTAGTAAAGTAATTAATAAACGTAGCGCTGCTTCAGTTGATCCTATAGAGGCACTAAGACTAGCAATTAAACCTTCTGGAGGTGATGAAGATGTCTCCATGTTAATATTGAGTGGATTTGTTGATTTAAACACGCTTATCGAATGTTGATAAACTCGGAGAAATCGCCAAATGTGTGGATTTATCGCAGTGTGGCCTTAATAAAAGTGCTGCGTGTGTTTCTCTAACATTTTACGTTTTTCGAAAGTCACCGCAGCCGCAATGCAGCACGCACCGGCGTGGGGCGCACGAGCAGACACGAGAGCAACGAGAATTTCGTGGTGGCGTGTTCGGAGACGCGTGGGAGACGAATTTAATCAGCTGTAGTATGGACTGTCACACTACACTTTATAATCGATAAAAATTTAGTGTATGCAACCAAGTATACACCAGCAGCCATTTTATATTTCTACACATTTTTATTTTACAATAAAAACAAGAAATATTTGATTTAAAGATGAAAACAATGCGTGAATTATTTTTATTCATTTATTAATTAATTAATTATTTAGTAATTAATCAAACATTCAATTGTTCCGCAATAGTATGTTGTAGTTTTGTATTTTTATTTTTATTTCATTTCCCATTTTCATAATTTTGTAGTGTTTTTTTCATATTCGTCGGTTGTTTTTTTGTTTGTTTTATTCTCTTCACTTGCATGTGTTGTGTGTGTTGTTGTTAGTTAATCGTTATTTGTTACATTTTGTGTGTGTGTTTTTGTTTTGTTTGCTTATTCCATATTCCTTAAATGTATTATTTATTTATTATTATTTATATCGAGACAATCGATAGCCGATATATTCCAAAAACTGAAGTACCAACGGAAATCAATGGCCGCCGGTGGCTGGTTCGTTCGCCGGTGACGCCATCTTGCACGCTCAAAATAACAACTCGAAATGGTGGCGAACGAACGAACACGCGTACACGAAACTCAAGAGACGAAGACAATCAGAAACGGCGTAGAAATATAAATATAAACATTACGTAAGAGATTGTATTTTTCATCATCATCATTGTGTGAATGTCAGTGTGAGGTGGGATGCAGATGCGAATAGCGATACTTTGAGGTTAAGAGATATTAGATGAATGAACATGCGTGTTTATGTAGTGTGTGTGAGTGTGAATATTTATATTTGCGCATGGGCAGCGCTCACCTTCGCTCTGGCGAACGCAACGCATGCCGCCATCTTGTCACAAAAACGTAAAATACAAGATAAATGCGCACGCAAGACAGGCGTTTGGTTTTTTGTTTTTGTTTTGTGTGTTCATCTCCCACATTTGTTTGTTTAAATGTAATATAAGAAGTAATAAGTATTAAGTAATAAGGTTAAGGTTACGTTTTTCTTTTGTTTGTTTTTAGTTTTTTGTTTTTTAGTAAAAATGGCAATATTATAGCTAGCAAATAGTTTTTTTTTGTGTGTTTTTCATCTCTTATTTTATACGTCCATCGACATTTTGTGTGTTTTGCGTTAATTCATCAAGATCTGGTTTTGGTTTCCAGCTACAACTACAACATGGCGGGTCGGCCATCTTGGTTTGTGCTTCCGTAGGATGATGAATGCATAATGATATCTCCCGCTGTCTGTCTGTTTTTTTCTTTACTTGTTTTGCACTACGCTATTTGTTTTCTTTTTTTCTTTAATAGTAGGTTAAACATTCATACGACTTGTTTCACTTATACATATTTTTCATATTTGCATTTTTGTTTTTTTTTTTTATCATTTATATATCTGCTCCACGTCTGCATCGGCATCTTATTTCTCTGTCGGCTAATGCGTTCACTTACAATTTTAGTATAAAAAAATTGTCAGTGTTGTTCTCTTGTTTGACTTGTGAGACTGTAAGAGGGCGTGTCCGGCGTGTGTAGTACATGTGTGTGTCACTATCAATATTAAAGTAAGGTTAGGATAAGTTACGTGATGTTTTGTTTCCCCCATCGTCTTTAATTAATTACTCGTAGTTGTAGTTAAGTACGCGATATAAAAACCGAATATATCTTATTATATGTGTGTGTTTCAGTGTGTGTGGTGGGTTGCGTGTCGGCATCATGGACGCCATGACTTACAACCGCGCGCGCGCATGCGTGTTAGGTGTTTATGTGTGTGTAAGTGTATGGGATCTGTTTCGCTTTGTGCCCGAGGGGATTAGTGGAGTAGTAGAGTGTGTGTTGCGTTTTATTATAATTATGTTCCTGCATGTTTTGCTTATTTGTTACACCCGCTATGAATTAACGCTAATGACGTGTGTGTATCCGACACCAATCGTACATCATGGCCGCCACAGCAGCAAGCTGCGCGCACGCGCATCTCCAACAACAACAACTTCAAAAAGTGTGGCGGAAAACTTATGAGCCCTAGTGAGATGTTTCGCAGTGCGTTTTTTTTTTCATCTTGTTTCGGTTGATAGCGAGAAAAGCCGCGCGTTTGTACCCCACGGACTCCATGGGTTAAATTTTCTTAATTAGAAGCGCTTTTTCGTGTGCCGGCGGTGTGCCAAACGCGCGGCCGCTGAACACAAAGTCACACATGCGCACCGGGGAAACAAGTCACAAATATTAAGTTTTTCACACACCTTCGCTGCGAAAAATTCATCGGCTGTCAATTTACACAAATATTAAACAAAAACAATAAAAGCTTAATAATAATAATAATAATAAACGTAATAAAATTAATTAAGACATTTATGTAGTTTTTATTGGTTATTTTCCACTTTTCGCATGAAATCTCGGATAATAATAGCAGTTCAAATAAATGCTCGACTGTTTTTCCATCGCAAGATGGCGCTCGTGTGACAAACGCGCGCGCGCGGAACATTCACGGAAATAAAAGCGAGAATAAGTGTGCGTGCGCATATGGCACGTGTATAATGTGTATGTATGTATTTTGTGTGTTCGCATGCTCGCATGAAAATGCTTTCGGTGAGCGCGCTCATCATAAATTAAAATCATAATAATAATAGTATAATAACGACTAAAAACGACTTATAAATATAAAGCTATTACTTATTGATGGGATAAGATAGCAAATTCATAATCACCTAACTCCTCTATAGGTTAGACTTCAATTTCTTTTCATTTTCATTCTCTGAACGTTGTTTAAGATTATAAAACAGTAACGACGACGACACGAATATAGTAAATGATAACGACAACGACGACACAAAATGCTAGCAATCGTTTCCTTGTAACTCGTTTCTCGGTAAAAACTAAAAAGATTAAAAACGAAATCAAACACTTCACATACACACACAAAAAAAAAACCTATAAAAAAAACAAAACAATTAAAAACCAGCTTTTGGTGTTTTTCTCGGGTTTGTAGGGTGGTGGAGTGGGGGTAAACATAACTCAAGAGAAGAACACGATGATGACAACCGATCAATTTTCGTCTGTAGTTTGTTTTGTGTTTCGCTTTGCTTTGCATTGCATTGCGCAAGCGCGCGCGCATTGTGCTGCTGTCTGTCGGTCGGTTGTCGTATTTTTAATAATATTTTTGGTATCTTAATAGTTTTTGTTTCCTCCTCCTCTCCTCTTTTTTATATTATCTCCTCCGTGTATCCTGTCCCGCCTGTTCCAGCATCTGAATCTTACGTGTCTGTCTGTCTGTTATCTCTGTATAGCCTTAATTAATCCTGCCCGGTGGTTGATTTTGCCTACTATCAGCGCGCCTAGAAAAATGTCGAATCTCGGTGTGCGGCGGCGGCGGAGGGTGTGTGCTGCTGCTTTTGTTGGGGGGGAGTGGAGTGGAGGTGGTGTGCGGTGAATGGGGGCGTTTGTGTGACCCGCTTAGTTCCAGATGCGCAGGAAGCTGTCCCACGAGCCGGTGCCGACCGCCATGCCGTTGTCGGTGACGCCCAGACAACTCACTCGATTGTCGTGACCAGCGAGAATACCTAACATATATTATATGGTGAATAATAATAATAATGGATTTAAATTGAGGTTAGGTTGGTATGTGTTTACCTGCTCGTTCGGTTTTCATGGAATCCCAAACATTGCAGTTAAAGTCGTCGTAGCCGGCGAGCAGAAGGCGGCCGGACTTGCTGAACGCGACGCTGGTGATGCCGCAGATGATGTTGTCGTGGCTGTACATCGCCAGCTCCTGATCGGCGCGCACGTCGAAGAGACGACACGTCGCGTCGTCGCTGCCCGTTGCGAAGGCATAGCCGTTCGGGAAAAACTACAAACACCAACATATTACATAACAAAAATAAATAAATAAATAAATCAAATATAATATATAATTACCGTGACGGCATTTATGTCCGACTCATGTCCAGGGAACGTCTGCTTGCAGAGCCCCTCGCGCACATCCCACAACTTGGCGGAGGCGTCGCACGCGCCCGAGACGAACGTGCGAAAGTCGGGCGAGAGCGACAGCGACATCACGTCGCCGGTGTGGCCGAGGAAGGACGTCGTCTGCTGGCCGGTCTCGATGTCCCAGAGCGCGCAGCTCATATCACCCGAGCTGGTGACGATCTGATTATCGTCGATGAAGCGGCAGCAGGAGAGGTAGCCGGTGTGGCCGGGCAGCTCGCGCGACACGCGCACATTGCCCTCGCGCGTCTTCAGACTGTAGATGGAGCAGATGTTGTCCAGGCCGCCGCACGCGACAAAATTGCCGGAGGGCGCGTACGCGCACGTCATCACCCACGACGAGCGCAGCGGGATGGCGTGCACCTTGTTCGTGGTGTGGCTGTCCCACACGATCAGCTTGCCGTCCTGCGACGCCGACACCAGGTTGCGCGAGTCGCTGCCCCAGTGCATCGCGTAGATCTTGGCCAGGTGGCCGCGCAGCGTGCGCCGCGTGCGCATCTGCACGCGTCCGATGGCGTCGAGCGTCGACGTCGCCTGCACCAGCGATGTGTCGCACGCTGCTTTTCGTGCATCCTAAAAAGAATCATCATCAAGTAACATTCGACGGTAGTACACTCAGTGGAGTATATATATATAATAATAAAGTGGTGGGGGTAAAGGGATGGAAAGAGAGAGCGAGACATCGCGCAGTGAGTTTAGTGTCCGCCGGAACCCCCGGATCAATAGACGCCGCCGCCGCCGCCGCCGCACTCACACAGGGTGTGCGTGCGAGGCGCGCCTGCTCGCCCTCTGTTTCCTGCCCGCCGCCGACACTTGTTGTACTCGCGACTCGCGCGACACAATCCGCCCATTTTTTTAATCCACGTCACAAATATTGCATCTCACTACTACTTACTCTGATAGCATTTTTGAGTGTTTCCGCTTCTTGTCTAAGTGAATCCAATTCGTTCATACTGATGTGCCCGACTCGCTAAACACCTACACAAAGAGAGAAAAACACCAAAAATTAAAACAAACTTCTACAAACACATCGCTTTAAACCACCAACATTCAATCACAACACTGGTTTTTCAACTTTTCAACTGAGTAATCTTAGTTTACTCATGCTTATCACTCGATACGCGATAGATAAACACACGGATTTATTTTTATGTTTAATTCTTTCGTCTGTTGATTAATATATAAACTAAACTAACTCGAAAGTTTCTTGTGTGGAACTGATTGTTATTCATATGTGTCTGCGTGCGTAATAAACGCGTGGCCCATCCCAATGACGGAAGTCTGCGGTGTGTGAAATTACGACAAAACACTCCCGCGACGACCAAAAACGACGACAGCGCGAAATCTTTGCGCAAACATTTCGAACGCGCGCGGTCTGATTCACACCTTACTTAACTTTCCATACTTATTATTCAGAATACAAGCTAAAAACCCACATTTTGTTAACTCCAACGTGTTTTATCACACAAAATTCAATTTACTTGATTTCAATAAATATCTATGCAAACAATTTGTTTTATCTACACTAATATTTCTATATTATTAAAATATAAAAACTTGCATAGCCAGCCACCTGTCACGTTGAATTTCCTTCATTCGTTTGTAGAAATTAATTTAAACGCTCGCGCGCTAAACACACGAAAATATTTGCGGTGGCCGGCGCGACACACCTACCGCTATACCCCCACTCCACGCATCTTCATCCTCCCACCCCTAAAACACCGGCTAGCGGAAACACATGCCGTGCACACGCTCCACAAAACTTCATTTTTTAAACGCAACTATTAAACCATTTTAAGGTTATAATAATGGCGCTTATTCCGGAAGTCGTATGCACTTCGATATGTGCCATGAACATCCGCTGTTATCTTCAACGTCAAACTGCTCACACCATTATCGACGTATACACTCTACGAGCGTATCGCCTGTCATTCATTCAATTGTTTTCCCCCTTTCTCCATCATCAACAGAGAAACAATTGAATAAAATTGAATGTGCTATTATTAAATTTACAAACACGCATGCATACACAACGCGAGTAAGTTCTAATAAATTTTTATATATAAATTTATTTTATACTATGCTTGATCAAGCATAACATGGCGAGTGTGAAAGTGTTTACGTTAGACATGATGATGATGATGATGATTCGAGTATAAACAGCGCAGCGCTAGCGCACGGAGGGCGGCCATATTGCCGCCGCTGCCGCTCCGACACATCCGCCGCATCGGGTGCGCGTTTGTGTGTGCACCTGTCACACCACACACACATTCAACCAGCATACATAAATCTACCACTCAACTGAAATGTTGATCTAACCTGTGGATGACCGCCCGACCATTGGGTGTGAGGCAGTGTGATGCACTTATACTACGTATTAATCACACTAAATTCTAGAAAATTATTTTCTAGTCAAACATTTTTATTATTATTTTATTTTATATTAATTTTTGCCGACAGCGAGTAAAAAATGGTACGCACCCCGTTCGCGGCCGCCGACACGAACACGACGATGTAATATATCCCGTGCGCGTTCGCGTTCGCTCGTTTCCTAGCTTCCCCCTCGACAGAATCGCGAATCGCGACGTTGCCACACACAACCCACGATAGAACGCGACTTGCGAGAGACTTGGTTCATCCGCGCGGCGCGGCGTTGCCAAATTTTGGCGCTAACAACCAACTCTCTACTCTCTAACTCAACTCCCCTATCCTGCGTCCTGCCGGACCCTTTTTCACTGATGTGATGTGATGTGATATTACACGATTGGATTTTCTTTCAACTATGTACGCTGTGTACTCACTTCGTTTCGATGATGAAATAAACAAAACACTATCAGCTAGCTACCAGCGGCGCTGCTAATCGGCTAACAACTACGACGAGCGCTCCTCGTTCGCCAGCAATCTTGTTATCCCAGCGGCTGGCAATCCTCGTGCGTGGGGCGATTCCCTACCCAAGGAAATCACGCAGCGGCCGGAGGCTAACGAATGACATCGGAGCCGTGAGGGTGTCTCTCACCACCTGACTCGGCTGTGGATCTCGTCGTCGGTGTGGCGCATAGAGGTGCTCCTCCGCCGTTGTTCGCTGCCTGCGCCGCGCTGCTGCACACACTTCCACCCCGTGGCCCCTCGTCGTCGTCGTCGGCACGCACGCACGCACGACCTGCTGCTGCTGGTTGCTGCTGGTTTGCTGCTGCGGATCACCCTTCTCTCGCGATCGCACCACACACGCACACACAGCTCACACTCCGGGGAACGCGCACGCCAAGCACCAGGACGACTACCACGACGACTGCTGCTGCTCTGGTGGCTGGTCTGCTCTCTTGCTTCGCGCTGCGTGCTCACGCCGTTTCGATTCGGTGTCGGACTCTCGGGTCTCTCGTATACGTCGTACTATGGGTGCGGTGCGCGAGAATCGGCCGGTGTCCTTGCGCTAACGATTGTGGACCCCGAATCGACGTCGTGACGTCAGCGCCGTCGCAAACACCCCATCTATCATCTACATACCCAAGTAGTAACCACCACCACCACAACAACAACGCCATCTTACATTGAAAACTTTATTCACTCATCTCTACGAATCTACATGTTTTCTAGTCTTCTTCTTTTGCAAGACGCATTTCCAGACTGCAAATGGCCGTCTTCGGTGCTTCAATTATTTCATATCCATTATCTTCACTTTCTTCAACTTCTTCAACTTGTTTATTCCTTTCAATCAATCCAATCAAATACTCGCGATCTTCCGGTGTTAACCGTCCGCCATGTTTCTTCTTTTTAAACTCCACAAACATTTCCTCCAACTTTGGATTCTTCTTCAAATTCTGCGTGTATTTCTGTATCAAAGCATCGTAATCAACATGAAATGTCTTCTTAAACTCATCAAAACTCTCTGAATATGCTTTGATATCTCCCCGCAGTGCAGAAATCTTCGTTACAGCTAAATACGCATTGGTTTCTTCATCTTTTAACTTTTCTTCATGACTAATCAATGAAAGCTCTGAAGATGAAGCCATTTCTAAAGCTTGATCAACAATCTGTTTGGAAACTTGATCTATGTTATTCTGTAATGATGGTTCTTTAATTTTTTCCTCTGGTTTTATTAACATTTTAGCAAAATGTTGATCACCACTTTCAAAGTTTTCCTCCGGGCGGTATTTATTTCTTCGTGGAGGTAAAACAACATGTTGATGAGTAGTTTTCGGTAGTTGCCATTTTAACAGGTCACGTATCTCGTCATCTGCGGGTAATTCATGCGTGGGTTTAGGTTTTTCGTCAGATTTGTTGATTATTTCACGGTTTAATATTTGTGGATCTAATGTTTCATCTTCAGTGTCTTCTGCATCAATAGAATCAAATATGAATTCTGCATCTTTATGTTGTAGGTCTAATTTGTCATAAAATTGATCTCCACGTTCTTCGGTTTCTTCTTTTTTGGTTTCTGTGTTATCCGGGTGTAATTCTTGTAGTTTTTGTGTTCTTCTTGATAAAGATTGAGAGAGATAATCGTGTTTCTTCGGAATCCATTGCATTTGTGCTTTGAAATCATTTTCTTCTTGAGAGTATTGATTGTAGTTCAATTTTTGTGTTTCTGTGATTAAGGGAGGTTCTTCATTGGATATTTTGAGTTCTTCTGGTAGATAATCGTTGATATCATCGATGATTTCCACCTTTTCGTCTTCTTGCTCCTTTTCTTCGTATTGATTTGTTTCTTCTTTTGATATTTTTATCTTTCTGGCTTTACATTCTGAGAGGAATTTGTCTTTGTCGAGGGAATCAATCATTTCCTGTGGGAAATCATCGATATTTGCTAGTTTCTCCAAAAACTTGAGATTTGTATCAGTTTTCTTCTTCAGTAAATATTCTACATCGTTATTTTCTTCTTCTTTTCCTTCTTCCTCTTGTATTTCTTCTTGTTCTTCACTTTCTTCTTGTTTTTCTTCATTTTTGAAATTTCCTAAATCATTTATAGCCAATTTAGAAAACTCTTCATTAATAACTTCAATCAACTCAATCTTCTTCTCTTCCTGCTGTATTTTCTCTTCATTTTCTTCATTTTCTCCTACTTTAACCCCACTGGAACCAGACTGCATCAAACCTCCTTGTTCAAATAATAAACTGAGTTTATCAAACATAACCGAAGAAGTTTCTTCATCATTCTTCAATTTTTCATTGATATTTGAAGCATAATCATCCAATTCTTGATGCATAGTCGCATAAATATCTTGTTTATGTGCATTCAAACGTTCTTTAGTTGCTTTAACATCATTCTTAACAACTTCTTTAGTTTCTTCAACAGAATCTTCACAAAATAATCCTTCCAGATCAAAATTCATCAAATCAAAAACATCTTCTTCAATGACTTCAGATTTTTCTGTTATTTTAACTTCAGGAGTATCAATTTCTTCAATTTCCTGAACAAGATTCCTACTATTATGTTCTCTTTGATATCTTCGTTGACTCCTTGGATCAAAATCAAAAATACATTCTCTGTAACCAGAAACATCTATATCCTGATTACGATCACGCATGAAACAATTATCATCATCTTCATTTTCAACCTCATCCTCAACATTAACCTCAGGTTCATGTCCTTGTCTTCCATAATCATATTCTTCTTCATTTACTTCTAATCTTTCTCTTTGTTCTTCTCTATTTTGAACCCTTTCTTCTAATCCTTCATAATAATTCCCTGGACGTATAGGAACTAAATCACCTTCTTCATTTTCTTCATTATTTTCATGTCCTTCTTCTTCTTCAATTGGTAATACCAGTTCTTGATTACCTATCTCCCCAATAGCTAAATTCTCCCTATTCTGCCTCTTTGCAATATTCTCATCACGAATCCTAATCAACCCATTAACAGAATCCATAATCCTCTGCTGTTCCCTCTGAGACCACCTCAACCTCTCGGCCTTTTCCTCCTCCACACCTCCACGCTCCCATGCTTCAGCACACGCCCTATCCTTCGGAAACACAGGCCTATCATCCAAATACGTCAACTGCTTACAACTCAGAATCATCATCTTTCTATAACAAGCCACTTTTCTTATCACCGGATTCCCCATCAGATTCAAAACCCGCAGATTCTTCATTTTACCCACTACTTGAAGAATCAACGGTTCATCTATATGATTATTACTCAAATCCAAACAGGATAACTCATCATAATTAACCAAATCTTCAAAATCCTCTAGATTTTCAATATGATTATGTCCCAGATTCAAGGTATGCAGTTGTTTCAACCCGGAGAGATTCTCAATCTTCTTCACAAAGTTATGTGACAGATTCAAAGTGTCCAGAATACGCAACGCCTCCAAATTTTCAATCTTTTTGATTATATTATTATGCAGAAATAGACAACGGAGGTTCTGCTGGTGGTCCAAACCAGATATCTGGCGTATACCATTGTTTTCCAACCAGAGACACTTCAACCCGGTGTATTCTTCAAGATTTTCAATCGTCGAGAAGCCTTTGAAGTGCAGATACAAAACATCGTTGAGATATGGTGTTGTATAGAGTTTCTGTTCCTTGCAGTGCTTAAGGATGAACTCCTTCGTCATCCGGGGATAACGGGAAGGATCTTCAGAGTCCAGTTTATCACGTACCATGATGATAGTTGTAATAAATGTATGATTATGTTTAGAAATCGATCAAACAAACAAATAAAACAAGATGGTTACCTTGGACAATTAAAAACAAACACTCTGCGTCTAGATTTTTATCTGTTTTACGTATTTTTATACTTTTTAAGTTGTTTTTCAGTGTTTTTACACTAAATTTATTCAAATGTTTAGCTTTTAAGCTTTAGTTCTTTTATAGGGAATAACATTTCCTAGATGTCGCCACATGTCACAACCTAGCCTGATTCCGAATGCACTAGCGCAGTAAACACACGCATTTCCCCCAATCGCAAAGAAGAGAGGTTGTCGTTGCCCTGGTGCTGGTAGCCCGGTCGTGTGGTGTTGTGTGCAATGCAGTAAAACCGTTGCCAACGAATGAGCAAGCCGAGCCTCTCTTGCGTTGCTCCTGGCTTCGCCGAGTCCGCCGCCTGACAGAGCGGCCAACAACCAGACGGTATTATAATGGCGTACGTCGGCTACATAATCACGCATCGTGCTTCTCAAACCATCAATACATAAACCGCAGGCGAAGATAAAATAAAATAAAATCAAGTGATAATCATCAATCGGCGTGATTCACGCTGCTGCTGGGGACTGGATTTTGTCATCTCGACAACAAAAACAATCCCGACGCTCTCTCGGGAGGAGCGACGGACGACGGTGAAAATGTTGTCTGTGCGTGTGTGTCGCTCGTGGTGCGATGGGACAAAATGCGAAAAATCAACCTAATCGCATCATAAACACAACGAATTTTCTTCATTCAATCACAGACTGATTAATTTTTAAGCAAGGTGAGTAAAATTACGTTAATTCGAAGGACAAATAAATAAACTCCAGAAAATAAACGCCAAGGTGCAGCGGAGCGTTTGGTGGCAAATGAATATGAATGAAAATTACGAACACGTTACGTTCGCGAACAACCGTTACTAGTTTACACGAGCGGACACAACACATACAGAGTGTTGTGCATCGTATGCCATTTCTTAGATAGATTAATTGGAATAAATGCGAAGATAAGATATGCGTGGAAATGCGTAATGAGTATGCAATATGCATGACAAATGCAAGCATGTAACATGTAACATGTACGATAATCCGTTACTTGTGTTAAATACTAAATTAGCATATATAGGAAATCTTTTGTTTGTGCTCGCGATGATTTTTAACGATCTTGTTAGTAGCGTGGTTTCGTGTCAAACATGTTAAAAATACCGTTGACATCTGTCAACCAACGATCCGCATCTAAATATAAATAATGAGCGAGTTTACATTCTGTATACGCGCGCGATTTTTTCTGTGTGCTTTTGATGACAATTCTTTGCATGCAACACTCGTGGGGTTATTAACTTGTGTAGAGTGTAGAGGAATTATTATAAACGAAGTTTCAAGTGTTTTACTCCAACAGATGACAAACGATAGATATAAATATGAAAAAATTAAATTAATAACAGATGTTTGGTTTTCCACGCAAAAAACCAAGATGTTTTAATATACAGAGTGTTTATTATGTGGTGTTACGCCCCAAAATGTTATCCTGCAGATGAATAATCAGGTCGTGACCTAATTTCATCCCTACTCTTTTTTGTTTTTGATTTTTTTGATATTTTTGAGTAAATTTATGAGATTTACTTTGATTTTTTTTTATTTTATGGTGTAAAATGTAAACATTACGCATATAAACATTTATTACGCGTGTATTTATAATCTACGGAGATGTGCGCACTGAATTGGAGGCGGCGCCTGCTGCTGCCGCCACTCTACACCACACATCGATCTGCCCAGGCCACTCGCCCTCAGACTCGGACGTTTTCACTTTTTCTAACCTCAACACAATCACAATGTGATTAAATCTTATATAAATAAATAAATAAACACTAAATATCTAATATTAATGATGAAGCGTGTGCTTAGTGGTATTGCAGAGTGTGCAGTATGTTTAATTAATAATTTATTATTCCATTAATAATTTTAATGTTTGTTTTAAGGTGGGATGCACTGAAGACATCGCTGATACAATGCACTTGGCAAATAATACAAGCGATACAGGATGTAGTAGTGGTGGTAGTGGAATTGGTGGAGGCGCCGGTGCCGTTGGTATGGTCAGCGGCCCGTCATCGCTGGTCGACGCCGGCCACAACGAAACATGCCGCTTTCCCAAACTGGAGGAGTGCGCGCACTTTCACTACGAACGCGTGCAGCTGCCGGCGATCGCCGTCAGCATTCAAGCCAACATGGAGCGATCACTACACTCGCAACACAGTAAGTGTCAAAAGAATAAAATCAATACGAATGGGAATAAATCCAATTAGTCCTCAATACTCTACTATATATTCACTCATAATATAATCATGTTTAGCGCAAGATGAAGACGGTGAATGGTACATGGTGCAAGTGACATCCGGTGATGAGTGCTGGCTGCTCCAACGCACATTCGAAAACTTCCGCCTGCTGGACTCGCAACTCCATCAATGTATCTACGACCGGAAAATCTCACAACTACCCGATCTATCACTGGATAATGAAAAAGCGGAAGAAGCACTCCTAGTCAAATACCTGCGAAGATTCACAACCATTGCGGATAATAGTATAAACTGCGGGCCGGTGCTCAACTGGCTGCAGATGGATAACAAAGGGCATCGTCTGTTAGTACCCTCGGAGGAATCACGATCGATTAATACCCCGGCTGTTGCAGCTGCATACAGTGTACGTAGATATGTATCACAAGCAAGAGATGAGTTGAATCTTGAAGTTGGCGATATGATTAGTGTTATTGATATGGCCAGCCCTGGGGAGTCGATTTGGTGGAGGGGGAAGAGAGGTTTCCAGGTGGGATTCTTTCCGCAGCACTGTGTGCATATTATCGGGGATAAAGTACCGAGGAATATGCCGCTGCCGGCGCCGGTTGTGGGGTCATTAGCGTTGAGTCCAATTAAACCTGTGTTGAGGAAACATGGGAAGTTGATTGCGTTCTTTAGGAGTTTTATTTTGAATCGGCCTAGTCGCAGGAGGTTGAAGCAGAGTGGGATTTTACGCGAGAGGGTTTTTGGATGTGATTTGGGTGAGCATTTGGGTGAAGGGAGTGATATTCCGACGGTTTTGAAGTGCTGCGCGGAGTTTATTGAGACGCATGGGATCGTCGATGGGATTTACAGGTGTGTAACATGTTTTTTTCACTTTAGTCACGGGTGAAGCGTGGATAAAGTACCACTTAGCGCACTTGATACTTAAAATGTTTTAATATAATATTAATCATTTTAGATTATCTGGAGTTACTTCCAACATCCAAAAACTACGAAATGCTTTCGATGAAGACCGTATCCCTGATTTATTCACCGAAGACATCCTCCAGGACATCCACTCGGTTGCTTCCCTACTAAAAATGTACTTCCGTGAATTACCCAACCCTCTCTGCACGTACCAGCTCTATCAAAGCTTCGTGCAGGCTGTTCAGGGTTGTACCAGCATGCGTAACACCCATAACGACCATGAGCGTTTGTTAAAAATGCGCGAAGCTGTACAGAAACTCCCCCCGCCGCATTACCGCACGCTTGAATACCTCGCCCGACACTTGGCGAAGGTAGCCAAACATGGCGACCGTACCGGAATGACCGTGCGTAATGTAGCCATTGTCTGGGCGCCGAATTTACTCCGCAGCGCTGAATTAGAAGTGGGCGGCGTGGCGGCCCTACAGGGTGTTGGCGTGCAAGCAGTCGTCACCGAGTTTCTCATCTGCTACGCCGACCTGATATTCTGTGATAATCTCAACGCCAAACTGAACGTGAGCGATCTGGACGCGGCGATGCAACAGGCGGCGCTGTTGAATGCCGCATCGCCGAAACGCAGCCGGCCGAAATCCCTTGCGATCTCCACGCCGACGAAACTCATCACATTGGAGGAGGCGAGGAATAAGCATCACAAGGACGCGTATATTGAAGTCGGAGGTGGGCCGGACTCACTACCCAAAAAGTATCATACTATTATTGATCTACCAATGCGGAAACGCGTGAATTCAAAAAGATCCCCATTGGGATGGAGGAGTTTATTCGGGAAGAGTCGCAACAGGCAGAAACCCACGATAGTTCATCATGTAGTCAACACAGAACAAGTTGATGCTTCTTCTACGAATGGTAATACAAAACCGGAAGTGAAGATTGTTTTGAGAACTGTGAAATCAGCGGAATCTTTAAGTGACCTTGATCAACTCCCACCGCTACAGAATGTGTTATGCACCAAACCACCCGGGCATAATCGAAGTGTATCACACGACAGCTACTTTGACACTTTACAAAGCTCCCAGGAGGGATCCCTGCTGGATTTGTCTGAGATCCAAGTCAATTTTGATCTGGAAGAGTCCGAAATGCGGATATTCAGTGAAGATGAATCTCTGGTGTCATCCCCACGTGTACAACCCCGAAGGATACGCATTAGCAGCGGTAACAACAGCGGGAATCCATCCCCAAAGAAACAACCAAGGGTTATTCTAAGTCCTGACTCTGCAAGTCGTAAACGTACACGTTTGGAGGAACAATTGAGTGATATACAATTCATCGACTGTAACACTCCCGAGATGATTTGTGGGAGTACCATTGTCCAGGTGCATCAAACAGAAGGGCCCAGGAATAAAAGTCCGAGAAATTCACAGTGTTTAGAGCTGAGGGATTATAATAAACGGGATTCACGTTTGTCACAGGTGATGATGACTTCTACATCTACTGTCACAGCTGGAACACCGCAATCACCCACACCGCAAAGTCCTACTTATAAGTTGTTAGAATCTAGCACGGGGACTACTCCTGGTGATATAAGTCCGCAGTATTTGAGTAATCTTTCTAAGGCCATTGCGCCGTTGACGCCGGTGACTTCCGTTGCGTCTACCCCGTTAACCCCCACTCCGAAATCACCCAAGAGTCCCAGTTATGATAATGTACTCACGACGATAAGCATCACGTATAAATCCCCGACGAAAACGAAAAGTTTTCTTACTGATGAGAGGGTTACACAATCGCCGAATTATGAGACTGTGCTGGTGAAAGCGGAAGATGCGCAGATACCGACTTCGACTGCGAATCTTCCTCTGCAAGCGGCAAGTACACGATCTTCGAATTTGAATTTGAATTTGAATCTGGATATGGATTTTTCGGCGTCTATGACTAATATGAGTAATAGTATGAGCACTATTAATGATATACACGATGATTTACAGAAAGAGGATGATTGTGATGTGCATTTATTATCAACATCTTTAGATGCTTTGGAAAGTGTCCAGACAGATGATCGTACATCGCTAAATCTGAATCTGAATGAAGATGAAGATAGTTTTCCGAAATGTGACACCACACTTTCGGAATTGTTGGATTCTTATGATCGGATAGCAAAGGCAACATCCGGTGATTGGTCGCATGTAGAAACGGAGGATTTAATCACCGATACACAAGACACACAAGATCTACAGGGTGTTGATGAGAATCGACACTATGAAAATGTGAAAAGTTCCAATTCATCAGATGATACCAGTAATTGTCTGGTGAATTACGAGAATATTAACTTCACGGAAGGAATGTCTTCTAATGGTGACAATGAGAATGTAGAGAGTTATCTAGGACCACCCGAGGAAGACCTAATTGAGTTTAGTCCTGTAGTAGAAGAAGTTCAAGGTTTACAGGCACAGGAAAAGCGGAAACAATCACCGCAAGGTGCAGATGAACAGGATCATGATGTGTATCAACAGGTGAAGTATTTCCGGAGGTCTGTGCATGAATTGAATGAGTTTATTGCATTGACACATCAGGATACTGATACTAATGATGAAAGTTATGAGAATGTGGATGTTGCCAAAGTTATTGAGATAATTGAACCGGAAGAACAAGAAGACTCTACTTCCATTGATGAAGATGAAATAAAAATTGTAGAAAATGTAACAGAGCACACGCAAGTCGAAGTACAAAATTTAGTCACGAAATTCCCCGAACCGGAAACTTTTGATAGTCTGGAAACAAACGACTATGAAACCATTGAGTTTACCAATGATTCCCTGGAAGCAGATGTAGAAAAAAGCGTCAATGATGATGTGATCAAGGTGCAAATCACTACAGACGTAATAAATCTACCGGAAACGGAACATTTGAATGATATCGATGTGGCAATGATGACAGCGTCAAAGGAGGATGTCATGATGACGATCACAATGTCAACTGTGGATGAACCATCGCCATCACCACCTTTACCACCGCCGGAAGTGAAAATCTCTCCGAAAGTAAAACAATTAACTTCTAAATTTGAAGTTCAGGATGTCACGCGTCCTGTACCGCCGTGTATACGCGCGAGGAACCTCAAAGCATCGAAGAAAACAACGCGTAGTCTAGACGAGACGGAATTCTTGAAAAACGCAGCACTTCCGGTTTCTACCAACGCAGAAACCAATGGTGAATCAAGCACACAAAACGAAGATGGTACTCTTTTTAGACGTAAATCTCTCGATGAGAATATGTGTGGGTTTAAAACTAATACTCTGCCGAAAACTCTGAATAAACCCAAGAAATTACCGGATGATCCTGATATAGGACCACATGTTGTCCCGCACGATGTGAATGTTAATCTGAACAGAGAGAGGATTGAAAAGTATAAAGAGGAGAGGCGGAAGTTTTTCAATGATAAATACAAATCGGAGTCTTTCAAAGAGAATAAAGATGTGTTATTGAGTCGATTGAAAGTGTTTAAACCACCCACGAAGGAAGAGGAAGCTGTTGTACCGGTTGTTGCGAGTTTAAATGTGATGGAAACACAAATTGTTCATACTACTGCAAATTCTCCGGAGAAAAAGGTGGCGAATGGGGTTAAAGCACGAACGGCCATCTTTGAAAATGATGGGGAAGTTGAGATGCGACCGGGGAGTGTTTCTAGTCGCAGGCAGAAGGTTACAACAGCGCCACCTGCGGCAATTGAGCGTGAATTGACAGAATCTAGTTTTGAGCAAGCTAGAAGGAGTTTTGAACCTGCTCCAACAAGGTAAATACTTTTTTTCTTCATGAGAAGTGACATTTTAGTCATGGTCGTGACTAAAGTTTATTATTTATTAATTTTTGTTTATTTTTTGTAGGAAAGATAGAAGTTCGACATCCTACTGCATAAAAGACATGAAGGCAATCTTCGAATCCAAGTCACAGCAATAACCCTTGCAGGATTTGACCAAAAAGACAAAACGATAAAGATATAACCTCTCTAAAACTAGCAGTAAATAATCAAAGAAATATTTATAACGCGCGCCTTTTCCACTCTTTCTCTAAAACCAAACTAAAACTTGAACATAATTCGTTTCACAACGTAGAAACTTGAACGATTCAACGACGATAATTACTTCTAATACGAGGCTTCCGTTTATACGAATATATTTATAACAAACAATTCGCCTAGAAAGGCCTACAGAGAAATTTACGTACGATTAAGATTTAAAAAAAACTATTTCAACGTATCATGATTCAGAGTCACACAAATTAAACGCAACACTTAGGGTTGCCGTAGCGAAACAAACCCACAAGAGACAAGCGAGACAAAAATGTTGATGTAGATATTCAGATGGATATGTAGGATCCCGTTGTAATTATTTAGCGTATTACACTTTGGATTTTATAGTCATTTAAGTCATACTTTAAGTTTTAAGTGAGTTATTGTTGAAGTTGCGGTGAAAACGTGAAACGTGCAAATGGAACTGAACATATTTTTTTTCTTTTTTTTGACTAGTTTACGTGTTTAATATTATTATTATTATCATTATTACGATTATTATTTATGTAATGGCGACCAGAGAGGCGTCTAGAGAGCAGCGCATACCTGATGGATGAAAGTCACAATACTTGTACGAAGAAGCAAACAAATTGTAACGAGATATTATATTATTGACATATTTACACGTTGTATCACTACCTGTATGATATTTTCAAAGGAATTTGCGATTTATTTATTTGTTAATAACATGCGCATTTAGATTTTGGTTTTGATGCGTTTTGTTTGCGCTTTGAAAGCTTTCAGGCGACATATTTGTGGTGTCAAACATCAGTGCTTCAATTTTGGATTAGTTTAGAATATTTTAAATTATTTTCAAGCGATTGCAGCGCTAAAAACGTCGGGTTTTCGAGTTTCAAGGACAAGAATTGATAATTCTGCATCCCGCATTGATTTTGCGCCATTTTGAAGCTGTTAATAACAAATACTCATCGAAAATGGCTCAGGGAGGTTCCGGCGCTATCGCATCCTTTGTCAAAGGATTATATTACGATGAATTTAAATGGTAAGATAAAAATCAACCAAGAATAAATAAAAAATACCATTTTTACGATTCTAACCTCAAAATTTTAATAATGTATATTGTTTTAGGTCTATTGTGAAGAGTATCAGTATGTTTGCATTGGGAGTGACTCTCGCAAAAGAATTCCACGGCGTGGAATTGTTTGTGCCCAGTCCCTAATTCCAATTGCACACATTATCATGATCATCATACAAAATTGCTAGTAGCAAAGAAGGAAGCTGCATTGTTGTGGAACATTGTGATTATCTGTCCGCACAAGGCATCTGCATGCACCAAAGCTGATAGAAGTTGTTTCATTAATTTATCTTGTAGCCAGTCATGTGTAATTATTTGTGAAATAAATATTTTATTCGAAAATTATGATTTTGGACATTGTAGCGACATCTATCGGTTGTATAGGGGAAATAGAAAGAGCATGTTCACGTGCGATTGTTGTTAACCTCAATAAAATAACTTAAAAGAAATGTTTTTGTTATTTAGTGGATGATTAACTAGGTTTTTGGTAATATGGGTAAGAAAGGGTTTAATTGGAGGGCTAGGCAAGTGGTTAATACAGAAATTGACAATGCATCAACAAAAAAGGTTTTAAAAAATCAGTTTTATGAAAAATGGTAAAAATTAAAGCTTAAAATTAATTTTTTAGATTGAAGTTGAAGGAAAATTAGATTCTGGACAATATGATGCTTCAAACGCGTTGGTTTTACCATCGGACAAGCGTAAAACAAGAGTGAAGAAAGATAAAGTGACTGTAACAAGAATACTGTCAAAAAGTCACAGGAAAAGATTAGAGAAAATTGTTGAAAAGAAGAAGAAAAAAGAGAATGTAAGTATACCACAAACATAAATATTCTATAAACTAATTAAACTAATAAAAAATAATATTTTCAGAGACAAAACTTGTTAGATGCACTTGCAACAGTCCAAGCAACACCTGAAGAACTAAACAGTTTAGTATCCATTGCATCAGTGCAGACAAAAGGTCTAAAACGCCATTTTTACGAACAAAACTTCCCGGAAAAGGTAGCAGCTAAAAAGATCCCGAAAAGTGACCAGGATTTATTGAATGGCGATGCAAAAATCAATGCAATTAAAGGTGCTAAACACCTAAGAAATGCATTAAAACAAGATGACACAGCAAAAAATGATCCAAATGTTGTTGGGTTTGATGAATCATCATCAGAATCTTCATCTGAAGATGATATTGAAGAAGAAAATGATATTAACAAAGTAATTGAAGAAGAAAATGATATCAACAAAGAAATAAAAGTTGAAAACGTTAAAATTGAACCGGAATATGACGAACCACTTGTAAAAAAGCAAAAAATCGAAACAATTATCATCAAAGATGATGATAAACAACCAAAAAATCAAAAAGCAACATTTGTTCAAGTAATCCGCGATGAATCAATTCAAATCGCGCGTCTAAAACTCCCCATCCTCGCTGAAGAACAACAAATAATGGAAACAATCAACGAAAACTCCATTATAATCATCGCTGGGGAGACAGGCAGTGGAAAAACCACCCAAGTCCCACAATTTCTCTACGAAGCAGGCTACGCACTCAATGGACAAATCATCGCTGTGACTGAACCACGCAGAGTAGCAGCTATATCAATGTCACAACGCGTCGGAGAAGAAATGTCCTTACCAAATGAAGTAGGATATCTCATCAGATTCGAAGGAAATGTAACTGACGAAACAAAAATTAAATTCATGACTGATGGTGTCTTACTTAAAGAAGTCCAGAATGATTTCTTATTAAAAAAGTATTCTGTTATCATCTTGGATGAAGCACACGAACGATCAGTGTATACTGATATTTTATTAGGACTGTTAAGTAGAATAGTTCCATTGAGGAATAAAAAAGGATTACCCTTGAAGTTGATTATAATGTCAGCGACGTTAAGAGTAGAAGATTTCACACAAAACGATCGATTATTCAAAACAATCCCGCCGGTTTTAAAAGTAGAAGCAAGGCAGTTTCCTGTCACGGTGCATTTCAACAAACGCACACATGAGAATTACCTAAAGGAAGCTTATAACAAAGCAGCCAAAGTGCATTGTAGATTACCCGATGGAGGTATATTGATTTTCGTCACCGGACAACAAGAAGTCAAGTTATTAGTGAGGAAACTACGCGGGGCGTTTCCCATGAAGAATAAAAACAAAATAATCGAAGCACAAAAATCCTTAGGTAACAATAAACATAAAAAAATCAAAGAATACAATGACCAATTTAATAAACCAAGTCAAAAGAAAGAAAAACATAAAAAGATGAAAATTCTACCAAAAATCAACCTGGATGATTACAGTCTACCACAAGACCATGACGAAGATAACGATGAAGAAGATGACAACATCCAAGATGATTTATTATCAGACACTGATGAAAACGAAGCTACTACTTTAACAAGTGATCAACCACTTTGGGTCCTGCCTTTATACTCACTCCTACCAACACATAAACAATCAATGGTCTTCCAACCACCTCCAATGGGTTGTAGACTCTGTGTGGTTTCAACAAACGTCGCTGAAACATCCCTGACAATCCCCGGGATAAAATATGTCATTGACACAGGCAAGACTAAAGTAAAACTCTTTGATAAAACCACCGGAGTTACTTCCTATATAGTCCACTGGACAAGTCAAGCATCCGCTGATCAACGTGCTGGTAGAGCCGGTAGAACAGCACCTGGACATTGTTATCGCCTATATTCAAGCGCGGTGTTTAATGACACATTTGAAAAATTCACCAAACCGGAAATCCAAGAGAAACCAGTCGATGATTTATACCTACAGATGAAATGTATGAATATCGATAAAGTAGTAAACTTCCCATTCCCTACAGCGCCGGATTTGTTACAGTTAAGAGTAGCTGCTAACAGATTGGAAGTTTTGGGTGCTTTGAAAGATGGAAGTGTGACGGATTTAGGACGTGCGATTGCAAAGTTTCCGGTTTTACCAAGATATGGAAAGATGTTAGCGCTGAGTCATCAACATGATCTACTACCTTATACAGTGCTACTAGTAGCTGCGTTATCCGTGCAGGAAGTATTGATGGAAACCCCGATAAATGATAAATTTGATATTAAAGAAACCCGGAAGAAGTGGCATGCGACCAGGGTGCTCTGGGCTGGTTCCGGACATGCGCAGTTACTAGGAGATCCTATGGTTTTACTCAAAGCAGTAGGCGCAGCTGAATATGCACATCAAAAAGGTTCCCTAGAATCTTTCTGTATGGAAAATGGTCTTAGACATAAAGCAATCATAGAAATCCGGAAGTTACGTCATCAGTTAACCAATGAAATCAAAATAAACGTACCAGATGTGGATCTCTGCGTTGATTTCAACATGAAACCACCTACGGACCTTCAAGCGAAGCTCCTAAGACAGATTATCTTAAGTGGGATGGGTGATCAAGTGGCTAGGAAGATTCCCTTGGATGAGATCAAAGAAAACCAAGATAAAGTCAAGTTTAAGTATGCGTATCATGCGATGAATATGGAGGAACCCGTCTGGTTGCATCAGGGTTCCGTGCTGAAGAAAACCCTACCGGAATTTGTTGTTTATCAGGAGATTTATGAAACTAACAAGATGTATATGCGTGGTGTGACTGCGATTGACCCCGAATGGTTGGTGAGGTTTGTTCCGCATTCGTGTAATCTCAGCGAGCCTTTGAGTGACCCCGAGCCGAGTTTTAATGAATCCACTGGGGTTGTTAATTGTACGGTGCGTGGGTCGTTTGGCAGTCAGAATTGGGAGCTGCCGAATTGTGTGATTGATTATAAGCATACGCTGGGGGCTTATAGATGGTTTGCGAGGTTTTTGTTGGAGGGGAGAGTTTTTTATAAGTTGGAGAAGTATAAGAAGTGTTTGTTGAGCACGCCGAGTACCATGGTGAAGAGCTGGGCGAATTTACAGGAGAGGACGGATTGTTTGTTGAAGGGGTTGATGGCGGCGAAGGTTTCGAGTCGGGGGGAGATGGAGGATGTGTGGGAAGAACAACCGAAATGTAAGTATTTTTTTTATGCTGTGGTGTGGGTGTAATTGTTTATTTGGACATGTTTTATGGTGAAATTTAAGATAATTGCATGAATAATGAATTAATTGTTGTTTTTGAGTGATTTTCTTGCTTAAAATTCGATGTTTTACTTGAAAAATATGATTTTTTGAATTAATATCAGTGTATTTTGATAATTTGGAAATTATAAAAGCAAATTTGGTTTAGTTACGCTAGAAATTAAGGATTAATTGCTCTAAAACGCAGATTTTAGCATAAAAATTCGTTCTTTTGTTTCAAAAACGTAGAAATTTAAATGATTTTATGTTTTATTCGGTGTTTTTCTCATTTACCGCGATTTTCTTGTAAAAATTAAAGAGAATTGCGTTGATTATTAACGAATTTTGTGATTTTTGTGTGATTTTTTGTGGATTTAAGCTCAAAAATTGATGTTTTAGTTGCAAAATATGATTTTCTGAATTAATATTAGTGAATTTTGATAAAATGCAAATTACAGGTGCAATTTTAGTTTGGTTATGATAAAAATTAAAGAATAATAGCTTTAAAATGCAAATTTTAGCATAAAAATCCGCGATTTTGCTTCCAAAACGTGAAATTCTGATGATTTCATATTTTATTCGACTTTTCCTAAATTACTGCAAGTATTTTGTCGAAATTTAGGACAATTACGTTAATTGTAAACTAATTATGTAGTTTTTGAGTGATTTTTAGCATTAAAACACGGAATTAAGCTCAAAAATCAATGTTTTGATTAAAAAATCGTAAAATTCTTGTCAAAATTTAACACAATTACAATTAATTACTAAAAATTGTTTGTTTTCTTCACGAAAATTAAACGAAACATATCCGAATAAACAAATGCTACCACAACACCTTATAAACCATAAACAAACTCCAAACATGTTTTCACACGAAAAACCAATCTAATTCAATAATATTTTCCATATTTTTAGATTTACTCAAGGAGTATCTACAATGGCTGCCTGAATCAGCCCATGGCGAAGTGACCCTCCTATGGCCACCATTAAACTAGCGATAGCGATATAAATAGATAACTGTTTGTTTACATATACATAATTTCCGTATGTTTATTTCCAACCCCTATATATAGTTTTCTATTCTCCTCGTGGTATGCTTGTATACGGTATACGGAATTTCGTTAACTTTGCGCCGGAGAGAAAACGAATCAATAAAGGCCACGACTGTCAAAGCCGACTGGCCTCGTTTTCCACCACATCGCAGCGCACAAGGATGCATTCGCAATTATCGCGCACAACAACAAACGAAAACGCAAGTGCGCACCGCGGAATCTCCAATTTCTCAGCAAAACACGCTTAAATCTCAATAGAAACAGGTGAATCATGTGGATTACGTTAGTGTTTACACAATTATTACAATTGGTAAGTGGATATGTGATAATATTGCAAGGAAATATTCATTTCTTTAATGTTTTGGGTTTTAGGTTGTTGGTAATTACTGTGAATTTGGTTTGTGTGAAGACGAACAACAATATTGCTGCGGCAAGAACAAATGCTGCAGCAAAAGCAGCAATTTATGGTTTTTTTGGTAAGGAAATTCAACATAACCTTAAATTTTATATTTTTTATTATTTATTTGTTGTTTTATAACGTGTTGTGTTACTAATTGTTTATTTGGATGTGTTTTCGGTAAAATTTAAGAGAATTTGGTTGATTGTTTACAGATTTTGTAGTTTTTTAAGGATTTTTTGCGGAATTAAGTTCAGAAATTGATGTTTTAGTTGCAAAATATGATTTTCTGAATTAATATTAGTGAATTTTGATAATTTGGAAATTATAAGTACAAATTTGGTTTAGTTCTGCTAGAAATTAATGATTAATCGCTCTAAAACGAAGATTTAAGCATAAAAATCCGTGTTTTTGTCTCAAAAACGTAGAAATTCGAATGATTTTATGTTTTATTCGATGTTTTTCTCAATTACCGCGACTTTCTTGTAAATATCAAAGACAATTGCGTTGATTATGAACGAATTTTGTAGTTTTTGTGTAATTTTTGCGAATTTAAGCTCAAAAATTGATGTTTTTGTTGCAAAATATGATTTCTGAATTAATATTAGTGAATTTCAATAAACTGCAAAGTACAGGTGCAATTTTAGTTTAGGTATGTCAGAAATTAAAGATTAAGAGCTTTAAAATGCAAATTTTAGTCTAAAAATCCGCGATTTTACTTCCAAAACGTGAAATTCTTATGATTTCATTTGTTATTTGGTGTTTTTCTAAATTACTGCAAGTATCTTGTCAAAATTTAAGACAATTACGTTAATTATAAACGAATTGTGTACTTTTTAAGTGATTTTTAGCTTTAAAACGTGAAATTTAGCTCAATAATTGATGTTTTCGTTATAAAAAATGATTTTCAAAATTATCATTACTGAATACTGCAAGTTTAATTTAAATATGCCAGAAATCAAAGATTAATCACTTTAAAACACAGATTGTAGCATAAAAATCAGTATTTTACATCAAAAAAACGAGAAATTCTAAATTATTGCAACAATTTTGTAGAAATTTCAAACAAATTATGCTAAACATGTCCAAATTACTTAATAACACAACACATACCAAAACAAAAATAAATAATTACCTACCAAATAATGTCATAAACTCAACAAATAAAAACAAAATATTCCATTCTAAATCTTAATTATTCTCATTACAGGGCTGGTATTCTAGTCGTAGTATTCATCCTGGTCATAGTCGCAATCTGCAATCGTAAACCACAGAAAGACCCCCACGGCCCGTACGAGAAACTCCGCACGGCCGACTTCATCGAAGAAGCCACATAGACAATGCGATCCCGTCAAGAGTTTAAAAAAACCCAAAACACTGAAATTCTACGACTGACTTAATTTATATTTAAAATATAAAAGAAATCAACGTTTTTAATGCGTATATTATCTTATACAAGTTGTGTGAAGAAGAGAGCAAAGCGCGAAACATTAGACAATGCCAAAAACCAATCATTTCAATACTCTGCAGTCATCTTAACTTGAATGTAATTTCTAGCACACAAGTCTGTGATATATGTAAAAAGTGAGTAGAGAATACAAATGTATAGAATGATTAGAGAGTTGTGAGACTAAGTGCAAGCAGCAACAGCAACTAAAAGTTTAAAATCTTACTTAATCTTTGAATTAATCATTCTATGTACTTTTATTATTGTCATTTGAATATTGCTATTCAAAACACAACATAATGTAACAATCTGACATAAATTTATCCTTCATATCTGAAACTGTGGAGTGGTTACTGTTGTTTTTATATTCCTCTTGATTCAATATTGATTTTGTTTGCATTTTCAACTTGTGATTTCTATTTATTATTGTGTTGTATCTTGCTTTCTACAGACACTTTCATCTAGAGGAAACTATACATAAAACAAAATAGAATTAAATGTCTATATTTGCACTTGCAGCTCCTTAGGTTTATGATTCTTCATAGTAATTGAAGAATATTTTACCATAGCAAGCTAAAATCATTAATAATTAATATATTTAAACCTAATTAAACTAAATTACTAATAACACCTTGTTAAAGTGATCTCTGGCATGCCTTGGTCTGCACCTTTCTTAAACCCTGCAATGAAAAATGTAAAATTTTCAAAATTTTGTATTGTAATTTATTTTTTGAGGTTATGTTTGCTTTTACCTAAATACAGCACAGTGGGTATGAAACCGTAGTGGAAGAGGGTCTTGCCGATGTCGATCACCAACGATAGGCGCTCCTTGGTATCCTCGCTGAACATTTTCGTTAAGTGTTAAGAGAGTTTTGATTTTAATTGATTTTTATTCAAGGATCGTGCAGAGCGCCCAATTCGACCGCACCACAGCACAGGCAAGTCGAAAAACACGTGCGCATGCGTTGTTATCGCCGCGTGTTATTGGTCTGTCATAAATTTGTTTTCACAGACTACTTTTGAATCTAAAAATTCAAATATTAATAAAAACAGGCAAAGATATTGTGATTTTTATGTTGTAAATGTTTCCTAGAATAAAGTTTATTAAGTTTAAATAGCTGAAAATTGAAATAAAAAACAGAAAAAGAAGAAAAATGGAACAAACGACCTTCAATTGACCTAAAAACAATAAAATACTGTTGAGATGATCCTAGATAACTCCTGGACTGCCTATAACCTGTAAAAACTGGTGGGGGTAAGCCTCTGCTACCTAAAACTGCTCCCAAACTCCGAACACCTGTGTAAACCTATACAAAACATTAAAAAATAGTCTCTTAAGCTCAGCATCTATCCATGGTCCTCTCCAATGCAAGAAAAAATCCCTAAAATGTTCTACAAATGCCCAAATTGCAAACAAAAGCAGATCTGTGCACTTTTACCCCCTACTAAATAGGATTACAAGACAGCCTGTTTGGTGTCAGGTATTAAAAGGCCCTCCAAAGTGAATCTATATTACGGACTTTTATTCTTTACTTTTTGTTTGTTTTTGCATTAATAAATAAGAAGAGGTGTAATGATTAGGATTTTTATTTACAATCTTAAAAAGTGTCTGCTAAAAAGAAATAAATTAGATTAATTTGGGGTAATGGGAAGGAATTCATTCACTCACACACATAAATACATTACATGACAATAGAAATAGAAAATAATGTTGTAATGCTGAAAAAAAGGCTGAAAGAGAGCTGAAAGAAATGTGATTAGATACTAACTACTATTGTAACTACTATTTCATTCTAAAGATAACTTGGCAGTCTGTTCGTATTAAAGTGAAGCAAATAATGAACACCTCGCCAAGTTATCAAACTACTCTAAAAGAAAAAAAGATTACTGCTATTGATGACATCTAACTGGAGGTAGAAGAGTGCAGCTGCAGCTGAAAGGCAAGTGAGACATTATTGCAGGAAAGGAAAGGGCCTAACAACGATAACGCACGCGGAATTAATTCGCGGGGACTTCTGAAAGCGGAAAATTATTAGTAACTAAACACACATTCACACAGGAGGAGAGAGAGACAGAGCCCTGCCTAATTGGCCCTACCTAATTACATACTTAGCTAAATCATCACAGACCGATTCATGTTGATCTAGTGGGGGGAAATCGCGACGCGTTTGCGATCTGTGATGAGAGTGGCATAACGGAAATGCCCGGTAAATACACAAATATAAAAGCAACCCGAAGAGGCACACAGCAATAAACACACATCATTCACACATTCATACTACGAAGAGACGGACCCCATAATTAATACAGCTCAAAGTCATCAAATTAAATGTGAAAATTAGAAAATTCAAATTAACATGATGATCAAATTAAATAGAAAATTGAATTAGATGTGAAATTGATGTGAATTGACTCCAAGCTAACAATAACGACCGAACGCGGATGACGCGATGCTGAAAAGTGTGATACTTTGAGTTAGCAACTGATTACCAATTAGATTCAAGCAGAAAAGTTAACTAAATAACAGAAAAAGTTGAGAGAATTGTTTACAAAATAATAGGAAATTTACTAGATTTATTGTTCTTATTTTTTGATGCAATTAAGCGAATTATTTATTTTCATTTGTCGCGATTATTGAAAATGTTTAATTAAAGAAAAGCAAGTTAACTCAAAGTAACACTAACACATAAACAAAAAGAAATAGCAAGAGGAACATGAGTGCATGCCGCGATTGGGATGCCCAAATTGCCAACAGAAAGCAGAATTGTGCATCCGGACAAAGGGAAATGTCCAGATGGGACTAAAGGGCGCATACAGATACAAGACAACCAGTTTGGTGTCAGGTGTACTCACTACTTAGACATCAGGCGATCTTATTATGCTGGGTGGATTAGCCCATAACCAAGGTCATAGCAATCAGTGGAATTCCCCTTGGGCTGACACACGAGCAGCAAATGTACTGGCACGTGAGGCAGTCAGGGGCACTAATTGCCACCCTCCGATTAGGGGCATCACCACACCTACCTTCAATCCGGCTCCATGAAACAGGGATCATTCGTCTTGTTTCACTGGAGGATGCGTCGAGTACTCCCCCGTTGTCCAACGCTGGTAGGAAGCTGGAAGAGGTCCAACGATGCCCCTCTTATCATGGATTGGTGGAATTGTTGGAGTAATTGTTTCACTACGCGCACTCGGCTTACTCCCGCACTTTTCGTTGATTCGTAGATGTTTTATGGTATTATAGATGTTTGTGACGCGCACTCGAAGTATTTCGTTACACCTCTTCAGGATCTTCGCGATTTACGACTATTCTAAGTACTTTGAACAAATTGAACAACTTATTTATGAATCGCGGTGACGAAACGCGTCGCGAGGTCTCTTCTGATCTGGAAAACAAGCAGAAAGAATAATGAGTAACAAATAAAGACAGTTTTATAGTAAAAATCACTGTTTTTAAACATCGCGCACTTTTTTCACTTATTTTTCAACTGAAATTTCACTGATTTCAACACAAGAACAACTTGTGATGATAAAAATAAGTAATATTAATGAAATTACTAATTATATTGCTTTTACCATCCTTGGGAAATCTAAAAATTTGTTACTTTTTGTTATAAACAATATAAATTGTTGTTTAAGTAGAAATTTTTAAAAATTTTCATGAATTTCTTCTTAAATTTGTATTTTTCCATGGTACCTATGAAAGAATAAAAGAAGAATTAGTAAAATATATGTCTAGACATAAAATGTACAGAGTTTTGAGGGTGTTACATTGTTGCAAAAGATAAAAACTGGTTTTGACCGTTGAAATCGTCGCTCGACTTTGAATTCTCGGAATCAGACTGCAGCTGCACACAAACACTAACAAAACGCGACCGAAACTCAAACGTTTTTGCTTTTATACTCTTCTATTTCTTTAATACAGTCTGAATTCACTTTCGTTTAGCTTTAAGATTCAATTTTTGTAACACTACGAGTATTAGTCTAATATTGTTAATTGATGTTTGGTTAATTTATTGTGTGAATAATTATGTTATGCGTAAATAAGAGGCTTACCTGTGTGGTTTATCCAGTGCACAACCCACAGGTATTCTTGTAGTGCTATTGGTTGATGTCTTTTGTATTCACAGGTAGAAAACCAAGAAGAATTTGTGTCTTCAACCAATGGTATTATGTTCACAAGTAAACCATGCGAATCTTAAAGGATTCACTTTAGGTTTTTCAATGAGAAGCTTTGTATACCACAGCAGGATGTGAAAATCGCGTGGAATTAACTCTGAAACAATGAAAAACAATGAAATTTAGTTGATATTGATAGAATATTCGCGAAATACTTGTAGAGTGTGAAAATGAAAATGACAGTTAGGTTTAAACTGCAGTGCGCAGGATTCTCGCGGCGAGTAATCAAGTTTGAGCAAAATGGCCGCCAACGGCCTTTGTTCCAAGAACAAAGAAGATGCACACAGAGAACAAAGGAAAAATTTTAAAAATCATATTTATCGATAAATTAATGCCCATCCACTGAAAATATGTGTTTTTATCGATAACTACGATGATTAGCTTTAAGAAAACGTATAGAATAAGACTCTTAACAGATTGGTAACACATTTAATCAGCGATTAAACTCTTGAGCCGACGAGCACGTGTTTTAAGCTTACATGAAAAATATTAATTAATCATGATTACACGATTGAAAACTTTAGAAACGCTTAGGATTTGAAGAGATAAGATAAATGCACTCTTCATAACCAAGGAATAATAACCAATTCACCATTATTTAGCCAATATCACCCGATTTCTGTAAGCAACGTTTTTGTCCTCAACCGACGCTTAACTTTGCACATAAAAATTTCTTAAATTACAACCCCGAACACAAAAATATTACTCCTTGCTTACCTCAAGGAAGATTCTACGTTGATTACACAACACTCGCGGTTTTAATTATTGAGGATTAATTTTTTAGAATCGGAACTAAACCACTTGCGCAAATTCACATCCGCCACGTTTGATGATAGCAAAAGGAAAGAAAGAATTAGCAAGTAACGCGCGCAATCAGATGAAGGTTGCGCAAAGCGTTTTTGCTCATCTACCAACTGATATCACCAAAAATTCAAACTTTCAAATCGGAAAACAATGCTACCAACCTAAAACAAAGAGTTAACTCATTATTACTAATTATTATTTAATTTTATGATTAATTGTTATTGTAAATTGAATGTTTTATAGTGTTTATTATTGTTTTTAATGTTTTAAACTTTTTTTGTTTTTATTTTAAGTTTTAAGAATGTTAATAGGTAATACAAACACAGTGCGTTCAAATAAAAACTAAAAATTTAAACATAAAATATTGTTATTAACTCTACAAAACATGTATAATACAAATAAAAACACTAAATATTAAATAATTAATAAAATTGCACTGTTAACACATAATTATTTGTATTTTTTAAAAGCTTTTATACATTCTACTCTGTATAAAAACATCATAACCTCAGAAATTCACAAGGTCTCATCAATATTTCCTCAATTTATAAAACCTAATTAAAACCAATTAAAATGTTTGGTCCGTTGAATTTTTCTGAACAAAAACGTGCATCTTTATCCGCCGCAGCCGCCCCCTGCCCATTATGCAGTGACACCTTCGATTTATCTCTCCAAATCGATTTATTCATGAAGCACCTGTTTGAGAAACATGATTTAGTCATCGAAGACATGCAAAAGATCCCAAAACTTGTAAAGTAAGTCACAACACATTCTAATTAAACAACAAAACAATCTACTAATAAAAACATCCATAGTTATTTAGATTACTGGCAAGTAAAGTTCCAAAACACTGAACTTTCTTCAATAGTTCCATCATTAGACATAGAACTAAATTTAGAAGCAAATAACTCAACAAAAAAGAAGTATTATCTACTCAGCACACTCATGAGGGAAGACAAAGAGCTCCGTCAACGTCTTCGCCTGGAAAACGCGTTGGATCAACAAGAATTCGAGCGCACTGATGAAAAATGCACACAGAATTGTTTATTCTGTCGATTAGAGTATAAAGGCATCAGGAAAGACTTCCTGGAGCATTTATCCAGCCAACACAATCTACAATTAGGCAATCCACAGAATCTTGTCTTTGTTGATGAGTTAATTCAAGCGATAAAAGCGAAATTCGACGCGTTTTGTTGCATTTACTGCGAGAAAACGTTCCCAGATCGAGCTGTACTCAAAGAACACATGCGCAAGAAGATCCACAAGCGTATAAACCCAAATAATAAAAACTATGACAAGTTTTACATTGTTAATTACACGGGAAATGACGATGGTGAAGAAGTTGCGCTTGAACCAGGCGAACGTAACTCGGATTCCGAGTATTCTGATTGGACGGAGAGTGATACGTTGATTAATTGCTTGTTTTGTGATGTTAGCGAGCCGGATATTAATAAGATTTGTATGCATATGCAGTCGGCGCATCGGTTTAACTTTCCGCAGCTCGCTGCGCATTTGGAGTTCTATCAGAGGGTGAAATTGGTTAATTTTTTGAGGAAACAGATGCATATGAAGAAGTGTCCGAATTGTGATGAAGAATTTAAGGATAAGGAAACACTACGGGTGCATATGAAGGAGGCTGGGTGCTTTGTTTTGCCTGAAGTTGCCAAGTTTGATCAACCAGAGTAAGTTTTTGTTGAAAAATGCGCAAAAGTTGGGGAAATTTGTTGTAACTTTTGATTGTGATAGGATAGCGATGGAATTCTTTCAGGATATGATAGAGAATTTTATTCTGAAGAGATTGGTATAGGGTTTATATAGGGTGTTATGAATTATATGTTTTAAATTTGATTTTAAAGCAGAAAAACGTGAAAAATTGCAAAATTTTAGTAAAATTGTTATAACTTTTGAATTTGATAAGATTTTAATGATTTTCTTTTGGTGCATTATTAGGAATTTAATTCTGAACAAACTGATATATTATTTATTCAAGTTTATATTAAATTAAGTTGCTAAATTTGAATTTAAAGTAGATACACGTGAAAATTTGCAGAATTTCATAAAAATTGAGATAACTTTTGAATTTGATAAGATTTTAGTGATTTTCTTTTACAGTTTAATCAAAAATTAAATTGTTAATGATCTAATATTCTTTATACATGGAATTTTGCACAAATTCATGCTTAAAATTCATTTTAAAGTTGAAAAATACGCAAATTTTATATAAAACTAGTAATTTCATCATAATTTCTACATTTTTTAAGATATCAACATGATTTTTGTAGTATTTAATGCAAAATTAAATTCTACAATCATTATATTACTCTATATTCATATTGTTATAAACAATTAATGTTAATCTTGTATTTTGTTTATGTTTCAGATATTACTTCCCAACATATGAAAACGACGTGTTTCTAACCTATCTAGAAGACGTAGAAGACTAAAATGAATGTAATTAAACCTAAACTAGTTAATTAGAGCATATAAGCGCATAGAACTATCTAATTCTATTAATTTATTCAATTAATCATTACATTATTGAAGTTAACCTTCTTTTCTCCTTGACACGCTTGCAAACGTCAAACTCAGCTGGTCGATAACACAACGCAAAATATCACACCGATAACGTGACTAAAAACATTCACCAAACGCGCCACACTCATCAAAACATTTCCGTGTTTATTGTTCATGCGATAATTCATGTGATTAATAATCCCTGACGATGCTATTGCAAAATTCTACACGCGCACAGCTGAAATTACATTCTAAATGCATAAAAACAGTGCAATCGTCAATAAAATCGCAATAATTTCCACCACAGCTGATAAAATTAGATAAAACAACTTGATACTCGTACATATGTACAGATAATATTCAAATCTGCGTTGTTTGAACGATAAGCAATGACTGGCGAGAGTTTAAACTGGTTTCATTTGTGAGTGGAGTGCATTCTGTGCCTCCAATGTGAATGCCTGTTGAATTTCAATGTTTGCGATCAGCAGACTCTCTGTGCATTACCTAAAGCGCACTGCGTCCTCACATTCCAACGCGTCGTCGTCCAGGGACGATGACAACTTATATCTGATTGTTGAGGACAAGAATCAACTTCTGCTCGAGGAGGAAGACTTCCACAGGGGGAACATCATGGGAGACAATCAGAATCATCGAGATATGCCTCAGCAGAGGTAAATTTTAATCATTCTGGAAGAATTTATTGAGTAAAATTAGTTTTATATACGAATAATTTGAGTTGTTATGTGTGTGCATTGGTATTGTCGTTTTGTGATTTTTATTTGTTTTTTGGCTAATTTTAGGAAAGGTTTCCTCAAAGGATTGATGGAAACCAACAAATGGTTGTTGTTTATGCTTACCACGGGTCTAATGGTGTATTTTACGGTGTGGTTGATGTTTTTTCATGTTTCTGGTGATGGACTTTATTATCCACTTGATAAATTCCACAAAAGTAAGTTTTTTACTAAAAAATACTCATAAAACCTTTAAAAATTAAATATTTTCTAGGAATACCTTCACAATGGGTCCACAGAGCGGTTGTTTACAACACTTATGACTTTGATGAGTTCTCAAACTATACAATAATCCCTCCTAACCTCAAAACATTACTACCCGATGATGTTGATAGACTACCGCCATCTAACGGTACAAAAATGGTGTGTTATTATAATTTCCCAGCGTTGAATGATACTTTAAGACGATTACAAGCTGTTGATATTGAGCCACATCTATGTACGCATATAAATCTTGCTTTTGCTAGCGTGCTAGACTCGAAAATTTACCTCTCCGATGAACAATTGCAAGTTGTTGAGGAAGTGATGCTTCTGAAGACCAAAAACAAGAAGTTGAAGGTGTTGATTAGTGTTGGTGGCGCTGGAGATGACAATGGTTTTCCTAATATGGTGAAAGATCATGAAAATCGTAAGATGTGAGTTAAAAAATCAAAAATTTCAATGTTTTTCATGTTTTTAACGCGTTTTTTTGTAGATTTATTAAAAGTATTCTGGATTATGTGAAAACTCACAAGTTTGATGGCGTTGATCTTGACTGGGAGTTCCCTGGAACAAATGCCAATCCGAAAACTAAGCAGCGCATGCATTTCACGCAACTTTTGCATGAAATTCGGAATGAAATCAATCGGCAGGAACATTTTAAGTTTTTGTTGACTGTGGCGGTTGCTGCGCCTGTGTTTATTGTGGATGTGGCTTATGATGTGAGCTATATGAATGAGTAAGTTGGTTTTCTGTTGTTTTTTGTTTTATTTTAAGTTTTAATGTGTTTTTATTGTGTTTTTTGTAGGTATGTTGATTTTGTCAACTTGATGAGTTATGATTACCACTTCTACACCAAGTTTACGCCGTTCACGGGCATGAATTCGCCGTTGTATGCCAGGGAAACTGATATTGGGTATTTTAGTACTCTGAATATTAATTATACTGTGCATTATTGGCTCAATAAGGGAATTGCTCGTGAGAAGTTGGTTGTTGGGTTGCCTACGTACGGACATAGCTTCAGGTAAGATTAAGGGTTATAAAAGTTGTTTTTGCTTGTATCTTTTTAAATATTTGGTATATTTGAAAAATCTCTTCAACAATCGATTCACAATTAAATTCTACATAAGATAACGTATTTTGTTAGTGTTATAAGTTCTCATTTTGCTCTAATTTTGATAAGTGTGCACTTTTGGTACTTTTTTGTGTTTTTTATTTATAATTTTGTTAATAATTTAAATATTCACTTTATTTTTTTATCAATTTATACAGAAATAAATTCTGTACATTCTAGAACATTTTTTAAACTATCACTACTTATATTAAATAAGTTATTCAACATTAAAGTTGTCAAATTTAGTAAAATGTGCACTTTTTGCGTTTTTGTTCATAACTTTACTAATTATTCAAATATTTCAATCATTTTTTCACCCAATTATACACAAACAAATTCTACACCTTCTAAAACACTCAATATACACAAAACACACAAATTACTACTATTATTTAACATTTAAACTTAAAATTTAAACAATTTTTGTTTCCAGATTGGTTAATTCCTACAATCATGGCATAAACGCAGCTGCAAATGACTACGGCACACTCGGCGCGGACGGATTCGTTGGCTACAACGAATTATGCGTGTTTCTGCGTCGTAATCAAATCACACCGATGTTTGACTTGGTCACACGCAGCGCATTCGCTACACGCCACCACGAATGGGTTTCCTTCGACGACAGGCAGAGTCTCACCTACAAAACTGAATTTATCCGCGCGAATCGTTTTGCTGGAGTCATGGTATACGCACTGAACACTGATGATCATGCCGGTGTGTGCATGGAGAACAATACAACCAAATTTCCACTCACAAAAACCATAAAATACGCGTTGACAGGCTAAAATCTACAAAATATCGAATAGCAACCGTAGTCTAACCTAATTTTATAGGTAAACGGGATAATAGGTTAGTTTTTAGATAATTTGTGTCATTCCAAAGTAAGTTACCTGAATTTACCTGATATTATGCCATTTGTAGGGAAATTTTAGTGGAATTTGTATTTATTCAATGGAATTCTGTGATTTTCAATGATTTTAAGGTTAAATCGAATATTATTATGCATTTAAGTATTAATTACTCAATCTAGAGGTGTGCAAGCCCTGAAAATGGGAGTCAGTATTAGGAAAGGTGATAAATGGCCAAATCTTAACTTAAATTAAATCAAAATCATAAATTATCAATAATTATACATTATATTAACTTATACCAGTAGATATAAGAAAATTATCACATTGTTTGGACATTCATTGGTCTTTTCAAGTAGAGATTAAATAAAAAGTGCCAAAATGCTTTCAATCAATAAAAAAAAACTTAATTTGTAACCTGCACCTGTCAAAATTCTGTTTTTTGAGGTTAATTTAATAATTTTTTAGTTTTTTGTTAATAACTCCTTCAATTTTAAAGATATTTCAAAAATTCCTTCACTAATCTGCGTAGAAATAAATTCTACATCTTTGTATATCATTTGTACATAATAACTAATGAGATTTCTATGATTATTTTAAGTTTTACTCAAAATCACAATAAAATACTTTCTAGTATCTCGAAAAACCGCCACATTGTCGTATACCGAATGATAAAGTTCAACTTATGCTTAATATTAAAGTCGTGGAGGTCTTTTCCACCACTGTTATCAATTAAAATCAACAAAGTGTAATTTGACCAGTCTGTATGCCCTGCACCATAGATGCCAATATATGCAGGTCTCTTAATGTCTTCATTCAGCTCTATTATGTCCACACCGCATGTTGTGGATGAAATATCGTACTCATTAGGTCCATAACCAGGTTTCTTATCAGATGATATGTAGATATCAGCATCACCATAGCTATAATACAAATGAATAACATTAGAATTGTCACCATGGTGAAATGTCAGTGTAAATCAACAAATTACTTACGTGGAGATGAGTTTAAGCTTAAATCGACCTTCGTTGTGAAAACTATAGTAACTAAAGTTCTCTCTGGCGATGCTATCGTTGATAAACTCGAGATATTGCTCGTCAAACTCGAAGCTGAAGATTTGGTTGACACTTTTGTAGAGATTCTTCATGAACAGCAGCAACAGCAGGAAACTGAGCAGCTGTTTTAGGTACATTTTACCATTTTCTAACCGGGAACATTGTTTTATGTTGTTTCTAACGTTTATTTTGAAAGAAAATTGAATATTTTGTGGGTTTTGCGATGTAAGAATAACCTCAATGTGTTATTTGGGTTGCCTACATTCACAACACAATTTATTCACTTACACTGTTTAAGCTGTCATTTTATTGGGATATGAAAAATACAAAAGGAATTTGTATTTATAAATTTATTTTTCCATTTTTTTGTAGACATTTTCCTCAATTTTCGTTCATGCGCCGGTTCACAAACGCGCTTGTACTGCATGTAGTCGACATATTAAACTAAGTGTTGTCCCATTTGCCCTAAACTTCATAAACAAAATGGCGCCGGCCATTCGCTTCAATTTCTTCTCAAATAATAAAAAAACAAAAGAAACTTAATAACAAAAAACGTCCATAGATCGACCGGAATCTTCATTTCGTACAGAAAAGTGAAAAATTTACGTCATTGCCAATTTGTATAAGATGTTTGTATGTGTTGTGTATGTGTGTGTGTATAAGAAGTAAAACAAGAAAAAGAAAACAAAAGGATAACAAATTGTAATAAATGTAATATTTTTGTGTAGTGTATGTGTGTGTGGCGTTGTTTTAGCGTCAACATGCGTTGAAATTCTTTGAAACTCTACAGATTTGTTTTTTGAATTTTGGTTAAAGTTAAACTGATAACTTTGTAACGGTTTGTTTATGTTGTTGTTGTTGATGGAGTTGATGTTGTCTATTGCAAACTGTTCACTTGCTGCTGGTGTGACTGTTGCTGTTGATTCAGAGATTGGTTTTGTAGCGCTGTGTCTTTTACATGTTTTTCGACCTAAAACAAAGCATTTTCTTTAGTTTTTTGTTTATAACTAGGAAACTATTTGAGATAATTTAAAAAATTCGGTAAAAATTAAATCTAAACAAATTCTACAACAATATTAATCATGGTATAATGAAATTAGCTAAAAATTAATTTTTTAAAGCGTAAAAATTAACGAAAAATTGAATATTTGACGGTTATTTTTCGGTTTTTTGTTAATAATTCATTGAAAAATTAAAATATTTCAATTATTTCTTCACTAATCTAAACCCAGATAAATTCTGTACTAATATTAACTAGTTTTGTCCACATTCTACCTAAATTTCTACTTTTAATAACCTTCTGAAGTCAAAAATAACTTTTTTTACATTTTCGACATATTTTCAGTTTTTTGTTAATAATTCATAGAAAAATAAAAATATTTAAACAATTTTTTCACCAAAACATGCACAGATAAATTCTACACAAAACCAAACCAACTTTATACAGCTTGTACCACGAATTACCTAATTTTCAACCCCTTAAACTCAAAAATCACTATTTTTAGACAGTTTTTCATACTTTTTGTTAGTTTTTTGTTAATAATTTCTAGAGTAATTGAAATATTTGAACAATTCCTTCGCCAATACATGCTCAGATAAATTCTACACAAAACCACACCGATTTTATACAGCTTGTATCAAAAACAACCCAATTTCTAAACAAAAAAATCAAAAATTTTCCAACTCAACTACATTTTTCTTAATTTTTTCCTCATAACTCAAGCTAAACTTTATATATTCAAACAATTTCTTCACCAATACAAGCCCCGCTAAATTCTTCACCCTCTCCCCTCATTTTCACACTCATACAACCCACACATCCTCTCTAAATAAATAAAACCATGCAAAAAGTGAGTGAAAAAGCAGTTTATTTCAGGTGCGCTTCCTCGACTTCTTCGCCCGCTTGGCGCCGTGCTGACTCACCACTTTCGTAATGTACTCAAACTCTCGGCTCTCGGCGCGGCCGCGCACGTTCTCCAGCTGGTAGGGCGGCGATATCGTCACCTTGTCGAAGACGACAATGTCGTTGTTGTTCCATCGCACCTCCTTGATGGTCTTGGCGATGGCGCGGAAGAGGCGCTGCCCCTCCGGCGTCACGTTCGACGACATCTTCGTCAGCAGGCGCTTCTTTTCCTCCACGGAGTTACGAATTCGTGTATTCAACTAAAAAACAAGAAAAAATCAATCAAATTAATCAATTTTAAAGCATAAAAACAGCAAAACATCAAATATTTGAAAAATTCTTTCAGCAGTCAATTGAGAAATTAATTCTACAATGTATAAAACATTTTATATACAGGATGTGATAAGAATTATAATAAATATCAGTGATTTTGTGTTTTAATTAGTTTTTTGCTTATAACTTTGTTAAATTTTGGAATATTTTGATGTTCTCTTCATTAAAGTGAAGAGAATTAAATTCTGTATAGATATAAAAGTTTTATATACAGGGTGTATCAATATTTCTATCAAATTTTCTCATTTAAAGTCAAAAATTGTTATTTTCTTTCAAATTAACGAAGTTTTTAGAAGTTTTAAATAAAAATATGATAGTTTCAGATGTAAAACTATAAAATTAAGTAAAATAAAAGCAAGTTTTGTTGGTTAAAAGAGTAAAAATTGTTAAAATGTGTAGTGGATGATTACCCTTTGCAGATTTAGGGAAACAGGCACATCTGGAGCAGTGGTAACTTCCTTCTTCACCTGGAGTTCCTTAACCAGTGCCAGATTGATGAAGTTGACATCATTCAGGTTGTTTGGCCCATTTGGTGAGGCACATTCTACAAACAACATTAAGGAAAACAAAAACAAGCCTGGCACATGCAATATAAACACAAATAACATGAAAATGATGCTCTAAACAAGGGTAAACTGAATTTGTTTGTGGGGTTGTTGTTTGAAAGGATACTCAGTATCAAAATCTTGGTTTGCAGGTCGAACGCCATCACTTCGCCCTCAATCTCCTTGTTGTGGCACGTCCGGCACCACACGGTGCTGCCGAGCGTGAAGCAGTCGGAGACGCCCGCCATCGGTGGGGCCGGTGGTGGTCGCGCGCGCCGCCCGCTATCAGCATACACTGCCACTGCCGCCGCCGCCGATGCGCTGCCGCTGGTCGCGAAGGGGGCTCCTGGCTCAGCGCGCGCGGCGCATACGGGCATCCGTCGGACGATTCGCGCACGCTGCTCGCACCAGGTGCTGGGGACGCGGTCGCCGCGTAAGTCGCGCACGGATTTCACGGAATGCGAGACCTGCGAGACGAAAGGGCCACGGTCCTTCGTCGCCTTCGTCGTCGTTTCGGTCGTGTGTTTCTCTCGTCGCGCTCGTGCACCGAACACATTTGACGTTTTTGACATTTGCACATCTGGGGGAATTTCACGAAACTTTAACTCGACCAGTGTACAAAAATTCAAAATAACAGCTACTAAACTACATAAATTTTGTACATAACAAGTAAAAACGACGTATTAAACAAATAAAAACATAATTTCTCATAAATTTATCTTTAGAATTTCTGTAAAAGTAGTTTTAAAACTTCAAAAGTCACTAAAAAACATGGCGTATAATAAAATCTAGTAACTTTCTAGTAACTTTCACATTTTATTAACTGTCATCACTTATACAGAGTGTTTTCACATAAAATTAAATAAAAAATTAATAAACAAACATAATTAACTAATTAAACAATCAAAAACACCCGTAAATCGTCTTCCTTTACTTATTGCAACTGTCTACACTAAATAATTCGTTCCAACAGCTCTAAATACCTCATAACTTAATAAATAAGCTGTAAAAGTTTAAAAATTGTATTTTCGATTAAACATCAACAAAAAAATCGAAAATAATCACAAATACACCGTGATATAACGTCCAAAGGTGCAATTGGTCATTCCCCACCTTTCACTACGTGCTTTTCCTTATAATTTCACGTTCCAGACGCGAATTCGCAGTGTCAAAGTGCGTTTTGTGCTGTGGAAGTAAATTGGAGGTTAGTCAATTTTAATGTTTATGTGATAATTAAACAATTTCAATGTGTAATAATAATGACTTGCACGTTGATAACTTTTTAGTTGGTGGTCCAAGGGTCGTTCGACACGTTTTTGTAGGGAATTGTCGTCTGTGGCGGACAAAAACTTAGAAAACTCGCACAAAGTGAATGAAATTTAGTAAAAGTGTAATTGTTTTACGGAAATCGGTGATTGTTTAAGTTATAAACAATGGAGATTAAGGAAGTGAAGGTGCCTGTGCCCTGGGGACATATTGCAGGTTGGTTTATACAATATTTATTAGTTTTAAACTTGTTTTCTTGTTCAATATGTGTCAAAATTTAAGTTTTTTGTTAGTAATTTATTAATTACTCGAAAATTAATTAAGCTAGGGACTTGATTCTTTTAATAGTTTATTTAGCATTAAATTCTGCATCAATTTCTTTAGATTTTTAGTAAAATACTTGCTTTTATGAACTTTTATTAAGCATTTTAACCTAAAAAACGTGTTTTTTTCTTGTTATTTCTTAATTATTGCCAAAATAATTGAGTTAGTTTAAATATTCGGATTGGCAATGATTCAGAATTTAATTCTGCATCTATTGATATTGAATTCATATATATTTTAATGTTTTATAAAAAGTTATTAACAAAAAACGCGAAAAATTACTTCAAATTTTAGGTTTTTAACTCATAACTTTTAAAATATTAATTTAATTATTGAATTTCTTTAATTAGTTGATGTATAATTTAACACAGAACCCAACCTTAGCAAAATTATAACAATATTACCTTTAGTTTTGAAATTATTCAACAAAAACCCTTCAAAAACATGAAAATTTCTAATTTTTCTCATATTTTTCAGTCAAAGTCTGGGGCGATGAGAAAAACACTCCTGTTCTGGTAATCCACGGCCTCCTAGACAACGCTGGAGCAATGGATCGTCTTCTCCAACAACTTCCCACGAATTTCTGCTACTATGCAATGGATTTACCCGGCCACGGCCGTTCATCCCACTGGCCGCAATACGCCATGATCCATTCCATCGATAATCTACTCTCATACAAAGCTGTCACCGACTACTTCCAACGCAACGAGTACATCCTACTCGGCCATTCCTGGGGCGCACAAATCGGTCTTCTTTTTGCTATAATCTACCCGGAAGTAGTCACAAAGTTGATAATGCTCGATACACTTTTTGTTTATCCGATAACTTCGGGACAATTCCGGCCAGCAATGCAAGAATACCACCGAATGTACTACAGCACAATGGAGAAGTTACAAAAGCGTAAAGCACCGGAGTACACTCGAGAGGAAGCGCTTGATAGACTCATGAATCAACGCAGATACGGCGAGATCAGTCAGCCTGCAGCGGAAGCGATTTTAGCACGAAATATGATTCCGACGAGTGATGGCAAGCTAAAATTCGCCACAGATCAAAGGCTGAAGTTTTTTGTTAGTTTATTCACTGATTTTCGATATATTACTGATGTTTTGAAGAAAAATCCTGTCAATTGTCCAGTGTTAGTGATTTTAGCTTCAGAAAGCAATCTGCAGACGGTTTATTTCAAACCTGTGCTGAAATTGTATCAAAAACAGAAGAATTTTACTGTTAAAGAAGTTGAGGGTAATCATGATGTGCATAATAATCATCCAGAAAGAGTCGCGCCGTTGATTTGTAAGTTTTTGATCGAGGAAACTAAGACAAAGAGTAAAAAAGCAGTAAAAAGCAAATTGTGATTTGTAAGTAGTTTAATTTGAAGGTTTTTGCAGTATTTTTATGAATTTTATAGAGTTTACTTGGGTATAGCATAAATGTATCTATTTTAATTATAAACATATTGCTTCAGAGGGTATTTTTATACATATAAATCATTATTTTATTGTTTTAAACATGTTATAAACAATAAAACAAGCTGAAATGTTATGAAGCAAGTTGTTTGGTTGACATTTCCGATGTTTGCCGATGATGCCCGATCGTATGTCAACTTTCACCACCTGCTTTGCAGGTCGCGCGTACGCATTTGTCACGCATTCTGTGTTGTTTATCTGACTTGTGCGTATCGCATTTCCTCAAAATTACCGATTTTCCGCGCGAAAATCACACATTTCACGTGTAATTCATGTGTAAGCTTGTTGTATTGTAGCACAGACGAGGCGAGAGACGCGTGATGGCGAACGAAACAGTTTCGTAGCGATATCGTCGAGAGAAAAAAATGCAAAATTACCTGTCATTTCACGTGCGTGTCTAAATTATCACCAATTTCATCGGGATATCTCCCAACCCGAGAGTGTAAATTAGGTGAGATTACATCGTTGTTAATCTCGGAAGGGTAAGGCGAGGTATTTGACCCGGAAAAGCCTGGAATCTCTGAGGAATCTCGTAAAACATGTAAGATTTTTGGCCGCCATTTTTCTATACTAACCTTCAGATGAATTTTAGAAAAAACTAATGATAAATTTATTATTTTTACGTTTTGTAAAGAAAATTTATTAAATAATTATTTGTATTATGATATTCTAACGTTTTATGTAATGTTTTAGTGATAATGAGTGATTCAGAAGCAAATAAAATGCTTGAATCCACTCCCAACATTCCCCCAATCAATTTGGGCAAAGTGAAGGCAAAAAATGCTCTCCTACAGACTTCAGGACCATCACCAATCATGCCAATCCATTCCAGTACACTGAATGACTCACTTCTAGCAAGTGTTGACTTGTGGAATCTCAAAATCACGCCGAATGTAACACCGTCCACATCGGCGACAACATCACCCGCTGAATTCTACAAAAACCACCAGGAATCTCTGCAGAAAACGCCACTGAAACACACCGGTTTGAAGCTTGGATCACCCGAGCGCAATGGGATTATCTCAGGTAGAAAACCCACCGTTGCAAAATGCGGCATCACGCCGAAAATTGAGCGTAGTTCGCCGGCCAAGAAGCGTCTTTTTGGCTTACATAACATCAACGGTGGGTCAGCAGGCAGGAGTCCGCTTGCTGCACACACAAAACATGATCCTGTGAATTTCTTCATGAAGAAACGCAATGTACAACTGGTGGTCGAGCAGATATTCGGAGCTTTAAATGATAAAGATTTGTATAACTGTCGAAGGGTGAGTCGCACATGGCGCGAAGCTGTGGATAAATTTCCAGTGTTAAAGCGTTCAGCGATGGAATTCTCAGCGAAGATTAAGGCGATGAAAGAGAATCCCAACAAATTGAATGTTTTACTGAACAAATCCGAGAGGGATAAGAGTTCGACTGTTTTTACCTGTGATAAATTCATTCAAGTAAGTAATTTTACTTTTATATAAGTTTTTAATTGTTATTTACGGATAAATATTGAGTAATTAATATTATTTTGATTATTTTTGTGTAGTTGGGTCAAACTTTGAGTGAAAATCAAAGTTTACGAAAATGTCAGCGGTGTGAGAACCCACAAATTGTCGAATACAACATTGGTCAGTGCCTTACCTGCGGATACATCTGCTGCTTCAAATGCAACTCGTTCTCTCACGATGGCCCGGAAGGTTTCGTCGATAAATGCAACAGCAGCGCCTTGGACCTCTCGAAGCATAAAAAGCGTCGGACGCTTATGGACAGCCCGCCACACTCGCAGTTTTCGTTTCTATCATCATCATCATACAGTAACCAGAGCAATCAAAGCAACGCTGACAATTCTCACCTCTACGCGAATAATAACACATCGAAAGATTCTTGTTATTGGTCCTATGAAGATGTGGCTATGAAATCGTCATTGTGTCACACCCCGGACACTTCTTCGCCTTCGTTACGCATCCACAACGGACAAAGAAGCAACAAGCGACAGTTGGAGCGCGTGCCATTGCAGTTTGATGAGCATAGCATCAAACGTGCAGCGAGGAATTCAAATCTTTACACGCCTGTGGTGCAAATCCGTAAGTCTCCCGGACGGAATGTTCTCGAGGAGTCACCGGAGAAAGATTTCAGTAAATACAAAGGGGCGGGTACTACAGAGAGCAAGAAGCGTCTGCGCCGTCTTTTGAGATAATTGCATGTTAATTGTTAGTTAATTTCTTTTAAATTTTTGATTCTTCCAAGAAGATCATTCCAGTTTTTTGTAATATTTTACTGCTTTGACATCACTTTAACGCGTACGATTGTGTACGGACTCCAGTGCTTGTCGAATGAATGTCGGCTGAATTGTTGTCAGCTGTTAGTGTACTGACTTGTTAGGGCATTTCTTTCATGTATGTACATTTAATGCTGTTAGACAGTGCGTGGCCTTACCACATGCTGCCTTTTATATGATGTGATTCTATTTTCTACAAATTATACTGATTTTCGATATTTGGGAGTTTATTTCATTCATGTATTCCTATAATTATCCTGTTTATACTTGAACTGAGAGAAAACGTGCAGAGTGCAAAACAGTTATGAGAATTTGCTGCAAGACAGCAATGATAATGAACGAACGTAGACTTTCTTAGTGTCATGCGATAGCTAAAGAGTTCCTTATCCATTTGAGTACTTTCCCGACCCTTTAAACCCTTGAAAAGTGGTCTAAAAGAAAGCAGCTGTAGAAATTTGGAAACATGGTGTCTAAAAGTCCTTGTATCTCATGTGTTAATCGAGGAATTAAAGGTTTCTTATCGTCATCTCATAGTTGAAGAGTTTCTCTATTACCCAAGTACCTTTTTATTCCTTTAAACCCTCGACAAGGGCCCTAAAATGCTAATTAAAAGTAGCATTTTTAACAATCTATTAAAACATGTCGCTTAAAACTCGCTGTTTCTCCCGAATTTCTACAGTAATTTATGGTTTCCCGTAGTCAAATGATAGCTAAAGAGTTGCTCTATAACGCACATATCCATTTATCGCTGTAAACCCTCGGAAAATGCCCTAAAATGCCCATTAAATATTGTTAATATTTGCACCAAGTTTCAGTTTTCGTTTGAAAACGCAAGTGTCAAAAATTTTTGGGCTGAACAACAGGGTCGAACTTCAAAAGTTAAAAATTTTTCCCTCGAACAACAGGGTCACACTCAAAAGTTAAAATTTTATCTTTCGAAATCAAAATAAAACTTTGAAAGCTTATAACTTCCAAACTAAAAGGGCTAGGAAAAAACGAATTTCAGATTCTGAATCCTAGTTAAATTCTCGACAAGATACGCTATTAAAAACATGAATTTATGTTTTGCTTAAAACTGAGAAAAGTGCAAAGAGGTACCTCTTTGCACTTTTTCAATTTTTGAGTGAATCCTAACATGATGTTTTTAATAGTCTATCTTGTACAGAACTCTTCAAGGATTAAGAATCTGAAATTCGTTTTTTCCTAGCCCTTTTAGTTTGGAAGTTATAAGCTGTCAAAGTTTTATTTTGATTTCGAGGGAAAAATTTTAACTTTTGAGTGTGACCCTGTTGTTCGAGGTAAAAAATTTTAACTTTTCAAGTTCGGCCCTGTTGTTCAGCCGAAAATCTTTTGGCAGCTGTCATATTCGATCGAAATTTGAAAAGTGGTATCAAATAGCAAGTTTTAACATGTATTTTAGGGTACTTTTGTAGGTTTTAAAGGATCGGGAAAAATGGTATATTATGAATAAACTTCTTGTCTATCGTATAACAGTAATATGACTTAAATTGCTTTATATTTTCCAGAGATATGGGATGTTTTCTTCCTCATGACATAGTAAGTTCAGTAAAAAATGCACATTTTGACCGGGTTTTCGGGCACTTCCTGTAAGTGTAAAGACTTTGGAGATCATGTAAGTTATTTAACAACTCTTTGACTATAATTAGACAATAAAAAACAATAAATTGTCTTTTCTGTAAAGAAGATATAATATAATTTATGTGCAAGGAGTTTCATATTTGGAAGTGGAATGAAAAACGGTTTGCAACGCAATATTTCTTTATTTAACACATTAATAAACACATTGTAACTTATAATTTGCAATAAAACAAGTACAGATATTGTTTAAAGTGCATAAAACTTTAATTTCCTTAACAAACTGAAAATTAAAAGGAAAACAAACCGTACATATGATCTACATCTATATGATCAAATTGGAAAATAACAACATAACCAATAAACATCTAACATATTTTCATTTTAATGTTGTTTTAAATCAACAATTTCGGGCTTTAAATACCAACAAATATCCATGGAGCTTGATTTTGAGGACCTAATATCGCAGAGCATCATCACCAACGATGACGATTCAGATAACGCAAAGAGTGTATCAGTGAAGACCACTCAAAGCAAAGAGTATGACCTAGTTTACAACAAAAACGACTCATCTTTCCATATTAAAGTTAAAAAAGATGGTAAGCCTTCAATTCTACTCAATTTAACCACCAACCAGACCAATTTAAACCCCTTCAAACCAATCATTTACACTACCTGAAAGAAAAAGCACACTAAATTTGTTTTCCAGACACAACAAACCAATAACTAAACTAATTAATCATTGTAGGTTTTATCTGTGATGAATGCGGTGAGATCTATGAAGAAGAACATGAGCTGACCAACCATAAACGCCTGCAGAAGTGCAGGCGAAAATACAAAACCAAAGCTGAGCTCAAAGAAATCCCATTGGAATACAATGTGAATAGGTTTCTCCAGATAGACCTCTCCACCTATCATGAAATCATTGATGACAATGAGGACAACTCACTGGAAAGCGACGACTTCAACGACGAGAACAGCGAGAAACACAAACCGAACGAAAAATTCACATGCACCGAATGCGGACGCGTTTGTGCGAACGCCGTTGGCCTGCGAATGCATACCCGAGTGCACAAACCGAAGCGTGGACGCAAGACGTGATTTCCATCCTTAAATATTAACTTAAACTAATTCATTACATTAATTTCGGGTCTGTATGTGTTGACTTTGCGTATGAATGCAGCAAATTGCAATTTCTCATCTTATTACAATGTTTCGTGTAAATAATTCATCATTACAATTACAATTGGAATTTCATTAGGACATACATTATTTTGCTAATAAACTGATAATTACTTGCTTTATCGAATTTTCTTTTACTTTTTAAGCCATTTTATGATGTTTTACACTTGTTAAATGATAAAAAACGGATTTTTTTTAAGGAAAAATGAAGAAAAACAACACTTTTGGTGATTTTTGTAGTAAAAAGAGTATTCATTCATATTCGGAGCGTATACATAGAGTCACAAGAAGCAATCAATATATTCGTATCTTAAATTTGTTAATCTCTCGTCGAATGTTTCGAATTGTTCGTGTCAGCATCAGTATCAAATCAATTGACACCCATTCATCGTTCAATTTACAATATTGGCAATTCTGAATGAATGAAGACACTAAGGACACTAGTCCTACGTATATCGTCGTGTGTTTCATGTGTCAGCACACACACAATTCGTCTGTCTGGCGAGCGAGACGAACAAAACTGCTTGCGCTAACGGGCGGTATCGTATTTATTTTTGTCTTTAATTTTATTCCTAAACACCCATCATTCAGCCACGCACGCATGCACACACATACACTGCATCCTTAGACGGAAGTACAGACATTATCCTGGTTAGCGCTTCTTGCCTTCTTCGCACACATTAAACACTACGTTCCTCAATAATTGTATCACAGACTGACAATAGCAACTAAAAAATTATGTAACATCGATTCTTCTCGCTTACATGCTACCGCAACGTACGTTGTAGGCTTAAATGCAAAAATCACTTAAGAGATACGTCTAGTTTAGGCTTAACGAATCTAAATATAAATATAGGAATAGCGGTTGCTTGTTTTTCAACGGTGTGTTTGCTGATAATAAGTGAACATAAACACTAGACATCACTAGCCACGCATCGTATGGTTCGAAACTAAACATATTCAACACAACAACTTAACAAATGGCACATAATTTTGACAAAAAAGCATTCTGGTAATTTCATTTGATGAGATAACTCTAATCGCAGCGCTGTACATGACGCATGAGTAAAAATTACTACAAAATTTTAGTTATTTATCAATTACTCGAAAACTATCAACGCTATCGTGAAAAATCTTTCACGCATCAATTAAGAATTAAATTCTGCATAAACTCACGCAAAAATCGTCACAATCGTAAAATTACACAAAAAGTTATGATGAAATCTTAATTTTACAAAAAATATGCAATAACTATTGATAACAGATTGTTATCAATGAATTTTTTACATAATAATATCCAGAATTTAATTCTTAAAGCAACATTGAAGAAATTATTACAATAACTTCATTAGTTTTCGAGTTATTAACAAAAAACTAAAATTCTCGCTGTTTTTCATCATCATGCGTCACGTAAAAGTATCACGACTAAATTACATGATAATTATGATACAATATACACTTAGTTTGTAATTAGTTACTTAGTTATTGTAAATTACGTATATGGGTTCCTTCGTTTAGTATACATTTCGTTTTTTTAGCCCTTAGTGTACTATAACGTTAATTCTTAAAATTTTTCATACTTTGAATGACATTCATCATTCAACAATACTGGTATACAGAGAGAGAGATAGATTATAAATAATTAAGGTGTAAAACAGGTAATACTGAATTTCCTTTCACTGTTCATCTTTTACGTCTTGCTTTTCATCGCGTATACATCGTTTTTTTTTAGGTAAGCGCTTAGAATTTCATCTCTAGTTTTACATAAGTAATTAATTAGTTTTTAATGTTAACGTTGTCGAAAACGTGCTTTATATCTGAGGTATATATTACGTATACATGTTGCTTTTGTTTTGTTTATCTAATCAAAAGGTTAATTTTGATCTTTATGGCATTTTTGTATTTATAATCGTGGCGCATCTATGCGACGCAAGTGTTTCACATTAGTTTTTCGTAATTTATTCAAAAACTAATTGAGATAAATTAATGATTCTTTCAACAATAGAATACGAATTAAATTCTCTATCAAACTCGGTAAAAACTAAACAATTCAGAGTATCACATAAAAAGTTATAAACAATTAAAGTTAATTATGCAGTAAAAATAAGAACAAACACAAATTAGTCTGTAACTTTTGATAAAATACTGATAAGAACAAAATCTTTCGTCAGTTCCATTCAGAATTTAATACAGAATCGATTAGTGAAAGAATCATCATTCTATCTCAATTAGTTTTCGAGTAATTAAGAAATCCCGATTTGAAGTATTATTTTCTCGTCACATACCGCACCACAACTATTCTGGTATACATCTGTGTACGTATCTGTGTCCGTTTCGCAGTATACTTTCTCAAAGCTTTAAAATTAATCAATGAAAACTTATAATACAATGTACAGATCAGCCTTGTTTAGTTATTACAACTGTGTTCATCATCATCATCATCATCATGCCCCCGTTTTCGTTTCAATTGCAATTGTTGCGCGTTGTAAAAACTCACTAGTAACTAACGTTATAAATATAATGGAAAGCCCTTGTCGCGCCGTGTGTGATGCTTATTTATCACCCGGACTGTGATTAAAAGCGCCATCATTGTTGCTATGGCCGTTCTCGATTTGCGCGTGTGCGTCTATCACCAAACCCGGATCATCACCGTCGTCACTATAGGAATCACCTTCGTCATCTGAACTGGACAACAATCCTAAAAATAAATATTTTATATCATAAAACATAAAATAGATTATTTATATTAATACCTCCATCAATTTGTGGTTGAATATTAGCGAAATCCTGCGGCCAAAAGCGTCTGTTATTATTCTGTCCCGAGGTTTTCTTCTTCTTATGCCCAGAAGGGGAATTTTCTCCCGATGGTTCAGTAGCAGGCGCGCTTGCATCCAACATCGGCTGGAGAATCCTCCTACGTGCATTAATAAACCAATTGTTGACTTGCAACAGAGTCAGATTCGTCTGCGCAGCGATGTGTCGCTTCTCATCCTCGGTGGGATACGGATGCTGAAAGTCCGCCCCCAGTAAATTATTCACTGTATATTAAACAAAATCATTTTTACAAGGATTACTTACGACTAGATGTTGAAATAACCACGAACGCATGACGCTGGTAGCTTGTTTGGGCAGCACACCACGTTTCTGCTTCCGATAAGTGGAACGTGACGCAAAATCACTATCGCATTCATCACCGGACCCACCGGGTGTGGTCGTGAGTGCCGGTGATAACGGCCCGGAGGATTCACTCGGCGGAACAGAACAACCCAAATTCGCACCGATTTGACTCAGCGGAGTACTGCCATGTACAACAAGTCCATCGCATGGTAACTGTTGTTGCTGTTGGTGTTGTTGTTGTTGTTGCTGGACGGCGGCGGCAACCGCGGCGGCTGCCTGCTGCGCCTGTATCGCCTGATGCGTGGCCTGTTGCTGCTGCTGGTACGCTTGCAGATTGAACGCGTTCATCTCAGCCTGCTGTTGTTGCGGCGTGGTCGACTAAAAACGCAGAAATAAAATCATAATAAAGCGCGTTGGCGAAAACCAGGAGCAGGAAGAAGGAAGAAAATAAAATCTTTTGTCTTGTGTGTGTGATAATTAACGTACTGCTTGCGGACTGATCGAGTACTGCACGGGACTGTTGCTCTCCGAGCCGGTGTCGGAGTTGCCATGCGATAGAAGATTGTTGTTGCTTTCCATGCCCAGCGGGCCGCCGCCGCCGCCCACGCCGCCCAGACCAACACCGCCGCCGGCGTAGTCCGAACGCAGGAGATTCTCCGACTGCATCTTGCCTTTGAGGCACGTGATGTAACGATTACAAAAGTCCTTGCAGAGTTCCTGCACTTTTTCTAATTCGAGGAGGTGTATTCGAAGCACTTGGATAGCTTTAATCATCTAAAAATAAACATTAATCAATAAATATAAATTTTTTTATAGAAAATAACTTACAAGTCCGTCAATTTCGGGCTCATTCGAGAGGAAAGGTTTGCGATCGCGTTCCTGATGCTGGACGAACGCCTGAATGTCCATGTTGAACGCGTCTGAAGATTGAGGATCACTGGATTGCGTCGCGAGCTCACAACGCTCAAAGAGTAACGCCAACAGAGGAAATAAAGGATGTCTAAGTATAAAATCAAATAATATTAATAATAAATTATTTTCAGAGATATTTTATGATATTACTTGTAGACGGCACGTTTATCAGCCTCGAATTGCGCTTGATCGTTATCGGGGGCAGCGGGTCCCGTCGCAGGATACACGCCGGCGGCGAGCTGCTGCTGGGGCACCGAGGTGTCGCCCCCCGTCGCTACACTCAACATGTCGAGACCGGAAAATATCCACTACGCCGAGTTAACTGCAACAAAAAAAAAAAACGTTTTTTGATTAATTTTTATTAATCCAGACAAGTCCTGCGTTCAAAAAGAAATATGCGTGTTCGGCAAGCCATGCTGGAGAGTTTGAAACACAGCACGCTGAGCCAGCTGTTTTTTATCGCTTCGGCTTTCCGCAGCAGGCTTCAATTTAACTTCGCCGCTGCCTTAGTTTTCATCTTCGGTCCGTCCGAATTGTTTCACCCTCCCCGCCTTGGAGAGGAAACGCATAAAACACACCGGCAGCCACCCCCGGAATGAACTAATTCGCTTCTTTCCGGGCGGTAGTTACACGAATTATACTACTCACGGCGTGGAGATATTGAGGAATCATTTGCATAGGATAATAAATATTCCGCACCTACGATGAATTAAAGTTATATCCGTGAGATGCAAAATGATTAAAAGAAAAAAAGAGGAATAGCAAGCAGTAAGTGTAGATTTAGTCTTTCTATGTGTGTTTGTGTGTGTAGACGGAAAAGAAAATGAAGAAAAGGCGAGCGGGGGCGGCGAAGGCGGCGAGCAGAAGGTCGTTCCGTGCAAGTGTCGCCGTGGGGCCGATTCCCGAGTGCAATTATTGCGCGCGTGTTGGTGTGCAACAACGTCAAACATCCCTATACCAAATGTCGCGCTAAAACCCACCCTAAACACTCTCAACCTCTACACTAACACCCTGTATATAAATACAACCCGAATCTTCTTGTGTGTGTTGAAAGGTAGACTGTTTTTCTATTCCCAATTTTTCGGCGCGGCGCAAAACGAGAGAGGAAGTGGAAAGTGGACGCTGTTTCTGTATGTAAGGCGTCGTGGTGTTGGTAAGAGGACGGAAAGCAGGAAAGCGGGCGCTGAAAGTTTCGCGTATATATAACTTTTCTTCGCCGTGGTGGAAAATAAAAAGTTTTTTCTTTTGCATTTTGCATGTTGGCGCGCGCTGTGCGCGTTCGTTTTAAGTTTGCGTCGTTTCGCCGAACGTGTGTTTTCCGCTTCTTTCCGCTATATTTTGCCAGTGGATAACCGCAACGCACAACAGGAGCAAACAAAATCACGAACAAATGCATGAAATCCGGGGGAAAAAATATTTTTCTAGAGAAAATATGAAAATATGTCAATACGTGAAGAGATATCAGCTTAAAATCATATAGAACACTACTTAAGCTCTTTACTTATCTTCCTGCTTTAGTATGTCTTCTGTAATATGAGCAGGAAGAGGAAAAAAACAGGAAAAGTTGAGTTAATTTAGTATAATTTAACTAATTTTTGCATAAAAACGCAAAATTTCTGGTAGAAACTTGTAAAAAACAACAAAAAACGTATTTTAAGCCACTGACTTAAGTAGGAGAAGAAAAACACTAAAATATCATTAAATTCTGAGTCAAATTTCACTAATTTTGCGGTAATTACAATTAAATCATTTAAAATATTGACTCGTACAACAAAAAATGTTTTCTTTAATTTTGGTTTGGATTTTTGTACATTTCAGGAGCAAAATATCAAAAATTGCGTGTTTAAAACACGTTTTTTAACACTACTAAAATTTATACATTTTCCTAATGTGGTTGCAGTTAAAACCTTCAAAAAACTTCCACCGATTTGATTAAAACAATGATTGGAGTGAGTTCCTGCGCCATCCCGAATGAAATTAGTTAAATTAAATTTTAAGAATTAAAAGCCAGAAGGGAAGAAGCAAGAAAATTGGAAAAACAAGGCGCTGGAATGGTCCAACTAGCAGGACAACCGGCCATTAAACGGAAATCTACCCTTACCCCTACATCCACTTCATCCCTTTTGCCTAACTAAGCAAAAACCTTATGTTATCCCCGAAGTAAAAACACGCTCCACTCCCTGTGCGCGCTCACAAATTCAAATTGTACATTTCTTTACTTTTTACTCTTTCTACTCTTCTACTCCTCCAACAGCAGCATCGCATCACTTGTGTTTTATTCATGCTTATTCATAAATTAATTTAAACTTATGCGCCGCGTTGTTTTATATTCTTACGTTACGTATACTTGGGGGTTGTTTGGTTTCTGATGGCTTTTTACTCGCTGTTCTTCTTCTTCTTCAACAGTCACATTCGTGTTCTTTTTATTGTTATCGCCGCTTATTAAAACAGTAAACACGCAAAGGGGGAATCTTCGCGTGCGCTTAGGGGATGCTAGTGTATAGGGAGGAAAAGAATCATGTCATAAATTCAAGCAACGACCGCAAAGATGACAAAAAGTCGCTTTATGAGACTGCGCGACACTTGTTTATTGCCGCATCTGTTGCGGGATAATAATATTTACCCCCATCAACCCCGTAATATATCTTTCATATATTTTTAAACTTTTTACGTAAAAATAACTAAAATTATTTACTGAATTGTTTTTGGTTTGGTCCTCTCCTTGAGGATTTATATCCGTGTTTAATTTGCGGGGGCGGCAAACATGCGCCTTGTTTGTTGGCGCGCGTGTTTAATCGCCCTCTCGCCATCTTTTGAGGCAGCGTTATTGTTTTATATTATGCTAAAACGGCGCATTCGGGCGAGCAACAACCGGCGAACAAATTAAAATGTCCCGCGCGGCGGCGGCGCGCAGAAAACGCCGAGGTGTTTGCAAACAATTGGAATTATTTGCATTTAGATCATTTCGGAGGTGTTGTACAATGAAATGATAAACATTTACACACGAATTAGAAGAGTTTAAAGAAAAATTACGAGAATTTGGAAGGTTTTTGGGGTTTTGAGGTTATGTGGAAGCTGGGGAAGAGTTTTATGTTGTTTTTTTACAAAAAATTATTGGAAATTGTGTAAAAATCAATGGAATTCGATAAAATTAAGGAAATTTTTAGTTTTCTGCTCTTTCTACGTGTATAACGGAATTTTTTTGGAATTTTTACAAAGTTTTAACTAAAATTGTTGCTTTTAACCTCAAAATTTGAGAAAATTAGACAAAATTTTGATGTTTTTTTACACGTTTTCAGTTAATAATCCTTTTTCCTTTAATTTTTATCATTCAATATAACAATTTTCACCCCTTACAAGCCCTTACCTCACTTTGCTTCCTTAAAAACCTTAAAATTTTATTTTTATCCAAAAATTTAAAAGAAAAGAAAATAATGTTTGTTGTTTATCGGTTGGCATGACAATAGTATCCTGTTTATTCAAATTAGACGCAGTAAACTGTCTCGAGTCGCAGGCATATCGCAGGCGTCACAGCTCATTCATATTTTAATGGCGCGTCGCGGGTGTCGCACGTGGGGGCGGCAGCGCGATATAAAACATGCGGGGCACGCCGCCGCGCCGCCGAGAGGATTTTCATAAACACACACAAACCGCGAAATGATGTGGAATGCGAAATGTAAACCGGTCGTAAACATTTTCATAAATGTCACACGCGCAAAAAATTTAAATTACAATTATTCTACATTTCCAAATTAAAAACCAAAAAAAAATTACTTTAGTCACGAGCGTGACTAAAGTAGAAAATAAACATTTAATCAACTTAGTTCAGGTCTGTGCTTTGTCTTGCCCTAGTATATGTTTAAGGGTGTTATCTTATTATCGCGTTATCCTGCAATCTCATCGATTGGATCCGCGCGCGTCCTTTGGCGTTCATCCCCAAACAAAAATCCACTTAAACTCCGGTGTTTTTTCTTGTTTCGCCTCGTTTCACATATGTGCCTCAGCCTCAGAAAGCCAGATCCCGCTGCTGATCCTGAGCCACCCTTAAAAATTTCAACTTTATTTTTTTCTCCTCTTGGTGAAACTTTCCTGCATGCTCGTGCAGTCGGGTAGATTACGCGCGCCGAGAGGGGTGCACATCCTGTACGCGAGAGGAGCGTACGTCGCCTGAATGGGAATTGCCATCATTTTACGTAACAATATGTACGGCGGGCGCTAGGTGGATGCATACACCCCGCTCATACTTCATATAAATAAGAACAAACACAAGCCGGAATAAATATGGAACGTGGCCGCAAGCAGCGCCCGCAAACAAATCGACGAAAACAAGCGCACGCGCATGGAAATGCGACAATAAATTTATTATTTATTGTCTTCATTCATTGCAAGCACAAATATTACACTAAAACTAAAAACTTTAAATTTGAAGTTTTATTATCGCAGAAAAAATAAAGAAAATCAAATCAAATTCGTTCAAAAAACAAGTTTTCAGGTAGTTTTCAATAAGAAAAGTTTGATTTTTAAGTTGTTCATAAAAGAAACAATCAAATAGTCATTAAATATCCATAAAAACTTAATTTTACTGCCGGTTATGTCGAAGTAAAGTTAATTTTAAGTTTATTTCATGTCTAAACGTGTTATTTGATGTTTTAACAACAATATCAGTCTTAAAATAAGCATTTTAAGCACTAGTGTGAAAAAGTGAACTTTACACATATAAATAACACCTTAAAGGTAAAAAATTACGTATTTCCATGAACTAATACGAACAAAAATGCAAACAAGACGTTATTTGATGTATTTTACGGAAAAATGTTTAAAAATTGAACTTTAAACATCCAAATGTCAATAAAAACCGCAAATAACCTCAATATTTGTCTAGATAACCTCAATATAACCTCCAAACAATAAAAAATGTTAAAAACAAGTTGACACCTCGAAAAAAACACAAAAAACACTTCAAAAAAAACTTATACGCACGTAACTTAAGATATTTTACATAAAAATGCATAAAATTGAACTTTAAACATCCAAATATCAATAAAAATCCTAAAGAATCTGAATATTTACATAAACACCCTAATTTTACCTTCAATTAAGTTAAAATATGACCAATATCTACATTATTAACCAAAATATCACCTTAACAGTGAATTTTTGCACACTACAACAAACAAGCCCCTCAAAAACACACTTTTTAACACTCCCCCTGAAACATTCCACCCCCAAATGCATAAAAATACAACTTCCCACGTCAAAACAACAATAAAACATCAAAAAACTACTAATTTACTCAAATGATCCCAAAAAACCATGTCCACTTTAAAAGTGATAAACTCACACTCGCAGAAAAATAAAGCCAAAGCCCGTGACATAAAACAGTGGCAAGTGTTGAACTGTTGAAGTGTTTTACGGCCGCCGGTGCTTTCGGGCGGCCCGCGCCGCGCGCGAGACAAATGAGGGCAATAAATCGCGTCTTTTTCACGCACTTTTTATTCCGTTGAGGCAGGTTCATCCCGCCAGTGCACGCGTTTGATTAGAATGCACATTCCAACACATGTTTTAACAACAATCATCATAATAATCATTTTGTATGCAGCGAAACAAATTGTTTAGTAAATTTCATCGATTCCACATCAACAAAGCGCGTTTCAAGTTTACATTCGTGTTTAACACTTGTAAAAAGCAGAAATAAACACAATTGGTACCTGGGTGCGTTTTAAAAGTGTAAAAAACGTGCTGGAGAATGAAAAATACGAAAAATGTGTTTGCATTCACACAACTGCTGGGCACAAACCACACAAGCACACTTTGTGCCTGCAGGCACTTAGCAGTCGTGTTCTAATCAGCGTAAATTGATATGCCCTTCAAGTCCCAGCACACGCTCCAGCACAATATATTTGTACAAAAAAATCAAATTTAAAAATAAGATTTTTTCGAAGATAGGCAACTTAATTAACATATTAGTATTATACAACTGAAACAATTAAATTTAAATTAATGTTTTATGTGATAAGTACTCACATTTCCTGTGGAATGCAGTATCCCAGTCGTCCGTTGATAATCCCCTCATGTGATGCCATGTCCCACAGGCACAAAATTCGCGTTTTTTTTCTTCTTCTCTCTGCGATTTGCAGGCGATTTATCACAGCGTCCTTTTGATTTGTCTGACAACTTGTAAACAAAAACGAATCTTACACTCGTGCGACACTCGTTGTTTTCGGTTTAATTTTATTCTTTTAATCTGTGGGATAAGAGATTATTATTATTATTGTATTTAGTTTGTTTTAAATAAATTATTGTAAATGGTGGACATGTGACTTTATCGCGGCGGTATTGTTATGGGTTTTCGACGGTGAGGAATGACTTCGGCGGTCGGTTTTCGTGCCCCGGGACGCGCACAGCACAGCAAACCGAATTTCGGCAAATGTTTACATGTCACTTTTGCCGTAACAAATGACTTTCTGTCTAGACTCCGACGACGTATGTCAATATTCGTCAAAATCAAAATGGCTACGCCTTTCGTCTTCAAGCCACCACCAACTTACACTATTGCTGTCTTCTTCTACTACATTATAAACACTATATCTATGTCGCAGGACGTAGTAGTGGGGTATTAACAGAGAAAACACGCCCAAATCCACTCCGCACTCGCATCCGTTGACTACGGGGATAATAAAGCGGGAAATACGAAAACTATGGTTAAATAACAATCTTAAATTAATATTATTTCAATATTTATGGAGTTTTATAGAGGTTTTTAATGTTTTTAATCGGAAATTTACGTTTTTCTGATGGAAGTTGTCTAAATGTCATGCGCAGACACGGCCTACCACACATGACGACAGCAGCTCGCATTCCTGCGCTGTGCGAGGAAAGCGGAAAACCTGCAGGAGTGTTTTCCACGCGAAGCGCGAGTTGAGTAAACAGCACACTCTCGTATTTTACTTTTATGCGCTTTATGGTATGATCCTGCGACGTTTTTCAATATGTTCAAGTCGATATCTAAGAGTCGCGGCGAGACATTTCGAAAATTTATGATTTTCCGAGACATTTTCATGAAAATTGCGCGCATAAATTCTCAAGAGAAACTATGCAAATTTATTAAATATGCCAAGAAAATACTAAATTCACACATATATTTACTTAGTTTTATATTTATTAACATTTAACATTTATTTTCTATTTTTGCACAATATTTAGGTTAAAATTAGTAAATATGCATATAAAAAAATAAATTACTATAATATTAATAATATATTTAATGATTTGTAAGTTTCTAATAGTTTTTATTAAGTTTTTTTATGATTTTCTAAAATTATTTTTAAATTTTCTCGTTACACTATAGGCAACCAAGTTAACACGCCGGTTTTGTTGTGTGGACGCCATCATGAATTCAACACATTTCAACCAATCCGGGCTTAACCGCACAAAAAGTGAATTTTTACTGTTTTTACACTGTTTCCAAAGCAATAAACAATAGTACATCAACAATAATCAACAAATAGATCACATACACTATAGCTAGTAAGTTATTTATAAAGTTTTAGTGTATATTTCAAGTTTTAAAAAGTAAAAAATGGACATGGTTGGCTCTCCCGGCGAGAGCGTCGCTTCGCCATCAATGCGCAAGCATAAAAGACACAAACGCGACCGCTACGAAGACGACAGCCACGATGGATCCTCACTAGAAAAACCAGGAGGTCTTAAACTCATCCTGAAAGTCGGCGGACAGAACACACCCGAACACAACCCAGGTAAAATTACTTTCTTCATAAAAAAATACATAAAACTAATCTGTTTTATTTTCTTCCAAAAAACAAAAGAATTTCAATACACCGGACAATTCGCCGCTGAACAATCCGAACTCCTGCGCTCGCATCACAAGAAAAGCAAGAAAAAGAAGAAGAAAAAGGACCGCTCGAAGGATAAAGAACGCAAACACAAGCATCACCATAAGGACAAGAAGCGAAAACGCGAAGATGTTTCCATGTCGGAAAACGACGCCACACTCACCGGATTCACGCTCACATCATCCACATCGAGTTTATCCGGTGTGCCAACACTGCAAGCAGTTGTCCCACCCACATTATCACTTCCAATTGATATTGAAGATATCAAAGAAGATGAGAATAGTTTGTCATCGCCGAAACCTGACATGGCGCAGCTTGGCAGCCCGTATCGGGAGCCAAGAACATGCGTTATTAAGAAGATACAGGAGAGGAATACTGTGCAGAGGATGTTGGAGCACTTTTTGAAGGCGATTGAGAAGAAGGATCCACAGCAGTTCTTTGCTTGGCCTGTCACGGATAATATCGCGCCTGGGTACAGTACTATTATTAGTAATCCGATGGATTGCAGTACAATGAGGCAGAAAATTGATGATAATGAGTATAGGGACTTGCCAGTAAGTGATTTTATCAGAGTGTTTTCATTTATAGAAAGAAAAACAGTTAAAAAACAGTTTTTTTGCTTGTTTTTCTATTAAAAAATGCAATTGTTTTGAAAGTTTTATGCGTAAAAGATGAGGAAGTAATTTCTGTTTGATACAATATGTATATCAATGCTGTAGGTTTAATATTTTCATAGATATTTTAGTTTTTATTGAATATAGGTATTGAGAATAGGTATGGAATGAGGTTTGTTAAAAAATGCGTTCATTGTGTCGGTAGCAAGTGAATTAATTTCCAGTGAAGTAATGACTGGCGATCGGAGCGGTTTGTTGCCGGATTTATAACCCTAGCGCGTTTTATCACTCGGCAACCTATGAACTTGTTTGTTGTAATTAAGTTAATCGATGCATGGCGCACGGATTGTTTACCAACAAGTAAATATTGGCGAAAATGTTCAAGTGTGCAGAGAATTACGGTCTTATAGTATCAATGAGTATCAAAAAGCAGTAAAATTACTTAAATTTATGGTTTTATGTCTTAATAACCGAGAAATAAGGTGATATTCATAATATTTTAGTTTTTTTAGTTGAATTATGGTTGTATTTTGTACTTTTGACTTTCTACGCGCTGTTTGAAGATGGCTAGTCTAGTTTTTCGCACTCACACTTTGCACTCACCTATTCAGAATAGATAAAACATGAATTTTGCAAATTTCAGAATCTAAAAGTTAAATTTCTCATGTTTTACGCTGATATTTCAACAAATACTCAATCATTATTGATTAATCTAACAAAAATCAACTAAAACTCATGATTTTTTGCATTATTGCAGCCAAAACAATGAAATTCTCTGTAAAAACATTGCAACTCTGTTCAATTCCAAGTATGCACTGCACAAAAGTTTTCAATTACTTATATTTTGCTTGTGCAATCAAAAAAGTGTAAATGTGCACTCAGATTACTTGAGTTATTACAATTTAACTTTATTTTGCAAACAAAAACAGATAAATTCAATCATTTCACAGGGATTAGACAATATTTTAGGTGAAAAACTTTGAAAATTGGTGTAAACAAACCAAAAAAGGGTAAAACTAGACTTTGAAGGCTTAAAATAGGTAGTATGAAGGGAAAAAGAACAAAAAACTAAAATATTAATGCATAACAACTTATTTTTGTCGTTATTAAGTCAAAAACCCACAAAATTAAGCAACAATTCACATTTTAATCAACAATTGATAAACTTAATTCTGAATTTGGTTCAAAATGCCTTAAACCATGATTCATGCTTCCTATTTTTAATAAAACAGGAATATCTATGAAAATATTAAACACAAAGCACTTGTATACATATTTTATCAAAGAAAAATGAATTCCCCATGGTTTACAATCAATAATTCTTAAACAATAGCAATAATTAATGAACACAAACCAAAAAACACTTTTCTTATATATTTTAATACATAATTCATTCAAAAATCATCTAATTTCTAATATTTCCAAAGGAATTCATGGAGGATTTCAAACTAATGTGCAACAACGCAATGAAATACAACCACGCCGACACAGTCTACTACAAAGCAAGCAAAAAACTCCTCCACGCCGGCCTAAAACTCGCCCAAGTCGACAAATGCGCCTGGATACTCTCCCTCATGCCAGAACTAACAAAGCACGAGCTGGGCTTCGAAGTCCCCGCCGAAATCCGCGCCGAATACAAAATCGACACCACGCACCTCTCACCACTCGCCAAGCGCAAAATGCCCGCGACGAAATTCGAAGCCATCCCTGACGATCTCGAACCGGATGAAGTCTTGGCACGCGCACAGAAAGCCGCACGTGAAGCCAAAGCAAAACTCCAGTCAACACGCCGCGGCGGGCCTAATATGGGCTTCCTGCGCCAGAGGAAAGACGGCACGACACATTTGAACATCCTGGTTGGCGGCGACGGTGTCATCCCAGGCACAAAGAAACGCCCGGTATTATTAGGACAACTTACAGGTAAACTCACCGAAGGCACCGGAGCTATTCAAGGATTCCGTGAGGATCGTAGGAATATCGCCAAGCCGGTTAAACCGTTGTACTACGGAGCGTTTGGTAGCTATGCTCCGAGTTATGATTCAGCTTTCGCGAATCTAAGCAAAGAGGAAAGCGAATTGGTTTATCAAACGTACGGATCTGATGCTGCCGTGCAATACGCAGAGAGTATTCTTGACTTTGCACGTGATTGCGACTACAGCGTTTATATGGTTGATAGTTTATTGGATCTCATGACGGGTGGGGAACATTCGAAAACGAAAAAATCTCTCGAAGAGAAAAAATCACTACGAGAAGAAGAGGAGGCTGTGAAAACAGTTATAGAATCATCGTTGGATACGGTTAAGATAGACGTGGATGAATTGAAATCTCTTGCAGATATTGGTATTGATGTGGAATTTTTGGATAATATGACAGATGTGGTTAAGTCTGGTGAGGAGCATGTTGAGTTGCAGGATAAATTGAATACAATGTCAGGGCTGTTGGATAAGTTGCATAAGATACAGCATCAGAGGTTGAGTCAGAATGTGCCGGCGCATTTGAGTAATCTGCCGGGGCCTAGTGATGAAGAGGTGACACTGGCGAATACTATTACGACGAATTTGACGGATATAGCGAAGAGGTTGAATCCTGGGGAGGTTGTTCCGGTTGCTGGTGTTAGGAAAGCTTTGGGGGTTGTTGGGCCTGAGCCGGAGACTGCGGGTGGTACGCATGAAGTTGATTTGGAGACGGAGTTGAGGCAGTATTTGGAGAATGAGAATAATTTGGTGAATTCACCGTTGAGGGTGGTTGATAAAACAATCGAGGAGATTCTCATGGAGTAAGTTTTGATGTTTTAGAATGTTTTAAAATGGAGGACAAGTGTGGGTTGCCTATATTATACTTAATGCCATATTTTAGAATTTGAGCGAATTTTTACCTTTTTATTCAAGTAATACATAAAAATATGACTTGCAAGTGCATAGTATAATATCCCAAGTAAAATAATTAACTAATTCACCATTAAAAGGTGATAAATTAAATTTTAAAATAATTGACATGTATGAAGTGTATTGTGGGTTGCCTATAGTATAACACCACACGATGATTTAACATTATACTTTTTAACTTTCAATGCACATTTTCACCTGGAGTTCAAGGTAGAGAGAAATTCAAACCGCACACAAAAGCCGTGAAAGCGTGACCCGCAGCTCCACAGCATGACATCCTACACGCCCGAGTATCTCCAAGCCAAACTCACGAAAGAACTCGACGCTGTACACGTGGTAAGTCACAAAATCTCCTCTAACCAAATCACAATCTTTAAAAATCAATAAACGCAACGAAACTGCACCGCAACCGCGTCAAAAAACCATATAATAGTCAGATCAGATATTCAGGGTCATGTTTACATCACCCACATAAACTTAACACAACTGTAATTGCGATAAGATATTAATTACTCCACCAACGCACGACACGTAAGCATCAGTACACAAAACTCAACAAAAAACATCAAAAAAGATGAAATTAAGTAATGAAATCGCCTGGTGCATCTTCGGAATATCCGCCTCGATCTTCCTAAGACTCTGCACCACCTTACATCCGTATTCCGGCCAAGGAAAACCGCCTATGTTCGGCGACTACGAAGCACAACGCCACTGGATGGAAATCACTGTAAATCTACCAATGAATCAATGGTATCACAACACCAGCAGCAATAATCTCGAATACTGGGGCCTAGACTACCCACCACTCACCGCCTATCATAGTTATCTCAATGGACTCATCGCCTGGATCATCAACCCCAATTTCGTCCAGCTGAACAACTCCAGAGGCTATGAAAGCGAGGAACACAAGTTATTCATGCGATACACAGTCATCCTGGCTGATATCCTCATCTACATCCCATCAGTGGTAATATTCTACCTTATTAATCATAAGAATACAACCAGACATACAAAATTACCCCTACAATCAATAATAACTTTATCTCTGCTGTATCCAGGCCTGATTTTGATCGATCATGGACACTTTCAGTATAATTGTATATCTTTAGGGTTTACCATCCTCGCCATCGCTGCATTATCAGCCCAGTATGATATAATCGCTAGTATTATGTTTTGTTTATCGGTAAACTACAAGCAGATGGAGTTATACCATGCATTTCCCTTCTTTTTGTATCTTTTATCGTCGTGTATACCGAAACCAGGCGCGTCTGCACTGTCAGGTATTGTAAAACTCTTTAAAATCGCTATAACTGTCCTAGTAACATTCAGTTTACTCTGGTTGCCATTTTTATTTAAACTTGAAGATACTCTGCAGGTGATCCACAGGTTGTTTCCGATCGCGCGTGGATTGTTTGAGGATAAAGTGGCGAATGTTTGGTGTGCGTTGAATATTTTGTATAAATTCCGGGATTATTGCCCGGTGCAGATGGTTAGGTATTGTACGATTGCGACACTGGCGGCGCTGTTACCATCCAGTGCGAATTTATTCCTCAATCCTAGTTTTAAGAAGTTTATACCGGCGCTGATTAATTCATCACTTGCGTTCTTTTTGTTTAGTTATCAAGTGCATGAGAAGAGTATTCTATTAGCGGCTATTCCTGTGATGTTGTATTTACCGCAGAAACCGCTGCAGTGTTTCTGGTTCTTGTACATTTCAAGCTTCAGTATGTTGCCGCTCTTGATAAAAGACAAACTTGTCATTGCGTATTTAAGTCTTACTTTGTTTTATTTAACTAGTTTTGTGTATTGTCATGAGCGATGGGGGATGGATGGGAAATTCGAAGCGACTTTTACTAAGTTTATCACTGATTTAAAGCGGATTATTGTTGGGAAGTTGAAAGAGAAGAATCCGAGTGATTATTCGACTAGTTTAATGAATGTATTGAATGTTAGTTATAAGTATTTCGTTGAGGATGTGAAGATGTTGAAGGATTTGATTCTGTATATGATGATGTTTGCGTCGTTTATTGGCAGTGTTTTGTTGACGGTGTTGATATTGGTTTTTGAACCGCCTGTGAAGTATCCGGATCTTTATACGTTGATGATTGCGGTTTATTCCTGTGGGCATTTTGTTGCGTTTTTTGTTTATTTTAATGTGGTGCAGTTTAAAGTACCCGAGCAGTTTGAGGAGTGTGCGGTGAATTGTGCGAAAGTAAAGCAGTCGTAAAAATAGTAAAATAAATCTGTATGTTGTTGACTTTTGACTTGTTTTGAGTTGTTTTGTGTGGGTTTTTGTAGGATGTGCAGGACGATTCGGACGGGTGTGGTGGGAAGTTTTCATGTACGATTGTTTCGGGGAAGTTTGAGGGTAAACCAACTCTACAGAGACATAGGTAATGTGTTTTAATTATTTTTTAGTTTATAATGTTGTAATTGAGGTATTTTTTGTTTTTAGATTGGTTAATTCTGTGTTGAAGGAAGAGTTGAAGACAATTCACGCGTTTAGTCAGAAAACATTCACTCCGGAACAGTGGAAAGAACAAACAAATTAAAATGAGTGGTAGGTGTTTTTGAATTGTGGTGTTTGGAGGTTAAACGTATAATGGGTTGCCTATACAAATTAGTTTGCTTTTTGGCTTGTATTTCTAAAATATTAAATAATTCTTGAAGTAATTATTCTTAAAAGATGAAGAATTAATTTTTCTTTAATACAGTATATTTCTTTATACTGTGTGTTTAATATTTTTGTAGTTATTTCACTTTTAGTGAAAACAAATGTAACTCTTGAACAAACCGCAATGGCGCTAGTGTCGCTTCTAGTTTCAAACAAGAAAACTTTTTATTTATTTTTATTTATTTATTTTGTTTTAGATTTGCATTCTGTACAAATATCAGCCCCAGGAAAAGTTATTCTCCATGGAGATCACTCTGTGGTTTATGGCAAACTCGCAATCGCCGCTAGTATTAACAAATCAACCAAACTATCCATAACCCTTGAAACCACACCAAAAATTACTCTTGTTTTCCATGACATTAACTTAAATCTTGAAATACCTTTGCAAGACATACAAAACAACATATTAGACAACGGAATATTACCGTTGCAAGATACCTACAGCATTGACAACCCAGACAGTTTAATTTTTGATGATTTAATTAACAAAATCAAGAATTATTTAGATAATTTAGAAGTGACATATGATGTATCACAAACAAATGCACTTCTTGCATTTTTATATTTATATCTCGCTATGTATTCACCTGTGGGACTTAAAAACGGTTTATTTGTTAATATTAGCAGCGATTTGACAATTGGTGCTGGTTTGGGCAGTTCAGCATCGTTTTCCGTGTGTATTGCCGGTGGGTTTATACAACTGCTTAAATTACAACAGAAATTTGCATTTACGACTGAAAATACGACCGAATTCAACGATTTCGAGAAAGATTTGATCCGTAAGTGGGCATTTCAAGCCGAGCGGGTAATGCATGGTAATCCATCTGGTTTGGACAACACAATCTGTACTTATGGTGGATTTGTTGAGTATCGTAAAGGCGTCGCGCCGAAACCTTTGGATATTTCCACGAATTTACAACAATTTGAAGCCTTGTTGATAAACACGAATGTACCGAAGAATACGAGAGTCCAGGTAGAAAAGGTTGCGCGGTTTAAAGCGCAGTTTCCTGGAATTGTCGAGCATATTCTTGACACAATGGAGGAGATTTCCAAGAATGCGATTGAGTCGATGAAGAGTTTATTCAAGGGTGATTTAGACAGGGAATATCGTGTGTTGAATGTAAGTTGTGTTATCATTTAGATTGGTTTATTGTTTAAATTGTTAATGTGTATATTGTTTGTTTAGACTTTGTACGATGTTAATCAGAATATGCTGCGGAGTCTTGGCGTTTCGCATGCGGCCATCGAGAAAGTGTGCGCCATTTTGTCCGAGTTTGATTTGCATGCGAAGATTACAGGCGCTGGAGGCGGTGGGTATGTTTTATGCCTTGTGCCTAATTATATTAGCGAATCTGTTGTCTTGGACGTGCAAAATAAGTTAGAAAATGTGGGGTTTACCAGCGATCGTTTAAATTTGGGCGTTGAAGGAGTTCACTTGTTAAAATAAACGTGTTTGAATATGGCTGAATTCCCCTAGAAATTTCTCTGGTGTGGTAACACTGGATTTTTCACATAGTTTGAAATAAACCAATGAATAATTTGTTTAAAAGCCAAAAAACCTTGATAATATTATATAATTTTAACGTAAATTGATTTTTAAATACTTATTAATTGTTTAAACAGTTGGTTTATGCCAAACAAACAATTTATTATTCATTTACAGAAGATAACGACTGTCATTATGAAGTATTACCCCCACCTAGTAACAAAACAAAAATCCCCTAACGCCTAGGTTAGTCATTCTCGAACATATCCGAAGTCACTCATTCCATTCTCACGTTTCGCACCAACGTGACCACAACTCCGCCGGCATTTTGTTTCTCTCGAATATTCTGTGTGAACGTTATTGTCCGCAATAATGGCAGCGATAAGTCTACTCAACCCGAAAGCCGAAGTAGCTCGTGCCGCACAAGCCCTCGCCGTGAACATCTCCGCCGCCAAGGGAATCCAAGATGTGATGAAGTCCAACCTCGGCCCACGCGGCACCATGAAAATGTAAGCAGCCATACACAACTGTTCATAAAATCACATTTCATTCAAACACCACCATCTACAAACAAAAATATCAACATAAAATATCATAAATACAACATAACTCACAATATTTCATTACATATAGGTTGGTATCAGGTGCTGGTGATATCAAAATCACCAAAGATGGCAATGTCCTCCTGCATGACATGCAAATCCAACACCCAACCGCCAGCCTCATCGCAAGAGCCTCCACTGCGCAGGACGACATGACCGGCGATGGCACAACCTCAACTGTCTTAATCATCGGCGAATTATTAAAACAAGCCGATAGTTATATCGCTGATGGATTGCATCCTAGACTCATCACTGAAGGTTTTGATAAAGCCAGAGCCAAAACCCTGGAAGTTTTGGAAAAAATTAAAATCCCTATCGATTGTGATAGGGATTCGTTGATTGACGTTGCGCGCACATCGCTGCGCACAAAAGTCCATCATCAATTAGCGGATGTCTTGGCTGATGTTTGCGTTGACGGCATACTCGCAATCAAACAAGCCGACACACCTGTTGATCTGCACATGGTGGAACTCATGGAGATGCAGCATAAAACCGCAACTGACACCCAACTAATCAAAGGTTTGGTTTTGGATCATGGCGCACGTCATCCGGACATGCCAAAGCGCCTGCGCAACTGCTACATTCTCACATGTAATGTATCACTGGAGTATGAAAAATCCGAAGTGAATTCCGGATTCTTTTATAAAACCGCAGAAGAACGCGAGAAATTAGTCGCTGCTGAGCGTGAATTCATCGAAGAACGCGTCAAGAAAATCATTGAATTGAAACGCAAGGTTTGTAAGGATAATGGCAGGAATTTCGTTGTTATTAACCAGAAGGGAATTGATCCGATGTCATTGGATATGCTCGCCAAGGAGAATATCATCGGTCTGCGTCGTGCTAAACGTCGTAACATGGAACGTTTGGCGCTGGCGTGCGGTGGCATTGCTCTGAACCATCTCGATGACATTCAGGAATCGCAATTGGGCTATGCAGGCCTGGTTTATGAGCATGTCCTTGGTGAGAATAAATATACATTCGTGGAAGAGTGTAAAAATCCACAATCGGTCACCATTTTAATGCGTGGACCGAATAAGCATACTCTGGCGCAGATTAAAGATGCCGTGCGTGATGGGTTGCGTGCCTGTAACAACGCCATTGAGGATAAGTGTTTGATGCCTGGCGCAGGCGCTTTTGAGGTGTCTGCGTATAATGAGCTTATGAAGTTCAAAGATGAAGTCAAAGGCAAAGCGCGTTTGGGTGTTGCAGCTTACGCGGAGGCTCTGCTGGTTATTCCGAAGGTACTCGCGACTAATTCTGGCTTTGATGCGCAAGATACCATTGTTAAGCTGCAGGAGCAGAGTCGTTTGAGTCCGGAACCGGTGGGTTTGGATTTGTCTAGTGGTGAGCCGATTGTACCCAAGGATCATGGCATTTTTGATAATTATATTGTCAAGAAACAGATTATTAACTCGTGCTCGGTTATCGCTTCGAATCTTTTGCTGGTTGATGAGATTATGAGGGCTGGAATGTCTAGTCTGAAGGGTTAGACATTTGTTTGGGTTTCGTTTAATTATTATGATCAAATAATGCGCTTATTCTAAGGTTTCACATGCATTTCATTGAATATTGATATTATAAATCGATTTGTACACCATTAAAGGCAATAATATGTATTGTTATTGCGGTAATTAGTATTTGGAGAAGAGAAAATGATTTTATTGAAAGTTTTGTATTTTAATATTGCGCAAACTCAGCGCCATGTTTTTAAATATGCAAAGTTGGTGCTTTTCTGGGGAATTTTAGTTTTTAAACGTTTTGCAAGTTGTGAACGTTTTTTCTATGATAAATTTGTATTAAAAGAGTTAAATTCAAGTGTCTGAGTGATTAGTTTTGTGTAGGAGTATGCCTGATTGTTGTAACAGGTATTTATTAATTGTTTAAAGCATTTGAAAGTATAGAAACAACAGAAAATGTGTTTTTGCACTTAGTTTGGGGATATTTTAGGGGAATCTTAGGTTATAGTTTTTTAATTCGTTTTAATATAAAAATTGTATTAAGAATGATATATTCATATGCGGAGATGTTTATTAAGACATAAGAATATTCCTAATTGTTAATACAAGTGTTAATTAATGGTGAAAAGCAGTAGAAAGTGTTGACAAGCTAAAAAATACTCAAACTTGACATGAGTTGGTACCGCATTTAGAACCAGTTTGGGGAATTACCTAGGGAACTTTTAGTTTTTAAACCATTCTCAACTTACAACGGTTCCAAACACTTAAACAAAAAATTACAACAAAAACGTGCTCCACATCTCCTACAGGTAAAAAAACAACCCTAAAATATTACTAATTACACGCATAAGTAACATGTAAAACAAAACACACAACAAATCTCGTATAAACTCAGTTTATTCAGATTTTTAGTGATGTGAAAATCATCAATTCGATACTTGAACATGAACAGTTTCACGCGTTATCATTGAACAATAGTAAATAGTTGGGGACACCGAATGTGTACGAAGCAGGGCAGTCTTGTTTTAATCTCCTCAAGCTTGCAGCTTGTAGATCCTGGTGCAAGTGATGTCATCAACCTTGCACACCATTTTGATTTCATCCCCGGAGAAGATCCGGTCAATGGTGGTCGTCTTTCCGTCCGCACCAACCTGATCCTCATGCAGGGTGGAGCCACTGATAGTGAAGGTGCTCTTCACCTTACGACCATCCGGCGTCTCATCGTCCATCTGCTCGCCCAGCTTGAACTTGGTGGTGACGTTCTTGAACGTCGAGTTGGACGTCAGCGTGTACTCGTCGCCATCTTGCTTCAGTTCCACCACTGGGGAGACGGCATTACCCATTTTGCGGGTCACCAGACCAACACCTTAAAGAAAAACGGTAACATTTACATTAATTTTATTTATTTAAAGTGTTTAAAAGGTAAATACCCATTGCTTTCATGTACTCATCGAACTTCTCGCTCGATTCGAGCTTGTATTGTTTGTTAAAAAACGCGTTCATTGTGTCGGTAGCAAGCGAATTAATTACAAGTTAAGTAATGACTGGCGAACGGAGCGGTTTGTTGCCGGATTTATAACCCTAGCGCGTTTTATCACTCGGCAACCTATGAACTTGTTTGTTGTAATTAAGTTAATCGATGCATGGCGCACGGATTGTTTACCAACAAGTAAATATTGGCGAAAATGTTCAAGTGTGCAGAGAATTACGGTCTTAAAGTATCGAATAAGTATCAAAAAGCAGTAAAATTACTTAATTTTATGGTTTTATGACTTAATAACCGCAGAAATAAGGTGATATTCATCAATATTTTAGGTTTTTTAGTTGATTTATGGTTGTATTTTGTACTTTTGACTTTGTACGCGCACAGTGAAGCCTGCTAGTCTAGTTTTACGCACTCACACTTTGCACTCACCTATTCAGAATAGATAAAACATGAATTTTGCAAATTTCAAAATCTAAAAGTCAAATTTCACATGTTTTACGTCGATATTCAAACAAATACTCAATCATTATTGATTAATCTAACAAAAATCAACTAAAACTCATGATTTTTTGCTTTATTGCAGCCAAAACAATGAAATTCTCTGTAAAAACATTGCAACTCTGTTCAATTCCAAGTATGCACTGCGCAAAAGTCATCAATTACTTAGATTTTGCTTGTGCAATCAAAAAAATGTAAATGTGCACTCAGATTACTTGAGTTATTACAATGTAACTCTATTTGTCAAACAAAAACAGAGATAAATTCAATAATCTCGCGCAGACTGTATTAATACTCTTGTCGTCCGCCATCGAAATTGATAATGATTGATATAATAATGCACGGAATGACAATCCGGCCGCGCCGGCTGGTAAATGAACACATATCAAGTGCATTTATTAAGCGTATTATGTTGGGTTGACCTTCGCTTTTTTCGACAATGACGCTTTAATTTATATTTATTTGCTAAATTATTAATAGCACGCTCGCCGACGGACGCAAAACAAATAAACACAAGAGTATACAGGGGCATCAAACATCAAACAAGCAGAAATAAACATAAAATACATAGATTTAGTAATAATAGGTAATTTTTTGTGCAAAATTTGTTTAAAATTGCGCATAAACATATGCAAAACAAGCTGGTATCATGCATAATGAATAATTTAACATGCAACTCAAATAATATTATCATTCCGATAAGAAAACAACAAAAAAAACAGCGAATTTTCATGTTTTTCAGCATGAAACTTAACCAAATCTGTCAAATTACATCAAAAATGTCAAAAATTATTCGCATAACCTCTAAATATTTGCTTGTTGTGTAAAACCGTGCAAAAGTTTTGTTTTATTCAGTGTGTAATGTAGACTTATTGATTTTTCGTTCGTGTGTTGCAGTTGTATCGCGTGCGCAACCCATCCACGCCTCTGCATACCGAAAGAGATAGAAAAGCAGCGTGAAACAACATCAGCAGCGCACGTTTGCCGGCCGGCGTTGCGGTTAAAATTAAAATTCTCACCAACACGTGGGCGAAAAACGCGTGATGCGCTAAATAAACCACCACGACACCGTCGACACACCAATACCCACTCTTATCACACGGTTGATAAGCGCAGCGAGCCGTTATTTATCATAATACAGGTAGATTTACACGTTTTGGGTCATAAAACACGTGTTTTATGCGAATTACTCGCTGAATTAGTGATTAGTTAATTATAGAGACTTACCCAGAGCCTTCATGAACTCGTCGAAGTTCTCCGAGGTGTTGAGCTTGTATTTCTTGCCGTAGAAAGCCTCCACTGCAGAAAATAATCAAATATTTATTAGTTTAATATTTAAATGTTGTAAAATAACTTACTTTTTATTAATTAAAGATTTGTCTTTTGATTTTGTAGACGAGAACAACTGGCGGGTATGAATGCCGGCGTGAAACTGAACGGCACGAAGCAAAGTTGTCCGTTGAAGCAGGGAAACCGCGCAGGAAAACGTTGTGTGCGTGTGAGTATTGTACGTGATTGGGTCGAAACCGGCTCGCTACTACGCCCTGTGTGCGATATGTACTGCAGAATACCAGAAATGCTGCACTGCAGAATAAAATTTACACGAATGAACACACACACTGCGCATGAAGTTGCAGATTATTGTCACACCTGCAGGTTTGAATCTTTGGACGTGCGACGTGTACTTTGGTCGTTTACGTGCGTTCGCCAAGTCGAAACTTGATGTTGAGACAGCGCTGCGGAGGTTTTTATATGCGTCGTGTGTTCAATGTCGGTGAACGTCGCAAAGAAACCGCTTAATCACCGCACAAAACGTTATTTATGCCGCTGTCAACAACAAATCACTCGGAAGTCGATTGTGGAGATAATTTATAACCGGATAGTACTAATTTTGCGTTAATTATTACCGAAATACTTCAAAGATTGCAATTTTAACCGTGGCCATATTGGATTTTGAATAAATTGCAACTTTCAACGGTTAATAACTATAAATTTGTTTGTTTTTATATACAAAGTGGTAGAGGATGAATTTCTGCATGTTTTACGCTTTGTTTTATTAGTTTTGAAGCTGTGGTTTAAAAGTTATAAGGAAGAAACTATAATGATTGAAGAGAATGTTGTGTGATTGAATGATTCATTGATTCTTTTGATTCGCAATTTGAATGAATTAGAAACGTTAATTGTTGCCGGCAGCGGCTGGGAATCAATAAAGTAATCTGTGAGCGTGGCTAAAAAAAGCAGCAAGATGCGGGCGCAGACGGGCGTGCTCTCATTGCGCGTAATTGACGTTAATTGAAGACGTCTTCCGAACGAGCAACGTCATTCGGTCGCACGCCAGTTAACTCACGAACAAATCGAGAAATAACGGACACATGAATGTCAAACCTGCAAAGTATTGTTTATTAACATTCTGACATATAAATTTAGTGAAATATTAGTTGTAAATGCGGAAAATTTGATAGTTTTAGATGAAAATTGAATGATTTTCAATAATATTGACGGTTTATTTTGTTTGTGTACTGCGCAAGCGTTTGGTGCGATGTCACACGAACATTCACGAAAGTAGAACGTAAGCGCGTTGGCGTACATCTTGATTTTGCGCTAAACAAACACGAATTGCACAAGATTAACAATTATCCAATCAAGGACTTGTTCATTTCCGTGTTGTACATTAATAATAGCGATAGTGACTTGTGTGTTTAGGTTCGCAAGTGGTTGTGATGCCCAAAACAGGCGAGATGACCGACGAACGCCTGCATATCGTAAGCATAACCTCCAAATTACAACTTGGACGGAAAAAACATCGTTTTTGTTAAATTTTTTAATGTTCTAATACATTTTGTGTGTTATATAGGACTGGGGTAATGATAAATTACATCGGACACAGCGCCAAGTGGAGAAGAACGCGTACGATCTGGAATCATGGAGTATTTTGCTGAGAGAAGCCCAAACTAAGCATATTTCTGAAGTTCGAGATCTGTATGAACATCTTGTTGATGTATTTCCAAGTGCTTCACGCTATTGGAAAATATATATCGAACATGAGGTAATATTTAATGGTTAAATTATATTTTTAGTGGGTTATAGGGCATAAAAACTGAAAGAAATAAGTTTAAGGATTTTAAAAGTTTAAATAATTGGTATAATTATATTTGGTTAATGCAGAATTTAATTTTGGATATTTTAGTATGTAATTTATTAATTTTCAATGAATAGTTTAGAAATTATCAAGAAAAAACTAAAATTCTATAATATTCATATCACTATAGGCAACTTTCAATACACAACACTCACGCAATGACTCAACTCTTTCTCAATTTTAATTTACAGATGAAGTCAAGAAACTACGAGAAAGTGGAAAAGGTGAGTGATTATTATTATACCGACTATGTGTACACCACCAAAAATAATAATAAATTATTTTTGCGTGAAGACTATATTTTTTTCTCCTTGCTATAACAAAAAAACAAACAAATCTCTCAATTTTTAATGAAAATATGTAAAAAAAAGCCGTATTTGTTTGAGATGGTTACATTCGGCACCCGTTTGTGTTTTATTCCCCCGCATAATCTAACCAGAAATAAAAACTGATACGAAAGCATAGGTTGTTTTGTTTCATTCCGGGTGCCGCGCCATCTTGAACCAATACGTACGCTCTGCAGCCGCAATAATTAAACTCGTCATTTCGCGATATCTAGCTATTTCAACGCTGTCTCATGAAGATTCTCAATATCGAGCTGTGGAAGCTGTATTTGTTGTATGTCAAAGAGACCAAGGCCACATTACCCACCTACAAGTGAGTTAAAACCATCAAAATCATATTAAAAACTATTAATTCCAAATATTTTCATGAAAGGGAGAAGATGGCGCAGGCGTATGACTTCGCCCTGGACAAAATCGGCATGGATATTCACTCCTATGTGATCTGGAATGATTACGTCAACTTCCTCAAAGCTGTTGATGCGGTTGGATCCTACGCTGAGAATCAAAAAATCTCTGCGGTGAGGAAAGTATATCAACGGGGCGTTATCAATCCAATGGTTGGAATGGAGACGTTCTGGAAGGATTACATCGCGTTTGAACAAGCGATTAATCCGATCATAGCCGAGAAGATGTCGATTGAGCGGAGTAGGGATTATATGAATGCAAGGCGGGTTGCGAAGGAGCTGGAGGTGCAGATACGCGGGATTAATAGGAATGCGCCGAGTGTGCCACCTACAGGGACTAATGATGAGTTAAAACAAGTAAGTGATAAATGCGCATGATTTTTGGTGTTTTAATGATATATTATGTATTTTTAGGTGGAATTATGGCAGAGATACATTGCCTGGGAGAGAAGTAATCCGCTGCGCACGGAAGACACGGCTTTATTGACGCGTCGCGTTGTTTTCGCGCTTGAACAATGTTTGTTATGTTTAGGCCACCATGCAGATGTTTGGTATCAAGCTGCGCAGTTTCTAGAGTACAGTTGTAAGGTTCTACAAGAGAAAGGGGTATGTTTTACGTTTAACGTTTATTTTAGGTTATGTTAGTAAATTTTTCATTTTTTTTGTACATTTATCAACATAACCTTAAAACACGCGAAATTAAATTCTACATTATACTAAAAGTAGATTTTATCAAATAATACTTTAAAAAACGTGAATTTTAGGTTATGTTAGTAAATTTTGCCATTTTTTCTTTATACATTCATCAAAATAACCTTAAAACACGCGAAATTAAATTCCACATCATCCTTAAAGTAAATTTTATTAAATAATACTTAAAAAATACTCAAATTTAATGTTTTTAGGTTATATTATCATATTTAACCTAAAATATTCATTTCAGGACGTGAATGCTTCCAAATTATTCAGTGAGGAAGCCGCCAACATGTTTGAACGCGCCACGAGCACACTACTAAACAAAAACTGCCTTCTATACTTTGCCTACGCTGACTACGAAGAAGGCCGGCTGAAATACGAGAAAGTACACCAGATCTACTCGAAATACTTGGACATTGCCGACATAGACCCATCCCTAGCGTACGTACAATACATGAAGTTTGCACGCCGTGCGGAAGGCATCAAATCAGCGCGCAATGTCTTCAAAAGAGCGAGAGAAGACTCACGCTCGCAATATCACATTTTTGTCAGCGCTGCGTTAATGGAGTATTACTGCAGCAAAGATAAAAACATCGCGTTTCGGATATTCGAGCTCGGATTGAAGAAATTCGCAGATAATCCCGAGTATATCGCGTGTTACATTGATTATCTGAGTCATCTCAACGAAGATAACAATACACGCGTTTTATTTGAACGTGTATTGAGTTCGGGAAGTTTAGAACCGGAAAAATCAGTGTAAGTTATTTATTTGAGGTTATAAAGTTACAAAAGTTAAAATTTTAATGCAAAATGTTATTTTAGTGATATTTGGAATAAATTCTTGGAGTTTGAGAGCAACATTGGTGATTTACAGTCGATTGTAAAGGTGGAAAAGCGTCGCTCTGAAGTCCTGTCGAAAATCAAAGAGTTTGAAGGTAAAGAAACCGCGCAGTTGGTGGATCGATATAAATTTCTCGATTTATATCCGTGTACACCGCAAGAATTGCGCAGCATTGGTTATACTGATGTGATTAACATCAGTGGCTGTCAGAGTAAGAATAATTTACTGTGTGGAATCATCAAACCGGTTGAGGATGAGTCGGTTTTGCCGCGGCCGGACGTTTCACAGATGATTCCGTATAAACCAAAGTTTAATCCGCAACCAGGCGAACATCCTGTGCCAGGTATTTTATATTTTATTAGATAATTACGTAGAAAATTGATTAAAAGCAATTAAAATCATTAAAAATCGAAGAATTTTAGGTTATGTGACGTTTTTAACCTAAATTTTGATGTTTTTCTCGTTTTAAATCGATTTTTTTAATGTTTAGGTGGTGTATTTCCCCAACCGCCGGCTGTAGCGCAATTATGCACGATATTACCGCCGCCATCTTGTTTCCGTGGCCCGTTTGTAGTCGTGGATCAAATGATGGACATATTCAACCGTATTCAACTCCCTGATGCAGGTAGATATTATTTTAAATCCATGTTTTTCTATATTGTGATTTGGAGGTTGTTTCACAGCGCCACCACCATCCGAAAATGGCGGCGGTGACGTGCGTCTCTTTGACCTTGCCAAGTCCGTGCATTGGATCATTGACGAAGCCACCGCGCCGGGCGGTAATAAACGCCGCAAACGTTTAGGTCTCGCTATGGAAGGCAGCGATGATGAAGACACTCCACTCCCGCCGACGAACGACATCTACCGGCTACGCCAACAGAAAAGGGTTAAGTAGACTATCCCAACATTCACATAAGACTGTATTTTTAAGGATTACCGACACCGGACGGGATGATTGATTTTTGTTTCATTTTTTAAAGCAAAAATATTTTATGTACAATACAAAAAAAAAGTTCATTCGATTAATTTGATTGCTTGTAATAAAATAAGCGTTTTAGTGTGTTGTGAGGTTAGTATAAGGTTAAAAGTCGCGAGCGCGTTGATAATGGCGGATAGAACGTGCGGCGTTTGGTGAGCACGTTGTCCAGCTGCGCGAGATGGTGCAGAAAGCCGGGGTTCGGGAAGACGCGTCGCCGTCGGAAGACGAACTGCAGCGCTTCGGCGGCGTTCATGCCGCGCTCGATCATCAAGTAAGCGATGAGCAGTGTTGCCGACCGGGAGATACCAACAACGCAATGGATGAATACACTGCCTACGAAAAAGTAAATATAAATTCGTGTCGGGTTGAGTCATGTAGGTCAGAAACACAAACAGTTTCAGTTTCAACACTTGTTGATTGAGTTATAGAAAATGGCGGAGATGTGTGAAATAGGTTGCCTACCTCCTTGCTTGATGGCGCTGGCGATGAACTGTGCAGCGACGTTGAAGTAAACCGAGATGTTCCACGAGGGTCGGTCATGACCGGGAATACCCATGTATTTTATGCCGACGTCACGGTAGTACTCCTGATTGGTGTTCACCTGGTACTCATCATAGCCCTCTGCGCAGTTCAACACGTGTGTTATACCATTAGCAAGTAAGAACTTTTTATCTTTCGCTGCGTATCTACATAATAGGTTATATTTTAACCAAATTTATTGTTAAAATCAAGATTTTAGTTAATAGTTACTTATCGCCGAGGTATATGCCCGAATCAATGCGGTTGATTGAATGTCGTGATGATACACTTGTATGGTGATCAGTTGTGCGTGAAAACGCAAGTTGATCCATGAGTTTATCCAGATTATTACCGGTTATTTGTTTTGTCATGTCGGCTTGCGGACGGAGAGTACCCTAAAAGAAACAAAAATTATTTATTTTTTGTTTTTAGTTTTTTTGCGATTGACTTACACTGTAAACAGATTCACGCCACATTTTTGTTGAATATGTTGAAGTGTGGATACTGAAGTGTAAAGAAAAGTAAAAGCGTGCGGTTGGCGGGCGCGCGATCGACTAAACAAAAGTTTCGATGATGGCGGCGGGCGGTGGTGGCCGCTAAAAATAGCGGAAAATTGCGCTTGGCCATGAGGCGTGCACAACGCGCGTGCGATGGAATTCGCCGCCTGCCAGAATATGAGAATAGCACATTCGCGTTCGCCCCAATTACATCAGACAATCAGGGTTATACACATTTATGCCCTACTTGGTTATAATCACCATTATACATAATCAAAATGGCGGATATGCATGTACAACATGCAAAAATATCAAATTTTCTTCATTATTCGATATTCTAAGACGTAAAACACGACAAAAACGTTTGTTTTGTCTCATTTTCAACTCCTGAGACAATAATTTGCGTGTGGGAAGTGCGCACGTAATTAAAAATAGACAAATGACGCTCACACCGCTTTAGATCGATATTTATTTGCATCACAACGCTATAATTACGAAACGATGCAAGTGAGTAGGTGTGGAATCATCTCATGACTCACTGCACTTCATCATTCAGCCTTCAACTTGATACGAATGCATTTATTTATGTAATCATTTGATTATTTCTGACTAAACATGTTTTTATTTTGGGCATGAATGTGGTGTTTATGTGATGTTTACCACTGGCGGACTTTGCTTTGTGTGGCATGCGTGAGTATCCACGTGTTCCTTTCGTCCTTGACCATCTGCATCTGCTTGTGGCGGCGGTGCGTGGGACAAATAACGAAGAGGCGGTCTTGACGTCGGACAAAGTAGCAGTCTTTGCAGCGTTTTTTTAGATTTACGCGTACTTTGAAGCCGGCGGAGGGTTGTAATTGCAGTGGGGTGATTGAGAGTAGTTTAGTTACAGTAGGTAGGAGTGTAGTTTGGTTTAGTATGGAATAAGTGCGGTTTTGTAGTTTGTTTAGGTGATTTTCTTTGATTATTGTTGAGAGGATTGGTCGAAGTGTTGATGAAATTGATGATAACCTTCTAAAAACCTGCATTTTGTAGAGGAATCTACTAAAATATGAAGAATTAGTATCAAATAGATGAATATATAGTAAATACTTACAGGTTTTTGTTGTTTTTGTAAAGAATTTGTAGGTTTTTCAACAATTATTTGATTCGGGTGATTGTTTCTCAGGTTATATTTAAATAGCCGTTAAAGTTTAGATAATGTACATAAGAGGGCGCTGTGTGTTTTATTTCAACAAATTTTATTCATAAAAATTAATAATTTCGTGTTTTTAGCGTTAAATACAACAAATTTAAGTCGGATAAATAAAATTTATATATTTTATGAACTAATTCATCTAAATTTTAATGTTTTACGCGCTAAAATTAATTAAAAATAATTTTAAACTAATTTCAAAATAGTAGTGATTACCACCACCAGATGGCGCACCATGTACCACATTTTACTATATTCTCACATGTTCCAGAGCCACTCCGCCATTTGCAAATGTGTGCGTGAAAGTTTCAAACGTAAAACCATCAAACTCCTCATAAAAGTGTTAAATATTTCATTTTATTAACTAATCATATGGTTATAACACAGGCGTGACCCCTCTCGACCTAAACGCTACGTAAAATCATCTCTCAGTACAGGTAAAACTTTCTTAAACGTAAATAATCGTAAACTTAAAAATAACGTGCGTCATGCTCATTCAATTCTCGCGTTGCGTTCAGTAATGATTCTGAAAGAAATGCCCGGGCGGCATCGGCATGCCCATTCCACCGGTGGGATAAGGCACCGCCGTCGGGTTAACCGCCGGCATCGCTGGGAAATAACTCGAGTTGATACTCATCGGCGGCGCATTCACGTAATTTCCCGGCGAGTAGATGCCATCTTGCGCGATTAGTTTTGACATCTTTTCGGCTTTGACATTGCGCAGATGCATTAGTTTGCGTTTGATGAGAAACTCATCGAGGAAACTGTCCAATTCCGTGGTGTTGTCGAGAAAACTCTGCGCGATTTTATCGCTTTCCTCTTCCATTTCACTAGCGGCGGTTTGCAGGAGTGCTAGGGCTGTGTCCATGGACATGTCTCCGCCTTTATCTCGTAGAGTTTTGTATGCCTCTTCAACTTTTTGGGTTAATTCCTCGCCGTTTTCACTGCGCAGCACGATGGCTTCGCGTGCTTCGACGAGCTCCGGCTCTCGGGCTAGGTTTGCGTCGGAGAGTTGATTGATTGAGGTTTGTACTTCTTCCTTTTCGCTTTCGACGTTTTTCAGGTAGGATTGGTCCAGCTCTTCAATGAGCGTGCAGATTTTCTCTTCGTTGTCCATGATTTCGTTCAGTTCGTCATTGGTGAAGATCTGCAGGGTGGCGAGGATGCGTTTGCAGTCGGTTTCAAGCGCCGCGGTCATTTTGTCTGGTTTTTAGAAAGAGATTTTTGAGTCACAGCGCAATAACAACAAAACTTTTAACCTTAAATTCTGTCGGAACATTAGAATGACACATGAGGCAGCTGCGGACTTGCAAGTAGGAAATTTTAAGTAATTTCTTTGAAATATAGCAAAATTTTAAACATTTTGTTATAAATTATTATTTTTTGATATCTTAAATCATGTTTAATAAGTTTTTATAGAGTTTTATATTAATTTACGTTTATTTTCTGGTAAATTATTTAAAATTGGACCTGTGCAAATATTTACAGCGCCATTAACGGTGACAACTGGAACTAAACAAACAATCTTGGCGTTTTTTAAAGTATTTTGACAAGTTTTCAAGTTTTTTTCTCTTTTAACACAAATACATTGTTTATTAAGCATTCATAGTGTTACAATATTATAGGTTATTGCTTATTTACTGCAATTTTCGCGTGCAACCATCATAAATCGGTTCGTTTGACGATCAATATCGATAATAATGTATTGTTTGGGTGTACTTCCTTCGTAACAATAATCGAAACACTTGGAAACAGTGATTAAATGCACACTTGACGGATCTTCACGTTGGCAGTAGTCCCACATGTAGTTGGTAAGATCTTCATTGTTAATATTCATGTCCAGATACTCGATGAGCTTCTCACGAATGTTTTCTGCTTGATTTTCTGACAAACCATAGTATTCAACCAAAATCGCCTATAAAATTAGATTAAAAATTCAATAAATAATTAAATTAAATAACAAACATTAATAACTAAATAATTACTTCTGGTCTTTGTGCTTTGATCTCTGTAGTCTCTAGGGTTGTATTTAGAGGCGTGGAATAGTTGAATGCGGTTGATAAGCTTGCAAACAGAAGGAAAACAGCGGAAAATAGAAGTTTCGACATTTTTGTTATTTAGTAATTTTTGGTTGGATAATATTTGTTGAGGTGATTTAATGTGTAGGCGGTTGGATATAAGCACACACTGAGTTTATTCGACTGGTTATTGATTTATTTTTATCTAAGGTATTAATTTTATCAGTGCTTGAATGAGAAACATTGAAATTGTAAAAATTTGTGTGTAGACGTTGTGTAAGTTGTTATTTCGTGGGTTTTTTCCTATTTTAAGAGGTTGCTACTTTAGGGTTTTAAAGTTTGTTGCTAGGTTTTGCAATAATAATTGAGAAATTTTAGTGCAAATATTGGAATAGCACATTGTGCAATAGAAAAAGTTTTATTTTATTGACAGTTTAAATCAAAAAAGACAATTTTTTTCTTTAAATTTATTTTTGGTTGATTTTTGGAGGTTTTATTAAGTATTAATTAATGTTTTATGTTTTCTTTTGCCAATTATGTGCAGAATTCGTGAAGAAGTATTAAATAACTTGATTTAAAGAAGTAAAAATGATGGTAATTCAATTGGAATCATCATATTAAGTTTTATTGCTTATTTAACTCTTATAAGTTATATTTTGGTGATAAAAAGTATTCTATTTGCTTTTCCATAGTCTTAAATGTCATTATACCCTAATTCAACAAAATTACTTGAGTAGTTTATTCGTTAAAGTGTAACAAACATACAAATTACTTAAACACCCTCACAATTACATTTCTAATGATAATTTTAATAAGATTCTGGTATTAGGGACAAAAACAATGGAACAAATTCAAATATTACAAAAATAATAACAATAAATACTTTATTTTTACGTTTCTACATCAAAAATAAACAAAAATAACATATAAATTTAACAAATAATAGTAGAATACATTCACAACTATTTATTTTTTATATATTTACATTTTATTTCATTTAACAACGATAATAACCGCCGACAAACAATTCGGTTTCATTACGATCGAATTTATAATAAACATACTGCGGTGGAATGGCTCCGGCACTGTCTTCCTGCAGCGACAGATGCCAATCGTAATTAGTGTACTGCTGGAAGTGATGGTTCATCTCCAGCAGCAACTCCTTGTTTTTCGTGTTGAAATCAAGCAGGAACTGCAAACGCTCCAAACCTGCGTAGACCATATCGGTATACATTTGATTCGGACCAATTGTAGCCTAGAAAAATAAAAAACAAACAAAAAATTAAGCAAAATAGTATTTATTGAGTTAACGTATTCACACAGGTTATAATTATATATTTTTGGGTTTTATTTTATTCATGTAATCATCAGAAAATATTAATTTTGATATTTATCCAAATAAAAAATAAAAGAGTTGAAAATACAAATTAAAATATTATGTGATTATTTGAATAAAATAAATTAGAATTAAATAATTTTTAACAAATAAAAATCAACAAAACTTACGATATTTCTCCTCGGAGTTATTTCCGGTGACAGTTTATCATTTACAACATTCATATTACTAATATGCGCGTTAGTAAACGCAAAAATAACAAAAACAAACAAAAATACTTTCAGCGACATGATTTCACTCGTACAGTGTTTAACCACCAAGCAACAAATCTCTAATAACTAAATAACGCAAACTTTGATAACACACACTTTAATATAAATTTCATAAAAAATTCTCCACTCATCTCCACTTGATAATTTTAACAATTATTACATACGAGTAGACAGTAGATAAAACAAATAAATTTTGATCAAAACTTACGATGTTTCTCCGTTCTGGCAGATTCATCATTATATTTTCCGGCAAAGACCGCACGGCTCTCATGCGATGACTCTTATTGTCTTCATCTTTATTCTTGTCAAGTATAACCCACGTAATAGCGATAGCTGCACATAGAATGACTGCAACAATAACAGTCGCAATAACTCGTGCGATAATTGTCTCGCATATTACTTTCAGACAATAAATACACATTTTGTTGATTGTGTTGATGTTTCTGTGTGAATTCTTTGAATATCATATAAATACTAAATATATATTAGTAAATTGCTAAATTTAGACGCCGTGCAATTGGTTATTATCAGTCTAAGAGATAAGTGCTTGCCTAATATGAGATAAAATCAATGAAATAGATGTATAAATTGCTTGTGGGGACATTTTCACTTGAAAATATCAATTGCATCATGTTGCCACGGACGATAGTTAGTGTTTTGGTGCTTTGTTTATGCATTAATTATGCATTTGGGGCTTGGGTAAGTTTAAAATTTTATTTCTTTTATTTTTCATGTCGTAGATTAAAATGTAACTAGCTTATGTTATAGAGAATTTTCCCTAGTTTAATCATTTTCAATCCGTTTGTGTTTATCTCTTTTAGTTTCCGAGATATTCGCAATTGAAAACAAAATCAAAAAACGAAAAATGTCACTTTTTAGCACTTTTAGTCACGTTTTTTGACGTTTTACCACAAAGAATAAAATTATTTTTACTTTTAATCTTATAGAGAATTTTATAATCTTTCATAATCGACAATCCGCTGGTTGTTATCTCTTTTAGTTTCGAAGATATCGTAATTGATAAAAATTGCAAAAAACTAAAAATTTCACTTTTTAGCACTTTCAATCACGTTTTTTGACCTTTTACTCCACGAAATTTAATTATTTTTAGTTATTTCCTAATAGGGAATTTTCTCATCTTTCATAATCTTCAATCCGCTGATTTCTATCATTTTTAGTTTCCGAGAAAATCGAAAAAATTGAAAAAATAATCAAAACATTGAAAATTAAGAATTTTTAAAATTTTAATGTTTCAGGTGACTATTGGTGAAAATAGCATGTCTTATTATACATTGAACGCTGTAAAAGACACGTTGGAAGTGATGGTTGGGGAAATGGAACCGGATTTTACGATTTTGCAAACTCTAGTTGATGTTCTATACGCAGTGGATGATTCGAGAGATTGGTATTTGATAAATCAACGAATGGCTGCCATTAACACAACCAATATTGAATATGCTAACTTTCTCTTTGATAGAGACAACACGCAATTGTTAGTGTTAGGGTATCCACGTTGTTAATAACTGATATTTATATTACACATTTAAATATATAAATATTATTACCAAACAACTCCTTTTTTGAATCAATTTGATGTCAATATTCAAAAGGTTGACATGTAGTCCTCTTCGCTTTTGATTGGTTCATTGGCAATTGTCGTTTTCTGTTTAATTTAAATCTCTGCCATATAAATCACATTGATATTGTATGTTTTATATGTTTCTTTAGATATTCAACCTATAAACCAAAAATGTTACATCATATATATGATCAAATTCAAATTTACCGCCGATTTCTACATGTTCGCCTCCAAGTCTGACTTTCAAATCAGCATATATAACCCCTAACCTTACATTATACGCATCCAAATCAAACACAACATGTCCAAGCGAAATATCGACGAATTACTCGAAAATGAAACGAATCTTCCACGCAAACAAGTGAAATTCGATGATAACGTCAAGAAGCACACATTGGACTCGGACGAAGAAGACGATGACAAGGATAAATACAATATCCTCGACGATAACGACATAGAAGGCGAAGAAGACGCGTCGCTCGACCGGCAAGATGGTGATGTACGAATGACTGCGTTTAATATGACCGAAGAAATGGAAATGGGGCATTTCGATAAAGACGGACACTTCATCTGGAAGAACGAGAAGGAGGTGAGGGATAATTGGCTGGATAACGTCGACTGGCAACGCGTGAATATCGCCAACAACGCCGGTGATGCAAACGCGCAGAACTCTGAAGAAAAAGGCCTTGGTGATGAAAGCGACGATGATAACACACCGGATTTCGATCATATTACCAGCTATAGACGGGTGATAACATTTTTAAAACCCGGTGAGACAATAAACAAAGCTCTGAAGAGACTTGGAGGTGATTTAAGCAAAATGTCCACCATTGAGAGGATAAAACATAAAAAAGCTGGTACTTTGGGCAGTAATAAGGATGTGGTTGAATTAACTGAACTTGCAAATGGTATTTTAACACATTTGGGGAATATGGATGTGTATCAGGAGACTTATGAACAGATTCAACTTAAAGTCAGTATTTTTATATAAAAATTGTTATTTTTTATTAATACTGATGATAATTTATTGTCTTTAGTTGAATAATCATGATAAGAAGAACAAATCCAAGGCGCATATCGTCGAAGCAGAGTTTGATATGTACTCGGATGATTTCGACACAAAATCAGCGTCGGTTTCAACTTCTACAGTAGAAAATTTAGGTAAAAAGGAAGAAACAGAGGAGACACAATTAATGTGGGAGTTTAAATGGGATCAGGCGAAGGATGAGATTGAGGGGCCATTTGACACGCGGCAGATGAACAAATGGGCGGAGGATGGGCATTTTAAAACTGGTGTGTGGGTAAGGAAATGCGGCGCACAGGATTCGAATTTTTATTCGTCAAATCGCATTGATTTCGAGTTATATCTTTAGAGTAGGTTTAAAATAATAATATTTTAATAAAAAAAAAAATTAAAATAGGCCCTTAGTATTTTTCGGGATAACGAAATATCACTTGAGATCCGCTTGACTTATTTAAACCACCAGTAGCGAATTAGGAATAAGCCTAAGAGAGGAGAGGAGACCCTAGAAAACTGCGAACTTGTCTCTTTTTAGTGTTGTTTCGTTAATTTTGAAATCATATCGATTCTAACGAAGTTTTCACTTCAAATCGAAGAAAATATAATGAATAAAATATCCGCATTAATATAAACACGAAATAAACGAGTGACTTGGTCAGATTTTGAAGAAAAATAGGCCTCTAATATTTTTCGGGATAATAAAATATTACTTGAGATCCGCTTGACCTATTTAAATCACCAGGACCGAATTACGAATTAAAAAACATTATGCAGCTTCAATAATAAATCCAACAACGAATTAAACCGTGAAATGAAACAATTTGTGACAACTGAAGTGGACACATCGAAATCAACAAGAAGGGCGGAGAATCATCTAATAAATAAAACAAAATCATTACAAAACAAGCTGAAAACTTACTTGTATTTAGAAAATTCCATCCGGGAACAACATCATTTTACCGAAGACAAGATGGCGTCCATGTTGAATCATTCAATGGTCGTTGAATTATTATCCGGTGAATTGTGCAAAAACTTAATACAGGAAGAAATTGCGTTGTTTGCGGAGTTCAATCTTGAATTTAACCGAAGATTTACGTACAGTAAGCAAGATGGATACTATCGTGACTTGCATTTTTCATCATTACCGTTTCTTACTGTTGATGATGCTGCTTAAAGAAAGATTGTTCTCAGTTTGGGTGTTGCAATCACTCAACCTGAATAAAAACTCAAATATTTCGTTGAAAAAGTCCAAGAATATAAAAAATGTCAAGAATATTACCAAAAACACGTTAAAAACTCATTTGTCTTTGATTCTTTCAACAAATAACACATGTAAGTTGATAATTTTATAGTTTTATGGCAAATTATATAAATATTCCATGTTTTAGGATTCCAGGAGCATGATAAACAATAATCGAGTGTAAGTATTCATTTCTTTTGTATTTATATAATATTATTGTTCACATGTTCACTTCTTGGTAATACCTGTGGTAACAGTTCGTTTATGTGACGCGAATGGAATGTCTTGAGTATGAAATTCGGCTCTGCTGCACATCCATTACATGTTTGCCTGTAATTTTTGTCTTAACTTAAGTGCGTTTTTACACATTTGATTCAGTTCGAAAAACTTTTTATCGCATGTGTATTCCGTACATCGTTCTCTCGCACTGCATCTACTTGCTGCATGCAGCAGTTTAGTTTAGATCGTAGGTATCCGTGTCTATTGCTATTGGCACAAAGTCACGTGTGATAAGGTTTGCACACCCTTTGTATTTACACGCGCGCATACAGGCCGCCTTTATCATATCGTCAGCTGTGGTGTGTGTATTAGGCATGCCTAGTACTTTGCCATGCTGCGGCCAGTTCCGTGCCGGTCTCTGGTTCCTTCGGCTTGTCTCTCTCGCGGCTTATATCATTCTTAGAGTTTGATTTCACTATTCGGCGTTGCGTTTGATTGATAATCGTGTACCACCGCTGCGGTTTTGACGTGTGCAGTTGCCGCTGTCGGTCCCTTCATTTTTCCGTCATGTTGATTTATTCATCATTAGATAATCCATTGGTTATCTCTTAGGTAACTTTTAACCGAATAATATATGATTATTAGTTTTCTTTGATGTGAATATAATATTAATAAAATTTATGAAATGATTTAACTTGTGTATTATTTTATTTATAGTACCTTTTCGGTCTTGGATTCCGACAGGTTCCGCTTTGTAAGTTAATATTTTTAACTAGTGTTTTCGTTTATATTTGCGCGTCACATTTTTTATTGCAATGGCATAAGATAGTCGCGTACCATGCCGATACATCAAAGAATTAAACTTTTGATTTTCCGCTATTCTTTGTTTGAAATATTCCCGCGAAATCTGCTATCTCGAAATGGCCTTCTAAAGTACGACTATTATATCCTGTTTTTGCAGCTGTTAAAAAGTTGATGTGAAAAATGAGTCATATCCGGGAACCCTTTATGATATTGAAAATTTCAGGATTTATGAGATATTCGCAATTGAAAAATGGGTAAAAATTGAAAACATTTTTCTTTTTAGCACTTTTAGTCGCATTTTTTCATCTTTTTTACTGTGTGAAATCTTTAAATAATTTTAAATTCTTATCTAATTCCTAACTTTCATAATCTTCCATTCGTTTCAGTTGCCTTAATTTAAAAGAGATAAATTGTTATTAACAATACTAAAAAAATGACGCAGCACATGAGGTATACAGTAAATGTACAAGAAAATAAATTATTTATTTGTAATGGTAAATTAATTTCCTGTTTTTCTGAATCTTATAAATATCTCAAAGCCAATAAATTTTCTTCTTATGCCGAGAAATATTGAATGTAAAAAGTAGATTTCCTGTGTATGTCGGTTATTTCAACATTGTGAAACCTTAGTTTGGTCTTTTTCTAACTACGAGTGTATCAGTACGTTTTGTGTATATAAACAACTTTTTTGGTTCGATGTGTATTATCGCTACGTACTAGCCTTGTACCGGCTAAGCTGTAGCATGCGACGGCAGTTGTTTCACCGCGTGGTCCGCGAACGAGTTTCTTAATCGCCATACGTTTTGAGGTTTTAATTGGATTAATCGTCGTGTACTTTTTCGACCATCAGCAAAATATCAAAATTTATATGTGTGCCTTGTTTTGTTTAATGACAAGTTGTGGCTCAAATAAGAAAATTCTGTTCATTAATCTGTGCTAGTGTTTTCAGTTGATAGAATATATTTCAGGATATAAAACCTTCATCAATGCATACAGATAGGTGTGTAATTAAATTTTTTACGGAAAGTTACGCCGGTTTAATCCTAAATTGATTATTCTATATGAGTAAAGTGATATGAAATTTGCATGTATCATCTTGCAAATTACAAACACTTCAGTATGTAAAGTATTTTTATCAAATTTCTAGTACTGCTTCCGAAAACAATATGATGATTTAATTACTACAAACACTGGGTTTTAAAAGAGTATCTGAAGATTATTAAAATTGGCAATATTCATTAATCGGGATTTGCACTCCTGTGCATCATTAAATTGGCGAAGTTTAAGAAGTTGACCTAGTAAAATCTTTTGTACGATGAATAGTTTTTCGTTTTCATAGTCTCCGCGTACATCTGCTTCGCGCCACGTTGCCGTCAGCTGATTTGAATGTTTTCTGCAGGATATTCTATCAATTTATGATGATGTTTCGCCTGTCGGCTTTACGCAAAGTTGACGCATAAATTAATAAATATACATCTACAATATGTTAAAATGTAGGTGTATTAATTTTGTACCTTCTTTTTGCTCAATTTTTCGATGATTTTGGGTAAAATCTTGGATTTATATTAAAATATTGTTGTTTATTTGTAAATTTCCTCCCAATGTTGTGAATATTAACTCTTTCTAGTTTCTAAAAGTTTTCTTTTTGTAAATAATTCATGTATATTAGTTTTCCTAACACTACGTAGAAAACGCTGTATTTGTGAGTTTCTGGGTGTTCTTTACCTCCAACGAGAGATTTTTCTTCTGGAAACACCCTGTATACTTCTATTTCTTTCTTTTGTATCCGTGAAATATTTGCTTTAAATGTTGTTGTTAGGTTTTCCTCATTGCCCTTGAACTTTCTTTTTGTGACACCCTGTATATTAGTTTTCCAGAGCCTCGGGTGAAAAACGAATGATATTTACATGTGATATTTGAATTATAATTTTTTCTGTTTTTACATTAAATTTTTGATTTGTAACACCTTCTATATTTGTTTTCATTTTCAATAACGTAGAAAATGAACTATTTGCTAATTTCATTGTTCCCGTAGAACTGTACGAAGTGGTACTTGCTTATATGTGCGCGGCTTAGCAGGTCGTAAGTCCTATTTCAATATGGCGACATGTATTCTGTTGACATGTAAAATCTAAACTTGTATTCTATTGTTAATAAATAAATAGTAAGATATATTGACTTCTTTGATTTGTGTGTTCGCCTTCTATCATTTCAGGAACAGGCCTCTAAGAGAGTTCCCTCTCTCAGGGGATAATCCCCCCTATAAAAATTGTTAAGGTAACCTGTATGATTTGTGTACTCTTTCTTTCATTTCAGCTACAGGTCAGAACTTGTAAGAATACTTTTAAGTGTCGCCTCTCTCGAGGCGACTTAAAACTTAGAAATATTCAAACAAGACCTTATAAGGAATGTCTTTATAAGGAGTTCCCTCTCTCTGGGGGTGATCCCCCACCATAAAAATTGTTGATATGCCTGATAATTCCGGGGATGAAGCGCAGAGACATCGTAGCTGTAGGATGGGCCGGGAGCAATGGACGCATCGAAGCAGTGGGCGATCGACCAGAGCGCTGTGACTGTGACTGTCTTATAACGACACGTGCCAAAAAAATTAAAAATTTCATCCACCCCTGTTGCTCTTTCTTCTATCTCCTCCCTCTTCTCTACTCTCTGTTCTCTTCCTTCTGTCCTCTCCTATGCTCCTCTACTACTCCTTCTTCTATTTCTCTGTTCTCTCGTTCTCCATTTACTTTCATGCATCTCTTATTGCCTCCACTTGTATTTCAATTTCTCATATATTTCGTTGCAATTCATATATGCAACCCAAATTTCACCAGATATTTTTATATTTGAGAAAAATGCCTTCCACACCTGAGATTCGATCCGTGTCTACTAGCATGCCAGCAGGTGCACGTATCCACTCGACCACCGAGTGTTTTTATTTTTAATATTTGATTCTTCTATTTATGTCTCTACTTTATTCAACTTTTTAAAAGCAACAACACAACACAAACAACAGCTATATATTGTACACGCTCGGCGCACTTAAGATTTATATGGAGTATGATTTCAGGCACCAATCCTGCAAACGGCAAAGGGGAAACCAGAAAGAAATATGATGAAGTATGTAATATTACATTATGTTTTATTAGCAACATTTAAAACCACATACATTTATTAAAAATCGAAAATCAGAGGCAGCTCTTAAATCTCCTGAAAGTAAAACATGCCTTGTAATACGCGCATCTCTAACATTTCTGCGACGGAAGCGCAGTTGCTTATTTATAGTAATTACAACACAAGGTGCAAGCAAACATTAAAACACAAACAAATACAATACAAAACTTTTACATATAAAAACGAATTCTACATGGACAGTACAACAAACATGTATGTATTTACACATTAATACATAATACAATACAGCAAAGCCATATACACAATAAAAGGAGATCTCAAGTTCTACATACACAATTACATAACACAAACAGCAATCATGGAAATGTGCTCAAGAGGATGACCGCACAAACACAAATCTAGGATTACGCGCACTTAACAGACACCGCAATGAAAATTCTAGGCCGCTCCCTTCGCAAGCTATACCCAAAAACCCTAACAATTTCCCCTCACATGTAAAAATCCCACTTAACCATCCAATTTTCGACTTTAGATATGTTCCAAATGCAACTTCTGCAACAAACTAATACAACGCCACGAAGAAATTAATTTGACAACTCTTAAAATGCCCCCTTCGCGAGTTAAAGCTAAACAACGACAGTGCGGCAACTACCAAATACCTTAGCGCCTTACTACCAACAAAGAAAACGCACGACACTACAGTACAAATCGTGAAGTGATTAAATGTGCAATACAATAAAAATTCTTGATAACTTTTTTTATAATGACGTAAAAATACGTACAGGAATGTTGGTTTTGTGACTGGGTGAGTGAAATCCGTCCTTTAATCAACAAATTTTAGTAAGTATCGTTATAAAGAGTTTACACTGCATGTTATTCCACAGGCATTCATCAAATTCATTGTCAAAGGTACTTAAATATATACAAATCTAATTATAACTGAACTTAAAGATGAATTAAAAGATGATTTGGCGCAGAATTGACCAAGAACAAGAATTAAATCACAATTAATTACGATAATACTAAACACGGATACGCAGGTTTAAAATTGTGGCTTCACCGCATACAAATAAATAAAAATGTTCACAACAATAACAAGATAAGATATCGTTCTAACCCGGCGTAAGCAAAGACTTAACTGCACGCGTATGAATAAAACTTCCCGAACAATGCATGCACGAATAGGTGAATTTAATAGGGACGACAATTTCAGAAAAAGAAAATAAAGTTTACACCTTACCGTTCTTTCTTGGTATTCCACGCATATCTTTGCCCATGTTCCCCGAGCAAGATGGCTCACGTACAGATCATCACACTAAACACCAAACACGACAACTAGCACAGATAACCGGCGATGGTTAAACGAACGGCACGCAATTAATCGAAATAAAATCTTAAAACTGCTGCAAGACGATGCAGGTTCATGCTACCTGTATCACGCCTGCATGAAATGTAAACTAATTGATAACACGCGGTCATCTTGAAACACGCACAACGACCGTAAATAAAATGAACGATTTTGTATGTTCCACATCGGATTAACACACTAAACACGTCAGTAATAACTAAAAGCAGGCGATGGACGATCGAAATGAACACGATTTACCGAATTACAAACTCAAAAATAAAATATAACAGCCGCGAGAAACACGTCCGACTCCAACAGCGACCGGCACAAAACTACGCTGAGCGCAGCGCGCAATCAGGGACCGCAAGCGCAAAGCGCAATAATCTTGCGCGCACGTCGCAACGCAATGCACACTATTTGCAACAAACAAGGTCGCATGCAGGATAGCAAACAAATACTGATAAGCAATAGTGAAATTCCGCGCGCGAAATCGCATTTAAAAATTTCAAATCAATCGGCGAAAATTACTAGGATCATATATATAACATTGATAGTGAACGCCCTACGTCATAACTTCTATCCTACTCTATCACAATAAAAACGCCTATCTACCTATCCTTCTTCCGATGACACGCAGCTCCTACACTATCCATGTACTTTATATTACAGCCGATCATATATCCAAAACTGATCATTGCCATGCGCAATGTAGTCTGTTTATTTCCCACTCTAACTCACATAACCAGCATAATTCCGCCATCGAAGCCAAACAAACACACAATCCATATTAACACATTGACAAGCAGCTGATTGTCAAAATCATACTGTGCCAAGGGTCAATATTTACCTTCACAAATCGGTCGATTCTACGGCAAAAAGTGTCGAACAGGTCCAGAAGCGACCAAAATAATGCTGTGTAGTGCATCCGCGAACTAAATCACCATGGTCTGCGAGGACAAACTCTTCTTCAACAAGGCAGTGCAGCACCTGGCTCGCTCCCTAGCGCGCATTAAAGACCTGCAATGGGAAAAGGTACACATACCACAGCATAATAAAACACAAATACAAATATTAAACCTTCAATTACCTACCAACAGCTAAACGCGTTATTCTCCCTATGCCCGGAGGAGCCCTCCTGCGGCTCGCTCTTCAAAATCAGCGTGCGTCATCAAGATGCCATCATCGCGCTTGGCATCTATCTACTGGAATCAGACCTGCAACATAAAGAAAAAATCATCCCGTATCTACTAAACCTCGCCAAGCGCCTCAATCGCTCATGGCTGGAAGAGAACAAAGTGAACATCATTGGGCGTATACCCGTCGCTGAAAAATTCAGCTTCTCTCTGCACACACTGCTCTCAGACATCGCCGCGCGTTGTCCTGAAGAAAAAGACACAATCATTTCCACACAGATTGAATGCTTGGAGCAGCTGACACAAAACATCCTCACACTGCATGAACAACCAACAAATTCAAGCTCGACGAAATTATTCCTGTGCAGAAACACAGTTCCATACCTACTTGGACTTGCAAGAGCAATTGGGCGCTTCTCACTCAACAATCCATCGTATATTTGCCGACTGTATCCAAAACCCGACCCGCCAATCATACCAGCACCAAACAACACCCCGCAGAAGCCGATTTATCAGAGAAGTTTCAGTAACTTCCGCCCGATTATTCCACGCTCGTTATCGCTGAATGAAAACGCAAATATGTACGAAGATAATCGCTTTCTTGGCCTGGATCAGAACTGCGATGTGAAGACGTATTTCTTCTGCAAGTTCGGCTCGAGTTTCCATCAGTTTCAGAATTTACGACTGAGTGATGCTCATGATTATCGCGACCGGATGATTTTATTAAGCCTGGATCACCTGCAGGCGATTCTCGCGATGGCGAAGAAGTTACTCACCAAAGACATGCTCGCGTTTCTGGATGAACAATCCAGCGAGATTTATTCCACCGAGAAAATCATCACGTTTCCGTATAAAACCTTCTCGGAGACGATTAATTTAGTGATGGTTACACTGTTGAGGGAATTACTGCAGCCGCAGAAGGATTTACCGGTGCCCTTCACCAAGGACGTGCAGGAATTTGTTAAAGGTGATTCTAGCAGAATAGAATCTAAAACATAATATAAAAATTATTAATCTTTTTAGGATTATTCCTGAATGGTCAGACTGAATTGCAAAGTCGTAATCATGACGCAAGTGAACGTGAGGATCGCGAAAGTAATTACGCACTGGTTAATAAGTTTAAAGTCAACGTAATGGCGAACGCAGCGTGTGTAGACTTACTTGTTTGGGCGATCGGCGACGAGACAGGTTAGTAGATGGCCTGAAAACATCAAAAAAATCAATCACCTAAGAGTTGAATGTTTAAATTTCACTTTCAGTCGATGCTGAGTACAATTTCTCCACACTCTCACATGCTCTCAATATTATTTTAGGTTTGACTCAGTTTGCGTTTGATTTGTGGCCTTTTGTTTGCAATACTTTTGATTTCAAATTGTGTTTTGTTTGTTTTTCTTTTTCTTTTTGAGTTTTGATTTGATTATTGACCACATAAACAAAAATAATAACTTTACAAACCTTTTTAGGTGCTGATAGCCTCTGTGGACGTCTCTCAGAGAAGATAAACTCAACGCATGGACATAAACTTGTCCTTGCGCATATGCCACTCCTGATGGTATGTCTTGAAGGCCTTGGAAAACTCGCCCAGAAGTTTCCTAACATCGCCTCGACGTCCATCTATTGCCTGCGTGATTTCCTAATCACTCCATCGCCTATTCTGCAAAAACTACACAAACAAATCGCGGAGAAGAACGAGAAGAAGAACAGTAATAAACTGTCCGTTACACCTGCTATCACACCACGTGATAACAACCAATACAAAACAATCACACCCGCTCAGACAGCGTTTGATAAACTCCGGGATGCAGCGATTGAAAATTTATGCTTCGCGTTAGACGCCGCATTCGCACTGGATCCGAATGTAGTGCGTGCATTGGTTGCAGCTGTGTCTAATCGCATCTTCACCGCTGAGAAATCCAACGGGGAAAGCTCACTGATCTCCACCAATATCGTCTTTATGCTGGGACACGTCGCAGTGAGCATGAAAGCCGTCCCGCGGACAACCGACACCATCCTGCAGTTCTTCCAGCAGAGATTCTGCCGTGTACCATCCCCATTGGACATCCTAATTGTCGACCAGCTTGGGTGCATTGTAATCGCCCAGTGCGAGCAGCACATTTATGAAATCATCATGAAAATGTTCACGATGATCACCGTAGACTCAAGCAGCGCCACATACAGCGAGAATTCCATGGAAAAGGCGCAGTATACGCATGTATCACGTGCTGTAATCAATGCATTAGCGAATATTGCTGAAAATATACAAGTTGACTCACTTAATAGTCTCCTGGTTACACTTCTAGAGTTGTTTGTCTCCCTGGGGTTGGAAGGTAAACGCGCGAGTGAGAAATCACCCGGAGCTACAAAAGCATCCAGCTCTGCGGGGAATCTAGGCGTGTTGATTCCTGTCATCGCTGTTTTATTGAGGAGGATGCCTAGTATCCGCAATCCCAAACCTAGATTACATAAGTTATTCAGAGATTTCTGGTTGTATTGTGTGATTATGGGATTCACAGCGGCGGATAGTGGATTATGGCCAGTGGAATGGTATGAAGGGGTTAAGGAAATCGCTATAAAAACACCCGCATTAGTTTCACAGACATCCAGCCGGTCTGAAATGAGAGGATTGCAATATACCTCCGCAGTGCGCAATGAAAGTGTTAGTATTAATGAACTACACGAGCTACGCACACAAATCTTAGACCTGCTTAGAGGTGCAACTGATGTCTCCGCACATGTAAACAAACTTAGTTTTGCTGAATGCAGTTTTCTACTTAGTGTCTACTGGGTAGAAACTCTAAGGATAACTAATTCAGACGGGCCAAATCTACAGATTATTATCATAGAATATCTGAGTGATTCGGCGCTGCAGAAAGATAAGAACGGCATGTGGAATTGCGTGTCGTCTGTCGGCGAGAAAGTCTTCGATAAATTCCTACAAGTTATGAAAAACAAACCAAAGGATCAAGCAAGAGAGAGTGATCTTGAGGAACACGCACAATTCCTCCTTGTGAATTTCAACAATCCACAAAAACAAATCCGTAGAGTTGCAGATAAATTCCTATCGTTACTGATCGATAAATTCCCACATCTACTCTGGAATAAACGAGTCCTATGGACAACATTGGACATCCTACAAGTATTATGCTACTCACTACAGTTAGATCCCAATCAAGAGAATCCCATACTAGATATCCCTAAAACAAGCTGGTCTATACAATTGATGGATACCCTGGAAGCTCGTGAAAGCATCGTGAAAGATTTCGCTGCGAATTCCGAACGTATTCTAAAAGAAGCTATGAAATGGGAACCGCACTGGACCCGGTCACATATACAAGAATACATAAATCTTATGCAAGCACAGGGGACCTATGAAGGGTCACATGCAGGATTATCACTTGCATTGGAGTGCGTGCAACAGCATGGTCCTAACAATCAACAATGTGTTAGTCTAACAGTAGGCATGCTGGACAAGAGACCCAAGTGCGTCAAGAATGACGTATCGAAGTTCGTGAGTTACTTAACACTGAGATCCAAATACGCGGGGGAATTGAATGGGTTGATGTCGTTTTGTGGCCAGGAGAATATCCGTGACATGACCGGGAGATTATTAGAACGTGTATGGCAATCATGCAAGGATAAAGACGTAGATGGTCATCGAGAAGCCCTGTGGAGATCCACAGCTATGTTAATCACCACCCCGGAACTCAATCGTAGTCTACTGCATTGTATAGCGTCTAGTCAAGTGGAATTATTCAATGTGGAAGCAATGACCACGGCGGTAGCATGCTGGCAGTGGTTGATAACAGCGCGTCAAGATGTCGAGTTGAGATTTTTACAGGAAATGGTCAGTGCGTGGACTTACACTGTACAAAAACGTATGGGGTTGTTTTCTGTACCGGCGGAGGAAGTGTCCCCACTGGCGTATTCCGAAGGGAGTAATTTGGAACCGCAGCCGCCATTTGTGAAACCACACGCGGTGTGGGTGCAGTTTATCTGCGAGATGATCGAGACTGCCAAGTATAGCAGTTATGAAAAAGTCGAGATGTTAGCCACATTGATCCATCGATCATTGGCGATGAATGTCGGCGCGTCTAGTCCATGTCAAACACGGGATGTGGCCGCTGTCGGCGTGCGATTCAAACTATTACAATGTGGATTATCTCTGTTGCAAGGTGATATCTTACCGAAGAGTTTAGCGAAGAATGTGCTACGTGAGCGGATCTACTGTAGTTGCTTGGATTATTTCTGCAGGCCGGTGAGATGCCCCACGCAGAATGTGAGTGAATTACGCGAGGATATTTGCACGCTTGTGAGATTCTGGCAGACGATGCATTCGGATAAGAAGTATTTGAAAGTGAGCGATGTTGGAGGTAAGTGTGTTTTATACTTGGATGTGTTTTGTGTCAACACTGATTTTTTCCATCTCTGTGCACATTTTAATTTGTTCTATTCTCTCTTTTCCACCCTTTGAATATTGAAAATTTGATGGGTAATGAAGATTTAGATTTAGGCACGTCGGCGCCCTTCAGCTCAATCCAAACCGTCGAGATGGCCAAACCCAATGAGTTACGAGGCACCGCCGGATGGATAAACACCGTACCATTATCAACAAGCACGAATACGCTGAGTAAAAGATCAGCGAAGAGTAAACGCGTACCGTTGGCGGATAATTTCGTGCGGTGTTATATCAAGAAGCGCAATTTGATTCTGGAGTTGTTAGCAGTCGAGATTGATTTTATGATTGTGTGGCACAATCCAGGCAGTCGAGTGGAGTTGCATTTACCCGGTGAGGATAGTTTGGCGGCGTGGAGGGCCAAGACATTGACAGAGAAACAATGGCAGGATTATACAAGGCTTGCGTGGGATATCTCACCGGTGCTGGCAGTTTATCTACCGGATAGGTTGAAGAGTAATGATTCGATCATTAATGAAATCAAGCATCAGATTATGCAGAATCCGGTTGCGGTGCAGCATATTCCCGAAGCGCTGCAGTATTTTGCGACTACAGATGCTATTTTGTCGGATATACCGAAATTGGTTTATATGCTGACATGGGCCAAGTTAACACCGATTCAGGTGCGGTAAAAACATATAAATCTGGGACTGGACTGCTTAGAAATAATGAACAACCCGCAAAAAGTGGTGGGGGTGACACAGCAGTCCAATCGCAGTTGTCTATACTACGCTTAAATATTAACACTTACTTTTTGTTGTTTTTCTGCAGGCGTTGGCATTCTTCTCGCGACAATTCCCCCCGCATCCAATAACATCGCAGTATGCTGTGAAGTCGTTGACATCCTACCCGAGCGACGCAGTCTTATTCTACATTCCACAACTTGTCCAAGCCCTACGACATGATAACGTAAGTAATACAAAAAACATACATATCACATGCACAATTAAAATATTACTTTTTGTTTTACCCTGTAGATGGGTTATGTAACTGAGTACATAAAATACGTAGCGCAGAAATCCCAAATCGTCGCGCATCAACTCATCTGGAACATGAAAACCAACATGTACATGGACGAGGAAATGCAACAGAAGGACACAGTACTCTACGACATGCTTGAAGCACTCACCAATAGTATTATCTCGAATCTCTCCGGACCAGCGCAGCAGTTCTACGAGCGCGAGTTTGATTTCTTCGAGAAGATCACCAACATCTCCGGCGAGATTCGACCCTTCCCAAAAGGCGCCGAACGCAAACGCGCATGCCTGGAGGCATTGAGTCGTATCAACGTACAACCAGGTTGTTACCTGCCTAGTAATCCCGAAGCCATGGTGGTGGATATTGACTACAAGAGCGGTACACCAATGCAAAGCGCAGCGAAAGCACCGTATCTAGCGAGGTTTAAAGTACAGAGGTACGGGATAAATGAACTGGAACAGGTGGCGATGGCATTCTCGCAGAATCGTGGTGTTGCTGAGGTAGCAACGCTGGGGCCGGAAATGTGGCAGGCGGCCATTTTTAAAGTCGGCGATGATGTCAGGCAGGATATGCTGGCGCTGCAAGTGATTGGGATATTTAAGAATGTCTTCCAGACGGTGGGGTTGGATCTGTATCTGTTTCCGTATAGAGTTGTAGCTACCGCACCAGGGGTAATGATAAAATCTAAAATATTAAATAGGGTTAATATCAAAATAATAATTTTAGTGTGGTGTGATTGAATGCGTGCCCAACGCGAAATCCAGAGATCAATTAGGAAGACAAACAGATTTAGGCATGTATGATTACTTCCTGAAGAAGTATGGTGATGAAGGATCGCAGGAGTTTCAATTAGCACGGCGGAATTTCGTTATTTCAATGGCCGCCTACAGTGTGGTTGGATTTCTGCTTCAGATTAAAGACAGACACAACGGGAATATCATGCTGGATGGCGAGGGACACATTATACACATTGGTACGTTATAAACTACATAAACTTTGTAAATAATTATTAATTTCACTTACTTGTAGACTTTGGCTTCATGTTTGAATCCTCCCCGGGTGGTAATCTCGGTTTTGAGCCGGATATCAAGCTCACCGAAGAGATGGTAACCATCATGGGAGGCAAGATGGAAGCGCCCCCTTTCCGCTGGTTCTGCGAACTGTGTGTGCAAGCATACCTAGCTGTGCGGCCGTATCGTGAAGCGATTGTATCACTGGTCTCGTTGATGCTGGATACAGGATTGCCGTGTTTCCGCGGGCAGACGATCAAATTACTACGCGCTCGCTTCCAGCCGAGTGTGAGCGAAAAGGATGCGGCCAATTACATGCTCGCGATCATCCGCCATAGTTTCCTCAACTTCCGCACGCGTACCTATGACATGATTCAGTATTATCAGAATCAAATACCTTATTAATACCGTAAAAAAAGTTATAACTTATTACTATCATATTACTATCTTGTTGTTGTTGATTTATAGAATTAGTTGATTGAATAAAAGTGGGAGCTCGAAAAATATTAGATAAAATAAAACATTGAGACGGTACTGGTACTGGTGTATAGTGGAATGTGTCACTTGAGAGTAAATGTAGGCAACTTAATATACATGAATGTAATACATTCCACCATCTATGTATTGTGTCACCTTGCAACTAACCTCTTATCGCTGGCCTGTAAACTCCAGCTGTACTCCTGCAAACGTCAACAGAGTTGCATGATGCGACCGTTGTGTCCTGCTAGATTTCCATCCTAATAATACCGCGTGGCGTGTGTGGTGTGCGCGCGCGATGAGCGACAGCATTCCGCGCTAATAATAACCACCGCGCCCGATGCTCCTCGGCGGGCGTCCGCTGGCGGAGCACCTCGGCGCGCATTGGCAGCTCGCGCTCTCCTGGTGCGGCACGTGGCGGCAGCGCGTCCGCGATTACCTAACCGACGCGCTGGAGCATCTCGTGCTCTTCGCGCTCGCCTATACCGTCGCCTGCCTGATCCTCTACGCGCTCATCGTGCGATGGCGAGCGTTGCGGTTCAGGCGCGACGTGCGGCCCTCACGGCGCGTCCTCTTCGTGATCGCGCACCCGGACGACGAGACCATGTTCTTCGGCCCGACCATCTTACGCTTCACGCAGGATCCCGCCTGCAGCGTTTACCTTCTGTGCCTATCAACAGGTACCAAACAATAAAACCACAAAAAATACAAAAAACTAAAAAATAATTATACCTAGGCGCTAACTATGGCATGGGAAAGGTGCGCAAGAAGGAATTATACGATGCGTGTAAAGTCCTAGGCATCCGCGATGAATGCATCACGGTGCAAAGCCACACAAAACTACCAGACGCAATGGATACGCGCTGGCCGGCCGAGATCGTCGCGCAGATTGTCTCGCACCATCTGCAATCGCTCGGCATCGACACGCTTATCACCTTCGATAAGCACGGGGTGAGCAGACACCTGAATCACTGCAGTATATACTACGCCATTGCGCTGCTCAGCACCGCGAACAAGTTACCAAAAGATTGTCAAGTGTACGTGCTTGAAACAATCAATGTGATCCGCAAGTACTGGAAAGTATTTGACATACCAATTTGTTACATTTTATCGAGTGTTAGGTAGGTGGCGCTGTGATAACCTCACATTATATGCATATACTAACCTTGTTTGATGATGGTGATTGGTGGTTGTAGATTTATCACGAATGCAAGCGATCGCCGCCTGTTGTACAAGGCGATGACGCAGCACAAGTCGCAGTTCGTGTGGTTCCGCCGGCTGTACCTCGTCTTCTCACGCTACCAGCTCATCAACACGCTGCAGCGCATGGACGCCAGCGATATTCAGTTGGATCTCGACGTCGACGACATCCAGTTGGCCGACGACTGAAGATGATCTTCTCTCTCCGCCATTTTGTTTCCGATTAGCTTACGATTTTTTAACACGTTTTATACTCTCGTTTTCTATATATAAATATTGCGTATGTAGTGCGAAGCGTAGACGCCATTTTGAATTCAAAGCTGTATCGCCTCTTTTGTACCGAGTACAAATGCAAGTCATATCGAGTGCGTTCCACTAGGTGGCGCATCATACGACACACGTAATGGAATGCACTCCGCGCGCAAGAAACAAATGCATCACAATATACACGCGGAAATCTTTTCTAAACGAATTTTCTACGAAGTTCTTCACAACACAAAAAAACACCGCGATTACTTTTGTGCCAAAGTATTAAATCTAATTAAATAAATCAGTTGACATGAATTGTTGAATGCACTGGTTGTTTGTTATCGTTTTTCTTTTCTTTCAATAAAAAACATGAACAGAACTTACTTTATATTCTATTAGGCAAGGTAGCGGTCGGCGTAGTGTATCATCTCGAAGCCGACTTCCACCATAATCAGCACGATGATCATCCACTCCAGGCGAATGTGATGCTTGTCACTCAAATGCGAACTCACCAGCTCAATCAACTCGACGCAATGGTTGATCTTCTCGTTTAAGACCTGCGCAGAACAAAATTTGACACAAACTGTCAAAAATTACTTTATTAAATTAAAACAATCAAAACTTACGCGTGTACGTCGTGTGATGCTGAAATAATTACACATCTGTTGATACAACTGCTCAAGATGTTCTCTTTCCCAATAAAAATCAGGCACGTCGAGCAAATCACTGCTCAAATTGATCACGTGACGCAACGCAAATAATTCACCATGTTTCCGCAGGACCTCCTCGCGCGACATCTGCAACTTTCTTCCTAACTTCAAATCTTCTGTTACACCTTCAATACTATCCACGTATCTCTCCAGACTGGCTTCCCAAATGCCAAGCTTTACAGATAAAGCCATCGCGTTGGAAAACGTATACTTATCGAGTATCATCCGCTTCGGATCGTCTTTTGACAGCACAATATCACAGCTACCATCTAGCGTCGAAAGTTTACTTGAAAACAAACCAAAAGTTAAGGTTACCTTCACACAAGCATGGTTATAACTTACTTTTCAACCTGATGATGTGTATAATTCATGTATTCCGCTTCTCTGTGTACCATCACAGCCGCATACCGATCCTGCTCGTATTTATTAATAAAAGCAAGCAAATTATGACTCTCCAGGTCTGTCATGTTCCACATTACAAGACTGCCTTCTCTGAAGAAGAAAATCTCTCTTGGTTCTGTCTCCACTTTGTATTTGGCGACTGCATGCACACAATCCGTGTGATTATCAATGTTTTTAGGCTCATACAATCCTTCAACTTTGAGTCCTTCTATCAAAGCTTCCAGATCATACTCCTCTGCTGTTGAATAAGCCAAAACATTGTATGTGCCTGGCTTTAACGCCGTTTGTTCTTCTTCCAGCGCGCGTTTCTTGCGTAGCGGACGTTTTTTCAGTTGCAACGCAGAGATATTCTCTTGAATCGCTGTTTTTGCGTGTAAATTCCGCACGAGCGATGATTTTACATTGAATCTTAGAGTATTACAACAGGTTATGAACATAAACTGCGGTTTTAACAAAATCTTGGCAAATATCGACATGATTTACCATAGATAACATTAAATGCAACTAAATTCTTTTGTTTCTACAAGTTGTTATCGCTTTTTAACTTAATAATCATTAAATTTCACCTGTGAGGTTGTGCGTTGCACTTGCCGCAATTGTGAGGTTAGAAACACTTGAAATAACTATATACAGAGTGTGCAATATAAAATAACAAATTAAATTAAAGTAAATTAAACAAAAACACTAAATTAATACGTGAATGAAAGCAACATGTAAATAATGTCGACTTTTATTCGTTTGTTGCATTAATATTGATGTTTCTGGTTTGAGAAGCTCGTAAGTTTCAAGTGTGCCCGCATAAAGATTGTTTGTAGTGCAAGAGAGATATCCAAATACACGCAGTAAACTTATGTACAGTACATACAACGAGTGTTTACAAGTAACAACAATCGTAAAATCTTCAAATCTTCAAGTACAGCACACGCGCTAGGTTTAAGAGTAATATAGGTATAGAAAAATACAATTTTTAAAATACAATCTTTGCTCAACGCCCGACAATCGTTTAGTTTCGTTTAGCAAGCGTCACACGCATGTCAAATCGTGAATTAGTTGTCATTTGACACGCTGGTGGCGCTTATTTAATACTTTATACTCTGTATCAGTTGAAAACATCTTTTAAATACTTTTAACATCGTTAAAATTCATTTAGTGGTCGTTTTTTAGGTTAATTATAGAAGTATATAGGAATATATTTTGTAACAAACAAATGATGGCTGTCATTTGTTCGTTGCGTGTTTCGTGTTTGTTCTGTTGTATGAATTCATTGTTTTGACTCATTTGGCGATTGTTTTGCTGTCAATTTTCAGCTGGTAAACACAATGGAAGGAAGAATTAGCAATAAATACATGTTTACCTGCTAAAAATCAACAATAAACAATGAATATAAATAAAATCTCTGCGAATTTTGATTGTAACCGGCTCAATCAGTCATTGTGTTTCGAATTGTGTCCACTGCGAACGTCAAATAGTGGTAAAACGCCTCTTAAAGCTGCCATTGCATTCGTATAACCTCTCTGTAAGCGCCATCTGGTGTGTCTAATGGAAATCAACGAGTGTGGTCGATGTGTGCGTGCGATTCTCACAGTAAAACATGGCCTGACCATGGCTGCAGGTGTCTATCTCGTCGAAGTCCCAGAAGAGGAAGAGTGTGCCGAGTGTGGCGACCATTAATCCGAAGATGCACACGCATAAAGCCGGAAGTTTCTTTCGCGAGAGTAGGCTACCCTCTTCGAGACGCAGGTACACGCCGGCTGGGAGGAGGTATGCCAGTGGGACGGCCGCAAGCACACCCTAAACATTATTAAATTAATTAATAAAGATAAAAAAATTATAAAGTTATGCTTACATTTAATTCTAGAACAACTCCAAGACAATCAGTCGCCATAGATATAATGTACGATGCACCAATAATCGCCAATGTGATTAAATAATGCGCGCGTTCAGAGATGGGGACATTGATGTCATCGCGCCGGAAGACTGTGAGTTCCAACACCTCGCGACTGACAAAACATTCAATTGGGAAGGTGAGGAGTATCTGGATGCTGAATAAAATCCGGCAGAAGTTCATCAAATCATCGTCGAAACAATAATTTTCTAATAAATCACCTAAAAATAACCAACAAAACAATATAAAAGTCATCTAAATGTGTGATGTACAAGTTGCCTACCTTGTGAATATGCTGCAAAAGTTGCATAACCTGATATACCAAACAAAAACGCTACAATGGCGGACGTTGAAATGGAGACATGCGTAACACGATCCCACTTCTTCTGCGACGCTTCGTCAATAGACGTGTACAACAGAAACGTGTTGTGATGGCACATAAACGCTGCAGATAAAAGAAAAACACACACAATCGATTTATATTCCCCAGCGATGCGCACGGAGATAAAAACCTACCAAACGCCATTATTCCAATCGCTGGAATGATGTCCCAGTTGGCAAAACGCCAGTTATCCGAATGACTTGGCCTGAAATCAAATTTAAAACGTTTTAGTTTACATACTAAATAAACATTTTGTTGTATAAATGTATGCCTACTTACACAATCTCCTTCATGGGTCCAACACGTACAAAAACCGAAAACATAATAAACGCTAAACACAACAGGCTGATAAACGAGATCTTGGCGAGTTTAGCAATGTCCCTGTATAAACACAGCGGGATGGTGATGAGGAGCGTCGCAACAAACACGACAAACTCACGCCGTGCGATGAGATCGTCCACTTCACAGCCGGTGATTCGCACTATTACTTTGGTTACAGTATCGCCGACAATCACATTGTACGACACCATAGCTAAACATAAACATAAACAAAATGGCGGACAATAAAATCAAATTTTTAAAAGTAGAAACCTAACTTACCGATAAACGGATACACAAATTGCAGAATACTGAGTAAAATATATCCTGGTCGACCGAATGCCGCCTCCATAATACCCTGATACGTGTACCGCCCGCAAAGATGGCCGGCACGCACCATCAGGATCAACGAATAATCCGTGATGAACGCGACTAGGAACAGCAGAAGTAATCCCAGTCCAAAACCTGCTTCGTGCAGCGCATATGGCATACCTATGAACAAAAACGAAATGAAAATGTACAAAACGGCGTTAATTAACAAAAGTAGTGATTGCGCGCTGATTAAATGGTAAATATTGATCAATGTGTGCGCGTTATTTACCAATGACACCGCTGCCGAGCACCGAGTTGATGTAATTAAAGCTGGCCCATTTCAGGCTCGTCGTTTCGGGCTCCTCGTCCTGCGAAAGTAATGGAAGTCATTATTATGCAAATTAAATTGCCTACCCTGCATCATTTTTTCCTTTCTTTCTTTAATAACTCACGCCAATCAGTTGTTTCATATCATCAAAGGGTGCATTCTCGGCGGAATCAATGCTGCTGCTCTGAAAATAAAAGAAATTATTTATTATTTTATTGTGTTTTATGTATTTTTGAGTGTTTTTGTTTTACCCTGTCGCCGAAGCGGCGCCGGTCCTCCAGGATGCCCGTCGTCTCGTTGAACGCCATCGTCCTGTTGCTTCCGCTTCGCGGCTCGGGTGTTGATGGCGGCGACAGCGGCGGACGACTGAACGTAGGTAGTAACAGGTGGTGGAGCCTCTCTGCCGCCTCCACCGAATCAAAATATCGATGCGCAATGCCGAGATAGGCAACACAATATGCACGCAAGCAATAACTACCCTTACCGCAGTATTTAACTTAATATTACCATTAATATTACGTATTATATTGTAGTTTAAGCTTTATGCTAAAGATTCGCGTCTCCACCATATTGTTTTGTGTTAAAACATGTTTTTAGTTGGATTGAATCATCTTCTTGATTGTAATCATCGTCATCGTCGTCGTTGTCGTCGTCATTGTCAGCTTCGTCAAATAACATACAGTTGTCGTTTTGATATTCGGTGAAGGTGACATCTGTCTCTGTTATTTCTAAAGGTTCATGTTTGATTTCGACTATATTGGGACTGTCTGCTTGTATGGGTTGTATAGAATATTCAGGATATTGTTGTTGTGAAGGATTAAGAGGATTAAAGGAAGAATCTGGATTTAATTCTTCATCGTGATGTGTTTTTGGTGTTTTTGTCAGTAGCCGCGAGCGTGTTCCTTTGTGCATATAGAGAAGATGATCAGGTAACTGTAATTAAAGAAAAAACAAAATGGCCGCATATGTTTTGTATGTTGGTAATAATTAAACAAACAAATTAAAAAAAAGAACTTACCTCTGTTTCGGGAAAAGGTCTTTTTGTAGATTGATTTATCAAATTTTTCGATTTGTGTATCTGTACATCATGTATTGCTCTCCCGTCGTTTAAACTATACGATATATTCGGCGGGGAATCAGTTGTAGCCGGTGTGAATGTAGGCAACTCTTGTGGCACTAACACCGCCGTCAAACCTTTTATCTAAACCAAACACAAACCACATAAATAATGTTATCATTAACCAATAAATAACATAAACATTTACCTTCAGTTCTTGCCCCGCATCCAAAACACACTGAAGTTTTGACTGTTCAACACTCACTTCACCTATGTACATGAAATCAACAAGTGCTTTCACTACCCAGAAAGGTATCCCTTTCAAATAGATCACCGGATGCTGCCAGGGAGACAATCCCGAGATGATTTCATCAAAATACGAACTACAGGAACACAAAACCAACTAAAAACAAAGGAAAACATAGAAAAATATTACAATTTCTTCATTAAAAACCATAAAAAAAATATTAAAAACACTGAAAATGATAAACAATTTACCTTGTGACATCTTATTGATTGCCCCTCACTTGTTAAAGTAACATCAACATATTGTTCACGTGCTAGTAGACTCGGAAACGCCATCTGCATATTGCTATGATGATTATTCCATTTTAAACAAACAGATTCGGTTTTATCATTCACCGGAATTTGTGATTTATTTGTATTTGTAGTAATATTATGCTTATCAGGTACTGCTTGCTCCAAAACATTACTTGTAACTGTAGAAGCTTTTATTCTATCTTCTAATTCAAGTGAAGGTTGTTTATTGATGCGTTTCTTTTCCATGAGACGTTTTGAAACCTTTTGTGGTGTATCCTCATTCACAGCTAGCATAAAAATAAACAAAACATGTATTATTTGTTATTTACTCATCAAAATAAACACTAAAAATGATTATTTCCATGTTTTAATATCATGTTGTATTGTAAAAGAGTAAAAGAATGTCAAAATTATATCAAAATTAATATAAAACAAATAACACAACACGATATTTATCAATAGAAATGAAAATATAATATTTTTCTAATAAAATATGTAAAATACTAACCATTATTTGATAATAACGCAGCAGATGTCCGCCGAAATGCATGCCCAGTATACAACCCAGCATCCGACAGTTTCAAATACTTAGCAATCTGTTTGGGAATCTTCCCAAAGGTATGTATCCCAATATGTTGTGTAGAACATTTAAAATCTTTATAATAAATAAAAAACGATTTGTGCGTTATGTGCGCCGGTCGCAACGATCTATATCGTCTGTAAATCTCAATAGGATTCACACCATCCGTCATATCATCAGTAATCGCAAACGTGCGTCTACTTCCGGTTTTAGAATCCGGTATGGTTACCAACAACACATTTCCTCTGTCATCTATGTTGTCAATTGTGATTTTCTTCAACTCATCCATTCTGCAAGCTCCTGCCACTCCAAATATAAAACAAACCTATTAAAAACATAAAAATATAATGTTTATTTATGCATATAAATTAAAAAAATGATTACCTTCCACATTAAATATTTGTCATCAGGTGCAGATGCAAGAAAATTCAAAAACTCTTCCCTGGTGAATATTTTCGACGTTTTCGGCTCGTAAGTTGCGTTTTTATCCTTTATAAACGCAATTAGTTTAGTATAATCTTTGATTTGAATGTTGTGCTTGATAAGCAGTGTGGATTTCAACATGAAGTATGTGCTCCATAGTGTGGGGGACTTCACTTGTTCAGCTTTCTTATTGAAGTAGGCGATTAATACGTCTTCGTTGTATGTGTGCACGTTGTTGTCCTGACACCATTTGTTGAAATTCTGATAGGTTTTCTCGTAGGTAATCGCAGATTTGGCTGGTAGCAAGTCCGATGGCGGTTCGGCGATGACTTGCATAAAATGCGGCGTGCACTCACTATTATCCATGTTTTAAACAACGTATTATTAATATAATTGTTGTAAACGCACCGGACGTTGTCAAATTGGATATTGTAATGGCGTCACGTCAATGGTGCGCATGCGACAATAGAGTTTTCATTGCCTAGGCATTGAAATTTGTACATAACCTGATCACCTTGAATATGAAAATGTACTTCATAGCGTGTCATTATTTACAATACATAGTACAACATAACTAATCAATACAATATATAGTTACCGTTGTACTTGTAGTATTTTCAACGATTTTTCGTCAAAATTTTCAAACTTTATGCGTATGACAACACCAGTTGAACTCTCAAACAAATTTATCGATGTTTCAACTGTATGCAACCCACCATACACAAAACAACCTCCTGGCTTCAAAAAGTATTCGAATCAACTTAAAAAATCATCATCATTTCTAGCTTATTTTTACAAATCTAGATAAATACAACTATCCTAATCATCTTTCAATGTGTCCTTGCACACATCATCACCAGCCTTATCACCCACCGCACTCTCATCAACCGATTGTTCCGTCAAACCACCACCGGCGTCCTTTCGCGCAGCGCCATCTTGTCCTTCATCAAAACTCTGCGTAATCACTTCGAAATAATCCTCCTCGGGATTATAATTATCATCAACCATGAACTCGTCGTCGTCATCATCGTCGTCATTATCCGGTTCATCAAACAACAAACAATTCTCACCGCTTTGATAATCATTAAACGTGACATCAGTCTCGCCGATATCGATGGGTTCCTGTTTAATTTCAGCCGCGCTAAGAATATCCTGATCTTTATCGTCGGGAATCGCAAGGATGGGGAATTCAGTGGAGCCTGAGGGGAATTTCAACAGGGAGCGCTGTTGTTGTGGGAGGGGCGTTGATTTTTTCTGTGGTGTGAGCGTGGCGAATGAAGAATCCGACTTGGAAAACGACGAAGAAAAATGGTCATCTTGGTAAATCTTCGGGGTTTTCACCAGAGGTCTCGAACGGGTGCCTTTACGCATGAAGAGAAGGTGTTCAGGTAACGGAGACTGAAAATAATAAAATTAATCAACATAACACAAAAAAACTTAAAAAATATTTACAATTGTTTCATTTTCAGACAATGGCCGCTTTGCAGGACGTTTATTCACTGGTTTAATCGGTTTTTCCTCCATTTTCTCATCTTTAAATTCTTCTTTAACCTTAACCGGCGTAGATTTCCCACTGGATTTCATTTGATACAGAAATACATTATCTGTTTTCACCTGAAGTAAACTAGCAGCGTTTTTAGCACCCATTTGCGGTGTGGACGCTGGCGCAGGCGCAGGTGTAAGCGATGCGGGTGGTAGCTGCGCAGGCGTGAATGCAGGCAACTGTTGTGGCGTAACCAATGTAGTCAACCCTTTAATCTTCAATTCCTGCCCGGCATTGAGAATAGTCTGAAGTTTAGACTGTTCAATACCAACTTCACCAACGTACATGAAGTCAATCAATGCCTTCAACACCCAGAAGGGTATACCTTTCAAATAAATCACCGGATGTTGCCAGGGAGACAATCCGGAGATGACTTCATCGAAATATGAACTGCACGCGGATAAAACCAACTAAAAATTTAAAAATACATAGAAAAACATTTAAAAACATTAAATTTTTGTTTTAAAAAAGTATAAATACCTTGTGACATCTAATTGATTGTCCCTCACTGCTCAAAGTAACATCCACGTATTGTTCACGTGCTAACAAGAAAGGAAACGCCGTCTGCATGTTGTTATGATGACTGTTCCACCGCAAACAAACCTCTTCATCCTCTGCGAGCGCCATTGCAGGTTTAATATTCAGTGGAATATGACTTTTCTTACTTTCTGTCACTGGTTCCGTTGGAGTTATAATAGGATTGCTGGTTATGTTGGTGATTTTGATCTTGTTTATGTGATTACTTCGCATTTGCGCATAGTTATCGTCTTCTGTTTCTATCTGTGGCGGGGGTATTGGTTTCTTCATGCGTTTTTTCTCCATTATGCGTTTGGAGACTTTGATTGGCATAGGCGGCTGCGATTTTGTTTCCAGCGTTGTCTTTGTATCAACATCTGATACTACTATAACAAAATAATCAAAAAATTTATAATTAATAAACAAATGAATAGTTTAACTTACTTTTGATTTTACCATATGGTGGTTTCCACTCCAAATCACCATCATGTTGATCTATAATGTTCTTCTCCGGTGATTTCTTCTTTTTCAACAGGGATTGTTGTGTTGTAGGTTTGACAGCCGTGCCGAGATTCTTCAACCGGTTGAAATGTCCTTCATTTTGTTCCAGCGCACTGGTAAACTCTGGCGATGATGGGGATGTTGAGTTATCCGCTGCAGGTGCCGTTTTTTGTCCCCAGCTGAGTGTACGTGCGACTGCATTGCGATCCGGGACGTGATTGTGCGCCATGAGGATCTTTGACTTTGTCTTCGGGCTGATCGCTGTGGTGGTCATGCTTCCCTGAGCGAACAAAAAAACAAAATGGCCGATTAGTACATATTATATTTATGTCTTGCATTTTATTGTAATATAGATGAATTACCCTGCAGTTTAAGCTGCGTCTAGTGCACCGCCAACGCACCATACCCGGGCGCTGTTTGTGCACGGTGTAGATGTACCCCCGATGGATCAATTTCGGTCCGCCTTTATTCGACCGCACAATTTGACACACATCATCCGACATCTCAGAACCTTCGGGTTCTGCCACACTATCTGTACCTGTGTCTGCTTCCATTATGTCTGTCTTCTCCGCCGGCTCAGACATTATTCGCTAGTTTTTACTCAGACTCAGACTGAGTTAACCTTCAAAATGCGTTTTTGTTACAATTTGTCCGGGTGACTTCCAGGCGTCCCCGTTGTACAACACACTGATTACTTATACTTATACAGTGTGTGATGTGTTGTAAGGTACGCGGTACTTTTCACAATTAACGATTGCGATAGCAAGTCAATATGATGATACCAGAGTCACAACACAATCGCACCGTGTGTGCGGTGTGGAAAAGCGTGAATTTTTGAGTAACACGATGGCGAGGTGTGCACGCAACGGTGGCCACAGCTGATTTACCGAAAATGTCACCGTGCACCGTACGCGAGGCGAGGGCGCAGCGTTAGCAAAATGGCACCGAACAAAAATGGCCACAGCGTGGTACGAAAAAATGAAGATGGCGAAAAATGTCCCCGTGGACTAATTCAATATTCAGGTTGATTATAACCTGCATAAGACCGGCCGTTTTCTGCTTGTTCAGCTACGCTACAACTCAAAATTTATACATTTTCGAGTTCGTGTACAAAACGGTACGATGTGAATTTATAACAGTAGAAGTACATAGATAAGGCGCTTATGTTAGACAGGTGTAGAAATGTTTGGTACCTTTGGAGGTTTGGGCATGTTGTATTCTGGTCGTCCCCCAAATCAAAACCGACACAACGCTGTACTTGTTGGGAAGGTGCCTGTCGTGCCCGCGTGCGAGGTACAAATGAATGCAAACAAAACACGAGTTGTGTGTACTTTAACTATAGGCAACTTACATTACAACTAATCTGCAAGTGCATGGAAAAGTGGACGTTACCACATGACCCGGCTTTTTGAAGCATCAAATCAGAGGCTGGCGTGCAGAAATACCAGCATGTGATTGGCTCAGTGTCAATTGGCATTCTTTACAAGATCATATATATGAAATGGATGGTGTGTATCCCATAATACGCATAAAAATTAAATGAGTGAAACACAAATGATACATCTCCGGCAGTATTTTCAAATTTCGCGCGGATTTCGTGCAGCGCAACCTCTAACTTCGCTTATGGAATCTGCACATGTCAACTTTGCAATTACAGATTAAAAATCAAACAAAACCAAACTATTAGTAACAAAATTACCGCAAAATGTGTTTCAACATTTTTATTAATAATAAAACTGCTCCAAAAATCTAAAGCGTCGCAATAGCAATAACGTGTTTTTAAATGTTTCTCTCATTCAACACCAAATAAATTCAAATTAGCCTCATCTCCGCTTAATCATTATCATCGTTTGGTTGTGTTTAAATCTATATAAGTGTATGTAGTTGTAAACTATGCTTAACACTAACGCATCGGATCTGTGTGTTGTGTGTTTTGGCACTTCTGGGGGTCAAGAATATTGCGTGTGTGCGTCTCAGCCAAACATCAAAGGCACTGGGCTCTCACTGCATACAATGATTCACAAAAACAGAGAGAACAAAGAAAGAAAGAAAAAAACAGTGTCAACCTTTCGCTAGCCTATCGATAAAATAGATAAAATACAATTTCTCATGCTCCTCTCCTCAGGTATATATCACGCGATCACGCGCCATCTTCAGGTGTGTGCGCGCCACACACACACGTGAGCAATCGCAGTGTCGTAACAATGAATAAACATGAAGTACAATATAAAACAAGTATAAATGACATAATAAATGTAAAATAATACGACGCGTACATGGGCGCTCAAAAGTAAATAAATAATGTAGGTGTGTGTGTGTAAGTGTGTCGTTGCTCATCGGGATTGCTTCCAGTTTTACACGCTATATGTACAGAGAAAAAAATAATAAAAACAGGGACCGTGCTTGATGAGAGTGATTTGACTGCGAGATCATATATGTCGTTGTCATGCGCTTGTTTCGTTTTCGTTTTGTTCGCGTCCTCTTGTAGTAGCTCCTCTCGTAATTAATAAAAAAAAGACAATAAACAAATATTTGGTTAGTTTGGTTCAAGGGGGCGCTGGCGTCGACGGCAAGCGCTAAACTTCGCCGGGGCCGAGCGGTGGACTGGCGAGTCCATCCCCACCGGGTCCATCTTCGTCCATTGCTATCGTCGAATGTGTCGTGGAGGTAACCGCGGGAGATGCCGCATTGGCAGCCGCCCCTCGGCCAATGTTCACCTCCGCTTCTAACGCGCGAATGCGATTCTCGTGCTTGACGATCATCGCTTTGAGTTTACGGATCTCCTCCGCAAATTCCTGCAGGGTTTTCTCGGAGACTGGCGATTGTTGTGCGGCTGCATTACCACCACGCCCTGTTTTCGGCGGCATTTTATCCAGGACGTTGCCGCGTTTTGTCACGGAGAGTGTGGTTTTTGACTCGGGCGGTTTGTAGCCGTCTTTGAGCGAAATGAGCAGCGGTTCGGCGTCTTTGCCGGAGATCCAGTCATCTGCGGAGAGCGCCGCGGTGTCACCAAGAGTATCCGGATAGAGATCTTCTTGGAAAAGCTCTGATTTACGTGGTACCGTCATTGTTATCACCTAAAAAATGGTTTTTATTTATTTTTATTGTGATTTATATAAAAATTTGCTTACTTGACATAAACCAGAGTTGTTCAGACGGTAAAATCGCGATATTTCGCAGGAGGTAACATCATTACCGCGTTTCGGCATCATACCAATACCGCGCTGCGGGTCCGGCGTCTGGAACGTGTTGATGTAGTGCACAAATGGCGGCTCGGGTGTAATCTCAAAGTATCTACACGAAAAAAATACAATATAAATCATATACAAATAAAAAGCATAACAAGTTGCCTACCTTATGACAGAATCGCCTTTACCGCATAAAAACACCAAGTTTGTGTCGGGATCATAAAGCGGAAACATCACACCGTTCGATGTATCCAACTCAACCATCACGATAGGCTCTCCGAGAGCATCCGGAGTGCGCAGACTGTACTGCCTTTCAGACATCTTGGAAAAACCAGTCGTGAAAACCAAACCATGTCGTAGAAATATCGCACGCGTTGCTTTCGTACCTAAAATGACATACAAAACAACATGGCTGTTAGATACAACTAGGCAACCCACTATACACAAATCATACCTTCATGTGCAATCGCCTCAGCTTCAATCTCCCCCGATCGCGGATCAATGATCCTAATCTTCTTATCCTTGCACGTTGTGAGCAACTTCGACCCATCCCAATTAAAACACGCGCTGTAGACAATATCCGGATGACAATCCAGCTGAATCAACGGCTCACCCATGCCCACGTTCCAAATAACCACCTTATTATCACTACCGGCCGTAAGGAGGACATTCTGCGCTGTCGGATGCCACAGCACCAACCCCACGCGCCGCTGATGACACACAAGGTCAACAATCGGCTCCGCGAGGGTTTTGATCAGCCCACCATCGGGTATGTGCCACACCTTGACCACGCAGTCCTCGCTACCGGACGCAATGACATTATCATTGTGCGGACACCAGGCGATATCCAGCACTGGTCCCTTATGTCCGCCGACCAACGGATGATCGGCCGCAATGCGTCCAACCTAAATCAAAATAAACACGAAAATGAATTCCAAAGAGATGCAGCATATTTTTTGCTGGCAGCGCGTCAAAAAAGCGCCGAAACCAGATTCTCGCTCGCCATAGAAAGTGTCGTGTGGCCCGCTGCGCCGGCAACGTAAAAATAGCGCCGCGCGGGTTAATTATACATCGGCGCAGTCGCGCAGTCCCAAACGCATCATCATCATCATCATCATCTTCCCACATTTTCACTAATAACCCAAAAATGCCACACAATTCGCAATGTGCTACCGCGCCCAATTAATCATCCATCAATACATACATCACATCACGAAACAATAAAAAATGCGCGTGCGCTATTGATAAGATTAAAATAAAATAAAATACAACAAAACTAAATTTTTATCAATGAATGCTTCCGCCATTATACATACTTTGCTATGGGGCAGGACAATGAAGGCGCCGCCACCCGCCGATTCGACGATAATCGCGAGGAACTTCGGATTGACGGCGCAAAACGTCGAATCCCAGGAGGACTTGCTGACGCGGATGTTGTCGTAGCATTGTTCGCGCTTCAGCGCCTGCCCGTACACGTGCCGGAACTTGGAGCTACGCACCACGCGGAACGACATCTAAAAAAACACACAACACACAATATAAACAATGCTCATCATATGAAGTGCGTATTGTCAACAAGACTACAACACACATTTGTTTTCCTTATTGCTTACGCACATAATGTGTAAATGAACACTTACGATTACTCAAGGCGCCGATCGGCGTTTGTTTTCAACAACGTTTTTTTTTTTTGCGCCTATCCGTGACCACGAAGCACGACGATTCTTTTAGGTTATGCACAAGAAATTGAGCACACACGCAGTGAAAGTCGCTGCCGAAACTTTTTCTCTCTGTGGCGGGCAGGTTGTTTCGCTGTGATAAGTGATAAGCCGCCGAGTGATAACAGACCGCAACACTCACTCACTCACTACTCAGTCGTTGGCTGTTATCGTAATCGGCGCGCGCGTTATCGCGTATCGGTGTGGGGGCACTCTTCGCCGATGTCCTGCTGGTGGTGGTCGTGGTCGTCGTCGCCGCCGTCGTCGGAGGAAGAGTGAGGCGTGTGTGGGGAGGGGGCCGGCACACACGCCGGAGCTGGGAGGGAGAGCGAAAAGGCCTTATTTGGATATGCGAAATTTTGAAACGTCAAACGCGCCCGCAGCAGACCCGACGACTTTCACGCGTGTGTGCGGTGGATGGTAGAAGAGCTGCGCGCTGCTCGGGAGGTGTGTGCATGGAAGCTGCGCATGCGCCACCCGATTAAGTCACTGCGCCATCACTAGGATTACAAAACAATATAAAGTATACAAACTTTATTCGCTGCGCCACCCGCCTGCCCAAACCAATTCGATAAACGCCTACCACGTAATAATAATCTTCTTCTCGGTGTGCGCATTTTCCAAAACTTTGATTGATCCATGCAAAAATCTACGAATGGAAACAATTTGAAATTGAAAAGTTTGCAAACTCGCCTGCGCGTTATGCAACCGAACATACATGCGAGTATAAAGTTGTGTGTTTGACCTTGAGTCAACCTCCAACGCGGGTAGATAGGCGATTTGACGCGCGCCGTCCGAGCACACAGGGCAGCAGCTTTCTCTTGTACGCTGGCTGCCGCTGCTTACATTCCGTTGTTTTGACTTTCCCAGCCGCACCAGGCTAGTAGCCTGGTTGACGTTGGCACTGATTATTGCACACGACGGACATATGCCAAGCTAAAGCTCAGTGCGCGCGTTTGTTTCCGATTCCGGCTGGCGTCGGCTGTTTTTTTTTATTCTATATGTTATTTGCACGCCCGCGCGGAATTAATGCAAATTCGTAAACAATGTGTAGTAATCGTCGCGCTGGCGTAACGATTGCTAGGTGCGCGTTTCCTAGTGCAGGATAACAAGACATTTTAGTTTAACTAAAAATAAAGACATTTACATATAAAACTCATTAAAAAATTTAAAAAAACAACAAAAAACAGAAGAATAATCATCAGGAAGTGCAACAAGGTAAATATACAATACAATACACCCGCAAACCGAAAATAATCTCCGCGGCAAACAATTCATTTCGCAATTTACTGATAACAGGTGTGACAAAATGGAGGAGACATTCATGCTGATATCGCTCACGATTGTGATGCTAGTTGGCTCATTCCTAGCCGGATCAATACCGTTATTCTTCAGTTTTTCTGAAGTAAGTTAACCAAAACCAATACAAATAAATAAAAAAAATCACTAACCTTTTAATTTAATTTTTTCTTTAGGAAAAACTAAAGAAAATAACAGTCTACGGTGCGGGTCTGCTCGTCGGCACCGCTTTAGCTGTGATAATCCCTGAAGGAGTGCGTGCGTTGACTCTGGAAGCGCCTCATGAAGCTCCCGGAGGTGCTACGCCTGCAACCAACGCACATTCCCATCAACATGCGGGTGAACACGACGAAAAAGACCCGTTGTCCGTGATCGGAATAAGCCTAGTCCTTGGTTTCGTCTTCATGCTGCTCGTTGATCAAATCTCTCAAGGCCGCAATGAATCCCTGAGTCCCTCAGAGCGTAATGTCACCGCTACAGTGGGTTTAGTAGTGCATGCGGCTGCAGATGGCGTTGCACTAGGTGCAGCAGCGACTACAAGTCATGCAGATGTCGAAATAATCGTCTTTCTGGCGATTATGCTACACAAAGCGCCGGCGGCTTTCGGATTGGTTACCTTTCTCCTCCATGAAGGTATTGAACGGCAAAGGATTCGAAGACACCTGCTGGTTTTTAGCTTCGCCGCGCCTGTTCTTACTCTCCTGACTTATTTCTGCATCGGCCAAGAACAGAAGGAAACCTTCAGTTCGATAAACGGCACAGGAATCGCCATGTTGTTTTCAGCTGGGACTTTCTTATACGTTGCCACCGTTCATGTGTTGGCGGAACTGACGCAGAACACGCATCAACATTCCTACTCAAAGCTGCCCTCCATGGAGGCGGCCGCCAAAGTTGGCCTCCGGCCGTTTGAACTGCTTATTCTTGTGCTGGGATGCCTCACGCCGCTGGTGCTGACGCTCGGACATCATCACTGAAATAAACCATGCAAGCAATATACATTATTTAATTAATATATAAAATACTAATAATAATCGGTACTTACCATATTGTAATAAATTCCAAGTAAACAAATTTTGTTTTTTGTTCTCAATTGGTGTATTTTTGGTTGTATACATCGCAGGCGGTTGTATGTAGTTGATGCTATGCGCCGCTAGGTGACAGATGGGCGCGTGGTATAGCGTGCGTCGGTTGGTAGATCGCAGCACGGCCGGTGCCGCCATTGTTAGTCGTGCGCCGCGCGTCCATGGCGTCCGCATCGCTCTTGCAGCCATATTGGTTTGTACTACCCGTCGCACGCCGCTCGCTTGCGCCGCCATCTTGGCCGCTCGCGACGAGCCACCATCTTTTATAAACAAACAACAACGCGCCGCGCGCGCCCGTTCTTCGAATCACGTGGAAGTCGGCTGTCGGCGCCGCCGGAGTGGCCGCCGCAGGCACGATGATGGCCGATCCGAACATGCTGTGCGAGGTGGAGATCCAACCGGACATTCAGGAGTGCGTCGAAATCGAGACGATACCGGTGGATATGCACGACGACGAGTGCGGCGACACGATGATCCAGGCGCTCGACGGACGCGATATCATCCTCGAGGCGCAGGAGGAGATCATCGACGACACCGGCGACCCGCTCAATCTGTACGACGTACCAGTACCGGACGGCTCCGACATCTACGTGGAGTCAACATCACCGGGCCCGTCGACGGCGCACCGCCGCAAGAAGGCCGCCATGCACAAGGGTCGCAATGTGCTGCAGCGGCGCGACCACAACGAGATTATGCTCGGCGATGTGCACGTCGAGACGCGACCGCGCAAGTGGGAGCAGAAGCAGGTGCAGATCAAGACGATGGAGGGCGAGTTCTCCGTGACGATGTGGGCGTCGGGCACTAGCGACGGTGAGTTGTGCGGATTAAATTAAACAAACGATTGTTTGCGCGCCGTTATCAACAGCGGCGGGTTTGTTTACAAACAGTCGCAGCACGCTCGCGGCCATCATTAATCCGCGAACGCCATTTACAAACATGGCTGCGCCGCCAAACGCCAAAACAATCAAATCCTACAACATCATCACACTAAATCTCCACTAAAACATAAATCCACAGTGAAATCAAACATCTACAAGCATTTAGCAATCGATACGAGTGATGCAAGGCCCTCTTTGCTCTCCCACGCGTCGAAAAACAAAGAAAAGCAAAATTATTCAGCTTCCAACAAGCACCGCCAGAGCGCGCTTTATATCAACCGAATACACACGAACAAAACGCGCGAAATTCAAATTTTAAAAACATATTATTAAACTTACATTATTTTTAGATGAAGGATCGAACCCAGAGCCGGACCCAGACTACACCGAATACATGACGGGTAAAAAGATGGCTTCGGATGGTATCGTCCAAGGTCTAGACTTGTCTGATCCGAAACAACTCGCCGAATTCGCTCGTCCTGGCCTCAAACAAAATCCGAGAAAGATGCGCCCATCACCGGATACCTCCGACAGGACGATAGCATGTCCACACAAAGGCTGCAACAAAATGTTCCGCGATAATTCCGCAATGCGTAAGCATCTGCACACGCACGGGCCGCGCGTGCACGTGTGCGCCGAGTGCGGCAAGGCGTTCGTCGAGTCCTCCAAGTTGAAACGCCACCAGCTGGTGCACACCGGCGAGAAACCGTTTCAATGCACGTTCGAGGGCTGCGGCAAACGATTTAGTTTAGATTTTAATTTAAGGTAAACATATTTTTAATATTTTTAAACAAAAAAAAAATAATAAAATTGTGTTTTTTTTATAGGACACATGTACGCATCCATACGGGTGACCGCCCCTACGTGTGCCCCTTCGACGGGTGTAACAAGAAATTCGCACAGTCAACGAACCTCAAGAGTCACATATTGACGCACGCCAAAGCAAAGTAAGTCGAGCAATCACCCCCATTGACCATAAACCGCAAGTGTAGTGATGAAGTAATTTCTGTTGACCTCCTAGATCGAGAAACTCGATAAACCGCAGCGCCAGCCAGCACATGCAGATCATGCAGCCGCAGTTCGTCAAGGTGGAGGTGGCCGACGTGGAGCCGTACATCGTCTACACCGATTGAATTTCCACACTCCTCCGCGTGGACACAAAGTGATATTAGCCGTCAGAGGACGTACAATCATCTATTATTATTATTATTCTATTAATTGATAATGAATTCGCATCGCAAACCAGAACAAAACCAAGTACCACTTAGTTTTAACGAAGAAATCTACTACGCCTAAGTTGCTATTACTATGCCAGACTAGTTTTTATACGACGCGAGTGTTTTGTGCGAGAGATAAACAATTTACAAACAATACAACACAAAAAAAAAGAGTGATATTTTAAGTTTTAACGCAACTCTCCCCCCGATTCGTATTGGTTTCGTTTTTACCGCGTACCGTGTACTCTCTTACGTTCTATACTACATTTCGTCTTAGTTTATTATGGATTAAGTCATCTCTAGAGGTTAGACACACAACTATCATAACTCGTTTCGATTATGATTCCTATCAATGTGAGCAGAAAGATGTGAGAGTGGAGAAAGAATAAGCTGTACATACTACGATCTAGCTGATAAGCATAGTTCTATCTACATTGTAACTGTATACATATTAATTTAAGATGAGAGCTGACGAGAGTACGTTACATACAAATGTGGAAAATATTTTGCAAGCAAAAAATAAAGAAATTTCAGCAAATTTGCTAGACTTACGTTTGCTTTCGGCGTAGATTTCACAGCGGTGGCCATTTTGCACCATTTTTGTTGAGTACGCGTGCGCAGAAAGTTGATATTTGACTTTTTACGGTTGGTAGTCTTCAATACGTCTGCAGAAAGTTAAATTATGACATTTCTAGAGGGTGGCCATGTTGTATGCGCACGCAGCAGGTTACATTTGACATTTCACCAGTGGCCATCATGAATATGCCCGCAGCAGGTTTAACTTTGACACAGTACAGGGTTGCCATCTGGTGAGTGCGCAGAAGGTTATACTTTGACACTTGTTGTATGCGCACGCAGGTTATACTACTTGACAGGTTGCCAGGCGGCCATCATGAAACTAACCCACACACAATTTAGCAAACATTTTGTATTTTGCACGTTTTGACACATATTATTGAATTTGCTAGGACTTTATAATCATTTGAGTATTCCCACACAATCAATTGAATGAAGTTTTGACTTTTGAATTATTACATGCATACGATTAACAATGTTACAAAGTTACGTTGACCATTCGCGACATTTATTATTGATTACGAATTGTTTTTAATGTTAAGTGTGAGTCTGTGTGTGTGTGTGTGTGTGTGGTGTCAAGTCAGGTTAAAACACTAGCTGCTCGGCTGTTTGATTAGTCTTTGAAAAATTTGGTGTTTGTTTCGACTCTTCCTCCACTCTACCACCTCTCCCACCTCTTCTACAACATCATCATTTTGTGCGCTCAATCAACCCATCATGCTAGGTTAAGTTTTAGATTTAGTTTTAAACATTTCTCTAAAATAATTAACATCAAGTGATACACACACTGCCCCCCGGCCATCGAATGAGTGTCTATAAAAATGATTTGATTGTAAATTGCATGAATACATTGATCCTTACGTGGCTAACAATTAGAGGCTATCGTCTTATTGAGTTTGCGTCGAAGATTGTCCTCATTCATTCCAACCAGTGCGTTCTGTGTGTTTTGTTTGTTTGTTACCCTGCGCGCGTTGACTCTGACCTATACTCAGTTTTTGTTCCAACAACAACAATAATGACAAGTGATTATGATACAGATAAATATGTGCAAGAGACATGCGCAATCAAATGATTCAAAATGGCTGACCAGCAGCGAAATATGGCAACGCTGTATACGAAAACAAAACCTACTAAAATATATAGATATATATATATATATGATTTATACAAAAATGATATCACAATTCGAACTGTTCCCTTCTCTCACTGCAGCTCGAAACAAACAAACGCTTGACTTAATGTTTAATGATTTGCTCGGCGTACATGCCGAGCACACGATGGATGAGCTCATACTGCTCGGCGGTCTGCACCATCCCGCCGCGATGCAGCCGCAGCGAGCACAAAATCGCCAGCACATCCACATTGGCGTTCGTGCGCAGCTGCTGAATGCCATTCAAGATGGCGAGAAAGCAACCGGTGCGCCCGATGCCAGCGCTACAATGTACAACCAAAGCGGTCTTACCCTCATCCAGATCATCATTGGAATTCGCGTTGACTGTGTCTTCCTTAAAGTCCAAATACTGGAGGATGTTGACGGCGAGGCGCAGAACTTGCGCTGGGTCGGCCATCTTGTGATCCTGCCAATTGGCATACCAATAATGCCGCACCAATCGACACTCTTGTGTTTCCAGATTGACAACGCGCAGGATACGCACGCTGATATCGCCGAGCATCTGCAGCGAGACGAAGTGAATATGATAGTTACCATGCTGCACTTCGTCGAGTTCTTCATAACGCACAACTTCTTCCTGCTCGGAATTCATGCGGCGTGTGTTTGTGCTCGTGCAGCGAAACTGATGATTGTTGTTCGTCGGCGTTGACGCAGGCGCATAACCAAATGTAAACTTATCTGGTTGTGTAGATGGCGCTGTGCGTATGGTGAAATAACTAACTTTACCCGAAGCATCATGCGCGCCCGACGTGGATGTTGAACATGATGAGGTTGAAGAGGAATACGCACTGAGTGAAGACGCGCCGGATGACGACGAAGTCGACGATGATGATGACGACGACGTAGTTCGACTTAACGTGTTACCAGCCGCAGAGGTTGGCGTACCTGACGTGGAACAACTGCGCATGATTACAGTTTCCTGCGTGGTGACAGTCGACGATGATTCGGATGACATCGGCGTTGAGACTTCAGTGCGTGACTTGCCGAGTGGGAAGTATAACTCACACTTATTACGACCTTTCTCCACGAGTTGTGTTAACATCACAATACAATCACACTACAAATAAATCATTAAAATTATACATAAAACTGTAAATATTCAAAAAATTACCTGAGTCTGCCACACCATATGCCAGAAATCATCGCACGTATGCGCCATTGGTCCCTGCGTCGCCACATACGCAGTCTCCGTATAATCCGGTCCTTTGATATAATTCGCGTGTATGTATGGTTGCGGACTAGTCAATTGCACACGACTATGCTCATTGGGCAAAACACCTTTATAACGGTTACGTGTTTGACTCCCGGAGACAATACACTTCTCCTGGAGGTTAAGCGGCACTTCCCAGAACTCCTGGTGCAGTTTTGGTACTCTAGGCAACTAAAAACACAACAAAATCAACAAAAAACATAAAAATATAAAACATTTTAATGTAGACTTACCTCACAACACGCTCGCAACTCAGCAATCGACAAAACACTCCCCGCCGTCTGCAAATACTGCACATTCTGCAGATGCAGCTTAAAATCATCGCTCAAACTCTGCGATTCCAAATCCGCTTGACGTGGATAACAAGCCCGGCGATGTCCGCGACAATGCCGACTCACATGATGACCATTCCCGGTTAAACACAGGCTACACGGCGGCACATACAGATTCTCATTGGATAAACTCCTCCGGCCGCCGCCCATGATGTTACAAATGCAGTTGCATTTCTTTTTCGGCGTGTGACACGTCTCTTTCATGCAGAATTTACTCGGAATTGATTCATAGATGGTGCAATTACCGCATGTGTCATTCTTCCGCTCTTTTTCTTTATCTTTTTCAATGGAAACAGGCACAGGAGTCGCCGGATGTGCCGCGTGCGCTGTTTTCTTCACGCAGTGCTCACATTTATACACATTCTGATAGAAACTGGTGAAACAAGTGCCGAAACTGGTCAAATTCAGCGTGGAAATTGACTTCGCCGAGTTTAACCTCGGCCCCTGCGTGAGATGACTATGACTCAGCGTGGGTTTACACTCTATAGTCTTCTCCGGCGTGGTGGACGTCGACAAGGACGATCCAAGGTCAATGGTTAAGGATGCGTTACTCCCGCGGCGTTCGAGTAAACCTTTCGCTTTGATTCTGATTGTTGACTCTGGTTTAGCTTCGGTGTTGGTTTGGTTGCCTATCGTGCTGGTGCTGGATGAAGAGAAGTCTTGCAGCGTCATGATTTCCGGTAGGGTTTTGAGTGTCTGGCTGCCGGAGATGCTGGTGTTGGACGCGAAGCGCTTCAGGTTCGTCCCGACGAGACTCAGCTTACTGTTGCTGGATGATCCCGGCGGGTCGAAGAGATCCCTCGCGCGTGTCGTGAGCTTCTTCGGCGTGTTCGGCATGGAGAAGACGTCGCGCACGGGCCGGGCGCGCGCCGGTTCGGAATCTAGACTGATCGCCTTCAGCTTGCGGCTGAGCGTCGGCGTCTTGGGTGACTTGGGCGACTGCACCACCAAGGTGGGGCGGTCGCCGCAGTCGCCGCCGGCGGCGCACAGCTCGAGGGAGGCAGGCGGGTCGCGACGCAGCATTACGCCCGCTATATCTACCTGGGCTACGCTACTCGCTACAAAATCAAAGCTTTGCTCACCCTTGACGCGCTTGCCGCGCGCATCACGCGTATCCTTGCTCTCCGACGGGTGCATTTTAGGCGCAGCGCGTGCAGTTTTTCTACATTTTGTTTTTGGTGGTGGCGAGCGTCGTTTGTTTACACTGGGCTTGCAACGTGGATGGTAGACAAGCGCAGACGCGTGTGATTCGTCGCTGGATGGTGGTGTGGTTTATTGCTTGTGGTGGTCGTGGTCGTCGGCGAGGCGCGTGTGGAATTCGTGGTGGTTTTGCGCAAGAGGACGACGACGACGACGCGAGCGCGTATTATTGTCCGCCATGATGGATTTTGACTTCGACGAGAAGCGCGAGCAGCAGCACAGCTGACTGTCATTCTACGGCAACCCACCATACACCAAACAACAAATGTCACTAGAATTAACTTAAAATTACTAACAAATACAAAATATTTAAACAATAACTTTGTTTTGGAGAGAAATTAATGTTGGTTTTCATAAACAACCAAAATTTACATGAACATAAACAAATTTTGTGTGAAAATAGTGAAAAATCATTCTAATATGCATGAAATACTCTCATCGTTCGCGCATGCGCACTACAACTTGAATCCACCATTTTCACAACTAAATAATTCAATAGAAATAACAAAAAAAGTGCATGAAAACCATCATTTGCGTTGCTTTTCTCATCTCATACACGACTATATTACAAAACGTCTTAAAATAAAACTAAAACTAAACCAAAGTAACTATGTACAGCAAGAACGAGAGCAAATAAATAAACGATCTGTCAAACATGGCCAGCGCGTGAAATGAAGTTCGAACACACCCTGTATTTATACATTTAACATGGTACACAACAAGTCGCCTCGTGATTCGCTTGTGTTCGCGCACGAATCACCACCTGTCACGTCAAAAACACAGCTTAAATAAGTTTCAGTCTAGCCTATGTGTTTCTGGTCGCATCGTCGTCCATCTTGAATGCAATGTCACACATGCGCATGCGCTGCGCATCAATTTAACAACTTCGCATCGGCGCCGCGCTTAAAAAGTCTTCTCTTCGACCTTTTCAGCGTCCATGGACAACGCCTCAGTCAATGCATCCACACAATTCTTTGGAATCAGCGTACCTGCAACCAACATCACACATTACAACACATTTCTAGGTTAAACTAAGGTTAAACTCTAACATACCGACAATTTTGAGCCCGTCATCAGTCCGCAGTCGAATCACCTGCATCTTGTTATTGTTCACAGCGCTGCGTGTGGCGAGCACACCCTCGACACGACTCCACACGGACAACACCGAACCGGAGACCACGTGATACGTCCGTCGACGTAACCCCACCTCACAGTCACTCGCATTCCGACAATTGCCGTTCCAATACGCATGCGAACACGTCGTGGTCGACGCCTCGTGCTGCGCTTTCCACGCCTCTTCGGCTTCATCCGGCTGCACCTTCGTGTACTTCTTCTCCAGCTCAATCAAATTCTGCTGTCGGAATTGCAAACCCGTATTCGGGCGATGTATCAAAAACATCTGCTCTTTTTTCGACTCTGGTTTCTTTTTGCCTGTCACAACAGCAACGGCAAGTATCGCTGTGTGTTTATCATTACGCACTTGATGCGACACATAGAAACCTTCTTTAGTTCCCGGTAACTCCGACCATTTATCATGCGCTTCCTCCCATGACATGCCGCGTTCAACCTGAACGGTATGCAACTCTGTAGGCGCGGTGCCCGTCGCGTGTTTCCGTAAAAACGTCACGGTTTTCACACGTTTGACATTCTCCCCACCAGCGCCAAGATCTAATATACCCAGATCAAAACGCCCCGAACGTTTCGCTTGTGAAATAATCTCCGCTAGTGTATCTGTAAAGTACTTAAACAGTCTGTTTTGTAAATCTACGGGCATGCCAAGAATACGATTGAGGAACTTTGACATATTGTTATAGTCCTTGTCCAAGGACAGCACGCCGGGCATGGCTTCGCTATTGACAATCAAACCGACACCTACGAGCGCACCAGCGACATCTTTGAAGAAATCCCCTTTGTAGTCTTGTGGTGGTGGTACTAATGGACTCTCATAGCGCATGATTGTCTTCATTGTAGTCTCCAGCGCTGTGCGGCCATATTTATTATCAATGTTGAACTGTGACAGATCGCGTGTTTCCGTCGCTCTTCGGTCACCGTGTGTCAACGCACCGAGTGATTCCAATCGCTTGGCTACAATGGAGGCGAATCTTCGCTCGCCGGCCAAGTCACTAATAAGGAACATATACTCTGGTGCATTTACCTGATTCGATCGATGTGTCCGACCAAATTGTTGGATAGCCCTGTCGGCAGACCAGGGTAATTCTAGTGTAATATGTACTCTTCGGCGTTGATTTCGTACTCTACGATCACTCTGCAGGGAAATACCCGAAGACGCCGCTTCGGATATGATCGCCACGTCTTTCTCCCCATCCATAAACCGTTGTTTCTCGGTTAAATTAAGAGTCTCCAATGGGACGTCATTCTCCGACCGGGATTCATATTGTATGCCGCCATCTTCCGTCTGGACAACGCGACCTTTCCGACCGGTCATCTCAGCGACATTTTCAGGCCCGCCGAGTTCATCAATGAGTTGATCCAGGGTATTCGGTGGTAATTTCTCCCCGAGCCGCTCGATTTGTTGCAGTAAATGCTCTTTCATCGCGCATGCTTTCTCAATGGCGTCTTTGGGTGGTGCGTACGTATTGACAGCTAATGTAGATGTCACTCCGGTCGCTGTGGCGCCGCCATTGACAGTTTTCTTCGCTGCTTGCTTCTGCGCAAGCAGCAGGGATATTTTATCTTGTGTCGAAGGCCGCTTTTTAGGGACTTTTTTCTTCTTTTTCTTTTTATTCCGACTCCATGGATCATTATCACTATCCGAGTCGGAGTTGAAGGGGTTAAAGTCACTACTCGGCGCACTGTCTGAGTGCTCCTCGGATATTTCACTCTCGTTATCGGATAGTTTAAAATCCGAACCGGAATTTACAGATTCCTCCGAATCGCTTGTACTCCACTTGTTGCGTTTGATTGCTTTGGCTGCCGCTTGGCGCATTGGCTTCCTTTTATTCGAAGATGATGACCCAGCGTCTTTTGCAGATTCCTCACCGTTTTTCTTCGCTGTAATATTACCAGCACTGTCTAAACCCAACAACCGTTGTATACGATTTCTATCTGGTGCAGGGAAATGTTTCTCGACAAGTGTTTGAATGACACCTTTAGCTGTCGAGACAAAATCTGACAGCTCGCCATCATCGCGCTCCAACTGTTCGAGCGTGCGCGCTTCCCCTGTGCTCTGCAGACCAATCACAACGCATTTACCGCATTTGATTGCTTCGTGCGCCACCGCAACCGCATGCGGCACTTTCGCAGCTATACACAGATACTTGAAAAAGCGCTGATGCGACGACCAAAACTGCCCCCACATTGTTTTGCGCATGCGCGCGGCTGCGTCAATCAACTCCGCCGCTTCGTGAAACTTCTGCATGGCTTCCACCCAGAGTTTAACACTAGCATCGTATACTTTCTCAAACTCTTTCGGTAGTGGAACCTCTTCGATTTTAAACGTAACACCGTTGAAACTCAATTGTCTCGCGATATACATACCGCGGAGTTTCATATCCATGGCGACGATTTCCATCGCGCCTACGCCGCGCTTCTCAACCGCTGTGATAAAATCAACGAATTCTTTAAACGGCGTGCCTTCACCCCACATACCCAGGCGGACCATGTACGCCATGTTGCGTGGTTCTGATGCGCCTGTAGCCGAAGCATACACTACTCTCGCCTTAGGCAACTTATTCTGTATCTCTAAAACAGTCAAACCTGTTTTTGTGGGTTTTGATGATCCGACTGGGCAGAGATTCTTCGCGCGATGGCATTCATCGAAGATAATCAACCCGTCGAAATCAGCGCCGCACCATTGGAGTAACTGCTTCAAGCGGGTTTTGTATTTTCCACCCGCCGAACTGCTTTCACCTATTAACGCAGAGTAAGTAGAAAATATAACACCTTTCTTAACGTTGCCATTAATGGCTGATGAGATCTTCGCGTATTTGAATTTATTCAACGCGTGTACTTCGACTTTACCAGCGCCTATGTCTTTCAAGTCACGCTCAGCGTCGTATTTCAGATCATTGGACACTGACACCCAGATGGCGCGCTTTCTACCTTTGAGGTAATTCTCATATATCACCCCGGCGATTGTTCGGCCTTTACCGACGCCAGCGCCATCTCCAATGAGAAACCCTGCGCGTGAACCATCCGGTAAGATGTGTTCGTGTGATTGCGACGCGTAAGTTATACTTTCCAGTTGTAGAGCGGATAAATGGCCGCCTTTGATTGTTTCTTCTGGTAAAGATAATTTATACCAGACGTCAGCGGGTGCTACACTGCTGAGTGAGGCGGTTTCCACGACTTGATCGGGATGTTTCCGCCCAAGTTTGAGTTTACTTGGCATGTAATCCTCGTAGGTTTCAGCAACGCCCATTTCTTCTTCGTCTACTTCTTCCTCTTCTTGTTGTTGTGGTGTGGGCATCATCATACCGGCGAATTTCGCTGGATCTGCGTTCATCCACATAGAAGCTACGGTTTTGTTGCTTAGTTGGTGGGTGCCCCAATGACCGGGCATGTTTGGTGCGTTGGGGCCGCCCTGTGAGTAGAGGAGTGATGAGAGTTGGTTCCAGAAAGGGTTCTGCATGTACTGGTTGTTCATTTCCATTGTTGCCAGCTCCACTGCAAGATTAATGTAAAATTAATACAAAATAAACACAAATTATTTTAAAAAATCTTCACTAGAAATTATAATTCTACAAAATAAACACAATGCATGCTAAGAAATTCTCTGCAAAGGGAAATTTCTTACTTTGCTGCATGAATTGTGCAGCATTAAACCCAGCACCGATGCCCGGTGAGGTGTTCGTCTGGTTGCCTGGAGTTGGTGCCGTAGCAGGTGTCGTGCACGTAGCTACGCCGCCACCGCCACCTGCAGCGCCGCTGGTGAACATATTGGCGAGATTCATTGGCCCAAGGCCGTTCAGCATGTTCGCCATTGCTGATACACCGCCCATGTTGTACGGTGTTGAGCCTATGTTACCTAAACCCACTAAACCCATTATGTCTACATGTCACACAATGTGTGGCAATATGTATACATGTAGCCTCATGATAACGACAATGAAATTAATTGTTTGGTTTACGGTTGAAATTTTGACGAAACAGTAATAGTATTGTCGGTTGTGCCTATTGAAATTATAAGGCGACATGCGACAGTACTTATTATATGTAAATGTATTACAATACTAAATTTTGAAAAATTAGAGGAAAGAAATGTCATTAGTATTGTCGCATATGCCTATTGATATTATATGACAACAGGTGACAGTACTTATTGTATGCATACGTATTCATATACTAAATTTTGAAAAATTAAGAGAAGAAAGGCCATTAGTATTGTCGCATGTGACCATAGAAATTATATGAGCACGAGCGACAATACTAACAATATGCAACAATATTATAATACAAAGTTATAGAAATGGCATTAGTACTGTCACATATGTCCAATATAACTATACAGCCACTTGCGACAGTACTAACTATATGCAAATGTATTAACACTAAATTTCAAAAATTTTAGCAAAGAAATGCTATTAGTATTGTCACATGTGCCTATAGAAATTATATGACCACGAGCGACAGTACTAACTATATATGCAAACATTATAATGCAAAATCAAAGAAGTACCGTAAGTATTGTCGTATTTGCATATGGAAATCATATGACCACGTGCGACAGTACTAATTATATGCAATCCCTTGACCGCCGTTATACCAAAGCTACAGTATTTAAAAATAAAAATAAACCTACTATTTTGTATGTTCATCTGCCCCTTGGGCCAGGACAACATATCCCCCATTCCCTGCATTTTCGCAAGACTCGCCATGCTGCGATTCGCACCCATTCCTCCCATCTTGTTCAAATTGATCTGCTGTTGAGTGAGCACTGGCTTAACTTCTTGTTTAGGCTCTGGCAGGCCTGCAGCTGCAGCCAGTGTCTTCCCACCTCCTAAATTACAATTTATATTAATATTTTACTTATAATTCTATCATTTTTTGTGTTATTTAAACACTAATTACCTGGAACTTGAATTTTATCAGGATCCTCATCCTCATCAAAGTCTGAACCGGATGATTCATCATTGTTATCCATCGTTATAAGTGTTTAATGATGCCTGGCGGATTTCTCCTGCAAGAAAAATCAAACATTCATTCAAATAAATAATAAATGCAAAGGTGCAAGTCAGTTGGATGAATAATTAATGCCTGTCGGAGGCTGACGACTCGCAGGACACGCGGGGCGCCATTTTACCAACGCCCCAAGCCTCTGCGAGGTAATTCGATGCGTTATTTGGCCAAAATCCGAACACCTCGTTTGTTGTTATAAGCGTTATGAGAGTGCTGTTTTGTTTTTTGGTTATGAATTTTTAACGTCACGTTTCGCAACAAAAATGCGAAAAAACGCCGAAAAAACCCGCGCACTCTTGCATAATCGCTGTGGAATTGACTAATTTCATCTAAATGATGATAAATTCTAACAATCGTCGTCGTGTTTCCGTAAAAAAACGCGAAAATCAGCCGCTGAGCGCACTCGGTGTAGGCGAGTTCAAAAAATAAAAAAAACACACAACTTACAATACGTTTTCTGTCGTTGGTTGGCCCGCTGCTCGAGTGAAACCAACACTGGATGATAGAGAATTTAACACTGAACGTTTTACTCGTGATTGTGGAGATATTCGATGCGTCGTTCGCAAATGGTGAACGATTTTCACGCGCGCTCTGCCCCAACGTGCTGCACGCACGACGCCATTTACGAAACAACTGCACACCATACTGTTCGCAGCGAGCTTGTGAGCGTGTGCGTCAAAATCTCCCGGCATGCACTGCGGTCGCTGCCAACATTGATTTTCCGAGCGGCGCGCCGCATAGGGAAAAACAAAAAAATACCAAAGAACACTAAAAACCACCGGCAAAGTGCGAAAGAAGTTGGGGAAAACAGTGCGAAAAAGAGAGATGCATTCTCACCAACCTATATTGAACAACCCCAGAAGTTACTAGATGTGTGCCACGAATATAACCGACGTGTTACGAAAGCGTGTAGAGCATTTAAATTTGAATCTAGAGTGAATCAAGCACTGAATTATTAATAAAACTGTTATGAATTAATATAATTATTATATACAATCAATAAAACATGAAATTTTAGATCATTTACTGCCTGTTTGCGGTATTTTTCTTGAAAATAACTCGAGTTAAAGTCGAAACTGTCAAAATGTCGGCTTTGAACATAACCTAACCATCAAAACGATTTGTTTACGTTTAGTTTTGCATTTGTTTTGCACTGTGAAACTTGAACGAAATCCGCGAATATTTCACGCATCTTTAGTGATAACAAGTTGAAACTTTCAGGACTTACTCGTAGATAATCAAGATGTCGATTGGTGTACCGATTAAAGTGCTGCACGAAGCCGAGGGTCATATTGTGACGTGCGAAACAATCACCGGCGAAGTTTTCAGGGGAAAACTGATCGAAGCCGAGGATAACATGAATTGCCAGATGACGAGCATCACAGTGACCTATCGGGATGGTCGCGTGGCGCAGCTGGAGAACGTCTACATCCGCGGCAGCAAAATCCGCTTCCTAATATTACCAGATATGTTAAAGAATGCGCCGATGTTTAAAAAACAGACGAAAGCAGGCACGGCAGGCAGAGGAAAAAGCGCCATATTAAGAGCACAAGGTAAAATTAATCTGATATGAATTAATGCAATTATATAAAAAATTATATTGAATAATTTTAGCTGCAAGAGGAAGAGGTAGAGGTGGAGGAAATCCTGCTGCAAGAGGTGGGAGAGGAGGAGCATGGCAAGGGGGCGCAGCAGCACAAGGAGCGCCTGCACCAGCCGGACGCGGACGCCAATAATACAATTATTAATAACATTAAACTTAGTTTTAAAACTTACTGTAATGATTATCTCTTTAATTTATAACTTGAAGAATACTGTTTGGGTTATTCGAGAACTATGATGATTATTTTTTATTAAACGCGACGATTACGATGCAGAAATTAAGTGTTTTACTGCAAGAAATAAACAACTTTTGTTTTATAATTATTTAGGGTCCCTAGAATTCTATTAAAGTAACTAGTGTTTCATCCTAGCATATAGGCAACCCAACATACACCAAACCAAGAGTAACCTCTAACTTGTACGTTGTACAAATCAAGAATAAATGATTATTTCTTAGTGTTAACAGATAAAACAAGGTGAGTATTATCTATAATTATATAGTTTAATTGTTAATTTATCGTTTTTTAGTGAATAATCATGCCGAACGCCGCGGAAACACCCTCCTCGCAGCGTTTAACCAACGATGATTTCCGTAAATTGCTTATGACACCAAGATCTACGCCTGCAAATGCTCCCCCAGCTTCAGGAAGCATCCGCGAGGCGATGGCGAACGCCTCCTCAGGCGGTGCCGGATCCATGCCACCGCCTAAAGACGAAAAAACCGAGGAGCGTAAGAAAAAGAAATCATTTTATGCTAAATTGAAAAAACAAGAAGACAACAAAATGGCGGAATTAGCAGAAAAATACCGTGATAGAGCAAGTGAACGTCGTCAGGGTGTAAACCCCGATTACCAAACAGAAGACCCAATGAGCACAGCGCAAGCATACCGAGCAGTCGCACCGGATCTAAAAAGCGGCTTCGATGCAGCCGAACGCCGTCGTCAAATGATCCAAGAGTCGAAATTCTTAGGTGGAGACATGGAACACACGCATTTAGTCAAAGGTTTAGACTATGCTCTGCTACAAAAAGTACGCGCGGAGATAAATCACAAAGAAGCAGAGGCCGAAGATGAAATGGAACGCCTCGCGACGAAAAAAATCGAAGAGAAGGAGAAGAAAGGCGTCGCCCCTAAACCAGCCGACGACGAAATGCATTTCAAAACGAAATTCGGCCGGAATATATTCAACACAATCGTGCAACTAAAATCACGCCATGTTGAAAAGGATGAATTATTCGCGCCGGGGCGTATGGCGTATGTAATCGAATTAGACGAAGACGCAGACACGGATATCCCCACGACTTTGATAAGATCCAAAGCGGATATCCCCTCATTAGAATCATCAACAACCCTAACAACAAATGACATAGTAATTAATAAACTCACACAGATTTTGTCGTATCTCCGGCAGGGTAGTCGCAAGGGTAAAAAATTAAAGCGCGCGAATTTACCGACGCAGAATAATCACGGCGAACGCGATAAATACGAAGATGAACCACTAGTAAAAAAGAAACATAAAAATGATAATATTTACGATGATATCGGTGATTACATACCGCCGACAACAACGCACTCGTCATCACGCCGCGAAAAGGAAAAGAAACGCCAGCCGTACTTCGATAAACACGAAGAGGACGCTGCGATCGCGCCGACATTGAAGGTGAACAAATCCGCGGCCATTTTGAATCGACTCGCGCAGGAGCCCGAAGGTTACGCCGAGTGTTATCCGGGTCTTGAAGAGATGAACGACGCTATTGATGATTCCGACGATGAGGTGGACTACTCCAAGATGGATCTTGGTAATAAAAAGGGGCCGATTGGTCGGTGGGATTTCGACACTGCTGAAGAATATTCGGATTATATGAATCAGAAGGAAGCTTTACCTAAAGCTGCCTTTCAGTATGGTGTCAAGATGGCGGATGGGCGACGATCACGCAAACAGAAAGATAAAAATGAAAAGGCGCATCTGGACCGGGAGTGGCAGAAGATCCAGAATATCATACACAAGAAATAAATCGGCGGCGTGAATGATTGGCTGCATAACTCAATGCGTGTGTGGTTTGTTGATTCATTTTTACCTAAAGCTTTTGTTTAAGTATAAAATACATATGTATAACACGTTCGTTTGTAATTTCGTACGCGTGTTTCGTGCGCGTACGAAGAATAAAACGCAACGCAACAAAATCAAAAATGTACAATTCAACTAATACTCGTTATCTTTAGTGTGTTTAGTGTTGTTTCTCGTCACTTGTCGCCTCGCACTGCACTGCGTTACATAATTATTTATTTTAGTGTCGGTGTAGTGTTGGTTGCCTATGTGTAGTGTATGTCTTTGATTAGTTCTGTCATTACTAGAAACACCGCGTCGGAATTACTCTCAATCATCAATCTCTAGTAGAAATAGAAATAAACAATAATTTATGTACACTTTTCTCTGTTTTGCTTCTTCTTCTTCTTTAGTTTTTTTGTTTGTTTAAATTTAATGTTGTTTCGCTTGTTTTTTTCTCTTCTGACTTTGGTTTCAATTTCATCGATTAATATATATCATCATCGCAATATCATCTGTATATGTATAACTATGCCATTATTTAATTTATAATTTAATCGTAGTGGTAAATTATTAGAACGTTAAAATTGCACACGCGCTGTTATTCTGTAATTGCCTAAATTTCTCTCTCTCGCTCGCTCGTCTCACCGCCGCGCCCCCACTGAATGTCAGCATCAGTACGGTGCGCGCGCATATCAGTATGTACATTTGTGTGAGGTTTGTCATGATGTCTTTCGGAGGGTGTCTTACGTAATATGGTTTCCTGCTGTGTGGTGGTGGTGGGTGGGGGGATGAGGAGGGTGTTACTAGAGCGAGCCGGGCGGGAAGCTCGTCGAGCTGTTCGAGTGCGCCAGGCTGAGCATCGAGCCGGACATGCTCTGGTCGTCGTCGTTGTAGTTTTCCCTGTTGGCTTCGGCGATTGCCAAAGCGCTAAAAGCAAAAATGTAATGAATTAAAATCAAAAGTGCAACTTGTGTGAGGCGGGTTGCTGTTACTGCAGTTTTGTCATTTGTACATAATTAGTATTGTCGTTTGTCGCTATATGATTTCAATAGGCATATACGACAATACTACTGCTTATACAGTAAAAATAGTACTGTCACTCGAGCCTATACCGTTTTAATTGACATAAGTGACAATACAAGTTACCACCCTAGTACAAATAGAACTGTCATCTATGGCCATATGATTTCCATACGCACATGTGACAATACTGCCGCTTTTACTAGTAGGTACTAATAGTGTTGTCGCTCGAGTCTATTTAGTTTCGATAAGCATATGCGACAATACTAATGCTAATACAATATCAGTTACCACCCTAGTTCTAATAGAACTGTCATCTATGTCCATATAATTTCCATATGCACATGTGACAATACTACCACTTATACTAGTACTAATAGTATTGTCGCTCGAATCTATATAGTTTCGATAGGCATATGTGACAGTACTAATTATCATACTAGCGCTAACACAACTGTCATTTATACTAGTACTAATAGTACTGTCGCTTTAACCCATATAATTCCAATACTACAAGCGACAATACCTAAACTATTCTCTTTGAATAACAATTTTTTAAGATGGCGCTGCTATGCTTCTCCTCAGCCTCGTTTTTAATTAAAACTAAAATAACACATACCTAAATCCCATCCGTACTGACTCGCTATCAAAGTCCTGCAGAGTCCGCTCCTGTTTATCATGGAGATTTTTAATGCGATCCGACCGCTCAGCAAGAAAACGGTTCGTCTCCGAATTCATCTACAAAACATTGATCAATAAACAACACAATACTAAAACAAATCCAATAAAAAATCAATTACCTTTGCGTCCAATAGCGACCGCCTAACCGAAACACGCTCCTCCAGCTCCTTGCGCTCACGATCCCGCTGATTCTGCGCCTGCATCTTGTTCTTGCTCTGATACGCCATCAGAATCTCCAGCTCGTAGCTCAGCCGCTCCTTGAGCTGCGCGCACTCAAACTCCTGACTCTCATCCAGGCGCACGCTCTGCTTCTGCAGCATCTCCACGATGCTATTCTCGTACTGCTCGCCCAGCAGCGCCAGCTTCCTTCGCTGCTCCTCCTTTAGCTTCTTAATCACTGCCTTTTGACTATCGCGCGGTGTCGAGCTCAATATCTGCACCTTCAGGGCTTTGTATTGCTTCGTTTGGACGCTGCACGCCTCCCGGAACTGTTTACGCACCAGCATTTCCTTTTGCTACAAGAAAAAACATAAAATTTCATCAAAAAACAACAAAAACATAAATTTTCATCGAAAAACAACAAAAAAACATATATTTTCATCGAAAAACAACAAAAAATCACACAAAAACAATTAATTTGATAAAATTTTAATAAAAATGTCTTACCTTAAGTGATTTTGGTTGTTGTTTAATCTCAAGCGCATGTTTTTTGCGCAATTCACGCTCAGAACGCTTCATATACTCATTCTGATTGGCCAACTCAGTATCATGCTGACTGCGCACTTGCTCCTCTCTCAGCCCATGCACGGCCTTCTGTTGACGATACTCGAGTTCCTGAGTCTTCTCATGATGCCGCACGAGCATCGAATGTGCTTCCTCCAACTGGCGCTGTCGCTTATGCAACTCATCACCCAGCAAATCCAATTCGAACTTTTGCGCCGCTAGGAGGCGCCGCCGTCGATACTTACGCACCTCAAGCTCTAAATATTCCTTCTGACCACGCAGCAGACGTTGCTCCTCTTGCGCCTCGACTAATTTCATATTCTCCTTTTGATTTCTAACCAAAAAAATAAACATTTTAATAAATTTTTATCAATGAAAGAATAAATAACTTACGATAATGTGGCGTCTCTGACACGTTTCGGCGTGCTGCCATCTTGCGCCAGTTCCCACTTGAGTCTCTCCTTGGTCGCCTTCCTCTCCTTCTTACAATGCGCATCAAACGCCTTCCTGTCCATCTCCTGCCGGGTCATGATGTCCTTGAGCAGCTTCTTCTCGGCGTTCACATTCGACTTGAGTTTCTTCTCCATCTCATTCGTGTGCTTCGTCTGTAAATTCGCCAAATCCCTGCTGAACGTCGACAACAGCGACACATACTCCTTATCCAGCTGCGTCTTGTGATTCTCCATCTCCAGCTTACACCGCTCTTCAAGTTTGAGCAGCGCGCTTTGATGCTCACGACGCATGCGCTTATACCCAGACATCTGCTCGTGCATCTCCTCCTGCATATGCTCCTTCGCCTGTTTTGTAACAATACTCGTCGTGCGTATGGTTGCAAAGTTATTCGCACCGTGTTCCGCAATGGCCGCCTCGGCCACGTGATTGATTGGTCTGCGCGGTGGTCGCTGCGCAGCATAATCATCCCCGGCACCCATCGCCATAGGTATACTGTTCGTGCTTGAAGATTGACTGCTTGCAGACACGCCCACACTATGCGCGCTGTGTTCCGACGTGACGGAGTTACTCTTCGAGCTATCCCCGCCGGTGTGATCATCCTGCGGGTCCTCCGCATCACCTAAATTACTCTCTGTCTCATCCACCATGAGAATTTTCTTCATTTTACGATAGTTCAAGTTGTCTAAATCACGCACAGCTGCTTTTGTGCGTTGTATAAGATCCACCAGCACATTCGGTGAGCGTTGACGTGTGACATAGTGATGTCCAAGTAATTCTTTCGAAGATCTCCGCTCGGATGGTGATTTCCGTAGGCATGCATCGACAAAGTCGCGGAAAGTGTCACTCCAGCAGTCGTTGGCGACATCTAGCGACGGACTGTTGTTCTGCGCGATGTGATACAGCGCAGACATGGCGTGCATGTTGAAATATGGCGGCTTGCGTTCCGCTAACTCAATACAAGTGATGCCTAGCGACCACACGTCAACCTTACCGTCGTATTGACCTTCATCCATGGCGAGAATCACCTCCGGGGCCATCCAGTATGGTGTACCGACGAAGGAATTCGCCGGGCATTTCACGCTCGCGCTGCCAAAGTCGGCGAGTTTGACTACGCCGGCTTCGGTGAGTAGAATATTCCCGGCTTTGACATCGCGATGTATACGCCCGAGTGAATGCAGGTAGGATAAGCCGGAGAGCACGCCTTCGCAAATGGCGGAGATTTCATCTTCGCGTAGAGGGCGCTTGTGTACTTCGATGATGTCCGATGCGCTGCCGACGCAATACTCCATTACCACCCAGACCATGTGATCTTTGTCACCGCGGTAACATCCTTTATACTCGATTGTATTCGGATGTTGTAATTGTCGTAAAAATCTATCGAAAAAAACAGATTTAATCATTTTTTTTTCATTTTGAGGTTAGTTTTATACATACTTGATTTCCTTAAGAATATCCTGCCACTTTTCCAGACTCTGCTTGCCCATGTATGACATCTTCTTGATGGCGACGATTTCCTTGCTAAGCAAACACCGCGCATAGTAGACAGCGCCGAAGGATCCATGGCCGATCTCGCGCAGATCCTCGAAGATCTTCTCCGGGTCGTGCTTGTGGAAGAGATCGGCAATCTCCGGGTCCTTCAGACTGCCCGGCCGCGGCCCAGGCGCCATGACTGACTCGACTCCTCGCTGCTGCTGTCGCACTCGCCTAGCACATCACCCTGTATAAACAAAAATTACAGAAACCTGTATTATCTACCACAACTGTATCGCCGAACGGAAGCGCTCTGCGGTCGTGCGCCTTCCTGATAACGAAAATATTTGCATTGAATGCGAGTGTAATTCTCTGTATTTACACATAATTTAATCTTAATCTTACAACTTACGCGGTGTCAATTGTTCCACCTGATACTTTTCCGAGTGTTTGACACAAAGGGCGTTTATTATTCGGCGTAGTTTTGCGTGTAGCGCGTTGATTTAGACGAGGATTTTTATCACCGTCGCCCGCCGCTGCGTGGTGCTTATCTCTGTGCGCTGGAAATTCGACGGCGCGACGCGACTCGGTTCGGCATGGCGTCCGCCCGCAGCCGCATTCCGCTGCATCTCGACGGCGCACTCGTGGGAAAACCGCGCGCCGAAATCCACGCAGCCGGGCAAGCGAGTTGACTCACGCTGGCGGGCGTGAGTGATGCGGTCCCGTCGTCGTCGTCGCGAATTAAGCGCGTATCGATAAGAGGGCTTCGACGACACCACTCCGCGCCGCGGCCAGAGATCGTCGCTGTCAGAAGTGTCATCGACGCAAAGAACAAGTTCATGCAGACGCCTTAACACGCACGAGGCAGGCAACCCAACGTGCATGTATATACCGAGCGGTACAAATCACATCAGTACCATATAGTTAACATGCGCAGTGGATTTTTTCAATGGAGATTTTGTGGTACGCACTGAATATTATACGATTTGAAGTTAGGCAACATATTACGCATGTTAAACAGGGCGTCACCATCACCATCATAACAAAACATCATAAATTCACTAATAAACATAATTAATCCTCAATTAAACATATAAACCACCTAATTATTCATGTTTAAATAATAAAATCTTACTTTTAAGCCCTCTCTACGGTTATATTTGTAAAAAAACGCGATTAATTTGTGTTTACGCGATCACCCTGACTATGAAATAAGAAACCTAACCAGCAATATGACCAGCGCCCGATTGCAGATGTTCCCCGAGCGTATCGCATGCACAATATTTACGTCGCAAGCATTCGATGAACATACCTGGGCCGTGCGTAGCTCTAAACCCCCCGAGGAAGCAATGCGTCGGAGATGTGCCGCACTTGCACTTGCGAGAGCACCGCACCCCTCGCGCGTACACACCGCTATCAACTGCAAGCAGCGCCTCGACGACCGCGCCGCTGCGACATTTTGCGCGCTTCACCAGCGAATCGCGATGCGTATACTTCACGCTGCTCACAGAAACGTCGTTAATTCGGGTGCCTTTGCGTGTAATCAGGCGTCTGCGGGCTGGTTTTCGCCTCCCTGCACGGCGCGATCAGTTTAATCGGAGACTGCAACTGCGTGTGGATGTGTGTGTTGCGCTCGCGCGACCGCCATATATAATCACTGATCGTGCATTTCCGTCAAAACCATTCAAACACATAACAAGCAATGTGAACTATCCATGTTATTTATATGATCCATATAAAATCATACGAGTATACACATGCGCTCCCTACCGGTGATTATTTCAACTCCTAATTTTTACTCAAAAAAAACACAAAACTGCATTGAAATCACCTAGATTCACTCACATAACCTAATATTAAAGCTTTATATAGTAATAAACAAGTTAATATGACAATATTTAATGTGTTTATCATCATTTGACGCCTAATTGAATTATTTTTATCGCGCCAAGGCCGAATTATTCTATATTTATGTGTAATTGATGAATGTGCGATTAGCAGCACGCCATGCGACTGATTACCGGTCAGTGTGTGATGTATTCCGAGCATTCTCACATGTTTCACAACCGGTACACCAACCATGTTTGTATAATACCGGCAAATGTTACCAATGGCAACGCGCGCGTGACAAAAGAGCTAAAAAAACAATCGATGTCTGCATACGCCGCTCAGTTACCCATCGCGTTTCTCCAAACTAAAAACCCGCGATGTTGAAGGCGGTGCACGTGAGTTACCTGCTCATCTACGCCGTGTGCTTCCGCATCCTCGTTGAATGCAAGTACATCGAAGGCGAGCTCAATACCTGGGAGGTAAAACACAAATAATTAATTAATTACAGCGTGAATGTTGATGTAACTTACTTCTAGTTTAATTATATATGCACATCATTATCGCGATGGACATAATTACGCAGTAATGTAAATATTTGTCGTAGAATTGGGCATTCATGGCGCGATTCTGTTTCCTGTCGGAGGCCGGCCAGTTTGAGTACTATATTGAGTACGAAGAGGATCAAGGCACGCCGAATTTACTGCTGTATTACGATGAGGATGATCAGTGGCCTGCTGTGTATAAATCAAACAAAGTCTGAAAGAAAAAAAGTGAGTTTTATTAAAGTTTAAACTAAAAATGTTGTTTTTTTAGAATTGTCATGCAAGGGAAAGTGTTTTGAGACCAGAACAGAACCAAATCGTTAATCTAAGCACGCGGTTTCCTTTCTCAGAGGCGGCTGGGTGTCGCGTGCCGCCAGCAGTGACCACTCCACGCACGAAATATACTTACATCGTGCCTACATTGAGTACAAAACCTACAACTAGGAAAACAACGCATGGAAAAACAATAATCACACAAAAAGTCACTATAAGTTTTTCTACAACCGAAAGTGATGATTATTCAACTACAGATGGCTCTACTATCAGCACTACGAGTAATAATTATGAAGAAAATGAAATAATTGAATCAACAACACAATTTTCTGACATAACCTCAACATATTCAATTAGTTCAAGTGACACAACATATTCTTCTCCTTCAACGTTGAATTTACTCAATGATGAAGTTACTTTACCTACGAATTATTATCAGACGGATGTGGTGAACATCGATGAAGAAAACCCGCCGATACGTAAACGCAAACGTTCCGCCGATGGTACTACCCCGGTACACCGTCTACATCAGGATGGCGCTGCTCGCATTATTCGTCAAGGCAGGACTGTCACTTGTCGTAATGCGCGCCGGTTCCGCACTGCACGTGAGCGCTGGTGGTTCATCGCCGTGAGTAACTGCCGTGGTAATCGTGGTATACACATACGATACAGAATGTTGATGACGAATGGAGATCCTGGTGATTATTGGCATGAGCATTTCTCTGCGGATGAATTTTGTACGTTAAACAACACAAAAGTGTTAATTTGTGTATAACTTGTGTATATGTATACTTATGTGTATGTTGGGTTGCAGATGTCTTACCTGTCTTGATGGCGTTCTCAGTGGCATACTCATTCCTCCTGCTAGCGATAATAATCTGTTCAATAGAGTTGAAATCACGTCAACTGCTGCATTCAACGTATAAATTATTCGTGTTCAGTACACTGATACAGTTCTTCGGGATTGTGTTCAAGAGTATGTGTTATTTGAAATACGCTGTGAATGGTTTAGGCTCACCTGGACTGCGTGTGATGGGGAATATGTTCATGGGCATGTCGGAAACATGTTTTCTCTTGCTTTTGTTACTCCTGGCGAAAGGATATACTGTCACTAGGGGGCGGTTACCGTTGAGCGCAGGCGTGAAAGTCACTATATTCATGTGTTTGTACGTTGTCACTTACATTTCACTATTCATCTATGAAGCTAAGGTATGTGCATCTATATGTTTTTATCTATATGATCCGGATTGACATTTTCAAAGGTATTTGATCCCGGTGAGGTTTTATACACTTACGAATCCCCTGCTGGTTATGGTTTGATTATTCTCCGCATCGCGGCGTGGTGTATGTTCATATATTCAACTGTATTCACATTGAAGCATTATCCTGAAAAAGCCAACTTTTATTATCCGTTCAACGTCTTCGGGACTTTATGGTACATCGCAGGCCCTGCGTTTATCATCAGCGCGAATACTTACATAGATAAATGGGTGCGTGAGAGTGTTGTATGCGCTGTGTTACTTTTCATCACCTTTGGAGGACATTTGATGTTTCTAGTAAGTAAAATACACAATGGCCGGTGTGTTATTAAATTACTATAACTTGTAGCTGCTGACAATGCCATCTGTAGCTAACAAAAACTTCCCCTACCACGTCCGCACGACACAAATCGGCGTAATGGAGCAATGCGGCGACATCGGCCCAAATTCCATCGAGCAATTCACGCGCCACGCTTATGAACCGACATCCAACGGCTTGGATCAGACTGTAATCGTCCCGCTGAGTCGACGCACTGAAGATTTATTCAGTGGTTTATACAGCCAACAACAGTATACATCCACGTCGGCTTCACGCAGGAATGACAGCTTGCATCACGACGCCATCTTGCACAACGAGCACGACCCGCGCATGAGCGAAACATCCATGGAGAATGTTCTCAGCTGGTCGCTAGCGAAGAATTTCAACACGATTGATCCACCGAGGATGGATAGACGTTTATCAGGCATGTATTAACACACATAACCTAAATATTTATACTAATATTAATTCTATAGCTGCACTGCAAGAAGCCCGACGCAGCAGTGGCGACATCCCGCTGTCACGACAAGAAACAGCCGAGGCTAATGGCAGCCATGTGCTACAAGATTGGATCCGTGAAGTCCCCGTCGAGTTATTCACAGTTTCCAAAGCAGTTGCAACCAAAACAAGTGTGAATTCACCACAAGAAACACACTCACCCTCAGCCCCGGAATCTAACTCACTAAATATCGAAACAGGAAAGATTTTACGTCCAGACTCGCCCGATTAACTTAGGCAACTTCTCATACACCAAAGTAACCAATATAAAATTTATTTTATAGAAAAATATAATATAACAACACTCACCTTATAAATATCTTAATCATTACTCTCTACATCGTTCTAACTCTTGTAAAACCGTAACCATCGTGGGTCGCATGTCTGCATTGGGATCAACACACGCCTTGCCGAAGAAAACGAAATAAACAAAGATTTTCTCACCGCCGGCGACGCGTTTATCCTTCAGCTGGATCCACTGCGCCTTGTTCTCCTCTTCGGTGTTGGACATCACGTGATCCTTGAGTAACACACGCCCGGTTTGGGTTTCGATGACAACCGGAAGTCCAGTCGCCATTTCGAAGAGCATTACACCGAAACTATAGACATCTAGTTTGGGATTCAGGCGTTTTGAATTGATGTAATCACGTGGGAGGTATGGAGGGGTGCCGAAAACATGGCTGACAGCCACGTCGACTTGATTGGAGTTGGGACCGAGGCGTGCCAAGCCAAAATCGCCGATTTTTGGGGTGTCGCTGGCGTCGAGGAGGATATTAGCGGGTTTTATATCGACGTGGATCAAGGGTTTGTCGTGTAATGTGTGTAAATATTGCAAACCTCTGCAATAACATGATTTATGATGAAGTTTTTGTTTAAAATGTAAAATTTTAATTTTTAGGTTACCTTGCTGCTCCTATAGCGATGTCAAGTCGTTTTTGCCATTGGAGGAACTTATTCGGGTCTTTGGTGTGTATCCGTTTGTCTAGAGACCCGCCAGACATGAATTGATAGACTAGGCATGGGTATGGACCGCCTATACTATACCTAACCTCAAAATAATTAAATTTTAACTTTAAACTTTTTAGTTTTTTACGTTTTTATGTTTAACTTACGCGTAAATCGGTAGAATATTCTCGTGTCTATATGAATTTAAATACTGCAGCTCCGAAATGCTTTGTCGTAGTTGCACGTCGTGTGCACGTGAATTATCCCGGCGTGCTTCAATGCGTTTTATAGCAACTACGGTGTTCTTCCATTTGCCTTTGAATACGGTTGCATAACCTCCGCGTCCGAGGACATTTTCCGTGCTCCATTTTGTTGTGCATTCTTCTAGTTCATGATAAGAGACAAGAGGGATTGATCCAGCTGATTCAACAACTCTTGTTTCACTCAAATCTCTCTAAAAATTACATTTTTGGTTATAAAATTTAGGTTATATTGTAGATATAAATACAAACCGGTTTATTTTGTGCAGGAGGTTGTCCAACAGGTGGCGCTGGGTTATTACATTCATCTGGTGGATCTACCTTGATGAATTTATGATATTTATCAGGAATGTATGACTTTAAAGTGTTCATCGCTGAGTAGAGTTTGTGATTCTTCAAAACAACGAATAATTCTAATACTGTGTGGCCATACTTTCCACCCCAGATGTCCAGTAGTACTTCTGAAGGACTTTCAGATGTTGTTATCTTCTATAAATGTGTTAAAAATTAATTTAAAGTAGAAATAATTTAATATTTTGATAGTTTTACTTACATTCATCTCGCAGTCTAGAAATTGAAGGGTTACAGCCAGTTCTTTCCATGCGTTGTTCTTATTCAGGGCAAAAATCAACATTTTTCGGTCTATGTAGCTTAATTTGTCGAGTTCCACGTCCATTTTTGGGTGTTTTATGTTGAAAAACTTAAAGTAAAGTGATCATCACCTGTTGTTTACTGGTGCTACATATGCAGGATCATATATATTACGTGATAGTGCATCTGGAACAAATCATATAGGTTGGAATAATTTTTTGAAAGTTTTGAGAGTTTTTAGACATTTGAATGTTATTTAACGTTAATAAAGTGTATTGGCACATTATAGCTGTAAATTTTCGTAAATACTCACAGGTTTTGGGTAGTTCAGAGCCAAATTTGAGTAAAAATCGTGAATTACAACTTAATATGTCACTTTTTGGTTAGTAGTACACTCCTATGCTGGATCATATACATTAGGTGATAGTGCATCTGCAATAAATCAAAGAAATTAGACTTTTTTCGAAAAATATTGTTATTTAACGTCAATAAAGCACTTTAACACATTATAACCTCAAATTTATATAAATACTCACAGGTTTTCTGTGGTTTTGAGCAGAATTAACGTCAAAATCGTCATTTTCAGTTCAATATGTCACTATTTTACTGTCACCCTCCCAAATCGGATCATATACATTACATGATAGAGCATCTACAACAAAATCAATACAAATAAAACATTGTTTAAAACTTTCTGACACTTCTATAAACATTCAAACACAAAAATAATTAAAAAACGTCAATAAACTGCATTGACACATTACAACATAAAATTTTATACAAATACTCACAGATTTAGTGCGATTTTATAAGAATTACCAAACAAATGCCATATTTTCACTGGTGACACGTGTGGGAGGAGCTCCCCGAACCGGAAACCACCATTCTCCACACTGAATGAAGAACATCCACAACACCATCAACGATTCCCACCGAAGTTAAACGAGTTGTGTGCGCGCAAGTTCGCAATCGATCGCCGCGCGTACACTACACGTGCATTCTAATTCCGTCTCGCGTGCTCGCGGCCCCCACGTCGATTGTTCCGCGCAGCTCGGTGGTAGGACGCTCGGCGCGGCCTCAGTCGTCCTCTGTCGGTCGGTGTCGCGCTTCCGCCAGTGCCGTGTCGAACAAAATTCCACCAGCAGCTACTTCATCCAGACCCAGACCCAAGCAAAAGAATTTAAAACCGGAAGTTACGATACAATAATCACACGTGTGTGTAAATTTTACAAGTGAATTTACCTGATTTAATTACCGGATTTGTGGCTGTCGGGCATGGCGTTTCTGCGCGCGGCTTTGGCGAAGGGCTGCGGGGAGCAGATCAAGTTGAACACGCAGCGGGCGGCGGCGCGCGGCGATCTCTGGAAGAGCGTGTACAGCACCAGTGCCGGTTCCGGTTCCACTCAGAGTAATGGCGGTGGCAAGCAGCAGAAGGACGAGGAGAAGCTGCTGCGGACAAGGGTTGGTATCGTGCGCAGCCAGCAGCATGCGGCCGCCTCCAGTGCCGCCGGCGGGGACTCGAAGGACGCGCTGGATATCACCTTCGAGGATCACAAGGCGGCGTTCAAGAGCAAGACCACATGGGAGCTGCTGCGGGCGTATATTGTCTATACGATGTGTTCGTTCGAGACGCTGGTGGAGAATAATATGAAGGTGAGTTGAGTTTTTTGATAATAACTCGGAAAGTATTAGAGATTTTTGAATTATTTTTTTATAAGGTGATAATATATTAAATTATCTATGATTTAGTGAAAATTTGAATGTTTTTGGTTGGAAATTGTAAAAGTTATAAGCATGCAAAGTTGCATAAATTTTTTTGAGGTAAATTTTTGAAAATTATTTTTAAAGTTAAATATCTCGAAAAGTATTAATACGAAATTAATTGTTTAAAAGTAATTAGATAGGGCGTTAATGACACTTTCTAATGCCGCTGAAATGAGAATAATCGCGTTTCACCCGGCGCCATTACGTCACTTCAAAGTCACACAACATTTTCTGCAAAATTCTTAAATTTTTAATTTTCAAATCTTAATTACTCATAAACTAATTAACATATCACAAAATTTTAAAAACAAATATAAAGCTGAATATCCCTACTTTAATTTCTGCTAATTTCATTAATTTAACCCTAAAAACATGGCGGTTATTAAAGAATTACCAAAAATTTGTTTTTTTAAATTGTGTTTTTATCGTTTGATTGACGTTTTTCGGTTTAAAAATCGATCGAAATGAATTCGAAGGATCGAAAAACGTTGCGTGCCATTTCTCATTCGTTACGTAAGACGGTTTCGACCGCAACGAGCCGCGCGTCGGACGTTGGAAACCCAAACCTACGAAACAATCGTTACGCAGCCGCGCGACTCGCCGAGATTATTACCTATAATGTTTATAATTCGTCTGACATGACATGTAACACTGCCGAATGTACAATCAAATTAGAATTCATCACGGAATCTCATTATAATCATTTTTAATCATGAAATTTGCATTAAAATACGTAAAATGTTGAAATTATAATAATTTTTTATTTTTTTTCTTGGGGAATTTTGTTTTTGAGGGTTATTTTCGTTGGTTTTATAGGGTGTGAGAGTTGTGGTCGTAAATATTAACGTAAGGAACGTGCGGGTATTGTGCGAGTCCAGTCTCAGGATCGTCTAGCGTCAAGAGGCAAGAGTACGCGATTCTATTTCGAGCGGCTTGCGACGTGCCTCAATTTAGTTTCACTCTATTCATTTTCGCTGTATACAATGTGTCAGTCATGCAAATTGGGGGAATTTACTATAGATGGGTGTTTACTATGGAAATGTTCATGTTTATGAGGTTTATTTGTTGTTAATTGCATGAAAATTGCAGTTTTTGGTTAAAATTTGATGAAAAATTGTGTTTTTGTTCATTTTTTGAGGAAAATTAGTGATTATGATGATATTTAAGTGGGACTTTATGTAGAATGTTAAGAAATGATAATATTAAGGCTGAAAATTGAGTTTTTGCAAGAAAATTATGAAGTTTTATTGATTTTACAATGAAATATCGTCGAAAAACTTTTGTTATGCAATTTTATGTTTCTGCTACTTAAAATGTTAATAACTTTGGAACTAATTGATCAAAATTTATGATTCCAACATAATTATACATAGTATTAGCTAAATTTATTATCAGAATAGTTTATTTTGTTTTTATCCCCTCGGAAATATTATTTTTAAGCATTTAAATTAAAATAAATGGATGGATTTATCAAAAAATCATAATTTTTTATAAAATTTAATTAAAACATCAATAATTCTGAAACTAACTGATAAATTTCTATGATCTAAACTTTTATATACAGAGTGATATGTAAATTTATTAATGCAATACTTTAATTTGATTGTATCCTTACGGAAATACCATTTTTAATCGATTTTTAATCAATAAAATTAGTGGATATACCAAATAATCAAAATTGGTGTAAAATTAATTTAAAACATCAATAATTCCTAAACTAATTGTTCAAATTTTATAATCTCAACGTACATATACAGAGTATTACCTAAAATTTCATATAAACTCAATTTAAACAATATTAATTAACAACTAATGTCATTTTTAACCTCTCAAAGTACCACCATTACCCTACTTCTGTTTTTACTTAATTTTACTTCGATTTTCAATGAATTCTTTTGTTTAAAACAAAAATCACGCAAATTATTACTAATTATGAGCAACTGCAACATTCCCACACTATATTTAATACAAAACTGTTGATTTCTATGAAATTTTATGCTCAATAATCACTTTTATCGCATTTTATTTGCAATTTCTGCATTATTTCCCCTGCATCAACACAAAACCACAATTTATTATTGAATTTCTACCTGTGGGCAATTCCTTTGGCGCATCTTCGCCAACATGCCTCAATCGATAACAGCTGCGACCACGTGACACGCATACGCTCGATTTCCGCGCACGTTAATCAACTTCCTCTCTGCTCCTGCAAAATTAATACAAATCTATGTGGTTTACAATAATTTTTCTGTTGTTGTTGGAAAAAATGACTCAACCGTAATGATTCAAGCATTTAAGCATGTGTTACACAACGCTTTTTGGCTTTGGCCAATGTCCGGCGGTCGCGTGTGCACATCACAATTCGCCGTCTATTCACACAAGTTATGTAAACATTTTCTTAAAATAATAAGAGAACGACCTATAAAATCATTTACACTACTATAGTACGCGAGAAATACAAACGTTTTGTGGGATTATGTAACGCCGGCGAAAGGGGGTTGTGTGTGTCTCTGGTGTAGCATATTTTATTGATTTTCCAGGGGTGGAAAAACGTGCGGTGTGCGTGGAGGCGCATGCGCTGCTGTTGTGCCGTTGCCACAGTGACGGAGTGACTGAGTGGCGCCAACGAGTTTTTAACAAAAATGTTTAATTGGTGGATTATGTAGGGAGGAATTGGGGGAATTTTGTGTTTAAACGTGTTTGTGTAGAGGATTAGTGTGACTTGTTCACTGAATGGTTTAATTTGGTTTCGTTAAATAGGAAATATAATTTTTAGTCGGTTAAAGTTGATAGAGTAAAAAATCAGATTTTGTGTAAAAATTATTTCAATTGTTGATTACTCGAGAAGTTATTGGTCAATTTTTGTAATCTAAACGTATTTATATTGAGTATTAACTGAATTTGTTAATAAAATTATTTAATTTGTTCTCACGCTAAAGAATATGCCTTTTTTAATTGTTTGAAGTCATTAAAATAAGTAGAATTGCAAAAAATCAAAATTCCGGTTAAATTAAATTAAAACATGGTTTAAACGTGAACTAATTGTTCAAATTTTATGATTCCAACGTAATTATACAGAGTATTAGCTAAATTTATTATCAAAACTGTTTATTTTGTTTTAACACCCTAGGAAATATGATTTTTAAGCGATTAAATTAAAATAAATGGATGGATTGACAAAAAATCATAATTTGTGTAAAAATTACTTAAAACATCAATAATTCTGAAACTAATTGATCAATTTTTATGATCTAAACTTCTATATACAGAGTAATACGTAAATTTAATAATGCAATAATTTAATTTAAATGTATCTATTCGGAAATACCATTTTTAATCGTTTTTTAGTCAATAAAATTAGTGGATATACCAAAAAATCAAAATTGGTGTAAAAACAATTTAAAACATCAATAATTCCTAAACAAATTGATCAAATTTTATGATCTCAACGAATTTATATAGAGTATTAACTAAACTTTCTGGTAAAATACTTTTAATCATCAAACCCTCTTCAAAATATCATTTTTAAGCGTTTGAAGTAAAATAAAAAATGTATTAACTAAAAAAATCATATTTTGTGTTAAAATACTTCAAACATCAATAACTCACGAACTGATTGTTCAAATTTTATGATCTCAACGTACATATACAGAGTATAACCTAAACTTTCACATAAACCCAATTTAAACCATTTTAATCACCAACAAATGTTATTTCTGACCACTCAAAGTACCACCATCACTGTACTTCTATTTTATTCAATTATTCATACTATATCATAATGTTTCCATTAATAACACGTGCGCAATATTTATCTAACACAATTAACACCCTTAAAGGCGAAATATATTTGCACAATTAATTATCGCAGCATATTTTTCCTTGTGCTACATTTTATACACATTCAACCGTCTGTATCCACAGTAGCAATGAACTTCAAACAAATTCTGAATTCTTGAGGTCAAAGTCCACCACTTCTCGCTTGAAAAATGCAAAAAATAAAACATTTACAATAGGTAAACACACGTAGAAATATATACACGTTAAATGAACGACCTTGGCCGTATAAAATCGAGAATAAGCAAGTTTCAAACGCGCATGAACTCATAAATCTTGCTTCTAAGACATTACCTCAAGTGACATTGAAATCAACTAATCAAATATACAGTATGTTCATGGTTATCGAGCACAGGTGGAATATGGAGAGTTATGTAAAGCGGTGAAGCGCAAAGTGGTTTTGTTCATTAGCACATTACCGGCGCGGTCGACGGTCGGCAATCGAGACTATTACCTAATACATTTAAACATTTCAGACATTATCGCCAGACGCCGTGGAAAACACTAAACGAAATATGCGACATATGCAAATGCAATGTTGACGTATTGCGCACAAAGCATAGCTACTTGTTGTTTGGTTGGATGTTCAAGTATGGTGGAAATATGCAAGAATCGGGCGTGTGTAACTGTTGTGGAGATAATTATAAGTTATACACTGTCGAACACTCGCGGCGCGATGCATAACAATCAATAATTATGTTTTTATCGCGAATGGTTGGCATGTGTGAGTGTGAGTATGAATAATGTGGTTAATATAGGCCAATATTTTTATTTTAGTTTTATTTTTGGATTGTGTGTGTGTATGAGTGTGTTTTGTATGGGTATGGAAGGGAGTTTATGTTTATTAGTAATATGAGGAGGGTTTTGAAGCAGGAGGTATATGGGCGGAGCATAATTATGTTTAAAATTAAATAACTCGGAAAGTTGTAGTGATAAAGTAATGAAATTTTGATGTTATGTAGAGTAATACCTAAATTTATTAATCTTATAGTTTAATTTATTTTTATTTCATTGGAAATATCATATTTAATCGTTTAAAGTTAATGAAATTAATAGATTTACCGAAGAATTAGAATTTCTGTAAAAATATTCGTTTTATACGCTTAAAAAGTTTATTTCCAAGAGGATTTGGGCAATTTAAAGTAGTTTACTTGAAAGTTTAGCCAATACTCTATATAAATACGTTGAGATTATAAAATTTGAGCAATTAGTTTAGGAATTATTGATGTCTTAACAAATTTTAACAAAGTATGATTTTTTTGTCAATCCATCTATTTATTTTAATTTAAACGCTAAGAAATAATATTACTGGACGGAATAAACAAAATAAACTATTCTGATAATTAATTTAGCTAACACTCTGTATAATTACGTTGAAATAATAAAAATTGTCCAATTAGTTCAAGAGTTATTAACGTTTTAACACAAATATTGATTTTTTGTAGTAATTTTACTAAAAACAAGGTAAATTTACATAAAATTTAAACCCAACAACTTAAAATTTAATCCAATTACCTCTAAATAATACCATAACATTATGCGTGCGTTAACATTATACAACCGGAAATGCAACGTGATTTTAACATACATAATATACTTATTTTGTTACATATTTGCATATCAACATCAATTAACTCTCATCAATTATTCCAACATGCGTGCAGATATAATAAATTCTAATTCGCTTCATTCATAATTTACTCAATCACATGTGTCACGTGGCGAACACACTGTATACTCGCAGTTTAACTCGCTTCTATTGTTCTGGTTTGCGCCTGCCGAAATGAGCAGCCGACGCAAACACGCAGTCCAAGGACGACCAATCAAAACTTTATCATGTTAGCGGGCTACTCGTATATTGCACATATTACGAGCGTGTTTATTGACCATGTGAGTAATAACAATAGTAATAGTAGGTACTAGGAGTGCAATTGCAGAATATTGCAACATCCTGAGTAAGAAATGCAAATTTTGTCTTGGGATGATTAAGTAGATGTGATTAATTAGTCACTGGTTAATTTGTTTAATTACCTTACGTGACACCTGTTTGTTAAAGATACAGTCGTTTGTGGTCGGTAATTCCGGATGATTAAATATTTACTGTTTACACTTTTATGAGGTTAATTATGACATTAATAACCATAAAAGTGTGAAATGTGGATGTTTTATGCATTTATCTCTGATAGTTTATGAGATATTTGAGTTACGAGATGTTTGTGCTCCTCCCATTGATGTATTGGTTTAGAATTGTCTAAATATTACTTGTAGGTTATTCCCAATGATGGAATATAGACTAATATTTATATTCATTTCTTTGAATGGTTAAAACTGGTATTTCTTAAAAATGTTTGACAAATTAAATTGTTTTATTAATAAATTTACGTATTACTCTGTATAAATACGTTGAGATCATAAAATTGATAAATTAGTTTGCGAATTATTGATTTTAACATAAACTCTGATATTTTGGCAAATCTCCTAATTGAAATGACTTTAAACAATTAAAAACGGTATTTCGCAAGAGGTTAAAACAAATTGAAATGTATTATTGATAAATTTCGTTAATACTCTGTATGTCATAAAATTGTGATTGCGGAAATATTATTTTTAAGCGTTTAAATTAAAATAAATGGATGGATTTACAAAAAATCATAATTTGTGTTAAAATTACTTAGAACATCAATAATTCCTAAAGTAATTGACCAATTTTTATGATCTAAACTTTTGTATACAGAGTAATACGTAAATTTATTAATGCAATACTTTAATTTGTTTGTATCCCTAAGAAAATACCATTTTTAGTTGTTTTTTACTCAATAAAATTAGTGGATATCCCAAAAAATCAAAATTGGTGTAACAACAATTTATAACATCAATAATTCGTATACCAATTGTTCAAATTTTATGATCTCAACGTATTTATAAAGAGTATTACGTAAACTTTCAAGTAAAACACTTTAAATTATCCAAACCCTCTTGGAAATATAATTTTTACGCCTTTGATGTAAAATAAATAGATGTATTGACCAAAAAATTATATTTTGTGTTAAATTGCTTCAAACATCAATAACTCACGAACTAATTATTCAAATTTCATGATCTCAACGTACATATACAGAGTATTACATAAACTTTGAAATAAACCCAGTTTAAATAATTTTAATATCCAACAAATGTTAGTTTTAACCTCTCAAAGTTTCACCATCACTCTACTTCTGTTTCTACTCAATTATTCATGTTTTATCTCTATATTATCATTAATAACACGTGCCCAATAATTATATAACACATTTAACACCCTTCAAAGCAATGTTCATTTAAAACACAACTCAAAAACCATCAAACTTCAATGAATTCATTTAGTTTAACCACTTTTAAAGCCTTTTTAACATACAAAATCTACAATTTTTCTCACATCTTCACCAAAAATAAATAATAAATAAATATATTCTATTTTTAGATAATGAAAATAACCAAAGCGATAATGGGTGAGAAGCTCTTCACCGCCGCTATGAAAGCCACCTTCTACGGCCACTTCGTCGCCGGCGAGGACCAGTACAAAATCCGACCAACCCTCGAACGACTACGTTCCTTCGGCGTCAAACCCATCCTCGACTACTCCGTCGAAGAGGATCTCACGCAAGAAGAGGCTGAGAAACGTGAAGTCGAGTAATTACTCTTTCCATACCCCAAATAAAACACACACATAATAATACTTATAATGATTATTATTATTCAGGGCGTCGGTGTCTGAGGAAGTGCCCGCACCGGAAGCCGAAAGCGAATCCGACCAGATGAAGCAATACAGCGTCGACAAGACGTTCGCGGATCGCCGCTACAAGGTGCAATCGGCGCGCACGTACTTCTACCTCAACGAAGCCACCTGCGAACGCAACATGGAGACGTTCCTCAAGTGTCTGGAAGCTGTCGCTGGTAATTATTATACATATATTTATTATATTTATTCCTGCGTGTGTGGCGAGACTATGTTATCTGTGTTATTGCAAGCGTAATACTAGTCACGTTTAGTTAGTCACGGCGGTAATAAAATACGCGAATAAACAATTTTAAGCGTGCAATATGAACTGCGAGTGCAAAGTCTTATCAGAAGTGGAATTGTTAGGAAGAAAATGCAGACGAGTTCTTATGCAAAAGAATAAAATAAATGGTTTTGAAGTGGGTATTACGTGCGAAATTTTCCATTACTAAATTTAGGCATACGGCAGTTAGTGGGTCACGTAATATAAAAATATACAGGGTGTTTATGAACAAATTATAGTGAAATATCATAGAGAATAGGGGTAAATGATGAAATTTAGACAGAAAATGATGAATTTTATCGATTTTTCAAAGAAATATCTTCAAATATTAATAACTCTCGAACTAATTGTTTAATTTCTGTGATCTCAACAAATTTATACAGAGTATTAGCTAAACTTTGAAGTAAAATACTTTAAATTATCCAAACCCTTTTAAAAATCTAATTTTTAAGCGTTTGAAGTAAAATAATTAGATGAATTGACCAAAAAATCATATTTTGTTTAAATTATTCCAAACATCAATAACTCTTGAACTAATTGTTCAATTTTTATGATCTCAACGTATTTATACAGAGTATTAACTCAATTTATTAATAATATAGTTTAATTTGTTTCAATCTCTTAGGAAATGCCATTTTTATTTGTTTGAAGTCAGTAAAATTAGTGAATTTACTAAAAAATCAGATTTTTTGTAAAAATTATTTCAATTGTTAATTACTCGAGAATTAATTGGTCAATTCTTATGATCTCAACGTATTTATGCAGAGTATTAACTAAATTTGTTTATAAAATTATTTAATTTGTTTTCACCCTTCAGGATATGTCTTTTTTAATTGTTTAAAGTAAATGAACTTAGTAGAATTGCAAATAATCAAAATCTGTGTTAAATCAAATTAAAACATCGATTAATCGTAAACTAATTGTTCAAATTTTATGATGTCAACGTAATTATACAGAGTATTAGCTAAATTTATCATCAGAATTGTTCATTTTGTTTTAACCCCCCCGGAAATATTATTTTTAAGCGTTTAAATTAAAATAAATTGATGATTTTACAAAAAATCCAAATTTTTGTTAAAGTTACTTAAAACATGAATAATTCTGAAACTAATTGATCAATTTTTATGATCTCAACTTCTATATACAGAGTATTAACTAAATTTATCAATACATCGATTTAATTTGTTTGTAAATCTTAAGAAATACTATTTTTAATCATTTAAAGTGATGAATATAAATATTAGTCAATATTCTATCATTGGGAATTACCTACTAGTAATATTTAGACAATTCTAAACCAATACATCAATGGGCGGAGCACAAATATCTCCAAACTTTAAAATCTCATAAACTATCAGAGATAAATGAATAAAACATTCACATTTCACACTTTTATGGATGAAATTTTCCATTGCTAAATTTAGTCATACAACATTTAGTGGGTCACGTAATATAAAAATATACAGAGTGTTTATATTATTTTAATAATTAACTTTTTAGGTAAAAGTCAATGTTTTTGCTTATTTTTTGAGAAAACTCAGTGATTATGAACTAATTAAAAGGAATTCATACAAAACCTGGAAAAATGATCAAATTTAGACAGAAAATGGTGGAATTTAATCCATTTTTCAATTAAATATTCTCAAAAACCAAGTACCTATAATTAATAATTTAACTATTTATGAACAATTGCAATGTTTATCCCCTAAAATAAACGTAAAAATTCGAATTTTTAAAGGAATAATTCAAAAATAACATTCTGACGTTACGTATGTCACGTAACACAAAAATATACAGTATGTCTACGTTAATATTCGATTAACACTTGCCACCACCTAATGGAGGTTTGCTATTTATCGAATTTAGCACAGGTGCGCGCCGTAATGAGTTTGAAACTAGCTCAAGTATTTCCTCTGTACTCGCTGCCCAAAACCTTGACGGGCTATATTTTCGCGCTGACGCGCTGACTTTCTGGACGAAATCCCGATCGTTGACCTTTAAAACCGGTCGCCGCGTTTCGCGACTGCACTTTTATGAAAATGACCGAATAAATTAAACATTGCAACGTTAATTGCCCTCACCAGACAGGTACATACACGTCTCCTCTAAAATTAACAGTCATTTCAACATAGGCAACACAATACACGCTAAAATTATGAAAATGTATGTTTGTTGCTCTTTAACACGAAAACTATCAAACCGATTTTGATAAAAATTTATATTATTATAGTTTATGGACTAACTTAAAACATAGGGTATTTTTTAACCGTGAAAATTAACCCTAAAGGGTCGAAAATTAGGGTTGAAAATTGAAAACCTAATATTTAATACAACTGTGTGGTTTTTTTTCTCTTAAATCTATTTATTATGTGTGTGTTGAACTAATATTAATTTTCATACTAATCGCCCGCCTCCCACGCGTGCGCTTCGCCCTCTTTTGCTTCCAGAATACGATAGCAGGTCGAAGCCGAAGGGGACAATCCCGGATGGTATGTCAGTCTCAACTCAATCTTCTCCTTATCTTATCTTATCCTTATTTTCCTTTGTAAATACAAATATATAAATATTTTTTATTTTTGTATTGTAGGCGTACGTTTTGCAAGTTTTTATTTAGGTGCGGTTAATTTTTGGAAGTAACGACTAGCAGTAACAGCCGTAAATTATTTATATGCATGCAAATTTATTTTTTGATTCGTTTTTTTGGGTTTTTGCTTAGATTTTTAATTAAATTTTCATTGGAAGTAGGAATTTTATTAATTGGGGATTGATTCTAGGCGCTACTTATGGTACCGGTATCACTGCGATCAAACTGACAGCTTTGGGCAGACCTCAATTACTCGTAAGTAATTAAAAAATAATTAAAAAATAGATTAAAACATGAAATATAAGAAAAATACCGGTATTGAACTCAAAATTTACATCCTACTAGGTTTTTGGAGGGTGAAATACCGAAATTTTTCGAAAACCGGTAAAAAAATAAGGAATTTAAAAAAATACCGGTATTAAAAAACCGGTATACCGGTATTCAAAAAAATACCGGTATTTTTTTTTGAAAAAATTTGTTTTCCGTAAAAATAAAAAAATGCAGAAATTTTCTATTGAATACCGGTATACCGGTTTTTCAAATACCGGTTTTTAATACCGGTATACCGGTATTTTTTCCCCCAAAAACCGGTATTTTTCACATAAAAACCGAATTAAAACCCAAAATTTAATTTAAAAAATACCGGTATTAAACTAATAACCCGTTTAATCTTCCAGTTGCAATTGTCTGAAGTAATCATGAAGGCCCGTCGATACATGGCTGAAATCGTCGGTGGAGAGGGTAACGTGCTCTCCCACCACACGACACGCGAGGCACTCGAGCGGAAGATCGCCGCCGCCAAAATCACCGACCAAGCATCCGTCGACAAGTTCTTGGACTCGCTCACATCCGACAGCAAAGGGTGAGTGATTGAACCACGCCCACAACTGTCAAATCAAACATCAACAATATCTATCTACACCACGCCCCACAAGCCCACTAGACCACGCCCACGCCTCCACTTGCACCATATATGTTGTGTTGTTGTGTACGTTGCGTTATATTTTTAGGTACAAGAAAGACTCGGGCAAGGACTAGTGAGTATTATGCGCGACGTCACCATCCCCTTTTGTATGTAACTAAGTAAGATTCAACACTGCCTCCCCCCCTCTTATCATAATACTCGCTAGTCTTGGTTGGTTTGCATAAATAATGCTTCAGAACCTCTTTTGAAATTATATTTAATATCATGATGTTAATGATGTGTTTTGTGGGTGTTTTTAGTATTATGCACTTGTTCCCCTGGTCGGGGATCGTCGATGACAACCAGGAACTGTCTTCGACCTTCCGGGTGCCAGACTTGAAGCGTGGGAGGATGGTTAGGTTGATTACCAAGTTGTCACCGAAGGAGGAGGAGATGTTTAGGAATATGATTAGGCGGATGAATACTCTAGTCAAGGTATTGTATAATAGGAAAAATACCGGTATTGATAACGGTATACCGGTATTTTTTCCAGAAACGAAGGAATTAAAGAGAAAATGTAAATTTTGATGTAACTTTATAAATACCGGTATTTATAACCGGTTAACAGGTATTTTCATTTAAAAAATACCGGTATATCGGTATTGAACTGAATTTTCACATCTTTAGAAACTATTTGAGGATAAAATATCGGTATTAATATTGGTATGCCGGTATTTTTTTCAAATACCGGTATTTTGATGCATAAAAATACCGGTATACCGGTAATACCGACAATGAACACACCAATAACATCTTCACAAAGAACTAGGAGTGTGAAAGACCGGTATTGATATCGGTATACCGGTATTTTTTATCAAGAAGAAAAAATGAAAGAGAAATGGTGAAAAGGTGATTTTGGATGTATTTTTATAAAATACCGGTATTTTGACTTAAAAAAATACCGGTATACCGGTAATACCGGTATTGAACTGAATTTTTATTTCCTTTGAAAGTGCTAGGGGAGTGAAATATCGGTATTAATATCGGTATACCGGTATTTTTTCTTTGAATATTGGTATTTTGTTTCACCGACAATACCGACATTGACCATACCAATCACATCTTTAAAAAGAATTAAAAGTGTGAAATACCGGTATTAATACCGGTTAACCGGTATTTTTCTTTCAAATACCGGTATTTTCAATAAAAAAATCACTAAAATCCAAAATTTAAGCCAAAATTCATCGTAAAATGTAACTTTTAAAAAATACCGGTATTACCTATTGAACCTTAAAATTACCCCCACCACTTAATTTTCCAGGCTGCTCAAGAAATGGACGTGAGGATCATGGTCGACGCCGAGCAGACCTACTTCCAGCCGGCCATCTCGCGCCTCACGCTGGAATTCATGCGTAAATACAACAAGGAGAAGGCGATCGTCTTCAACACCTACCAGTGCTACCTCAGCGAGGCGTTCAACGAGGTCACCACTGACTTGGAGCAAGCAAAACGTCAAAACTTCTACTTTGGCTGCAAATTAGTGCGCGGTGCCTACCTCGAGCAGGTAATGACTTATCCTTTATTCTAGTCAACATTATAGGTTATGTCATATTTCGTATATATTACATAGGAACGCGCAAGAGCTGCGGCTTTGGGTTATCCCGACCCTACGAACCCCAACTTCGATGCCACGTCGGAGATGTACCATCGTACACTTACCGAATGCCTGAGGCGTATTAAGGATTTGAAGGTTAAGGGTGAGGACCAGAGGAAGATCGGTATTATGGTGGCTTCGCATAATGAGGACACCGTGCGTTTTGCTATTGAGAAGATGAAGGAGATTGGTATTGAACCCGAGGATAAAGTCATTTGCTTCGGTCAGTTGCTCGCCATGTGTGATTACATCACTTTCCCATTAGGTAAGCAGGGTGGAAAAATACCGGTATTTATATGGGTGTACCGGTATTTTTTAAATTTTTTGTGTATCGTGATTATTTGAATATTTAGTGATTATTTTTAAAAATACCGGTATTTTGATGTGAAAATACCGGTATACCGGTATTGGTGATGTTGAAATTAAAATTCACATCTATAGATAGTGCTAGTAGAGAAAAATAGGGGTAGTAATACCGGTATACCGGTTTTTTTAAACCTAGAAATACCGGTATTTTTTGGTCGAATACCGGTATTTTTTTACAAAAACCCATTTTTTCAACAAATAAGTTAAAAATAAAATTAAACTAAATGTGAAGTAAAATACCGGTATACCGGTATTTCTAGAAAAATACCGGTATTTTTGGTCCAATACCGGTATTTTTTTCAAAAACCTAAATTTTTCACCAAATAACTTAAAAACAAAATAAAACCAAAAATCAAAAAAAATACCGAAATACCGGTATTTTCTATAAAATACATTTCAAGGCTACAATTCGATGTTTCCTAGGTCAATCTGGTTACTCCGCCTACAAGTACATCCCCTACGGGCCAGTCAACGAGGTGCTGCCCTACTTGTCCAGACGAGCGCACGAAAACAAGGGCGTGCTCAAGAAGATCAAGAAAGAGAAACGCCTGCTGGCGCGCGAGCTGATGCGCCGCACCGTCACCGGCCAGCTGTACTACACGCCGAAAGGTGGCTACACGCCCGTCTAAGACACGCCTCTCCCTTCTCCCACTCCAAACACCTACTATACCCAACCTCAACACTCTCTAAGTCTCGCGCGCGCGTGCGCATTGTACAAACGAACACTGAACCGCGCCGAGCCAACCCACACCCTACCCCTATACTGTTGTCTAGATAAGTAGTTAATTAATTAATTGAAGATATGTCAGATGTCAAATAATGTCGATAAGGTTATATAATGAGAAGAGAAAGAAATTCAAGCCAGGGGCGGCACACACTCACACACATATATAGACACCTCACCTCACCTCGCGAATCTCGTTTTTAATGATTTTATGTTTTTTGTTGTTAGAAGTGGTTTTTCCTCCTCCTGCGTCCATCCCTACTCCTCCGACGGTGTTGCCGAGCGTATTGGAATCGACGTTTGTCCCCACCACGCCTCCATCACCTCGCCAAGCCCCGCCCCCAAAGACCTAACCTCCAATCCTCTCGATGATGATTTCCTATTCCTATTGTGCTACTTGTAAATTAATTTATTATATGATTACGATTATTATTTATTTGTTTGAGTATTGGTTTGGTGTCGCCCCCAGCAAGCCACGCCCTTGTTAGCGCCTAGAGCATAAGTGTCATATCAATAGTCGATGTTCGATGAAATCACACGCAAACAAAACTACGAATTGCATTGTTGTTGTTGGTTTTTTTTTATTTATTCATTTATGCCACTCCAGCAGTTGATTTGTGTGCCGAAGCCACGCCCCTACTACCGATTGATTGGTTGAACGCGATGTTTTTGGGATAATATACATATTGATGCAGGTTTTTGATACGGCTCTGTGTAGTAATAACCTACGAACACACACACGGTGTAATAAATTGATTGTGGAAACGATGCGAGTACTGAATTGAATCGCGCGATGATATGATAAGCTGATAATTGATAAATGATAAGAGACATGGAGGCAACATGTCGTTGACAATAATAACAGTTAGAAAAAATAACGAAAAACGAAACAATTGTGTGTGAACTATTACAAACAAGAATAATTATGAGAACAAATAAATAAGACGAATAAAGATCTAGATGTTTAAAAAGATTAAATCATTATTTTAATTTAGTTTAATTTAAAACACCCTGTATTTAACTAGGGGTTTGGTTAGACTATGGTGTGTTTTGTGTATATTTGGTTGCATATGTTACTGAGTGAAGTATCAAATGACGTGAATAATTCGAATGTAATTTTATAAATACCGGTATTACCGATAGTTTCATTGAGAAATACCGGTATATCGGTAATACCGATAATGAAATCAAAATTTACATCTATAGAAAGTGCTTGAAAAGTGAAATACCGGTATTAATATCGGTATACCGGTATTTTTTGCACGAATACCGGTATTTTTTGCAAATACCGGTATTTCTCTACATCAGGTAAGTTAAAATCAAAATTGAAATGCAACTATGAAGCAAAATATCATTTTTAATTATTAGTATAATCGGTATACCGGTATTTTGACTTTTGAAATACCGGTATACCGGTTATACTAAAATCAAAATACCGGTATTTCTTAAAAAATAAGAAAAACAAAATATCGGTATTAATACCGGTATACCGGTATTTTTCTTCCCAAATACCGGTATTTTTCAATAACCGAAAATTTAAAAACTGAAATTTTCATTTTCTATTAAAAAAAAAATACCGATAAACCGCTCCTAAATTCAAATTACTATATATTTCCTGTACATTTGGTTGCATACGTTACAACTGGGATTTACACATTTGCCAATCGCGCATTTTTCCATTCCGGTGATTTACCTACATCCACGCACTCGACGTTTGGGTGGACAGAGGTTATTCATGTTAGTTCTAGAGGAAACTTGATAAGCGCACGTTTCACATCGCCTCGCCTCGCATTGCATCGCGTAAGTATGTAAGCATCGTACATTACTATTAATAACCAGTGTCTCACGCAGACGCGTGGCACACGAATAAATTTTACGATTAGATCGCGTAGTTTGGCTGCGGCTCGCGGGCTATTAATACGCGCACGCGTTTTATTTTCGACCCAGCACACGCAACAAAGACAACTTTCAGTGTTTCAGTGCGTATCCATCAGAAGGGAAACCAGCAGTGTCTCAAATTGTGTTTAAAATCATCGAATCATTCAATCTAAGTAATAATAACCTCAAAATCATATCAAGAAAATAAAAAGAAACAAGAGAAGTCATTATTTGAGTTTCAAGATGGCGACTGCGATGGACACCGTCGAACTTGAACTTTGTCCAAACTGGTAAGTCAACATGAAATAAATTAAATTAAAATGACAATGAACTTATTTACACAAAAGAATATTGTTTATCAATGACTTGCAGTAAAAAGGAGATACCTCAGATTAATTATGTGATGCATACAATGCACTGCGCAAGGAATATTTCCTTATGTCCTATTTGTAAGGAGCCCATTCCTAAGGGTGATTTGGAAGCGCATAAAGCGAAACATGCGGTGGAGAAGAAAAAAGTTTCGGCTCCGGAGACGAATGTTGCTAGTACTCAATTAGGGAGGGCTTCTGGGTCTGGTTCTAGTACAACCACATGGAAGAACCAACCATACACAGGTCCTTTTCCAGAGAAATTGGGACGTGTGAATGGTAATGGTAATGCTACTGGAAGTGGTATTGGGAGTTCAAAAGGAAATAATGGTGTTGTTAAGCCTCATAATGATTTGTCTGCTTGTAAATACTGTGAGTTGGAGTTGCCAAAGGATACCATGAAGGAGCATGAGGATTATTGTGGCACCCGGACGGATAAATGCAACGAATGCGGGGAGTTTGTTATGTTTAAGTACAAGAAGTTGCACGAGGAGAGTAATCATGGGTTTATCAAGTTGAAAGACGGTAAGATTTTCGTTTTTTAAGGTTTTTAGATAGTAGATAGGTGTTGATATCGGTATACCGGTATTTGGGATTAAATACCGCTATTTTTGGTATTGGTATTTCTGAATACCGGTATTTGTTTAATGAAAATTTCGGTATTTATTAAATTGATTAGTGAAATTTTAGATTTAGGGGAAAAATACCGGTATACCGATATTAATACCGGTATTTCTTATCATTAGTACTTTCTGGCATGTTAAGTCTGAGTTTAGTTTCGGTATTTCTAGGAAAAATAACGGTATTTTCAATATCGGTATACCGGTATTTTCCACAAATTTCAGTAATTAATTCAATAAATATCGCTATTTTAATTTAAAAAATACCGGTATTCGAAAAATAATACCGGTGTACCGATATTATACCGGTATTTCACTCGCAAATTTCATTCTTCATCTTTTATCAACGAACTATTACTAATTAACAAACTAATATCATAAATACCGGTATTTCACATGCAAATTCTAACCTAATCCAATCTCCCTACCTAGTAATATTTCTATGATTCTAGAACCTGGCCCCAAACCAAGCTGGGATTCATCCACAGAACGTTCTAATACTAGCACCACTACCACTTCAACTTCCCGCGCAAACAATTACAGTTCATTCGACATGTCTTCATTATCCGGAAGTGGATTATTCAATATGGCCGACTATATCCCGCCGTCTTTGGGTAGACCAGGTGGTGGGGGTACAAGCACATCAGGTGCTTCTAGGTACTCAACATACACAGACGATGAGGACACCTACCGACCATCCGGTGGTATTCGTGATCAAAAGAAGATAGACTACAAGGATTTAAGCCGCCGATTGGATTGTAAGACCGAATATATTCGGAATCTACTTCATGACAGTGCTAGTATCACAGCGCCATTTAGGACCACACCATCAACACGCAACCATTACAATCATAATAAAGGTAAGTCATGGTTATAATCACGCAGTATAATGAGAAGTAGTATTTTAGTCACGGGTGTGACTAAAGTGGTTTTAGTAATGGGGTGGAGCTTGCGCATGCGCATTTGATATACACTTATAATGACTTTTTTTGTAATATCGGTATTTTCAATATCGGTATACCGGTATTTTTAAATGAAAATATCGGTAATACCGGTATTTACAAAAATTAATCTGAAAAATTCTTAATTTGCGAAAAATACCGGTATACCGATATTCATACCGGTATTTCTCACTCTCCTACTTAATTCAATACCGGTATACCGGTTTTTTTCTTGTAATACCGGTATTTTTTAATTTATTTACAAATATTTTTGTTATTTTAGGTCCTGCCCCTCAACCGCCTTCCTCCTCTCGCCGCCCCAACCCCCCGACGGAATTAACCATCCCCTGCGAGTTCTGCAACACACCCATCCCACACGAAGATCTGATCCAGCACGAGACCGGCTGCCGACCCGATTTGGCCCGCTTTAATCCGCGCAGGCGGCGGCAGGAGGAAGAGTTCTATCGCTACACGCCCTCGCCGCCGCCCACGCCCGACAGTCCCGAGGTGCAACTGCCATGCGAGTTCTGCTCGGATATGATACCCGCGTCGCAACTGCTGCGCCATCAGGCCACATGCAATTGATATTTGTATTGACACATCGTTTGTAATCGGTATTTTTCAAGTTGAATATAAAATAAACACTCTGTATAATTTTTTTCTAATAAACCGGTATTTTTTTTGCCAAAAACTGATAATACCGGTATTTATCAAAATTTATGTTTGTTTTAAACGTATTTGTTATGGAAAATACCGGTATTCGAATAAATATACCGGTATTGGATAAAAATACCGGTATTTTTACTAAAAATGTGAATTTTGAGTTCAATACCGGTATTTCTAGACTAAAAATGATCAAAATATTTATTTATCAACAATACCGGTATTTAAAAAGTCAAATTTTGGTTTTTAACTCATCAGTTCTTAAAAAATACCGGTATTTTACTTAGTATACAAATTTTACGTTCAATACCGGTATTTTTAGACAAATATTTTATCATCCAGTATTTTTTTAATAAAAACCTACATTTATACTTCATTTAATATTATTTAAAAAAATAAAACATTCCCTAACACCCAGTATACCTATTCCCCCACTAAAATTCAAATTCCGCGCGTGATATCCGAACCCACCCGACCATACCACTCGTGTCACGATGACACAATGCTTTGTCCTCTCTCATTGGTGTTGTGCTTGCGCTGTCGGCCATTTTCCTTTCGGTCAGTTCAGCAATCAGCAGTGACGCGAACGCAGCAAGTGAACATAATCGCACACCAAGTGTATTTCTCATCGTTATGCCCTCATCGTCGGAGGGTTCCTAAATCCCACCACATCACACCACACACACGTGAATCTCTCAACAGCTGGATACCATCAGCCCATACCAACCAAAATAAAACCACCACACGCCGAAGTACGACGTAATTTGTTGCTGCGACGACCACCAGTGATCAGCGAAGGTAAATATTATTCTAAACGATGTTTTTTTCCTCGCTGCCGTAATGTGAGACTCATGGCGCGCGTGTGTTTTCGTGGCCTTTGTACTCTCGTCCGCTCGGTGGCAGTCAGCAACCAAACCAGCTGATGAGTTAGTTGAATATGTTGCATTATGTTAGGAATATTGCAACAATATTGATGTGCATATTGTGCAAACACACGCACAGTTTGATTGTTGGATTGTTTTGTTAATAATTGCGTCGAAATTTGATCAGTGCAGTCAATGGCATGATTATTACGCGCTGTTTATCGTAGTTGATTTGTGACAAAACGATGATTCATTGTTATTCATGGCTGTTCAATGCAATTTGCCTGCTGATATCTGCTGGTAGTGATGTGTCATTATGTATACCATCATGATTTACTCGAAATTTACTCTATTACATCAAGTTTTCTTGTGTAAATAGATTCCATTGTTGTTAAAGTTAAGTTATTGAAGACTTAACCTTGATTTTTGGTTGTTTTAACCTTAAAAAGTGATTTTGTAGGTTAGAACTAATGTTTTTCTTTGAATTTTGTGATAAATTGATGAATTTAATTAAATAACATTAGTTTTCTTCGGTAAATAGGTGTTTTTGTTATTAATTCTTAATTGTTTCTAACATAACCTTGATTTTTGACTATTTTAACCTCAAAAATTGAATTTATAGGTTAGGAAACTCTTAAAACTCATGTTTTTTCTTAGAATTCTCTCTTAAATTGACTATCTTTGACAATTACAACCATTTTCTTTGATAAATAGTTGCAATTGTTGTTAATTCTGAAGAATTTCCAACATAACCTTGATTTTTGACTATTTTAACCACAAAAAATCAATTTATAGCTTAATAAACTGTTAAATCAATCAGAATTTACTCTTAAGTTGATTTTTTTATTGCTTACGTGTGATTTTTGTTGATTCATAATGATTTTCACTGTTTTAACCTTAAATAATTCAATTTCCAGCTAAAAATGGCATCCAGAAAGAAAATCCTCCTCAAAGTAATCATCCTGGGCGACTCAGGCGTCGGCAAAACCTCACTGATGAACCAATACATCAACAAGAAGTTCTCCAACCAGTATAAGGCGACCATCGGCGCGGATTTCCTCACCAAGGAGCTGATTGTCGACGACAAGGCCGTCACCATGCAGATCTGGGACACTGCCGGGCAGGAACGCTTCCAGAGCCTGGGTGTCGCCTTCTATCGCGGTGCAGATTGCTGTGTTTTAGGTAAATTATTATGTTTAACTCTTAATTCATTGAAAGTTATTTAAAAATTTAATTCTTTAGTGTTTGATGTGACTGCGCCAACAACATTCAAGTCCCTGGACAGCTGGCGAGACGAGTTTCTCATCCAGGCATCCCCACGCGATCCCGAGAACTTCCCCTTCGTGCTACTGGGCAACAAAGTGGACCTCGAACCGCGCGCCATTTCCGCCAAACGCGCACAACAATGGTGCGCGTCCAAGAACGGCATACCCTACTTCGAGACATCCGCGAAGGAAGCCCTCAACGTCGAGCAGGCGTTCCAGTGCATCGCACGCAATGCGCTCAGCCAGCAGAATCAGTCCGAGGATCTGTACAACGAGTTCCCCGACCAGATTAAGCTCACCAATGCGACGAAGACGAACGGTGGTGATAGCTGCGCGTGCTGATCATCCAAACGCATATTATACACACACCACTAATGTTTTTGATTTAATGCAAATCGATAATATGAATGAATATCAAATCTTTCGGTTCCAGTTTTTCAACCAATGTAAATATTTAATGGCAAAAGATGAATTCGTGTATAATCGCACTCGTGCTGTTGTTAGGTCTCACACTTTCTTTCGGCGCAGCGCATTTGTGACACTTGGTAGGACTCTAGAGATAGAAGTATATCTAATACTATTATTATTATTATTAATATTATTGAAGAAAGTGTCTCTATATATATATTATAAATAATTAATATTATCTATATATTATTAAATTTGTATATTATATTGTATCCCCGCATTCTCGTTTGTGTTTCGTTAGGTAATTGAAATTGAGTTTACTTGTTTGTAGTATAAAGGATTACACTGAACCAGACATTTTGTTTCAATTCTAACCTCAATATTTGAATGAAATTAAACTTACAGATATTCTGCCTGAAAATGTGTTTCTGCGTGGAAATTTTGATGTTAGCACTTGCAGAATCACTTTATTAGTTGATTTCGAGTGAGTTTTACTTGTAAATGTTGTTTTTAATTAAGTTATTAATGATTTAGTGAAAAGAAATTTGTTGCTTTGTTAGTTCGTGAATCACACACTGATTAAATGTAGAGGGCGTGCAGTGCGCACGTCATTTACGGTTTTCTGGCTAGTCACTAACCACACCATACCATCAAACAAATTACTTTGAAATTCATCAAAATTACGTGTCTCAATAAAAATATAATGGTTATAAGATAAACAACAGTCTAATCTACCGATTTATACTAATTTTAAACCACATACCGTCTATTTTCTGCAATTAATCACTGAATTACCGCGGAGCGACACACCAAGTTCACTAGTTTATTCAAAAAGAGCAACCTATTGCAGAGGGCGCTAGTAGTGTCAATAAAACTGTCATATTACTGGTTGCCTATACACTTAAAGATTTAAACTTTGTTTTTTTCTTTAAATCAAAGTTTTTATTAATGTTTACAGCAAATAATAGTTTTATTATTAAACCTACACTATAATAAAAATAAATCCAATTGTATTTATCCGAATTGTAGTAGTATACATTGTGCAAACAAAAAAAGAGTAATAAAAATCTCCAGATATACTTTAAAAACGATAAATAACTCAAATACACGTTATATAATGCGTAAATAACCGGTGTGTGTATAGTGCATGCCAGAGGAGTGAAGGGATTAAAGTTCAAACAGTCGAAATTATAACAGGAGGATAAAATTCAGTAAAATGCGCATTGGCAGTCGTTATCAGGCGTGCGTTCGTGCACGACGCGTTAAATTCGTGATAACTATTCATAATTTAACTGTAAAAAGGTGTAAAGTGTGTTAATTTATAAAGAAACATCGGAAAAAAACTTAGGAATACATATTTATTGATATTTAGTAAGTATTGGTTAATTTTTTATAAAAAAGTTATATTTATTGTGTAAATTTGTAAAATGCGCATAAAACAATCATTATCTCCGGTTTATATCGATTAATTCCTATGGAAACAATCAAATTCCTTATTTTTATTTGAATTTAAGCAGTATATATTTTACTCACTAGATAGCGCTACATGTACGTTTCAGCAGGAAAATATTCCTGCTGACGTCAGAAATGTCAGCCGTCAACAGCTGTTTTGCGCGTGTGCGCATCGCGTAATCGAAATATGACGAACATGGTCGCTCGCCATTGGTCCGTCGACAACACACACATGCACACTTCATTCTTCACTTAACATTCGGAGCGTTCGCGTAGAATTCTGCGCTTGCTTCTGTTGTTCGTCGCGCTGCTCGATTCCCGATAATTGTTTCAATGCGTTTAGTATATCGTGCGTCAATTGTTCAATAAATATCCAACCAGCGCCAATATTCAGCTGCCCGTTCAGCAGGAATCGTGATTGGCGAGTACTGCGAAGTTCACATCATGATATAACCGACGTGAAACACGGCGGACATTGTGTGCGTACCGTAAAACGCGACATTTTTAACCAAAACCACGAGTAATACTCGCTTACGGACATAACGAGTTGATTGCATATACAATAATCAATCGAAATCTGGGTGAGTACTAGTTGTCTATCAATATGAAACAAAAACGCAACGCATTTGCATTCAACTGACATTATTTTGGCATTAAATTGACATCAGTGATAAAATTCCTTCTAGTCTTATCTAAAATCTCTTTTAATTCGCTTGTGACTAGTGAAATTCGATTTTATTGCACAATAGCTGTTATACGCTGTAAAATTGTGCGTTGATAGGAAAAACAACAAGTTGAAGTCGTGAAATGAATTGATTTTAATGAATAATCAAAGCACAACACAAAAGTAAGTAATAAACAATTACAGGCTTAATTAATTGTTAATTACGCATACGCAATACACTTAATTGCCATCACATTGTCTCCAAGCTAAAAAAAATACAATTTTTCGCTGGTATTTCACTAATTATAATTAAAACTCATCGCAAAAGTGGTGCAATTAGTGTTTGCACACATATTCCAGACTTGTTTGTAAACTTTTTCGCGTTGCGTGCTGATGGTCATAAATAAAAACGAAAAGAAAGTTTGTCAGTCGGTGACACGCAAGTTTCGCGTTAAAAATTGGTGTTTTTTATGAAAATATCAACAAAATTTCATGTTGTATACCGCACATGAGTAATACAATGATAATATAGAGTTCTGTATTAAATAATTATGTTTCTAGTTGAACTGTGTGGGATAATGAGGCGAGAAAGTTTTGTTGTGACTTTTCTGCGGTGAAAAGTAACAGTAGTACAGGTTTTGCGCATTTCTCAGACTGGATAAAATCAATTGGCGGATGAAATGGAAAACGGAAGATATTATCAATGATTATATCATGTCGTAAATGTATTTGCTTAGGTAATTATCGTGGTATATTAGGAAAAACTGCAATAATTGTTATTTAATTGCATATATTTTCATATGTGACTTAAGTTAAGAGAGTTTCAACCCGAAAATGCAAATATTTCATTGAATATTGGTGAAATTTTAGTGATTTATTAGTTTCATTAAAATTAATATTGGTGAAATTTTAATTTTATTATTCACAATACATTTTCATTCAAGCAATTTTCAAAACTTGAAAATAGTTTAATTGCATAAATTTTCATTTTACTTAAGTTAATGAGTTTCAACACAGTATTTCATTGAACATTTGAAATTTCATTCAAGTAAATTTTCAGCTCTAAAATATGATAAAAAATTTTGTTATTTAATTGCATTCATTTTCATATATGACTTAAGTTAAGAGAGTTTCAACCCGAAAATGCAAGTATTTCATTGAATATTGGTGAAATTTTAGTGATTTATTAATTTTAAAGCATAAAACTTCATATTTTTGCATAAATCTTTCATTTTACAACAATATTTCACACATTTTCACACATTTCAAGGTCATTCAAGCAATTTTCACTCTAAAATATGAAAATATTGTTATTTAATTGCATTTATTTTCATATATGACTTAAGTTAAGTGAGTTTCAACCCGAAAATGCAAGTATTTCATTGAATTTTGTTGAAATTTGAGTGATTTATTAAATTTAAAGCATAAAACTTAATATTTTTGCATAAATTTATCATTTTAGAACAATATTTCACACATTTTCACACATTTCAAGGTCATTCAAGCAATTTTCACTTTAAAATATGCAATAAAATGTAATAACAAGTTGTTTTCTATGCTTGTATTTGTGAGGTGATCAGTTTAGAGGTCAAGTGGCCCGTTGGCTTACGATAATTTATTAAAGTCGTCACTCGGTCACACTTGTAACGATACACATGGAAATTGAAGCACGATTTGTTTCCTAAACGGCTTCTGAATTATGCATAACTGTGTTTAGACAAAGAGCCAATGTCTAGGTCGTTCGTTCAACTAAGTAAATACAATAATATCACATTTTTATAGTTTTTCCTTCTAAAATAATAAAAATAAAGTGATATTTTTAAGAATTAGGTCATCGAAATCCCATGTCTATGCCCATGCTCATGCCAACTTGGCTGATATTTAAAACAAAATGTCAGTGTTTGTGTGTGATGTAGATTTTTGGCTTGCGTCGAGGATACATGATATATTTAGTGGTAGTTTTATTATGTTTGTACATTTTTATCTTATCTTGTTGTGTGTTAATTATGCATTCTTTTGTTTCGCGCGATTCGCCATTATTTTTTACGTGGCGCGGCGAACAAAGTCTAAAGTTGCATGTTTGAAGTGATAAATTGTAATTGTGTGTTGTTAACATTGCAGAAAGATGAGTTACTACAGCGACGCCGGTGATTCGATGCAATCGTTGACGGAGGCGTCTGTCATGGACAACATTCTCAGAAAGCGGAAGATTTGGGATCCGGAAACCGAGTCAATCGCATCGGAAATTAAAGAATTATTGGATGAAGATGCTAATTTATTGGTATGCATTAAGTTTTTTGTATTTTTATGTTGTTTTTTAATTAAATTTTGATATTTTTAGGGCGAAGAAGAAGAAGTTGGTTGTCCATTGCCTTCCACACCTGAAGATGAGAATCTGCTGCAGAGTGAAATGAGCGAGGTGATCAAGGCGGCCGTTTTAGGTAAAGGTAGTGTACACGGAAACATTTTCATCATTATTTACTAACCGGCTTGAGAAGCAAAAGTGCTAATAATGATAACATCACTTTTATTTTGATCAATTTCGTGCGTATTGTTTATTTCTCGCCATTGTCACTGTCACAATACTATTTTTATTATGTTGAATGTGGTAGAGATGTTAATTATGATGTTTTTTAGGTGATGAATTGGATATTTCTGCATTGGCGCATAATGCGGCCGGACAAGCCGAGGTAGTGGTGCGTAAACTGATCCAAGTCGGTTGGAAAGTGTGCCACTTTCAACACCTGCCCGCCTGGCTGCAGGACAACGACTTCCTTAAGCACGGCCATCGTCCGCCGCTACCATCCTTCCGTGCGTGTTTCAAGAGTATTTTTCGGTTGCACACCGAAACGGCAAACATTTGGACGCATCTGCTTGGATGTGTTGCGTTTATAGGTAATTTTTCTTTTGTTTTACAAGTTTTACATCATCAGAAACTGAAAAACAGAAAAAACTGCAAATTTCTTGAATTTTGTTTTAAATTTTTACTCTTTTAGGTATTGCAATTTATTTCCTGATGCGACCATCAATCGAAATCGAACTCCAGGAGAAGATCGTCTTCGGGGCGTTCTTCGCCGGCGCAATCATCTGCCTCGGCTTCTCCACGGTATTCCACACGGTCAACTGCCACTCGCAGTTCATAGGCAAATTATTCTCGAAACTCGACTACTGCGGAATAGCACTGCTGATAATGGGCTCGTTTGTACCATGGTTGTACTACGGTTTCTACTGCCACTTCCGGCCGAAGGTCGTCTACCTAAGCGTGGTGTGCGCGCTGGGCATCACTTCAATCATGGTCAGTTTATGGGATAAATTCAGCGAGTCGGCGTGGCGACCATTCCGTGCCGGTGTCTTTATGACATTCGGCCTGAGTGGAATTGTGCCGGCGATTCACTACGGCCTCGTCGAGGGATGGTTCAACAATCTCAGTCAGAAGAGTCTGGGCTGGTTGGTACTCATGGGTCTGTTGTATATTGTCGGGGCGGTTTTGTATGCGCTGCGCGTCCCTGAACGCTGGTTCCCTGGCAAGTGCGACATCTGGTTCCATTCGCACCAGATCTTCCATGTGTTTGTGCTCGGCGGCGCCTTCGTCCACTATCACGGCATCTCGGAGATGGCCATGCATCGCGTCACCATCGGCCAGTGCGAGATACCCGACACGCCCGTCTTTTAAAGCTGTGTGTGAGACATTTCATTGACCAATTCAAGCACACGGGCTGGGTTAGCTAATTTTGAGAAGATTATCAATCATACCAATATATAAAGTGTAAAATATATTAAATATTTCGAAGACATGATGTGGGAAGCTTACGAAAGTGATGTTTTGAGTTTATATTATGGGTTTGATTTTTGTTTTCTTCTTTTTTTGCTATGGTTAATTGCAGTTTTGTTTAAGCTAAGCTGGTGCTTTTGTTCTGTTAGATTCTGTTTGTGTTAGCGGTGTTTATGTATTTAGTAAAGCGCAATGGCGACTAATGTGCAGAGAAGTTGCCGAGATTTATTCAAAACGCCAAAGTAGGCGCTGTCTGCGACGTTGTTGCTTTTTTCATTCTTACATTAATAATGATTTAGAGAAATTTATCGTTAGCCAAGATATACTTACTGGATTTTATGGAATTTTCCATGTGAATTTTCAATAAATTGTGATAAAGTAATGCAAAACTTGTAATAAATTGAACCAATCATATTTCCCATCCTAAGGTTGTGTTACTTCAAGCGAATACCGAATTAATATGTATGAAGTGTTGTATTTATCGAACTAGAAGGAAATTTCGTGTTATTTCTTCAGCTGTTGGTAGATAAATATATGTTCTTTCGAATAAGGTACATGACAATGCCCTTGAGATGCTAATAACTACCCTAAATGACCCACCAATGTTGGCGACACTTCGTGTGTATGCTAAATTAATACACTCGTACAAAGATGCTCATATCTCGGGAACTAGCTGGAAATTCGATGTGATTTCTTCAACAATTGATAGATAAAGAAGCGCCCTTGCAACTTAAGTACACATCAACTCCCTGAGTTGTCTAGAACTACCCTAAATAAACCGCCAAAGTTGCCTTACTTAATAGGTATTTCTATTAAACTTCTGGAACTGTGGTTGGAAAATGGCTCGATTCTCCTATACTAATGAAGCAATTATAGGTATCTTATAGTCAGATGATAGTTAAAGAGTCCCTTTTTAACATTCGGGCCTTCCCGATACTTTAAACCTTCGGATAATGTCTCAAAATGCTCTTCAAAACTTGTTACATTACTGGCATTTTGCAGTTATATGAAGAATAAGAAGAAGTTGGAAAATATACGATATCTCCTGAACTAATAAAGCAAATTAGATCATTTAAACATCAGTTTGTAGATAAAGAATGCCTTAATAATCTGCATACCTTCCAGATTCCTTAAATGCTCCGGAAGTGCCCTAAAATACCCGCTAATATTGCAATTCCCTTGCATTTCAAAGAGCAAGCCTGGAAAACGCCTCATATTTCTTGTATTAATAAAGCAATTTTAGCTATCTCACTGTCAGTTCATAGCTAAAGAGTCCCTTTTTAATATTCGTCCCTTGCCGATACCAGAAACCTTTGGAAAGTGCCCTAAAATGCCCTTCAAACACTTTCTTAACATTTCTAAAAGTTGCATTGGAAAACGCTCCATATCTCTTGAACCAATAGAGCTATCTACGCTATCTCACCGTTTGTTAATAACTAAAGAGTCCCTTAATAACGTACAGACGTTCCCGACCCTTTAAACCTTCCGCAAATGCCCTAAAAAGCCCTGCAAACAACGGCATTAATGTTGCCAAGTTTAAATTTTCGGTCGAAAACACGACCTGTCAATCGCCAGTCAAAGATTTTCGGCTGAACAACAGGGTCGAACTCACCCGAGTTAAAATTTTTTGGCTCGAACAACAGGGTCGCACTCAAAAGTTAAAATTTTTTTCCTCCAAATCAAAACTTTGAAAGCTTATAACTTCTAAACTAAAAGGGCTAGAAAAAAACGAATTTCAGATCCTGAATCCTCGTTGAATTCTCAACAAGATGGCATATTTTTCTCAAAACGAAGAAATGGGCACAAAAAATTTTTAACGAAAAGATTTTGTTATAAAAAAGGCAAAAGATTTCAATTTTTTATGTTAAATATTAAAAGTCGGAATTTTTCATTAAAATTGCAAATAGGGCCTTAACCGTTAATGCGAGCAAAAAATTTTACTAAAATAATCGACGTAAAATTAAATCATCTATCAGAATCCGAAATCAGAATTTCAAAATTCCAACTTTTAATTTTCAACATAAAAAAGAGAAATCTTTTGCCTTTTTTATAACAAAATCTTTTTCTTAAAAATTTTTTATGCCATTTTTGTCGTTTTTCAATGAGAATGCCATCTTGTAGGAAATTCAACAAGGATTCAGGATCTGAAGTTCGTTTTTTCCTAGCCCTTTTAGTTTAGAAGTTATAAGCTTTCAAAGTTTTGATTTCGAGGGAAAAAATTTTAACTTTTGAGTGCGACCCTGTTGTTCGAGCCAAAATTTTTTAACTCGGGCGAGTTCGACCCTGTTGTTCGGCCGAAAACTTATGACAGGTCGTGTTTTCGACCGAAAATTTAAACTTGGTAACATTAATGCCGATGTTTGTAGGGCATTTTAAGGCACTTGTGGAGGGTTTAAAGGGTCGGGAAGGTAAGTACGTTGTAAAGGGACTCTTTAGCTATCAAAAGACGATGAGATAGCCTGGATAGCTCTATTAGTTCAGGAGATATGGGGCGTTTTCCAAAGAAAATCTCATAATGTCAAGACAGTAACAAGTTTCAAGAGCATTTTAGGGCACTTCCGGAGGATTTAAAGGGTCTTGAATGTACATACGTTATAAAGGAACTCTTTAGCTATAAAATGAACGTTAAATTGTTTAAATTGCTTCATTATTTCAGGAGATATGGGATGTTTTCCAACGCAACTCCTCTAAATGTCAAGAAACTAGCAAGTTTGAAATGCTTTTTAAGGCCCTTTCCGAAGGTTTCAGGTACCGGAAAGGTATGAATGTTAAAAAGGAACTCTTTAGCTATGAACTGACAGTGAGATAGCCAAAATTGCTCTATTAATACAAGAGATATTGAGCATTTTCCAGACTTGCTCTTTGAAGTGCAAGAGGAATTGTAACATTTAACTGCCGATTTAGACTCTTTCCGCAGGATTTAAAGGGTTTTGAAGGTACAGAAGTTATAAAGGAACTCTTTAGCTACGAAATGACGGTTAAATGGTCTGATTTGCTCCATTTATTCAGGAGATATGGAATATTTTCCAACGCAACTCCTCTAAATGTCAGAAATGTAACTAGTTTTGAAATGCGTTTTAAAGCACTTTCCAGGAGTTTAAGGTATCAGGAAGGTACGGATGTTAATAAGGGACTCTTAAGCTCTCATCTGACTATAGGAGATCTTTAATTGCTTCATTTATAATAGGAGAATCGAACTGTTTTCCAACCTGTTCCAGAAATTTAAGAGAAATACCTGTAAAGTATGGCAACTTTGGCGGTTCATTTCGGGTAGTTCTAGGCATATCAGGGAGTTGTCAGGTACATAAATCGAAAGAGCGCATCATTATCTATCAACTTCCGAAGAGATAATTAAAATTTTCCTGCTAATTTGCGAGATATCAATGATTTTGCATCGCTGGTTCCTGTGGTGCAACTCTGACAAGGTCAAGCTTTGTTAGGTATACATATGTAACCTAGAAATATTATTGTGCAAACATCTGAAGGCAAACGTTTATTTTCTTTATTTTAACAATAAATAACAACAAAAATGCCGCAAACAAGTTACGACTCACACAGCGAAGGCCCCGGCTTCGTCGGCATTCGATTCTGCCAAGAATGGTAAGCATAATACAAAATTATCTTAAGTTCAAAATCTACTACATTAAAATACACACAAATCAACCAAACACAATAATTTCTAATTTTTACACCTAATTATCATGTTTATTGCTTTAGTAACAACATGTTGTACCCAAAAGAAGATAAAGACACCAAAGTATTGCTCTATGCCTGCAGAAACTGTGACTACAAACAGAAAGCAGACTCTCAATGCATCTACGTAAACAAAATTATGCACGAAATTGACGAATTAACGCATATTGTGCCGGATGTAATCTCAGACCCGACTTTACCACGCACGGAAGATCATCCATGCCCGAAATGCCAACATAGGTATGTAAAACATAAAAAAATGACAATTTTACATAAAATTCATCAAAAAATCATTATTTCAGGGAGGCAGTGTTCTTCCAAGCACAAACACGTCGTGCAGAAGAAGAAATGCGACTGTATTACGTCTGCACCAATCAGCATTGCTCACATCGTTGGACAGAATAAATATTTCACTCACTGTTCATTCCATCATTTTATAATAAAACATAAAATACATACACATTATGTTTTGTGGTAGATATCCTGAACAAATGACAAATAATAATCTATTTTCCTTATGGCTGACTTAATATTATCTTTTGTGAATGTTTTCAACGCTTTTGTTTGCTGTGCGGTGAATTTTTCAAAGAATTCGCCTTTGTTTTGCGTAGTTTTCGACTTCTTGCTGTCTTCTTTAACGGGTTTAGCCTTCAAAAGTGTTGATTTGATATCTGAGAGTGCAGAAAGCAGATAATATTTCTTTTCTGATGAGTGTGGACCACCAAGGAGTGAATTAACATCGCTTTTCACGTGGCGTTGATTTTCTTTGTCTGCTGTTATGCCCAGATCAACACACTACAAAAATAACTAAAAATGTTATAAAGTAAATTATAAAGTGTTTAAAACTTACAGTAATACACTGCTGTATAACACTTTCGATTGCCAGAGCTGCTGTGTCATAATTCACATTATCTTTGAGATTTAAAGATAAATTCCACAGAAACATGGAATATTCGAGTGAAAATTCTTCAACTTCACCGTTAAAATAACGCTGGAGGAACACATACGCTGCTAGGACATTGATCATGTTGTTTTCCACGCATTGTGCTGGAGATTTACCCTGGAATCATCATTTTAAACGTTAAAAACACATAAAAATAAATAAAAATCATAAAATTTTTGTTTTACTCACAGAAATTTCGTTAAATTTGTGTATATCTCCAATTTTCGGACAGTTACTCTTACATTTCGTCCAGTCCTCCTCACTTAACACTCCTGTAGACTTAAATTCCCACCAAGGTGTCCACATGGTCATAAATTGAGCCACATCTCCAGAAAGTAAAAAAGCTTCAAATTCTTTCCTCTCATCTGCAGTCAAATGCTTCCAGACTTCTTCACTGTCATCCAAATCAATCCCAGTGAGTCTCGCACCTAGGTCTTCCATGTTATTTGCTTCTTCATCAATTTCATCATCATCAGAGTCTAGATCTTCATTTGATTCATTCAAATCTAGTGTTTTAACATAAAAATACCTCTTATAATGTGTTTATTTAACTTATTTAGGAAGGTAACTTATACCTGTGAGTTGATTTTGCTCATGGAACCTCTTGAGTATCTCCTGCATCTTCTGCTCCTTGTTATCTTGACTGTTATCATCTTGAAGTTGGCTTTCTAGATGTTCCTGTACCATATTCTTGTAAAACTCTTCAGAACAAGATAAATGCTGTTCGGATTGATAACATCGCAGTGTACAATAAAGTTGATTGCATTTCGGGCAGGAGTACTTGGCCAAGGCATTGTTACAGCTAAAAAATACATTAAACATTAATAAATAACTGTTTTTGTATAGGTTAAACATTCAAACAAAGAAAATCAGGTAAAATAATGAATAACACGTACAAATTACATGTGTTTTCCTCAGTTAATGCAGTTATTTTGAGTGTAGACATTGTATATACTTTAATTTGTACTTAAAAACAATAAATAATAACGTTTTTCAGTTATTTGTTCAAGTTAACAAGCGCAATTAATATTTTTCTGCTTGTAACGTAGGCAACTTTTATTACATGTTACGCATAGTAGTGTAAGTAAAACTTAAACAAAGTGTAAGTAATAAATATTGTTGATGGTTATTAATAAAACAAGTAAATGTTAATGAGTATTTTATTTTTGACAAAGCCCAAATGTTAACAAAAATATCATCATCGGTCGTGTAACAATATTCTGTTCCGTAAATAGAATTATTTCTTCTTCATTTTTTAAGTGTCGCCATTTTGTCTCTAATTTTTGTTTGTTTGCAATAATTACGCAACAATAAACAACACACTCGAAAGTATCATTACAGCATTCACGTGTTATCACTTTAGCTTACATATTTCGCGATTTGTTTTCATTTAGTTTGCGAGCAAATTTTTTTTGTTTAAATTTTACATTATACAAGCGTTTTTTGTTACATTACATTACAATTCATTACAATACCTTTTTGCTGCGCGCTTAGCAAGTACATATTTCATATATGAATACATTAGATCGCGTTTTGGAACGAATCAAACAACAAAAACACAGAGTACACATATTCATCATCGCCGCCATTTTGAATTCAAATCCAATAACGAATAATAAGTATTGTCGCTTACTTTTGTTTGTATCATTGTTGTATGTATATAAATTACATGTGTAGGTGTGTTTAATTAATGTAGTAGCGGTTAGTTGCGGTTATGTTTTGCGTTTATCTCTACATTTGAATGTACAGTGTGTCCGTGTGGTGTGTAAGTGTCACACAACTCAAATCCATACATCCCATCGTCTTTGTTTATGTTTATGTCGTGTAGTGATCACTCGTGTTGACAAACTTTAAACACGCGGCGCTTGATTTATAAGTATTTCATTTGTTTGTCATTATTACAAGGCAACTGAAGCATTTACATCATGTTATCATCTTAAACATTATCATTTGTAGTCGTTAGTCGGCTTGATACTTAAATGTCCGTGTGTATGTTGTGTGTGTGTGTGTGTGTGGGCCACATCCGTAGGCCGCCATTTTGTGTGTTCCGACTTTGTGTGTTTGGTAACTGCACCTAAATCTTACATGATTCTAACTGTGAGCGTTTCAATTATGACTTAGAGCTTCTTGTACCAGAAGAGATAGTGATCGCCATCTTCAATGAGTAGATCATCCACACCCACAGGTGCCACAAGTTTGTTACCAGGTGGCGCATGCGGATCGGGCATTTCCGGCAGGCGATACAACAACCAGTAGTGATAACCCATTGGTTCCTCTTTGTGTCCACCAAGAGTATGCACATAATGCCCGTTGGGCCATTCGGAGGATTCAAACTCAAAGTGCGGATTCATCTCGGCCGCCATTTGCATAATACTGTAGAATGATGTGTTCCGCAAGGCAGTTATCAACACGGTGTGATTCTCGGTGATATTCGTACCCATCCAGAGCGTGTAACTCACGGTGATGTTACGCGGGTCTGAGTCGTTATAGTATACGTTGGGTTCGGCCATCTTGGTCACACCAAACTCCATTAAATGATTGTCAATGTCGGGATCTTGGCGTCCGCAGTCTAGATTCCTCACAGCGCCGAGTCCTTTGGAACTCATCGCTAGTAACACTTCAGCTGTCAAACCAGGATCTGTAAACGCACCGTCCGGATCCTGCTTGGATTCAATGTACAAAATGGCCGCTGTGCGATTCCAATACGTGTTGATATCTTGTATATCGTTCAAAGCCTAAAATGTATAAATTATATAAACATAAATAATGCAATGACCTTGAATGACTTTGATGTTGTTTGACATTACCTGCATAGCAATGGCGGTGTTGTAGACATTACCAAAACTACCATCAGTCAACTGTTGCCTCGCCAGACTAATACAGGGTCTTCGAATTGAATGCTGAAGGTTTCTGTGTCGATGGTCCTTGACGATGCACTTCAACGCTATGATCGTCACACTCACAGTGTCAATATTGTGACTTTTTGCTGCGTTGGCGATTTCTAGCAGTCTGCGAATTTCCTTCTTGCGTACATGGGCTTTTGCTGAACATGCTGCGAGTGTTGCATAACCAAAGTCTAAATCTTGTACGAGTTCGTGGTGTTGTAGAGTTCCGATAAGGTCGTGACCATGGAATTGTCGTGGGTCTTGGCAGAGGGCGTTGAATGCCAGTGCAAAGATGGCGAGTTTTGGTGGTGTGATTGGGACCTCGCGATGCCGCCATAGAAGGATAACGGTTTCCACTTCCATTTGTTTGGTGCTCAGTAGGATTTCGAGTTGTGTGGGGAGGATACTGGCGGAGTCTTCGAGTTGGACTAGTTGCAGGGCCATGAGGACTTTGGGGGTGTCATTGTGCCAGCCATAGTGGAGGTCACGTTGGGTTATTAGCCAGGCGAGGGCGCGCTGCATGCTGGATTCGTAGTCCACGTTGGTGGTGGCATTGTTGGAGGAGTCTGTTGTTGAAGATGGGTCAGCTATGGGTGAAAAATGAAATAGTTTATTAAAATAACTGTAACTTTGGTATGGTACGGGATATTTGATTTATTTAAAGTGTATTTTATAGACAATTAAATTATCTTTTATATGGTTTTTTAAATTTTTAAATATTTGTACTGAATGATGAGTAACTTTGATTCAAAGTTTAAAAAATAAATTTATAACAATAAATGAAATGTTTTACTTTTTACCAAATTACTCGGAAATTATTAAGAATCAATATTATTTTATAAGTTGGTCTTACAGATAAATAAATTATCTTTAATTTCATGTATTGAACAATATTGTATCCTTTTCTTATCATAAATAATTCACTATGGAACTTTAGTATGTTCTGATAATTAAAGAGTATTGAGATTAAAACATCATAAAATTACATTTTATGCTTAAACTTTTATAACTATTAAACCTTTTAAGATATTTCATTTATTTAAACTTTATTTTAAAACCAAATAAATTATCTTTAATCATGCATTAAAACCAATAAAATATCTAACCAGAGTAATCCGTTATTCATATCCAAAATTACCAAAACTCATCATCAAACAATAAACAAAATTAATCACCTAATATTAAACAACTCAAAAACTATTAAAACCATCCTATCCAACAAAACTCTATTCGAAACCCAAATAAATTATCTTCAATTTGATATATACCCCAACCCCATACCCCTTCTGGGCCATTAATAATTCACTTCTAAAATCGCATATGTCATGATATTTAAAGAGCCTCAACATTAAAAGGTTATTAAATGATATTTGATCGTTGAATGTCAATAAAGGTCAACTCACCACGACTGTGTTGGAGCTCCAGGTCCTGGGTGTACCCGAAAGCGACCAGGGAGAACCCCACCACCAACGGCAGGTACAACATTATCCCAAATTCGGCGTTGGCGACGTGTTTGTGCTACAACTCTGCAACAACACAAATGATTATATAAATATTATTGTTGTTAGAGTCAGGGCATTGTGATCGATGGACTGCGACCAGCTACGTCATGACAACATGAGGTGTCGAAGGTCATTACATGTTTTATCGAACCTCGTCCTTTCACTTTGAATTATCAAACGTTTTAATCATGAAATCTCATCTTAAACACGTGAATAATTAATAAATCAACATTTAACATGATTATTAACAATAAAATCCATTAGATCATCTCAAGGATTAAGGATGAAGGTCTAAGGATAATAACTTATAGGTTACATAAGTTTCTTAGAAGTCTTTTGACTCACCTGGGTGGATTTTTACGTTTTTTCGTGGTTTTTGGCTGTTTTTGTACTGTTTTCACATTTAACTCTTAGTTTTAACCTAGTTTGTGTGCGATTTGTTGTAAACTGATATCGTTTTCGGTGAGTGATGATGAATTAAAATAGGAAATGTGCGGTCGACTCGGCAGCGCCCGTCGCTGTGAGCGTCGCGACGCTTTTCGTAACCGATGATGTGCGTGGTGGGGGCGGGTGGTGGAGATCGATAGCGTGACGCATGTGTTCGTCAGCGGCGCCGGTGAGACTGCCCCGAATTGTCCCACTCTCGGTCAAAAACCTATTTCTACTATACAGGACTACAGGACTATAGAATAGGGGTTGATTAGTCACCAAAACAGTCATCACGCACTAAAATGTTGATAACTTACAAAATATGGGAGATGGATGGAAATGATAGGCTTTGTTAGATGAAGGGTTAAATTATCTTTCATTTGATGTATGATATGTTATTGTGTGGGTTATAGAAAATAAGTTATTTGTGTTAAAAGTTGTAGATTAAGGAAAAACTTTGTTTCTTGTGAATATTTTATTAATTTTATGATAACTTCTATGATTATTAAAATAACTTAATTATGCAAAATATATATTATAGAGAATTAAATTATCTTTAATTTGATGTGTGATACAATATTGTGTCGCGTATAAACAATTAGTTATAGCTGTTTGAAGTTGCAAAATAAAGTTTGAAGTTTATTTTTACTTATTTTTTACTTAATTTACGATAACTTTTTGAGTATTTAAGATAAATCCGATATTTATTTTTTGTTTTGTTACAAATTAAATTATCCTTCATTTGATATATAGATGAAAATTGCACCACTAATAAACAATAAGTTATTTATGTTTTTAGTTGTAACTTTAACGCAACTGCTTGTTTTGAGTCAAAAAAATCACAATAACTTTGACAGTTTTAGTGATAACAAATGAATTTCGCTTTTACGTTAAAAAGAAATAAATTACCTTCAATTCAAGGTATGATACACTGTTTTATCTATACTAAGTGTTTAATAAATTTAAAAAAAAACATAAAAACAACAATTTACTCATTTTTACACAAAATATTTTACTAAAACTTTGATATCTTTTAAACCATAACAGATACATTTATTCAAACATCATTTTATAAACAAATAAATTACCTTTAATTTGATATATAACATAATATATTATAAAAACTGTTTATCGTAATAATTAACATATAAAACTTATTTTTAACATTTTCAGGTTATAAACATATCAAAACTTAAACATATTGTATATCATCATGGCTAAAAGCAGAAACACAAACGCCAACACACAATACGTCCCCAAAGCAAATCTGGAACAAGAAACAAACATAGAACATCAATTAAATCATTAATTCTCAACAAAAAAACAAATTTTTACTTACTTTTTATACAACCTCTTTGCTTCAGGTATAGTTTCAATGGGATCCTTGATAAGATACACTCTGCATCCCACCAGATAAGTTTTAAAGAATGTAGGCCAGTCGAGCTTCCTCAAATCACACAAAAACAACGCGGCGTCCTGTTCGCACATTCTATCACACAAACCAATATAATTCTTGCTCTCGTAGTGCCAGTTTTGTGTACAGAAGTAAGAAATAACCGAAGAGAACTTATGCACCTTCTTATACGCTTGAATCATCCTAAAAACACAAAAAAACGCATTAAAAACAACAAAAAAACAAACAAAAACAAAGAAAAACAACAAAAAAACTTACCTAGGTTTACTACCAGTGCATAATAAAGCTAAATCATAAAAGATGGCGGGCAGGTAGTGCATGAAAATGGTCGCCAGCCAATTCGTGAAGTAATTCTTCCTCAAATGAAAGAAATAAATCCCTATCATCTTCACTGTAAGATAATCAAAACCATAGCTTTGCGTCAATTCACGAAAACGTTTCCAGCTTATTGGATTCGTCGAGTTTGATTCGAAGTGATACACAGGCACTTTGTACTTTTTACGTTGTAGGTTATGTTCGTCCACTTCCATAGCCTACAAAACACATAACATAACCTCTGATTCTAACCTAAAATAAGTTAAACATACGTTTTTGTTGAATTCAACGATTTCGTCGTATTTTTTGCGTGCGTCCCATGGAATCGCAAGTAAACCATTAGCACACATGTCAACAGGGACAATATTCGCGTCTACTTTCTCATCGCATTGGAGTGTGCGCAGTAAACCTATCATGGCGCCTGCTGTCACACCCTGCGGGCCGTAATAATTGTTTATCCAGCCTGGGATTGGTTCTTTGAACGTTGAAACAACTAAAAACATTAAATGAGGTTATGTTTGAGTTGATTTATTTTTTATGGTACTTACTAATGGCAGGACGAAACATGGCGATGGGAAAATCGTCCATTTCTTCAATCAACTGCTCGGAAATTGTTTTTGTGAACGCATAAGTATTAGGAAACTCATCTAAGATGCTAAAATTGATTTTTAGGTTATATAGGTTAGAATAGGTTATGTGTAACTTACATAGGTTCAATTTTATCGATTGTTTTCTCTGGTAATTGCTCAACTATGGTTATTAACTGCCTCGCTTTGTATGTAGACTCAAAAAACTCTTCTTCAAGTTGTTTTCTTTCACAATGAGCGTATGCAGTGGATACATGCGTGAAGAACACAAGATGGCGCATTTGACGCGCAAGCGCAAGCATCTCCTGCGTGCCACGGATGTTAATAAACGTCGCCATGTGCAGTTTTTCATCGAAATTCACCGTTGCAGCGCAGTGGAAGACAAAATTCACGTTTTCAATCAACATTTCACGATCGGCTTCCTTTATCCCGAGATGTGGCTTGGCGCAGTCACCGTATAAACCAACAATGCGTCCGCGAAAGTCTGGTTGCTCACCTCGCAGGCGGTCGAAGACAACGCTGTCGAAAAGTTCCTTCAATCGCACGTCCATTTCTTTTCCCTTTTTTTCTCTTATCATGACGTAGATTGTGTCTACGTAGCATGCTCGTAATAGTTTTTCGACTAGTATACGTCCGAGAAATCCCGTTGCGCCTGTGACGAATACTTTTGATTGTTTGTAGAATTCCTGCATCGGGGTCAGGTAGGTTTCGTAAACGCTTTCCGGGTCCATCTACAGTTAGCAAAATTGGCGATTATTGACGTATTAACAATGGCAGGATGTTCAACAAGGGCTTGTTTTGAAGGGGAACAATTGTTTATTATAATGAATGTATTTGCAAATGATTTATGTAATTAGATTAATAATTATTAACGTTTAAAGTTGAAAAATTATAAATTTTTTGAGTAAAATATGCTTTTTTATAATTAAATAGAGATTACGTCTAAAGTTGATAAAATATTTAAATTATTTGAACTGTATCTTAAAGATGGATAAATTGTCTTTAATTTGATGTATATAAAGTTATAATTTGTTATTCGTACGCAAAGTTATTAACAAATTAAAATTTCACTCAAAAAATTTCTAAAAATTTGAAATGTTTTACTAAAACTTCAATAACTTTTAAAATAACCAAAATATTTGAAATATCAAAACCCAAAATAAAAGCCAATTAAATTATCTTTAATTCTACGTATTAATAATTAAAGTATCACAACAGAATAAAAAGTTATAAACAAATAAAAACTAAACTACTTTTCTCTTACCTTGTGTTTGAGTAACGTGTGTTTATCACTAAAAATATCCAACTTAATTGATGTAGACTTGTCAATACTCGTAACAAACGGCTGTAAACTGTAACTGCGGCGTTGTGGCTTGGTTCATTAGCTCACCAGTCAAGGGAATGTGATTTTTTTATCAAGGAACAAATGCCAGACGCAAAAATTCCTTCACAATGGCACGCCGAACACCGCGCCGCACATAAATATCTTTTCAACATTTCCCCACTCGTGAAAAATTATCGATACAACGCGCAACACATCACAACATCAAAAACATTTTAGTCGTTTCGTTAATTACTTACAATCAAAACAATTAGACTAGATTACAAGCAAAAAAAAAAAAAACTCAAATTTGACTGGATTTGCGTCAATTTGTGATTCTGCGCATGCGCAATGTACTTTACACTCCGCATCTATGTAAATCTTTGTGTTTTTGTGCATAAATAAGGATTACTTAACGATTTGCGCTGTCCACAAGCGAATGAGTTTGCTCTTTGTTCGTCTGTGTCATCTTCGGCCGGCGTTTTTGCACTTTCGACACGTGTGCGCACAAAACACTCAATTTACTTGCCGAGGGCTTCGGGGTTAGGCAAATGTACACTGTAACAACATAACTGGCTTTCTGTGTGGTCAGCGATTTTTATAATGCGAATATGTGCGAAATTAATCTTTGTTCAAGCGCAAACGGCGCTGCTTTTTGCATTTCGCGCAATTTTACGCGGCAATTACTTCATAATCGCTTTGTTTTACTCAAAAACGTAATAGTGCTGATAAACATAACAAGTCTATATGTTTATCATTAGTTGAATTTTCCACTGGCGTTGAATCATTTGTTATTTTATGTGAAAGTATCATTTTAATTAATTTACGAAATATTCCACTATTATTAATGACTCATTTGTGATTGATAAAAATTTTGGTCTTCCTAGTATTCATTTGATTAGAAACAGCTTTATGATATAAAAAGTTAAAAGAAATTGTTGTTATAACAATAAATAATTAAAAAATAATAATAAAATGTTGTTTTTTTACAAATAACTATAAAAAACTTAAAGAATTAAAGTAAAATATGATTAATTTAATGTATTAATTATTAATATATATTTTATTTGTTTAAAGTATGTAAAATTAACGATTAAGCAATAATTAATTTGAAATTTATTTATAAACTGCATTGCAGCGCCATCTGGAAACGTACCTTATAGTTACGATTTCCTGCTCACACATGCACGGCATTTTCATTACAAGCAGTAGTGTACCACAAAGCTACCATATTTCTTTTCCTAGATGTCGCTGCAATGCACTTTATTAATAAAAATAATAGTTTAAAACAATTTTCTTTGGTTATACCGGTTATATCTTGTTACTAAATTATTGCACTTATTAATATTTATTATTTTTTGTAAATAATAAATAAAATTCTCATTACATATGTAAATTTTTTCAATTTAATACAATTTGTTGAATAATTATAATTAAAATAGAATTTAGCGTCTTTATGAACTAGTAATGAACTTGTGTGACACAATAATTAGCAAAACAATCTTGCGTAATACGATCCGTGTCATTGGTGGCTCGAAATAGTTGGAAAAGTAGTCAATTTTTAGATTACGGAAGAAAAAACGCGAAATATATTGTGCATTGACCCTGTGTCATCGACACACACACATTTCAGGCACAAATCATTGGTTTTTATGCTCCGGTGTTCAATTACACCGATTACGCCGCCTTCGGCGACGCTTCCGACGCACTTTCCTGCGTGGCTCAAGTGTCAGAAGTGTCACATGACTCGGTTTCCGTTTTCTCGGCGCGCAATTCGCTACAATTTGCAATTCATTGCCCGCTCAATTAGTTAATTCTATTAATTAATTAATGATCTCTTTATTTTATCATTTGTTCACTAGAATATGTTGTTCAGGTTGCGAACGCAGCGAATTTGCGTTAACTACGCATATAAATTTGGAGTAAAAATGGAAATTAGAATAAAATTGTGATTATCGATAAACAACGTTAACGGCGGCATAAATTCGGTGTAGAAATGCGTCGAGATGTTTGCGTTCGGCGGCAATTAGCGCGCTCGTGTAAGTTTGATTGAATTTTGATGAATTTAAACAGCGGGCGACCGTCTGGACGAAGAATTCTAGGGATTCCAATTCGATTGAGTCACTTACACGCCTGCAGAAGACAAAAAATTGAATGCTCGCGACTTTTTTTAGCGGTTAGTCATCGCATACACGACGACGCACACCTGGACATCGTAAATTACACTAATTAATTACGAAAATTCAATAAATTTACCTAGATTTAGAGAAAAATTAAAATGTTGGCTTTGTGATCAAATTACTCGAAAACTATGGGAGATATTTGAACAAAATAAAGATTAGTTTATAAAGAATTTAATTGGCTTTAAAATTATGTGTAATTGTTATTGATAATTGTAGTTGTTGATTTTTTACGATTTTTTTAAGTATTAAAAACATGTAAATTATTGAATTGAAACTTATTTCAACTTTGAACAAAGATTACTCAAAAACTATAAAAGATATTATTACCAATTAAAATTTTTGTTATAGAAAATTTAATTATCTTCAAAACTGTGTTTAATTTTTGTAAATTGCAGTAACAGTTAATTTTTTATGATTTTTTAAAAGATAAAAACAAAAATTAACAATTTTTTTCTAAATATCAATTTTGACATCAAATTACTCAAAAACTATAAGAGATATTTAAACAATTTAAAGTTTAAATAATAAACAATTTAATTACCTTTCCAACAATATATAACTTTTATAATTAATCCCTATATTTAATTATTTATGAATTTTTTAAAGTTTAAACCTCACTCAACTTGCGTTTATTTACACGACGTTTTCATTCATGATACGAATCAAAGACTAAACATGAAAATAATTAATCAATAATAAATATGTTGTGTCTTGCGGGTTGTTGTGACCATGTGCAAGTGCATAATACTTGTTGTTATGTCTGGATGCGGTTTGAAGTCGGTCAAAAGTGTTGCTGATGGTGAAAAACACAAAAATGCACTTGTATCGCGTATTTTTGGCTTAACGCACGCGCCAAACGACTAAAAATACCGCAAAAACACCCAAAAATGCAATAAACTGCATCACGCGCCTGCAGGCATATAAAATTTTGATTGAAACACTTCCGATAAACGTCATTTCTAATTATAAAACAATTTAGACGCACTTTTTCAAAAAATATTCATTATTAAATTTCAAACGCGTATAACTTTTGTAATTATTAACGGATTTATACAAGCTTTATGTCAAATTATAGGTAATTTAATTACCTTTAAGAATATGTATAATACTATTATATTAACTTATTGTTTATATGGAAAATTAATAATTTTATGTAAAAAAACTTAAAAAATTTAATTTTTTACCTATAAATCACGTATAATTCAATCAATTCCTGATGATTAATCTAAAATATGTGCTTCTTGAGTCTCTTGCAGTACAATAAACAATGTAGTATAATGTAATAAATCAAAACAATGCGCTTTCATCGATAAATGAGCGATTTCTGCGATGAAAAAGGTGATTGTTTTGCTTTGGAGCGCAGTCTAGGCACTCTAGCCGAAAATGCGCGTAAAGTAAACGTCCTGAATGTTTAAATAGAATGTTTAATTCCTCCTGCTGAACGATTTCGAGTGTGTGTGAGTGGTGTGTGTACGCCTCCTGCTAGCCGGCCGCGCCGAATTGCGGCGCGCCGTCGTCTCGCCGCGACTTTAAATCCCTGCGTGCGGCAGTTTCATCATTCATTTCGTCGCAAGAAACCGCCGCTCGCACACCGCCTGCTGGCCTGCTGAAAAACCACACGATACTGTGTGTAAATTGCGTTAAATCACTGAAAAATCAACGAAAATCAATCAAAAACAGCGAAAATTTGAGTAAAAAACATAAAAATCGTGTTTTAAAGACTTTTAAACTGAAACTTTTAAATAAAATTAATTAAACCATAAATAATATTAATTAATACAAGTGTTACAAGTGATTAAAGTAAATTTTCCCATGTGGAAAGTACTTTTAAACTTTTTTAAACTTTAATTTTTAATAATTTTGACGTTTTTTGACTCTTTATCATGTTTTCCCGCTTGTTTTTCGCGTTTGAAACGTGCGTGATATTGTCGTATGCCTTACCGACCCCTAAGACGTCTTCGGGGGCGGCACAGCAAGAAGTAGCATCATCTGCAGAGCGTTTTTATGATGATAAACTTGATCTGTATGTCGATCGCATCGCTGAACAAATTGTCGATTTTAACTTGGAGCATCATGCAAAACCGCATGAAAGGGGCGGTAAACATGAGAAACATCATCATGGAAGTCGGCATCACTTCGAAGATGACAGCGAAGAGATGCAGTCGGATCAACCGCAGCCAGGACAACAGACTGAGCAATTGTTACGACAACGAGCGCAGTAAGTAAAATTTTTTAGTTTTTAAAGTTAAATTTGACTAGATTAGACTATTCGAAATATATTGATATTAGGCTTGTTAGAAAGATAATTAAATTTTCAATCAGGCACAATATAAATTGTTTAAATTTATGCCATAGTTTTAGATTTATTTTAAATTAAACTTAGAACTTCATAAAAGTTATTTAAAAAATTGCATTTTTATCAAACTTTAATTTGACATAGTTAGGCTATTCCAAGTACATTGATATTAGTCTTGTCAGAAAGATAATTAAATTCTCCTTTACACACGATTTAAACAATTCAAAAATATTTATTAGTTTCTAATAAATTCATAGTTAAACATATTACTTTTTGATTTTTAAACATTTGTTTATATTTCATCTATTATCTACCCTAATTCTTATCTATTGTTTCAAGGGATATTCAAACCCCCGAAGCCAGGTAATTTTGTGGATTTGCATGAATTGTTGTTGTGATTATTGTTTTTATTGCGATTTTATGGCGTGTTTTGCGTTTATTTTACAATTTTTGGCAATCTGCGCGTTTTTCTTGGCATGGAACACTAGCAAAATGACATCAATATATAAATAATATTTATGAGGGTTCTATTTTTAATAAAAACTAATATAAAATTATTTTTATTGACTATAAACTATTATTAATCCTTTAAAAAAAATTATAACGTAATTTTTTGAATGTTTGTTGTGGTTTTTGATAGTTTTTTGCTGATAACTCATAAGATTGATAAGATTACAAATTTATTTAAAAACAAAAAGAAAGTTTATAAAATTTTCTTTGATTTGATGTATTAAACATACATATTAAAGTTGTTTATTCTTATTTTATTTAAGTTTAAAGTTTTGTTCTACAAAACATTTTAAAAAAATACGCTTTTTTGCACAACATTACTGATTACATAAAAACTAATTAAGTCACATAAAAAATAAAAACACCACAAGAAAGCTAATTAAATTCCCTTTAATTTGATATATAACATTATCTTTTAAACCAACAAATACACAACAATATCAACGAATGAAAATCACACTTATATCAACTTTTCCAATCACGACGCAAAAAAGCGTCAATAAAACTTGCGTTGCGATGACTACATGCATTAATAAGGCCAAGGCTCGACTGCACTCTTCGTCTTGGAGTTCTTTCTAGACGATGCGATGCACGAGCGTCTAGGATCGATCATTAATTTATCTGCCAGCCGGCGGGCCGCCGCAGTAGTAAAAAGTTGTAGACGGCCGGGCGTGAAATGCAAACGAGTTGCTGGAGTCCTAGACGACTTCACGCATCGCGGATCGTGCGAATGCCTCGCCGCAGGATTTTTTCGTCTAGGCCATGTCGAGACACACACGTATACCTACACAAACACGCGCGATGTCTGCGAAAGATGCAAAACCTGACCCTGTTTTTCACTATTTTGCAGACGGTAGCAATAACCTACTGTTGTTTTCATACAAAAATTAGAAAATCGTTATGAATATGAAGGTATTTATTAACAAATTTAGTATCAATGGATAGGGAATTAAATTATCTACAAAATGGTGAAAAAAATATTGAAATTGATTAATTAGTTAAGTAATTATTTAAGGTTAAAGTTTAGATTAAAATTAAAAATTGTTTTGTTGTATGCAACATTGAAATTTTTTACAAAAACATTAATTCTGTTATGAAAGAAATACTATATATAAACAATTTATATATCATTGGAAAGACAATTAAATTATCTGTAATATGACGTGAAATTCATCAAAATGGCATTATTACTTTTCAAATTATTTGAGGTTAAACTATACAATCACTTTAAAACACAATAAATTACAAAAATACTGATAAACTATTGTTTATAAATATAATATAAACAATTTATACATCATTTTAAAGACAATTAAATTTCCTATAATACCACGTTTAAATAATTGAATTGCATCACATAGTTTTCTTTTGAATTCCGCTGTGTCTGAAACTGGTTGTCTAGCGCACAGTCTAGTGTGAAATCGGCATTAAATTAATAACTGTAGCGCAGAAAATTCCCTCGGCTGGAAAGGCGCTTTTTTTCTCCAACTTCGAGTTGTCGGATTTGTCGAATTGTGCATTCCTGCTGCCGGCTGAGCAATAGTTAAGTTCAACAGTTGACTAGTCGCGACGACGCTAGACGCGCTTCTCTTCTGTCTGTCTAGACAGTGTATTGACCTATGCATATGTATTATGCCTCTCGGCGAGCCGGCTCTCGTGGTCATAGATCCTATCCTAGGTGCGAGATGGCAAGATTGCACTTGTAACATTCAAAACATTAAACATTCATCCGACAATATCAAGCACAAAGCAAAAAATTATAATTTTTAATTTTTTATGATTTAAACACTCTGTATATCTATTATTTAGTACTGGGGTGATAAATAATAAAATTCTGAGTAGATTGAAGTTTATTTAGTTAAAATCGACTAATTAGTTTGCGAGTTATTTGAGTTTAAAATTAAATATTAAAATTAACCTTATTTTTTGTCAAGCGTTCCGAAAAATATTAATTTAATTAGTTTTAATTTGTTGTTGTTGATTGTATTATATATATTATGAAAGCTAATTAAATTATCTATAAGATAGGGAGATTTGTTTATTATTTTATTTATAACTATGTTGTTTATTTGGGTTTAAAGTCGTTGAATTCTTTTTGGCTTAGAAAAAAAATTAAAATATGCTTTTACATAGAAAAAAAATCATAAAAAATCAACCATTTAGGATACTTTAAAAATTTAAACATGAAACAAAACAATATTAAATTCTTTACAAATTAGTTTTTATTCCAATCAAATATTTTAATTAGTTTGTTCATAAATTGATTTTAAAGTAGCCGTATGTTTATTGATGAGTTTTTCTGTCGTAGTCGCTTAAATCACGTCAAAATTTAATTGACAGCCAGGTTTCGACGGTTCGGAGAGTTAAAAAAGTAGCTTAAACAGTTTAAAGCGTTATTTAAGCGCACATTAAGCGTGATTACTGGTGTCGCGCCGTCTATACGAGCGCGCGTGTGCTCTAATAATCGCGCCCGCCGCCGCCGCCGGCTGTTACGTAACGCGACGGCCACGGCGACGGCGACGACGCCCGCCGTCTTCGCGTGTGTGCAATCAACGAATCACGCATCACGACCTTGACACAACGAAACACTTCCGGATGTTTTGTTCGTGTTACACACACGCCATCGTCATAAATTACAATTAACAAAAACCAGACTCGCGCTAGACTCTTGCAATTAACACGATTGAAATGAATAAATACTAAAAATACTCAATACTAAAAGTATATTTAATTAATTAAGTCATCGTTGGATTTAATCTAGCGCCAGGAGTGTAACTATGATGTAATTTGTCGTTTTTGTGTGGATTTTGTTTTGTTTTGCTTTGTTTTGACGGTTTTTTCATTGTTTTGTTGAGGATTTCGTTAATGACCAACACGTGTGATTGATTTTTTCAGGGATAAACTGGCCATGACCAATAATATTAAGGAAAAAGTTATGTTGTTCATCACGAAAGGCAACGGCAGCAAGAGTTATGGTGAACGCGATCGCTCATTCTATGCGAATTGTAAGTTTTTTACGTTTTAACTCATCTAAAAGTAATTAAACATAGACAAATTATATATCAATTTGAAGCTGATTAAATTATCTACTAATATCAGTTTAAACAATTTAGTTTTATTAAAGTTTAACAAAGTTATTCTCAGTTGAAGTTTAATAAAATTATTTAAAATCACAATTTGAAATATTTGTTTATTTATGATTTTAAACTAATTTAAAGAAAACAAAATTAGGATTATTATACAGAAAATGAAAGTTGAATAAATTATCTATGCAACGATATACTTTTTGTCAAAATTGGTTAATTATTTTAAAAGTTATTCGTAATTAAAATAACTTTTCTTTTAGTGATCAATTTAGAATCACAATTTGAAATATTAGCTTATTTTTAATATTAAACATATTTAAACAATACAAAATTAAATAAATTATACATTAAGTGAAAGATATATAAATTATCTATGCAGTGATATACTTTTCATTAAAATCGGTTGATTATTGTAAAAGTTACGCGTACTTAAAATATCCTTCTCTTTAGGTGATCAACCTACAAGCACAGAAGAAAACGACAACCTGATGAAATTGTATTTCACGCTGTCTCAGTTGGAAGATACGATCGCTGCTGCAAATCTACGCCTCTATCGTAAATCCCTGACTAATCATACAACCCTAGTTGATAACAGCGACATTCCACCATGTTCTAGCCGTGATAATTCAGCGGAAAGTGAAAAATTGTACCGCGTCACTTTGTATTATCACGTAAAAGGACAGAAGAAACTAAAACGTAAGTAAAACTCATCAAATATGCAAAAATTGTGTTAATAATTAGGTTTTATCATTGATAATAGTTAAGAAAAAGATTGGAGACTCCCAGGTTATCGCCGAATCAATGCCCTACGTAAATCTGAACGTTTTACACGGAGTTCGAGAGCTGAACAAAGGAAAATCGTTCGGAGTGATGGTACAAATCGAAGATCAGTTTGGAACCATCGTCAAAGCCGGAGACTTCTTCAAAGGACCTTCATGCACGGTTGGCATGCGTGAGTTTGCTCTAACAACATTAATAATTAATTATCTGATTGTTTTAAACGTGCATGGAGTGTTTTTAATATTTAATTCATTAGAAAATTAATATTTTGTTTTTTTTTCGTGTTTTTTGCATGTTTTTCATGTTTTTTAACTCTGTTTTTTATTATATAGCGACCCCTCAACCGGTACCAACAGCCTACGAAGAAACTCAATCAAATCTTGGAAGAAATACGCACTCAGCCGACCTTATTCGCAAGTCAGTGCAGCCCAAACTAGACGTGAAGACAATCCAATCACCGCCCGAAGATGAAACAGCGTCCAGCTCATCGAATTCTCAATCTTTCGGGTCTTCTTCATCGTCGACGCGTTGTAGACACGTGCAGCTACGACACACGCATGGGCATCATCAACAGAGGACGCGTGCGCCGCCCCCGCCGCCTTTGCCACTCGCTGACGGCGCTGTGATTGTCTCCAAAGCAGGCAGCGGGAATTACAATGTGGATATGAATCAACTGCGGCAGTTGCTCAATCGCATTCAGGAGGATAACAACAAACAGCAGTTTAGCACAACGTAAATTGATGGATTGTTGTATTTAGGTATTCGTAGACATTAATGTTTTGAATTTTGAATTGTGAGTGAACTGTGCGTGAAAAGTTCGAACTCTCTCGCCCGTGAGGAATGGACACTGACTAATTTATGCTATATTTAACTTAACAACGTGTTTCGTGTTTTATTCAACTTGCAGATATTGTATTTGTCGACAATGCAAACAGACGTGACGTGTATATATTCTGTATATAAATAAATAATATATTTTGTAAATGCTTGAGTTATTTTAAGTTATAATTTGATTTAGAATTAAATTGTATAAAACCTATAAATATAAATTAAACTAGATAAAGATAGAGAATTTTCCGTAGATTAAGACGCTGCAATGTGTTCCTTTTTAAATTTTTAGTAAACAAGATATTCGCAATTAAAATAAATCGTCATTTGAAAAATTAAATTTTTAGCACTTTTATTCACATTATTCATCCTTTTACACCACGATATTTAATTATTTTATATTTTTATCTGACAGAGAATTTTCCAATCTTTCATAATCAGCGATTCGTTGGTTGCTATCTCTTTTAGTTTAGAGATATGAATTTTGAAAATCGTCGAAAAAAGTATCAAGCACCCCCTTGGCAATTTTTCTTAAGATGTAAAATTTTATCTCTCAGATTTCCGTTTTAACTATCCTATCTTATAGAGAATTTTCCGTAGATTAAGACGCTGCGATCAGATCTTAATTATCTCTTTTAGTTTAGGAGATATTCGCGATTGAAAAAAATGGGCAAAAATTGCAAAATGTCACTTTTTAGCACTTTTAGTGGCATTTTTGACCTTTTACTGTTGGAAATATAATTATGTTATATTTTTATTTGATAGAGAATTTTTCAATCTTTCATAATCAGCGATTCGTTGGTTGCTATCTCTTTTAGTTTAAGAGATATTCGCGATTGAAGAAAATCATCAAAAATTGCAAAATGTCACTTTTTAGCACTTTTAGTGGCATTTTTTGACCTTTTACTGTTGGAAATATAATTATGTTATATTTTTATTTGATAGAGAATTTTTCAATCTTTCATAATCAGCGATTCGTTGGTTGCTATCTCTTTTAGTTTAAGAGATATGAATTTTTGAAAATCGTTGAAAAAAAGTATCAAGCACCCCCCCCTTGGCAATTTTTTCTTAAGATGTAAAATTTTACCTCTCAGATTTCCGTTCTAACTAGCCTATCTTATTGAGAATAATCCGTAGATTAAGATGCTGTGATCAGATCTTAATTATCTCTTTTAGTTTACGAGATATTCGCGATTGAAGAAAATCATCAAAAATTGCAAAATGTCACTTTTTAGCACTTTAGTGGCATTTTTTGACCTTTTACGGTTGGAAATATAATTAATTTATATTTTTATCTGATAGAGAATTTTCCAATCTTTCATAATCAGCAATTCGTTGGTTGCTATCTCTTTTAGTTTACGAGATATTCGCGATTGAAGAAAATCATCAAAAATTGCAAAATGTCACTTTTTAGCACTTTAGTGGCATTTTTTGACCTTTTACTGTTCGAAATATATTTATTTTATATTTTTATCTGATAGGAAATTTTCCAATCTTTCATAATCAGCGATTCGTTGGTTGCTATCTCTTTTAGTTTAAGAGATATGAATTTTTGAAAATCGTCGAAAAAAAGTATCAAGCACCCCCCCTGGGCAATTTTTTCTTATGATGAAAAATTTTATCTCTCAGATTTCCGTTTTAACCTATCTTATCTTATCTATCCTATCTTATAGAAAATTGTCCGTAGATTAAGAAGCTGCGATCAAATCTTAATTATCTCTTTTAGTTTACGATATATCTTTCATAATCTGCAATTCGTTGGTAGCTATCGCTTTTAGTTTTGATGATATTTACAATCAAAAATCGTTAAAGACTGGAAGGAAATGGCAATATTGGAATTTTTTGAATTATTGACACACATATTCGGCAATGTTCGGAAATGCTGCTGAGAGAAATACCCGTTGCTATGGAAACGCCCCATAAGATTACATATAGGTCGGCCATCATGAATTTCATGCGTCATTTGACACTTTCACCGATGAAACCCGAACGTCAACCGTCGCAAGTTCAAACGCTGTCAACTACTTGTTTTTATAAAATCTTTGTTCTAACTTATAACAACCACTGTACACACATAAACAACATATTAAATTAAAGCCAGTTAAAAACTCTACAAGTTATTCACATCCACAACAGTGCAAACACTCTATTTCATCAGTTATCCGCTGTTGAATGACAGCTTTTGTGAGGTTATGCCACAACAGCGAAGATCGTGATTGTGATACAAATCAAAAAGCATAAAACAGGTGAATAAATCGATTTATTTAGTAATGAGCACTCAAAAGTCACGAAAAATGATAACAAATGATTAGTACACATACAATTTCAGTATATTTTCTCTTCATAGTGATGATTTGTGTTCATTTTCAAACTTTTGGCAAAGAAAACAGAAAATTATTTGATCTATGATTTAACTGTCCCATTTCTTGTATTCCATGCCATCAGGTGGCTTGATCTCCACCTTCTTCTCAGATATCTCTTTCCAGTTGGTACTTAGAACAGTTCCACCAGATTCCATCTAAAAATCAATCAAAAAACGTATTTTTTACATGAAATTTCATAGTTTTAATGCACTTACAAAACTTTTATTCATTGCCTTCTTCACTTCATCATTTCCTTCACCATAAATCTTCTGAAACAGTTGATTGAGTCCATCTTCACCTTGTGGCTTCTCTTTGAGCTCTTCCTCAATGATTTCCTTCTCAATAGCTGACCAATCAGTGCCTTTTGATGTTGGATAACTTGGTGGTTTGTCAAACAGTAAAGGAGGAGCTAAAAAGTTATTTTTAAAGTAAAAAATCTTAATATTTTCAGTATTTCTCACCTGATGATATTGGTTTTGCGTAATTTTCAGGAAGAGCTCCCTCCAGCTTCTCCCATCTGTACCCTTCCAACTTTTGCAGCTTAATTTCCACCTAAAAACACAAATTTAATCAATTTTTCATCAAAATAAACCTGTGAAACATACTTTAGTAGACATAATTTTGTAGGTAGAACTTTCTGGAATGATGGCTCTCAACAGATTGAACTGCAGCACCTTTTCCTCAACATCGGGGAACTTTAGATTCACAGTCAGCTTCCTATCTTGAACATCCACAGTCAAATACTCTTCCTTGACGTTTTTCACTAGTAAAGTGACTATTACAGCTTCATCAGTCTGATAGAAATCTGTTTTGATTGCATCCAGTGCCTTAGCCTGCAGTAAATCATCAATCAAACATTAAATTCCATCAAAATCTTATAAAAATCAACAAAACTCACCATTTCAAGCTGATTTACTGACTGATTTTTGTGAAATTCACGATCTGCTTGTTATTTTTGGTTGAAAGATGATCTGAAAATGTTTGACTCAATGATTGAGCTGTTAACCTCACAGTCACAGCAAATCATCGCGTCGTAGAGTAAAAAAAAAAACGAGCGCGGCGTCGCGTTGCATTCTTGTATTCTTACCGTAAAAACACCCACAGCGGACAAATTAGTTAATTCTACAGCTTACAAGCGGCGATTTCCAGCCGTTGGACGTGCAAACATTGAGTTGGTGGACAATTTCAGCAGGTGGGTCAATTATCACCGGTTTCAAACCGTTTCCAGGCAACATTTTTGATTGAAACAATGTTCTAGGGCAAGCTTTGATTTGATTTTATAATAACTAGGTATTATTTCGTGTAATACATCAATTATAACCTTGTTAAACATTAAAACCTTTGAAAAGTGTGTAATTTTTATTTTTTCACAGAAAAACTGCTGCAGAATGACAGACTTTGATAATCTTTCTGATGATGCACTGCGAACCAAACTGATTGAGCATGGGTTTCCTGTTATGCCAATCACAGGCACCACCAGGAAGATAATGATCAAAAAGTTGAAGCTTTTACAAGAGAATAAAAAGAAGCAGAATGCCATTGAGCGAAGGTACAAACAATAAACATTTTTATTTTATTCATGAAAATACATAATGTTTAATAAATATTTCAGAACAATGGCTAAATATTCTTCGGATGATGACAGTGAAGTAGATAGAAAGGTAAAAACACGCCGGGCTACAGTTGCGCCTGTTGTCAATGTAAGAACATCAACAAAGGTGCAAACTAATGGAAACCACGACAAGAAATCAGTTGCGACTGCGACTTTAAAACCGAAGTTTAAGAGTCGTGGTGTTGAGGTCCGCCATTTTGTGGGGGATACCAGCTCGGATACTGAAACAGAAGTGGTGTTAGCACCTCGTAAAGCGGGGAAAAACAATCAGAAGAGTAGGAGAGACGTGGATTACTCTCAGAGTGATGATACAGATGAGGATAACTCATTGGGTAAGGAAATTTATACATAAATCTTTTTATTTTGACAGATTTTTAGTGAAAAATGATGAATTTCTTGATAATTTGGTGAAAATTTATTGCAAATTGTGTTTTTCTGATAGTTTTTGTCATTTATCTACATTTTTAGTAAGAATTTATGAGATTTTCATTGATTTCATGAAAATTTATCGCAAACTGTCATTATTTTGACAGATTTTGTCATTTTAATGAAATTTTTAATGAAAAATTATAAAATTTTTATTGATTTGATCAAATTTTATAGCAAAATGTCTTTTTTCTAATAGTTTTCATCATTTTAACTAAATTTCCCATGAAACTTTGTTAATTTCATGAAAATTCCAATGAAATTCAATCATTTTCAATGATTTTTAGGCATAAACATGAAAAACACATCATCATTCTCCAACACTTCGATGACTTCATCATCTTCAGTGGATTCCCCACCGAAATTATTCACAACTACTCCAAGAGTAAACACTCCGTCTCTACAACGTCCACAACCGGTGATTCCACCCGCAAAATCCACATACTCCGCGTTTCAATCAACTTTATCACACTCTCAACAAGCCACGTCCACGCCGGGCGATGAATATGATTCAGAAACCAACAGACGCGCACGCCACACGACTTATGGATATTTATCACGCGCACAAGATGATATCCCGCTGGAAAACTCGCCGTATCTGCAGAATTTCAGCAAGCGTTTATCCCTGCTCACACAACAGCAACAAAAACAACGGGATGATCCCACTAGGCGTGTAAAACGCACAGAGAGACAAGAAATAAGAGTACAGGCATCAGGAGACAGCAATATTTTTATCAGGTGAGTGATTTTTCATAGTTTTAGGTGATATTTATGTATATTTATGATTAATTTGTTTAATTTTCGATAGAACAAAGCAAAGATTGATGAAACTAATCAAAAGTGACACGCGCCGTCGCATTTCGACGAATACAAACTGCCGGACGACTTCCACCGCGCTGAAAAGTGAAGAAAACACCGGGAATTTCATTTCCCTCGCGTTGGTTGCAGCTGTCGGCGTGTTTTTTGTTATTTTACTTGCTCTCTACTATGGAATGCATCGTGGAAGCAACACTAATGATATAGTTGGTAAGTTTCATCATATTTTATAATATTTTACACATATTTAATAAAAATAATAAAAATTTTCCTGTTTTAAGGCTTAAAAGTGCCTTATTGCACATCAACAGTAACCATCGATTGTCTCACGCAAGACGAAGCACTCGGCGGCATAGATTTATACAAAATCTTCAAGCCACAGCTGATTGAACTCGCCATCGACTATCATTGCGGTGATTTACTCACTTCGACACCTTCAGATGCTTCTAGAAAGAAGAAAACTTACATGACTGACGCGGATATCGTGCGTTTCATTACGAATAACTATAAAATTCAAGACGAGCGCGCTATTAGGCAAGATATCGATAGTTTCGTGCTTATTGCTCATCATAATCAGTTTCTGGGTGTTTCTGTGCTCATGGTTGATGAAAACTCCGATGGGGATGATTATAAAATCATTGACGACGTTAAACAATCTGTATGTATCAAAATAATCAACATTTTATTAAATTTTGATAAAAAAATTTGTTTTAGAATCAAGAATTACTAAATGGGCATTACACTCGCGCATTCGCAGTGTTATCACCGAGTTTACCATGGAGATGTTCATTCTGGCAGAAAGTAAGCGCGTTGTTAAAAGCTACGGTTGTTATTTTAAGTGTGGCGGCCATTTTGCACATCTCTAAGTATGGTTATAAGCACATCAAACACTATCAACACAAGAAAAAAGAAGAAGTGATGATGTTAGTGGAGAAAATCCTGGAAATAATGCAAACACAATCCGGAGATGATCAATATCTAGTGATAAACCACGTTAGAGACATGATAATAGCAATTGATCAACGTAAAAGTAAGAATTTCATGTTTAACTAAACCTAACCTCACTTTTTTACATTTAATTTTTTTTTTAATATGTAGCTATGGAAGCAGCTTGGAAAAAAGCCTTGCAATTCATCGATGAAAACGAATCACGTATCCGCACAGAAGTGCAAGTCGTCAAAGGGGAATCCTACGAAGTATGGCGCTGGATCGGCGGACAAAATGTCTCCATGAACTGCACGAATGCCTCCGCGAATAAATCTTGGCAGGGACAGGCGTTCGAAGTGCAAACACCGCCGTGTTCCCCAACGCCATGCTTGAAAATACGCGGTATGATTGACGATGGTGATCGCAACTGCAACAAGACGACGATTCGCGAAGCCATTTTGAGTAAATGCGCACAATGTCGTGTTTTACATGTGTCGGTTGATATTAACACCAAGTGTGTGTATCTGAAATGCGCTGATACGAATGATGCAGCTATTGCTTATCGCAGTCTGCATGGCAATTGGTTCGCTGGGCATTTGGTGACGGTTAAGTATTTGCGTTTGGAGAGGTATATGCAGCGGTTTCCCGATAGTCCGTTGTCCGGACCGCCGTTTTTAAAGGTTTAGGTAATTTTTGAGCAATTTATCAGTAATGAAATGAACAAATGGTCGCGTTTTGGGTGATTTGATCAGCTGATGCGCGGATGTTCATTGTTTCGATTAATTATTCTTGTAATTGTCAGTATTTTTTAAGTTTCAGTAAACATAAATTGATTTTTATGTTGTTTGTGTTGTATGCAACCAGGTGCACTTATACGTGGGGATGTGGTGTGGAATGCGTGGGTCTGGTGGAAATCTGCGAGAAATTTCGAGTTTAAACTGTAATTTAGTGGTTAATCTTTGTGTTTGAGCTTCTAGATGAGTAAGTAACGCTTGTTGTTATATATTTAATGTTTGAACATGGATATTTTCATTGTAAGTTGATTTTATTTCAAAAAACGCGGTTTGAGGTTAGGTTGCGAGAAATTTTGGTTAGTAAGACAAAAGTTTTAACTTTTTTGGTATTAATTCACGTTTATTATAATTATTGTTCGGTATATCTGTGATTTTTATGTGTAGAGAAGATGAGAATCCCATTTTGGATCATTTAAAATCATTTCCAAGTATTTTTTGAGGTAAATCTAGTTCTATTTAGATCCCTAGGGATTTTCACCCTAGAAATAAATTCCTCTAGTACTATATGCAACCAGTTGTACGTCAAAAAACAAGCGTCGCTCCGGGTTAAATCTTCAACAAATTTCGATTTAAAAGTATAATTTAGTATAAATTCTGTGAAGTTAAACTACTAGATGAGTAAGTAATGCTTTTCTCTGAATAATTACAGTTTGCACATGAATATTTTCAAAAATAGATTGGAATATATAAAAAAGTACGTGTTGAGGTTAGCTTGCGTCCAATTTTGGTTAGTAAAACAAAAAGTTTCAACATTTTTACGCTTTTCTCACTGTGTGATCAACAATTACCCTGTAAGACGTTAATAAGTTAATATTTGCAAGCAATGAAGCCTCTTTCACATGATTTTAAGCATTTTGCAAGTAATTTCTTGCAAATCCTGCAAAATCTAGTAATATTTGCATCTCTAGGGTTTTTTATCACTGAAATAATACTTCCCCAAATAACAACCTCTTTAACATAAACTTTCTAATATTTATTAACTTTTATAACAAATAATTCATAACTATTTAAGTCCTTCTTGAAACGTCAACGTTTTATTACTCTCCATCTCAGCCTGCATGTCTCGAGTGACCTTTTTGTACTTGTCAGCTAATTCCTTATTCTTTTCCACACCTAAAATCAAAATTTCATTAAAATTCACCAATAAAACAGCAAATTCAATAAATAAATATAAATACCTTCACCCTTTGCATACATCTGACTTAAATTAGCACAACTGTAAATATTTCCAAGATGGCAGCCTTCCTTCGCATAATTATACGCCATTTGCATGTCTGGTTTCGAAATAAACTCCTTTTTCTTCGGATCTTTCGGGTTTCTCATGCCGGAAATGTACATTCCTGAGAGGTAATAACATGCATTCGCGTTTTTTGCCTCACAAGCCTTTCTTAACAAATCCATTCCCTGAATATTAACAAAATAGTTCATTATTTATATAAAAATAGCAAAAAATTATTGAATTGGTTGGTTTTTATGTAATACCTTAGGTATATCCATCTGCACACCCTTAGATTCATTATTTGTAATTAGTACTAGTCCCTGATTGAAACAGCCTTCACTTTCACCCTCCTCACATGCAATACTCATGTATTTAAAACCTGATTGGAAATCTTCCTTCTGCCCACCTTTACCCATCAAACAATAAGTAGCGAATTTGTAACAAGACTTCCCGTAGCGATATTCATCACAGTTGTTCTTGTAGAGTTTCCCAGCCTTGTCGAAATCCTTTTTTATTGCTTCCAGGAAGTCTCCAAGTAGGTGGCACACTAGAAAATTAAAATTTAACCTCAAATAGTATTTTTTACAGTTTTTTATGAATAACTCATAAACTAATAATAATAAAACAATAATTTAAAAAATCATAGATAAACAATTAAATTATACACTATATCGTAAAAGAATCATCACTCTAACTTAATTTGGTAAAAAGTTATTAACAAAATAATAATGTTATCTAATTTTTTGACATTTTATTGAATAACTTTTAAAATAATAATGTTATCATAATAAAATTCAGTAAATAAACGTAGAATTTAATAATAAGTAATATAGTGAAAGAATGGTTATTATGTTTTGTTTAGTTTATGAGTTATCAATAAAAAACTTGTGAGTTATTTGAAAATAATCAACATGTTATGCAAACCTTCAGGTTTCTTCTCACTGTAACACCCGAATCGATATTCTATGCCTAGATTATTCACGTAATCTTTCACTTCACTCTCCGATTTGAAATCGTACGCCATTATCACTAATATTATTGTTAATCTTTTATTATTGTGTTATACATTTCGTAGAGGAACATAAACTACGTATGTTCAAGTGTCAAACATTTAAGGTTAGTGGTCCAGGATTGTAGGAGTCGCATTAATGGAATTTATTTCGTTTTTATTTATTTTTGAATTTTATCTTTTACTTCTGTTAGGTTTTTTTGACAAAATGTTTGGTATTTTATCATATTTTATATCATTTTACGGGCAAAAACCTGCTAAATGTTATTAAATATTAGAAAATAGACAGTTTTCCTTAAGTTTCAGCGCAAATTTTCATTTATTTTGAGTATAATATCTTTCTCATCGATATTTTCAAAAAAAAATTCACTTTTTGACGGATTTTGGCTGATATTTTGTGTTTTAAAGCTTAAAAAAAGAAGATTGTAAGCTTGAAGGGACTTAAATCCTTTGTTTTTAAAATATTTCTTCAGAAATGATTAAATTTTCCAAAACGTTCACGTTTTTCTCATTTTTTAGAATTTTAATACTCCAAAATCGTATTATCAATAAAACTAATCTCCCCAGGATTTTTTTCTTTTGCCTCTGCGATGGTTTCATCATAAAGTTTACAATTTCCTAACATTTTATAACATTTAGCGAGTAACAAAAACGATCTCAGGCAGTTTTCGTTGAGTCTCAGCGCTAATTTCAAATCATCGATGGCTTTCTCACATCTTCCAAGTTTTATCTGCGTTAACGCGCGGTTATTATACAGGAGAGGACTGTCTTTGATTTGTTCAATCGCCTAAAATTTATTAAATACAAATCAATATTTTATATTTTTTATATAAAAATTTAAATAAAGTATATCTTACTTTATTGTAATAACACAGCGCTTTCTCGTATTCTCCGCGCCTGAAAGCTTTCGTCGCTTGCGTTTTAAACGTCTGCATCTTTTCAGTCCGGATTTGTTTATCCTTGTAACGCATTTCGGCATCTTTCGAGACTTCCTCCATGAATACTTCTGGATCTGTCGTGTCTCCATTCTGGTTTTCTTTCTTATGCAACGCTTTTTTGTTGAGCACAGTCCGGTTGGATTTTATTTTGAGTATGATGTCTTTCTCATCGATGTTTTCTAGCATTTGTTCTTGTTTCGATGTGTTGAGAACTCTATCCGCTTCGAGGAGGCCTATGTTTTGTGTGTTGGTGTCTGAGGAGGCAAGGTTTTTTACTATTGAGGAGACTTCTGTGACGCGATGTAGGAAATTGTTAAATTCTTCGTTGACGTTCTCCAAGTCACGATCCATTGCAAGTTTAAACGAATTATTCATTGTGAAAGAAGGTTTTTAAGATATTTTGAAGGGAAAAGGGTTGCAATTGGTGAAATATTGATAAAACTTGTCATGGTAACCAAAAATATTGATTATTTTATGATTTAAAGCTAAAAACGAAAAAATATAAAGCCTAGAGTAACTAAAATGCATTAATTTTAAACGAATTGTTGTAAAATAATAAAAATAGAACGAAAAATTCATTTTGTGGGTTTTACAACAAAATAAACAATTTTTAACAGTAATTGTTATGATAATAACTCAACATAAAAAAATATCATTAATTAGCATCACTTTTCTGAAAAAATAGTTAATTTATCTCAGAAATTGCAATAATTATAACAAAATTATTGATTTTGTAAGATATAGACATGAAATTTCAACTTTACTCTCAAAAATCAACTATTTTGAGCAAAAAACAATTTATAATACCACTGACATTAAACTACATGTATTTAGCAATAATTTCCTGAAGAAATCATTAATTAATCTCTGAAATTATTGAAATTACTACAAAAAAACAAAAAATAACTTCTATTTACAAACTATATTATTTAATTTCAGGTTTCGTATTAGATGGCAGCACCTACACCTTTCCGACCACAAACCCCACTAAATTTATACCTGCAGATAAGCAGTGTTTACATTTTTTGTTGCATGTGGAATTCGACGTGTTATCGCTGCACAATCTGCAAGTCTCGTCAATCTGTAGTGTTGTGTTCGCCTAGAAACATCGAATCTCGTGGTATGTAAACATTAAAATCACATTATATTAACTAAAACATAAAACATACAAAAATTAATTAAAAAATAACAACAAAACACACAACTCTTCCCAAATTATTTATTTAGCGATTTAGCACATTTGTTTCATTCAAAAAATCAAAGAAAACACGAAGTAAACGAATTTTATGTGACTTAACAGTAAATAATTAGATTTACAATATATGCAGCAATTATTCTCCACGCAAAAAACGTGCAATAATTGGAATGAAAATGCCCATAAATTATTTCTTTACACTTAACATAGATAAATATCTCTCTAAACACACTAAATTGTTTATTCAACAAGAGTTCCTTCACGGGAGATCATTTTTCATCGTGGAGATAAAAAATTAATATCAAAACTTTCAAAATTTCAAACGGAATGTTTAATTATTTCAATATTTCAACAAAAAAACAAAAAAAACTAAATTTCTTCATTTTTGTTTGCAAAAAATTAAAAAATTGTTCGTTTACTTTAATTTTTAATTAATTAAAGATGAATTAATCCTATGATACTGGCCTTAACACAACTGGCTATAGTTATTTCGAAACTTAATTGCGCTAGTATAAATTAATCATTAACATCATTAACGTAACTCGAGTATACATTTCTTTAGACAAAAAAAAAAACAAAAAAATAAAATAAAAACACGTTGATAAATTTCCTAGCGATTTTTTACATACATACATACATAATAAATGTTCTCTAAACTCACACATAACATAATATAATACTAAGGGTTGATCTCTATATAGATTTAATTTAATTATTATGTAATAATTAACAATTATTTACTGGCGCTTGATTCCGTTCGTTTTGCATGTTACGTGATATAACATGTGTGTGGGTTTTTTTATAAATTTGACTAATTTTATTTTATCTTGGGTTGCTTGCAACTGGCCGCGATTGTTTTGTTCGTACTGGGCAAGATTTTGGGGGATGTGGGTGGTGGGTTTACGCGTGGCGCTTCATGTGCAGCGAGAGGTGGTCGGATCGACTGAAGGAACGCTGGCAGAGGTGGCAGGAGAAGGGTTTTTGCCCGGTGTGCTTGCGGTAGTGGCGGGTGAGCTCGTCGCTGCGGGCGAATTTCCACGTGCAGCCGTCCCATGAACACTGATAGGGTTTTTCACCTGAAAAAATATTAAATTGGTTATTTAGATAGTGAATAACTGTTGAATGGTTGGGGGTAGAGAGTTTTTATTTTAGGGGATGATGAGGGGGTTATTTGGGTTTAATTTGGTGAAGAAATAATTTGTTTATAATAAATATTTGTGGAGTTATAGAGGAATTTGTTGATAAAATAAACTAGGTTTGGTTGAGAGTTAATATAGTGAGATGTGATTTTGTTGTTAAATAACAACAAATTGAGTGGGGGTAGACAGTTGGTAAATTGTTTATAGATAGTATAGATATTTGGCTATTATTAGGCAAAAAAAGTAATTGTTTATCTTTAAAATTACCAAAGTTATAAACAAATTAGTTTCTGATTTGATGGATTCAATTTTTGCTCTTGTGGCAAAAGTTTAGGGAATTTTGTTGTTAAATAGCCACAAATTCAGTAAACTTACAACAAAATCACTTTCGTAATTGGTAGTCCAGTTAATTATCAATAATTTAATGCAAAAATAATTAGTTTATCTTCAAAATTGTTGAAGTTATAAACAAATTAGTTTTTGATTTCACTTTTAACATTTTTCTGTTGTAAAAAAGTATTTTCTACAACTTTGGTAACAAATTACAACAAAATGGTAAAAGTTACAACAAAATCAAAAACTACACTAATAGTTTATTTAATTGGGAATAATCTAAACCAAAAATAATTAATTTATCTTAATTATTATCCAAATTATCCCCAAAAAATAAAAATATCTCTTTTACTCACCAGTATGAGTCCGTTTATGCGCCTTCAAATGCGAACTCTTCGTGTAGACTTTAAAACATCCATTGACATCGCATCGATGCACCTTCCTCTTCCTTGGCGGCGCCGCCGCCTCCTCACTCTTCGTCCGCTCCTCATCCCTCGCACTCGCTTCCAGTTTAACCTCTACCACTTTCTCATTGTTGTTGTTGTTGTTATTGATATTAATATTACTACTAACATTGTTATTGTTAATGCTTCCGTTGTTTGCATTGCTGCCGACACTCGTACTGCTGCTGGTGGCGCCATTGATGTGATTCTTTGTTGCAGGCGCGGATACCGTGGTCGGGAAACCACGCGACTTTTTGTACAGTGGCAGTGATGAGAGTAGTGAGGTGGGCGGGTCGTGGAGGCGGTGGAGTGCGCCGGGCATCGAGAGGAACGGCGATGGGTTGAAGCGGAGGGCTGCTGTCACCGCCGCCGACGGGGATGGGAGCGATGCTTGTGTCCAGGTACGTGAGCTTAGATTATCTGAAAAGTTAGAAGTGGTTTTATTTAGTATTATTGAATTTTTGGGTTAGGTGCGGTAAAAAAAATCAAATTATGACTTTGATTGCAAAATTTTATTAGAAGGTAATTAGTTATTAAAACACCCTTTTGGTAATTGTGAATGACATTAACAGTAACTTTATTTCTGGAGAAATAACTAGAAAATGTCGATTATTGTTTATTTTATGAACAAAATAGTCAAAAATGTCAATTTTTCATAATTTCAACAAAAAAAACTTCGATTTCAAGTGAAAAATTTTAATACAAGGCAATAAAACATCCAAATATTCGTTTGGTAATTAATAGTAGCACTAATTATGAAATAATTGGCAAGAAAATGATATGAACATGATAAATATTGTTAATTCTAGGAATTTTTTAGTAAAAAATTACATTTTGTCGGCAACTTCATGCAAAAACTCAATTTTTCGACTTCAAAGTTGAAATTTTAATAGAATGCAATTAATTATCAAAATATCCGTCTGGTAATTAATACTAGCACTAATAATCTATGACATGTGGAAGAAATAATATAAAAAAGTCTCAAATTGTTTATTTTGTAAACAAAATAGTAAAAAAATCAAACTTTTTTGCAAAAAATAACTTTTCTCCACAATTTCTTCGATAAAATCCATAAAATAATGAATTTTTAACAACATCTTCCAATATTTAACACTCAAACTCAAAATTTCAAATATTTTCACTAAAATATTAACTTTTCACTACTTCCTTATAAAATCCCAAGTAAAATATGAACTCTACACATTGCGCAAGTCGTAAGTGGTTTGACGTGTGTAGCTGCGGCGCGTTTTTGCGCACTTTTTCCAGCGCGTTAATCTCCATATACGTAAATATGAAGCAGCGCCGCGATTGCGCAACCCTTGCGGTACCCAGCGCATAAATCGCACGCTCGCATTGACATTCATTTAAATTACTCGCCTGCTCGCCTGCCGCGTCGATTTCGCAGGCAATTTCGAAGTCAAAGTCGTGTTCGATCGCGATGTTCTCACACACCGCCCGGCACGACTATTCTATTCCGTTCCCAACAACAACAACAACAACACAACACAACACAAATGTTCTCCTCATTGCCCAAGCGACTCACTCGTAAAATAGTTAAAACTTGCCCTGGCGATGCATTCGGTAATGCGATACGCATTGAATTTAGCAATTTTAAGTTTTACTTAAGTCTAAGACTTAAGTCTAATCTCTTAAAAAGACCTCAAGGGCGAAACGGTAACAGCGCGTCCATTAACTCAACTACTCACATGCGTGAGATGTATGTGTGTGTGTGTGTGAGTTTAGTTTTTCTCTCTTCGCTTCGCGTTTGAGTTGAATTCGACCGAAGGCGAAAATAAATCAGGTGCGCATGTGAATTTGAGCGGTGTGTGCGCGCGCGCTGCGTGTTACAGAATCGATGCGATGGCGCATTAATCATCGGCGGGTTCACACGCTGTTTTGAATCTACATTTCGCTCAATTTCACATCGCAGCAGTCGAAAAACCTCACAAACTATTAAACCTGATGCACTTACATAAATCAATCAATTAGGACTCTAGCTGAACACGTATAAAACATGAGAACTTTGTTTCGTGTTTCGACAGACAAAGTTGGTAGTAACTTTTATAGTTTTTGTTATTGTGTATGTTTCTTTTGATTTTATAAGAGAGAATTAGATTGTTTATTAAATTATGTACGGGATAATTATATAAATTGAAGAATTTTGGGAGATAATTGAGGTTTTTTAGGAAATTTTTGATAAAAAATGTTAAATATTTAGTTTGAGTAAAAATTTTTTATAGAAGAGATTGATTTAATTGAAAATACTATGGAGGGTGGATATTAGGACTAATAGGTAATTAAATAGTGAAGGAATAATATGAAAATTATAAATATTATTGATTTTATGAACTTTTTAGTAAAAAATTACATTTTGTTGATAACTTCACGAAAAAAATCAAATTTTTTGACTTTGAAGTTAAAATTTTAGTAGAAAGCAATTAATAATCAAAATATCCTTTTAGTAATTAATATTAGCACTAATAATAAACAATATGTTGAAGAAATAATGCAAAAAAGACTAAAATTGTTGATTTTATGAACAATTTAGTAAAATATTAAAATTTTTTTTTGCCAATTTCCCACAAAAAAAATATTTTTTAACTTCAAAGTTAAAATTTTAATAGAATTCAGTAAATTTTTAAAATATCCTTTTGGTAACCAATACTAGCATTAATAATTAATAACATTATGAAGAAACAACATGAAAAACTCTAAACTCGTGTATTTTACAATCAAATTAGTGTAAACTTTAAATTTTTCACTGACATTTCACGTGTGCCGAGTCGAAACAAATTCATAAGAACCCATTAGTTTTAGTTTTACTATTATTGCCGATTATATCCGCCGTAATTTTATTGTCTTCGCGTCGAATGTTTATTATAACGACGCCGATAAATTTAATAAGCGATTATTTGTCCTGCGGTTTTGCGGCCGGCCGGCGTTGTTGCGGTTTGCATCATCATCTCGTTTTCGCTGCCCCGCTGTGGGTTAAGTGTCTCGGCTGGTCTAGCCCGCGACTCTACTAGAGTCTCTCTTCGCGTCTTTCGCGTCTTCGACGGTGCGTTTTCCCACGCTCCCAATTCGCGCACGCCGGATCCCCGTACGGCACGAAAAATTTCTACGAATGCTCAGCGCGGCATCAGCACGTTCTCGCGGTTTGCGGTGAATGTCTAACATTGATTTTTTTCAAACTCAATTTCAGCCAGAGGTAATGACTGGGCAAAAAATTGTCGCTTGGATTTTCGATGTGTAATTTAATAAACTTTCATATGCTGTTTACAGATTGTAAAAATAATTATTATTTTAAAAGTTATGGCGGTTTGAAAGTGTGGAGGTAAAATTTTAGGTTTTTAGTGTGTTTGATTAGATTAGTATTGTCACTCGTTTCCATATAGTTAACATAGGCGTATGCGACAATACTTATAGTACTTCTAAAGTTTAACATTGATTTTTTTTTAAACTCAATTTCTGCCAAAACTAATAACTTGACAAAAAATTGTCACTAAGATTTTTGATGTGTAATTTTATAAACTTTCATACACAATTTAAAGATTTAAAAAATAATAACAACTTTAAAAGTTATAGCGCTTTGAAAGTGTAAATGAAAAAAAATTTCAACTTTTTTTGGTTATTTTCGACATTTTTCGACAGATTTAAGTACATAACGAGCGTAATACCGGTAGTTTCGGTCGGTTGTAAAGTTTATAAACTTTAGTATTGTGCCCGTGTGAAGAATAACGCTGAGTAGTGTGCGCCGGCGGCGAAAAACGCGCAAGAAACTTAACTTCTTCACAACTTCGCACACGCTTCTCCGGCGTTGTTAGCGGGCTTAACGAGCGCTCAAACGCGCCGAGGCGCGATTAACACACATTGCGCTATGGCGGATTTGAGGAATTAGGCGGGCGCAACGGTGTTACCACAATCTGCGCGTAATTATCAAGTTAAAACTTTGAAAAACGAGGTTTACAACATGTAAAAACATGTAAAAAAATTGAACTTTGAATTTGTGTTCAATTTTTTTATAGAAAGCATTGAGATATTCAAATAATTATTTCTGCGGTAATAAATAAACTAATTAAGTATTGTTTGGTGAAAAAATAGTTAAAAAATATTACAAATTGTAAAAGTTATAAATAATTTTGTAAAAGTTGATATTTCGTGGTAGTGTAAAATCAACACAACTTTGAATGCTTGTAACTTTTGTAATAATTAAAATATTATTACTTTTTAAAGCTTAAGTTACGCAGAATTAAAGTGAAAACAAATTATTTTAGTAAAATTTTTAATAATATTCAATAGTTTAGTCATTATTTATGTTTAAACATATTAATGGACCGCCAAGTGATATCCTTGTTCGTATAAATTTATTTTTGTAATTTACTGTCAAAATTCTCTATGTTACTTTCAAGATATCAAATTAATTTTTTGGTCACTGATAAAACAACTAATTGACTCTTACAACGTGAAAGAAAATCATAAAAATATAAATAATTGTTAAAGTTATAAACAATTTACTAAAACATTTCAAATTCCAACACCAAAAAAAATCTCTCCACTTTAAATGTTTATAACTTTTACAAATATAATCCAACAACTAATTTTAAAAGTTAATCTTACATATAATTAACTAATTAACAAATTATTTCTCTGGAATTTTCAAATATCTCCAATAGTTTAGCCGTAATTTCGTTTTTTCGCCAATAACTGTTCGCATTGTCGCTGGTTTTTTGCTGTTACCATTTTAGGCCGCGGCCGGCGTCCACTCGCCGTTTACGCTGCGTGCGCTCTCGCGGTTACATAAAATTTTCAGATCCGTGTGTTAATTATCGCTGTTACCTATGATTATAATTGCCGTTGCCCGTCAGTCGCGCGTCGAGAGAAAGACGCCTTTCTTGTCTCTCGGCGCGCTCACAATTTATGCATATTCATGCGAGTGCGCCTGGGAAAATCATTACGTTTATTACGATTATTTACAGCCGGCCGAACGTGATTACGGCGTAATTTATTGCCATTTATATTGCGTTTTTCAATAATGTTTACACATAATTACTTTTCCGTGTGTGCGTGTGTGTGTGTGTGTGTGTGTGTGTTTTGTGTTATTATTCGCGCTCTCCTTCGGTCGCTGGCGAGCGCTGGTGTATCGGGATAGAATATATGTTAATGATCGACTTGTATTAATTGCATTAACGGAATTTGTTTAATTATATACATATGGACGAATTTGTTTCGCTTTTTCGAGTGGAATTTTTGAATTTTTACGGTAGTTTTGTAGAAAAATGCTTGTAAAAGCTTAAGTTTTGAATGTTTTTTAAAATTTCTAGGTTAGTATGAAAATATTTGAGTTTTTCTATTAATTAGTAAAGGAATTATTTAATTAACTCAAACCGTTAATTTTTTATTGATTTTTGAAAATCAATAACATTTTTATGGAAAGAAAACCGACCAAGTTTTACTTTTTGGTTAATAACTTTTAAGGTTTTTGAATTTAAACAAATTTCTTTGATAGTATTGATAGTCTATTAAATAATCTTTCAAAAAATGCAAAACATTTAGAATTTGTTGCTATGGTTGATTTATTATTCATTTTTAAAGTTGTAAAATAGCATTAGTAAATTTCGATGCTAAATAAAGAGCATTTATATTACTTTAATCATCATAAAATTTTTAATTTTAAAGTTTAGAAGACATTTTCTTCTGATAATTATAAATATTGAGTTGCTCTACAATTAGCAATAAAAAATATGTAATTATCTCAAACCGTAAATTTTTAATTGATTTTTGAAAATGACAACAAGTTTATAACACCGATTTTTGCTTTATCTACTTTTTTGTTTATAATAATTACAGTTTTTGAGCAATATTAAATTTCTTTGATATTTTTAATAGTCTATTAAATAGTCTTTCAATAAATGCAAGATATTCTGAATTTGTTGCTTTGGTTGATTTATTATCGATTTTTAAACTTTATAAAAATGTATATGACTCATAAATTTTATTATTTTGTACTAAACTCGTTATAACTTCTTTAATTTTAAAGATTTTCACTAATTCTTTGGTGTTATTTGTTGTTACTGAGTTCGTCTATACTTGACAATAAAAAAAGAAATTTTTAATAATAGAAAACAAGAAAACGTGCCTGAAAAAATGTCAATTCTAAAAAAAATGTCTAGATTTCTATGAGAAAACTTCAATAGATTTGAAATCTAAACAAATTCAGTACCAACTAATGAGCATACATATAAACAATTCGGTAACCCGTGCCGTTTTCTTCACCACTAGCCGCCAATCAAGTCGTGTACGACTGAAAATATTTTACAGTTTTACAGCCGCGCAACCGCGACCATTAGAACGTAAGATTTCGCGTTGTGTTGCGTTACATTGCGAAAACGCTACCTTTCTAGATCGTTTTTCGTGTATATGCCCTGCCGATCGTAAGGACGATAGTAACGCACAACGCACAATGCCGCCGTAATTAGAAATAAAATTGAAACGCGCGCAGCACACATTCAGCGCTGTTACATAAATTAATCCGTCGCACATTTCAATTTCAAGTAAATGCCCGCGCGCAGAGAACTAAAGAAATGAGAACTAAGTACCTATTCCATGGTGAATGTGGTTGCTAAATTTTCAATCTAGTTAACTTGGGTTGCGCGCGCATGCGCAATTACTTACTGCTGAAAAAGTAACAGTGACACGCAGCCGCGGCGGAGTTGGAAAAGTTTGGCAACGAAACGAAACGGTTTTTCTGCGTCGCGCTGCAATTATCGGCTCGCTGCGATCAAAAATTGCTTAATAAGAGACTCGCGGAGACGACAAGCGAGACAAGCGGCGGTAATAAGCATCAACTGTGTTTTGCGCACCGCGGCGTGTGTCGAAACAGCGACAGGGCTTGAGGAATTTATTGTCTTTGCGAGCAAGCGGAGCGCTAAGTTGTGTTTAGTTTTTGTTTTTCACGATTTGCGTTCACGTTGCACATTTCGAAGTGTCGCAGTTGGTTAGGTTTCAAAATACAGGAGAGATAAATGAAAATTTTGGATGTATCGCTAAATTAATAAAAATTAAATTGAAGAAACGTCTAAGTATTGTCATGCGAGCTCATTGTAATAGTATGAACATGAACGAAACTACTAATCTGTTCGAAAATGCCGAAAATCACAAATATTTTTATGAAGTTTAAAAATTAATAATAAATCAACCAAAGCAACAAATTCAGAATTTCTTGCATTTTTTGAAAGGTTATTTAATAGACTATCAATAACAACAAAGAAATTTGTTTTAATCCAAAAACCTTAAAAGTTATAAACAAAATAAACAAAAATTTCACAAAAAAAAATTCCAATTCTTAAAAATCAATGATTTTCCATTAAAAACCGCAGAAAATGTTCAACTTTCCGTGAATTTTTCCGATAAAGGGAAAGGAAATTGTGGGTAATCCTCAGGTGGGCCTTTCTTCGGCATGATTAGAGATGGTCCGGCCACCGGGGCCGTGCGATAGTTCAAGTCGTGACCGGCGCGCTCTCAAGAACTCTCAAAGGAATCTTAAATCTAAAGCTCTCCCAAAGCTCCCGAACTCGCAATACAGTTAGATTTACATTTTGCGCCCAACACCGCGTGCGAAATGAAGCAGTTTGGGCGGTGCATGTCTAATGCACATGTATCTCTGCCCGGCGACAATTATGCAAACAAAGCGATAATTTAATGTGCGGGCACGCGCAAAGTCACCGAGCAAGAACCAAGAACAAACAAGACACACGCGCGCGCGCGCGCTCGTTACGAGTTGTTGTCGCTGTTGTTGTTGTTGTTGGTCGTTTGTCGTAACGAGCAATCTAAATTATCGCGAAGGAAACGCGAAGGCAAAGGAGGCAAGAAAGCGCACCGAGCGCGCACTTTTCTAGTCGCTCAAGGTCCAATCGTTTTTGCTGTTTAACCAGCGTTCGATGTTGAACCACACAGAGTGGTATACAGAGTGTTTGCATTAACTCTAGGAGGAATTTTATCTGTTTCTAAAGTAAAAATATAAATTTTAGAGATATTTCGAGAAAAAATGTTGAAAATAACTAAGAAATAATTGAAATATTTAAATAATCTTTGTGATAACTCATAGAAACATTAATTGTTTAAATAATTATGCAAAATAAGTGAGAAAATATTGGAAATTGTTGAAATTATTAAGAAATTAGTGGTTTTTTAAACGTAAAATTTAGAAAATTGATAAAAACTGCATTTTTTTGAAAAATGTACTGTAACTTCTAAAATATTAATGTTAAAAGCATATTTTTTATTGTTATTTATAGAAATTGAGTTGGTCTATGACTGTCAACAAGAAATATTTCATTATTTCAAACCGTTAATTTTTAATTGATTTTTGAAAATGACAACAAGTTTCAAACACCAATATTTGGTTTTCTCTACTTTTTTGTTTATAACTATTAAAGTTTTTGAGCAATATTCAATTTCTTTGTTATTTTTGATAGTCCATTAAATAACCTATCAATAAATGAAAGAAATTTTAAATTTGTTGCTTTGGTTGATTTATTATACATTTTTAAACTTGCAAAATAGTATTACTAAATTTCGATGCTAAATAAAAAGCATTTATTTTACTTTAATCATCATAAAATATTTAATTTCAAAGTTTAGAAAACAATTTCTTCTGATAATTATAACCATTGAGTTCCTCTACAATTAACAACAAAAAATATTCCATTATCTCAAACAGTTAATTTTTAATTGATTTTTAAAAATGACAACAAGTTTCCAGCACCAATTTTTGGTTTTCTTTACTTTTTTGTTTATAACTATTAAAGTTTTTGAGCAATATTCAATTTCTTTGTTATTTTTGATAGTCTATTAAATAATCTTTCAATAAATGAAAGAAATTATGAATTTGTTGCTTTGGTTGATTTATTATTAATTTTTAAAGTTGCAAAATAGTATTAGTAAATTTCAATGCTAAATAAAAGCATTTATTTTACTTTAATCATCATAAAATATTTAATTTTAAAGTTTAGAAGACATTTCCTTCAGATAATTATAATTATTGAGTTTCTTTACAATTAGCAACAAAAAACAATCCATTATCTCAAACAGTTAATTTTTAATTGATTTTTGAAAATGGCAATACATGTCCAACACCAATATCTGTTTTTCTCACACAAAATCCATGCATTTTGTGTTCAAAAGGTCGCGAAATATTTTACAACCTGAGTATTTTAGTATCAATAAACTGCAGCGCACGATGCGCCTTTATCTGATCCCTAATTTACGTTTTCGCGGGCGTTGATCGCGCGGGCGCTATTAATTTTTATTTCGTGTTTATGTTAATAACGATCAGATACGATATCCACTGCCGCAGTTGCCGCAACTGCGGCCCGTGTCGCACAGAAGAGACGTCGAAGCAGAGCCGAGGCGACAAAGTCGTGACTCGAGTGTTAACTCGTTCGCAGCCGGTATTTTAACCAGTAGTTTGCGATCGCATCTTAAAATTTCATCCAACTACTACTATACTCGTACTACGACTACGAGTAGAATATTATTAGTTGTAGTTTGGGCTTACCTGTGATATTGGTAACTTTGAGACTCTGCGCGGTTGGCAGCGCCGCCGGATGCGGTAGCTGCGCGTGCGCAGCGGGACGATTGAGTGATTTGTTCCGCGCGGGCGGATATTTCGGCACCTGCAGCACCACCTGCGGCTGCAGATGATGATGATGATGCAAAAGCTTGTTGTGGTTGGCGTGCCGCGCGCTGTTGTTGTTCGTCGGCGTCGTCGACCGGTCGGCGACGCCTCCGCGACGCTCCTGACCTTGCCGACGGTGTTGCGTTGTCTTCACGCTTAGGTCGACCGGTTCCATCTGCACTGGTGGACCTTCTGCCTGCGGAAGACACAAAAAATTGATTTATTTCACTTAAAAACAAAATTTTTCACAAAAAAAATTTCATTTTGTTTAGTTTTTTTGTTGTAATTGTTGTAATTTTTATCAAAAGTTGATAAATATTTCTATGGGCGTTAAGGGATAAATTATTTATTATATAAAGAAAAATTAATTAAAATCGGATAATTAGTTTGGTAATTATCGTGTACCAAAGTCAAAATTAATAATTTTTTAATCAAAAAATAATTTATTTAATTTTTTTGTTATTCCAGCTGTAATTCCACTTCAACAATAACAAAATTCTCTAAAAACATTCCCAATTAATTTATACACACACTACACTTTAAATGTTTCTAATCGCTTCATTAGTTTATGAGTAATACTCGATCAAAGTTGTGGCATTGTGTAGAAACAACGCGAGTCCCATATAGCTAAGATTAATGCGCGACGCATGTCATTTTCCATGTCCTCGTGTCCTTAATAGACACTTAAACAAATTTACCGTTGGCGCATACGCATCACAAAAATCTCCGCGTTTTCATCTTTCTTCTGCGTCTCGACGGCGTCAGCTGGCGGACGCGCGAGCGCGAAATAATGAACACGCTCCATTCGCGCCCGTTCGATTCATTATTGCGATGATTAATCGCGCGTTTTTATATTTCCGTGCGTGTTAGGTGTCGGAGAGAAAAATAGAAAGGAAATTTATGGCATGTGTTGAAAATTTGGTTCAAATCGGAGGAGAAATAGGGAAGTTATCGATGAAAATGTGAATTTATGCTCCGCCCATGTATAATGCGCATGTGTGACTTACTTAGTAATATAGGCGGAGCATAGTGAAGTGTTTTTTGGTTGAAAAACATTAAAATTTACTTAGATAAGCATAGAATTGGTATTTTTTAAATTTGGTTCAAATCGGAGCAGAAATAAGGAAGTTGTCGCAGAAAATGTGAATTTATGCTCCGCCCATGTATAATGCGCATGTGTGACTTACTTAGTAATATAGGCTGAGTATTCCGAAGTGTTTTTTCGTTGCAAAACATTCAAATCTACTCAGATTTACACGAAATTTGTATTTTTGAAAATTTGGTGCAAATCTGAGCAGAAATAAGGAAGTTGTCGCAGAAAATGTGAATTTATGCTCCGCCCATGTATAATGCGCATGTGTGACTTACTAAGTAATATAGGCGGAGCATACCAAAGTGTTTTTCGGTTGTAAAACACTCAAATTTAGCCCGATTTGAACGTAATTTTCTATAAATTCAACTAATTCTCAACGCTGTCACATCCATGTGATAAAATTACCAAAACTATTTGATTTACCTACTCTGAAACCAGTACGAGAGTAATTACCATTTCGAAGAATGAAAACGACCACATGTGCGCGCACTAGGAAAATCGTAAATGCTAAATTAAAGCGAATTAAAGCGACTTAAGAGCGTCCGAAAGTGGCGACGGAATTGCGCTAACAAGCGATTAAGTTTACGATTATCGGCGTTCGGTGGGAAACGCTCGAATTGAGCAATACCGGTGCTTAAAACTTAAGCAAATTAATTGAAATGCAGGACGACTTTTACAAATTCAACAAACATCACAATCCAAGTAAACAAGCGTCGTTTTGTTTTAATTATTCGCACTCCGCTCACAGGCGGCGCGATTTGAAAATTGATCTCGACGTGCACGCACTGCGAATGTACAAATTGCACTTATTTAGCGAGCGCATTTTTTCGTTCTGCGTGCACGCCATTTGGAGCGTGGACTAGTGCGGCTGACTAAATAAATAAAAATTACACTCTCAACGCAAGAGTCAAACGCAGTGTAGCGTAATCAATCGTCCAGAGAATAATAACGTTTGAGAGAATAAAACCAGATCTTTAACACACTTTTCGTGTGTTTATCAGTTTTTACACCCAAGAGGAATAAAGTCAAATCAAACCAAATAACAGCCATCTGTTAATTTAGTTTTCAGTTGTGAGTGTCGGTCTTTTGTCTTTAAGTGCGCATTAAATGCACCTTGAGTGACTTATTTGGTGTTTTCTTTTATAGGCATTTACGACGCATTTTACTGTCGAAAAAGATACAATTGTTGCAAGTTAAGTACTCGGTACTGCATTGTATTGAAGTGAGAGTATTTTTAGATTAGTTTAAATGAGATCATTAAAGGTTTATAGGCGCATTAAAATAAAAGAAGTTTAAATATGTCAAAATGGAAAATTCGGGTGGAATCGGTGAAGAAATGTCGATTTTATGGTTAAAAATGTAAATTTATGCTCCGCCCATGGGGATAAGTGACTTGCGCATGCGCACAGACAAGTAGGCGGAGCAAATTTAAGATTTTATTGATAAAATGTTTGAAAATTAGAAAATTTGGGTGACATCGGTGAAGAATTGAGTGTTTTATGATAAAAAATGTAAATTTATGCTCCGCCCATGAAGATAAGTCACTTGCGCATGCGTATAGATAAGTAGGCGGAGCAAAATTTAATATTTCATACAAAAAATATATGAAAATTACAAAATTCATCTGAAATTATGTTAAAAATGAGAATTTTATAAAGAAAAATATAAATTTCTGCGTAAGTAATTTGCGCATGCGTACATACAAGTAGGCGGAGCATAATTTCCTATTTTTCGCAATAAAATCACTAATCCCGCTCGGATTTGAACAAAATTTTCACTAATTCAGTGCTTAGTATAAAACCTAGCGGCAAATAGCAATAATTCCGTGTAATTATGCCATTATTCATCGGAGTGTGCGCGTGTGCATCGAGTGCATTCGCTTTAATTAAATCCGCGCTCGAGCAGCGACGATTGTGCGCTGAATATTGTGGAATTAGGCACGGTGGAAATTAAGGAACGATGGGGAATTGTGGCATCATGATTTGTGCTTTCGTGCAAACACACAGCACCGAGCGTAACGGCGCTAATTATTATTGATTACGCTAATGATTGGTTACACAAATCCGTCATTTATAATTACGACTTGTATTTGGCTGCTGCAGAAACACATTGAAAAAAAACACAAACATAAAATCTGTGTTAAATTTTTTGCTCCGCTGCATTTTTCACTTTCGTTAACTGACTGTGACTATAAACGCGATTATGAATATAAATTATGGTAATCGATTGGTTTTTATTCCGTACGCAGACGTAAAGAAGTAGAATGTTGAGGAGAAAAAAATAAGCGGTCTTATGTAATCGGCGGCGCGTTCGCATGTTAACATCCAGTTTTGTCTATTTTGCGTGTCCGGGTTGAGCGCGGCTAATTGCGCAGAGATAACACTTAATGAAATCGACTTGTAGATCATCTACACATCGACGACTGACGCTTATTAACGATTATCGCCGACTACTTAGCGTAAATCAGGCGCGAAGCTTGGAAATGTTTAATGCGCATGCGTTGGAAATTATTTTAAATAAGTTTTATGTTTACTGTTACTAGGTCGGTGATTATTTATTAAGTTTAGAAAAATTTTGGGTAAAATCGCATTAAAATTGTGTGTTTTATTAAGAAAATAGTGAAATTTTGCTCCGCCCCTTATGATAAGTAAGTCGCGCATGCGCAGAATGAGTTTAAATATATTGCTTACTTCTGGTGCCGTCGGCGATGGTGGTATACCGGGACGCGGAGCGCCGACCCATCGATTCGGGTCCGTTCGGCATTCATCCTGCAATAAACAAAAAAATAAACAATATAATCATACAAAATTTACAGACATTATTTATAAATAAATTATCTACAGATTCATTAATTAAATTTTAAAATAACTTTAATAGTTTATTAGTAAATTGAGGTTAAAGTTGAGTTAATTATTTTGTGCATTATTTTTGTTTTTTGTTTATAACTATTACAACTAACAATTAATATTTATCAAAATTCAGAATTAGATAAACGGATAATTTATTTATAAATTAGTTTTTGAATTTTTTAAATAGCATTAATTCTTTTGTTGTTATTGAACATCAAAGTTAATAATTAATTTAATCAACATATAAAACAAAGTTTTATATTTTTATTAGTAACTTCAATAATTATTAACCAAAAACGATAAAATTTTCCAAAAACATTCTTAAATAACTACTCTTTAAATATCCGCTTAAAATTTATATCTACACCCTGTAGTTTTTATGCTATACGCATGTAAACTCCGCATGAAAATTTCGTTAAATTCCTTTGTTTGGAGTCATCGCACATTCTCTTCTCCTCTTCGACGATTTCGTGCGCATCGTGCTTGCATGACGCTTCTTTCGCGAGTTCTCCGCGGTGTCTTACTCCGCCTGAGCCTCTTTACACAGATAGACATAACAAGATAGATTGCGACTCGGCGTAATTACCGTTACGGCGCTATAAATTACCCGCTGCAGCGAAGAGGAATACGAGTACACCACACAACACAACAAAAAACCAAAGCAATCATCCGCGTCGCATTCAAACACTGCTCGTACAAAGAAACAAAGTACAAAACTAATCAATAAATAATTAATGTATATAACTACTAAGTTATATTACATAAATGTCGGTGTATTTTATCGTTTGTTTCGATCGTTTTTCGGTTGATTCGAAAGTCAAACAGTAGTTTAATAGATTTTTGACGTGCGACAAATATCAGATAACAACGAATTAATCGACTTGCCGATTGGTAAAATAGTTAGTATTATTTTATAATAGTAGAGGCGTAGGAAGATGAAAAAGATTGCGCCGATTGCGGTGTAAATGTTAGTAAACAAATTAAAATGTAGTTGGTATTAAAGGTTAGTCTATTTTTGAGACTAAAAGCTTTTATTTTAGTTTAGGTTTTTGTGTGGAATTCTTGTAGTTTTTGTGTAAACATCCTGAAAATTTGCATAAGCATTCCTTAATTAATTATGCATCAAGGAGTTTTTATGGTTTTGTTGTTATAATTTTAGTTTTTGAGATATTTGTTGTTAAAAATGGAGAAAAATCATTTTTTTGGGATTTTTAAGTCTTTTTTCAGTAATTTGCTGATAACTTTTATATTTTTAGTTGAAAAAGTTTGAAAATTTGTATAAATATTCTCAATAAGTATCTGCATCAAATCGTTTTTATTTTTTTGTTATAACATTTTTATTTTTTAAGATATTTGATGTCAAAGTAGCATTATTTTTACAACAATTTTGTGTGAAATATACATTTTTTCACTAATTTGTTTATAACTTCTACATTTTTATTAGCAACAATTTAAAACTTTGCAAAGATATTCATTATTAGTTTATACAACGAATAGTTTTTACAAAATCACAATTAAATTAATAGTTTATGAGTTAATTAGCATCAAAATCCCAGAAAAAAAAATACAATTTAAATTTCAACTAAAAAACATTTTTTTTACAAATTCATCAATATCTCTTAAACTTTTACAACTAATTACCTAAAATTACCAACAAACGTTCCCCAATTAACAACAAATCGATCTCATTTTAATACTTCACAAACAAATAATTAGTTTAAAAGTTATTTGACCTCAAACTCGTAACTTTTTTCTGCATCGCGTATAAATTATGGATATCTCGTTGTGATGTGGTTAGAATATCCTTGGTATTGTCAAACATATCCTGTTACATAGACATAGTCTTTGCGTCTTGCCGCAGCACGGCGATATAATTTACGTCGCTGGCGCACGCAGCCACAGAAGCACAGCAAAAGCAAGACGCAAAGAAGATGATCATCATCATCGTGATCATCATATGTGTGCTGGTTGCGGCCACGGACTCAGCGTGTGTGCCGTACCGAATCATTGAACCCGGTAGCTGGGCGAAGACGCGAAGAAGTCCCAACAAGTCCTAACAACTTACGCGGACGCGCAAGAAAAGAAGCGCACAAAATCGAAATAATGATGAAAAATTAGAATAAAAATTACGCGATTTGAATTTGTGGCACGTTTATTTGGGTTCGGGCTTTGTTTACGGTGATCTTGTGATGCGTGGTTGGCTTGTGGGCCGTTGGAGATGTTTTAAGAGATTAACTAAGTGAAGATGCTTTCGGGGACGCAGCGCAATGCGATGAGAACTTGGACAAGTAAGAAAGGCGAGATCGAGCGAAGATGAGCTTGGGCAGGCGTGTGTGAGTGCGTTGCGATGCGCGAAACTAACATAACATAACAGCACTTTCTACTGTGCGTTTCGAAATTTACATTTTCTATGTAAAACACACAAATAACACACAACTAACAGGAATGCTAGACGCAGTCAAGTTGAAACGATGCAAAAAAGATGAAATTCTGTGGGTTTTTTTTAGCAATATTTTCTAAAGTTTAGGGATTTGTGCTATGAAAAGTTAAAAGAGCATAATTAATTAGTTGTTTTATCGATATTTGTTTAAATAATTAAATTCGGTTGATTGGTTTTGGAGATATTAATATTTCATTCTCGTTAGAAAAATGTGAAGACCGCTGTCTTTTGCATATTAACTATATTTTGATCCCTAGATTACCAATTTGTTTCAATGTAACGAGCTTGTCTGATAGAGAATTGTACGCAGATTAAGACCCTGCGATTCGTTCCTGTGTATTTCTTTTAGTTTACGAGATATTCGCAATTGAAAAAATCGTCAAATTTTGCAAAATTGCCATTTTAGCACTTTCAGACGCATTTTTCACCCTTTTACTCTACGATATTTAATTTTTTTATTTTATGTTGTTATCTGAAAGAGAATTTTCTAATCTTTCATAATCTGTGTTTCGCCGATTTCTATCACTTTTAGTCTAAGAGATATTAATTATCGAAAATCGTCGAAAAAAAGTATCAAGCACCCCCCTTCACAATTTTTTCTTATGAATAAAAATTTTATCTCTTAGATTTCCAATTTAACTGCCTTATCTTATAGAAAATTGTACATAGAATATGATGCCGAGATCCGTTCTTTTCTATCTCTTTTAGTTTACCAGATATTCGCAATTGAAAAAAATCGTCAAAATTTGCAAAATTGTCATTTTTAGCATTTTTAGACGCACTTTTCGCCCTTTTAAGCTACGATATTTAATTTTTTTATTTTATGTTGTTATCTGAAAGAGAATTTTCTAATCTTTCATAATCTGTGTTTCGCCGATTTCTATCACTTTTAGTCTAAGAGATATTAATTATCGAAAATCGTCGAAAAAAAGTATCAAGCACCCCCCTTCACAATTTTTTCTTATGACCAAAAATTTTATCTCTTAGATTTCCAATTTAACTGTCTTATCTTATAGAGAATGGTCCGTAGATTAAGATGCCGAGATCCGCTCCTTTCTATCTCTTTTAGTTTACGAGATATTCGCAATTGAAAAAAATCGTCAAAATTTGCAAAATTGCCATTTTTTGCACTTTCAGACGCAATTTTCTCCCTTTTGCTCTTCGATATTTAATTATTTTATATGGTTATCCGATAGAGAATTTTCTAGTCTTTCATAATCTGCGATTCGCCAATATCTATCGCTTTTAGTTTAAGAGATATTAATTATCGAAAATCGTCGAAAAAAGTATCAAGCACCCCCTTGGCAATTTTTCTTATGAATAAAAATTTTATCTCTTAGAATTCCAATTTAACTGTCTTATCTTATAGAGAATGGTCCGTAGATTAAGATGCCGAGATCCGCTCCTTTCTATCTCTTTTAGTTTACGAGATATTCGCAATTGAAAAAAATCGTCAAAATTTGCAAAATTGCCATTTTTTGCACTTTCAGACGCAATTTTCTCCCTTTTACTCTTCGATATTTAATTATTTTATGTTGTTATCTGATAGAGAATTTTCTAATCTTTCATAATCTGCGATTCGCCGATTTCTATCTATTTTTGTTTAAGAGATATTAATTATCGAAAATCGTCGAAAAAAAGTATCAAGCACCCCCCCTTGACAATTTTTTCTTATGAGTAAAAATTTTATCTCTTAGATTTCCAATTTAACTGTCTTATCTTATAGATTAAATTCAGAGACTACTGTTAAGAGAATTCATAGATGGCACTAGCATAAACTAAAAATCATAAAATAGACATATATTGCGTATTTTTATGTTTGTTGTAAAACGTGGCCACGAGAATAGTTTGGGACACAATTCCGTTACCTGCGTTTCTTTATAAACAACTTCTTTATCGCGTTCGCCTAGCGAGATATCATGCACGTAGCTGCAGCATAGTCTAGTTTTGATCGCAGGTAAAGTGTTTATTGCAAGTCGGCACAAAGTCGCTTGTCATCGACGCGCCGCCGGCTTTGCGCATCTATAGCAATTCGCACACAAGGTCGCGTGCCGACTCGCCGGTATTACGCATCTATTGCTTTTGCCTGCGGGGTGCAGGCAGCAGGTAGTCTTATCATAAACTCTCGCGACGTTGCTAGCTCGGCTACGGCATACGCTATCGGTGGATTGCAGTCAGTTTTGTGCCGGTCGTTGGTTAAACCACGCGTGTTTCGTGTGGACTTTTGGTCCATAGAATAAGATGTCGAGATCCGCTCCTTTCTACCTCTTTTAGTTTACGAGATATTCGCAATTGAAAAAAATCGTCAAAATTTGCAAAATTGCCATTTTTAGCACTTTTAGACGCTTTTTTCGCCCTTTTACTCTACGATATTTATTTATTTTATGTTGTTATCTGATAGAGAATTTTCTAATCTTTCATAATCTGCGATTCGCCGATTTCTATCACTTTTAGTCTAAGAGATATTAATTATCGAAAA